AGCTCTATACTATACAGTGGTACCTCGGGTTAAGTACGTAATTTGTTCCGGAGGTCCGTACTTAACCTGAAACTGTTCTTAACCTGAAGCACCACTTTAGCTAATGGGGCCTCCTGCTACCGCCGTGCCGCCGGAGCCCAATTTCTGTTCTTATCCTGAAGCAAAGTTCTTAACCTGAAGCACTATTTCTGGCTTAGTGGAGTGTGTAACCTGGAGCGTATGTAACCTGAGGTACCACTGTATTTACAATGGGGCCCCGCATTTTGAGAGCTGCAAAGAACTTTCAAATCGCTCTGTGTTGCTCTTTGAGCCTCCATAAACCTGCCCACTAGCAAAAGCCTTTCACACAGATCATGCTGAACTTTGACATTCTGACAACCAGGGCTTCAAAGTGCAGCATCACCCAATGTCATTATGTCAGGTGATTGACAGGTGGGTGGCCTGCCTGCCTATCTATCAAATTTGGCCCAACAGGGGTGGGGAGATAATGAAAAGATTCCCCACCTTAGGGTTAAAGCATACCTGTCAGACCTGAATTAGATCTGATTACAACTCTCCAATCTTACCTAAAACCTCAATCCATGTATCTGGCTCTCCCACTCTCTTCTCTCAATTCACAGCTGTCACAGAACTAATGTATTCATCTTTCTGAACTCCACCTATCATAGGAACATTAACTTATGAAACCAACTGAACACAGCAGTTTAGTTTGCACGTCATGGTAAACCACGAATCCATGATTTGCTCCAACAAACCACAATCTCCAGTTTAGTCTAAAGCAAGGATCATCAGTCTCAACAGACTGATCTGTAGCCAAAGTTTGTTCTCGGCTTATTGATCACTGTTTGTAGGAGCAAAAACAAAACCATGATCCCTGGTTATTACTGACTGTATTTATTAGTCGCCTCATGTGATAAGCTGCTAGGCAACATACCGCAAAATAAGAAACACACACACCAAAATACAAACAGTTCATAATAGAACACGTAAACTGTAGTTTTCAAAAAATCAAACCAGAACAATAATATAAAACTAGGGGCATCTAAAACCAACCATGCCATCTAAAAACTACATCACTAATCAGATTAAACAAACTAAAATTAGATGATAAAACATCACTTAAACATATTAATAGATGTTTAAAAGGCCTGGGAGGAAAGGAAGGTCTGCAGTCACACTCTGCACTGCTAAACCAGAGATTGTGATTTGTTTTCTCCCAAAGCCAGATGGAACAAACTGGGTGCAATTCATTTGTGCGTGGTATAGCTTACTATCATGTATGAATATAGCTAGCAAGGCTTGCTTACAAGTTAGTATGCACAGAGAATAGCTGCACCTGTCAACTTCCACAGACTTCTTTAATCAGTGTCGTCTTCACTCCAGCCTTGGAGACAACTGCTGTACTAATGCTGGAGCCATAGTACAGGGTCAGCCAGCATGTCCAATGGTCAGGGCGGCCAGGTGTTGTAGTCCAGAAGCATCTAGAAGGCCATAGGTCCCCCAACCCTGTTTTACATCCTCCTCTCATAGTTACTGCACTCTCCATCCTGAAATCCTCTTGTGCTTTTCACTTATTTGAGATTTGTCACACGTTTTAAACCACTCTCTCATCTCTAACTTTTCTTTCTAAAGCACTCATTGATTTTCTAAAGCTTCTCTTCCTTCCATGCAGTATCTTCCAGTACTGATCTCTTTGGGATTGCTCTTATCCCTTCTTGACAATCAGACCTTTTCCTGTTGGCTGCGCGCTTCCTTAAAGCAGCATCATGGCACAAATGTCCTACATAGCTGTCTTTGTTTAATACATCATCATCCTTGAGGAAAACATGTGGATCAGATATTCTTTTGACTTTTCAACACCAGATAAAGTTACATCTCACTTAGTTAAAAAGCCCACCCCCCAAAAAACTCTCCTCACCCCTAAGAATCCACCTTGCAGGCAAACTTTTTAACACCTGCCGAAGACTATGACACACACAAGTATTCAAATAGACTTATTTCTCCCACATTCAAACATAACAGGAGAACTGCACTTTATAATTGCTTTATTTTCTGCTTATTAGTTCTTTTACCAACACTACAACCATATTGCGAACACAAAAAATCCTGTTTACTTTATTCAGGGAGATCACAGTCTACAGACTCATTCACTTATCAGACAAAGTTAACGCCATTCAAAAACGGATTCAGTTGCACTTTATAGAGTCACATGAACACAGAAGTTGGATGTACTGAACCTTTTCCCCCCAAAGAAGTTGAATTCTAAGATTGCATTTTATCTTGCAAGCTGCAGATAAATCTCTAAAGTCATCAATTTTCATGGCTACCTTTGAGCCAGAGAGAACACAAAACGTTGTTTCTTTGAAAGAGACACTTAAAATGAAACTTTACTAATTTTTGTTCAGTATCAAAAGTTATTTGATGCATTTGTCACACATTTTTCAACTTCATGTTTCCCACCAAAGACTGGCAATTTAAAGGGGCAAACAAAACCAGAATTAATATTTTATCTTTTTTTACCTACAAAACTGGCAGACTTGGAGGAACAAAATTGACATACCAAGTAACGATTTCAAATTAATGTATAAGTTATATGACAATTTGATTCTGTCTTGGTGAGAGAAAAGATACAATAAACCCTTCACCAAAGGTAAAACCACCCATGTTTTTACTGCAGTTAAGATTTATATGAAAGTTTGAGAACTAGTAACAGATCTTCAAGTTTTCCAGTTTAGGCAACTACTTTGTGCTTGGCTTTAGTTATTCCAGAAGACTACACTTAGCTGTTTTGTGGACTTTTTGTTTGCATTACCACTCTTGCCAATGCTGCCAGGAAGAAAGATTCTAAATTTATTTTTATCGCAACCAGAATGTAGCATTTTTGTTCGATTCTCTCACAAATTTGTTGCTTTAGTAGAACTTTTTGTGAACCGCTGCTGTTTTTCCAATGAAAATTAATTTTTGTTCTGATCCTAAATTATTTTATGTGAATAATCCACATCCAATTTGGAGGAAGTAAAAAATCCAGATAACTATGATATAAGTTTATTCAGGATCAGAGCTCAAGTTTTTTTCTGTTAATGATGCTAAGCATTCAGTTCTAAGAAATTAATTTCTCATTACTTTATCCCCCTCAAACATCTTTGGTACAAGCTCTAGAGTCCACAATTTAAGTAGCAAAATCAACACTGAAGAAGTGTAGTGTAATGCCCCAATTTTATTTCAAACTCATACCCTTTAACAAAAGCAATTTTCTTCTGGTTTTGTAGCAATACATTCCTAAAATTCCTCAGATGAGTTTTACTCCTTGAGGAAATCTGAAATTAATCCTTAAGGCTGAATAGGAACCAGCTGCTTTACATTTTTTGCACCTAGTATTAATACTTGATTGAAACCATTTTTATGCTAACCTGAATTCACAATCATTTCCCCCCATACAGCTAATCAGACATTTGAAAGCTGCGATATGACAAATGAGATGCTTGCCCTTGAAGAACGGAACGTGGAAGTTTACATTCATAGTCGTTTGCTCACTCTCCACCTGAATCATTGCTGCCCTTCCAAAGGGCTTTATACATCCAAAGCAGATCAAATAAAGGTACTACCAGAACAGAAGTCTAGAATTTGTCTGTCACTGCCTGCGTGAATTCAGTATGGTTTTGTAACAGATGAAAGGGAAGCAACTTCCAAAGACACTCATTTGTTCCATTTAATTAGCAGTATCTGCAAAACCAAGTTGCCACATCCTTCCTTCATATTAGTACATCTGAATAAATTCTTAAGAGTGACTTATTCAAATCATAGTATAGATGCAGATGCAGGCTACCCCCACCCCCTCAAGTTAATAAAGATGCATCTTAGAAGCCAAGCTAAAAGGTCTACAAATAATCTACTTAAGTTTTTAGAAGCCTTTAGACCAATTGTGATACTGCCATCTTTGTCTCAATTATTAAGACAGGAAGAGTTTTTAACATTCAAGTTTTGACTACAAGTTTATGATTTTTTTTAAAGTAATGTGTACATCACACATTATTCTTACGAATTATTGCTGCACTTTATGGAATGAAAGCATATTTGCACTGAAACTGGAAAGTAATGCAACTACTTAATATTGCAGCAGAAAAATTAACTTTACAATGCAAAGTACAGGAACTGTGGTTTGACACTAGTCTCATTTCATCCTGCATACGGTTGCTATTTAGAATGGAAACTTATTTGCATCCTTAATCATGCACTATATTTGGTTCATAACCTCCTGCAGCTAACATTTTGAAGCGGTTCTTGAATTACCCGGCCATCATTGGGCCCAGTAAGCAACCATACATTTATTCTAAATGCTACCCTTCTGATTTGTCAAAAGACCAGATAAAGGAGATGAAAATTTTAGTTTCTAGTTACAGGTAAGCTCTCACCATAAAGAGGACAGACTGCAGTTTGTTCATAAGCAATGGTTTTCAGTTTACTAGATAACAAGAGACCTATCAACATATTCTGCATGGTTGCAAAAGGAAGCAAATCTACAGCAGATGATAATGGAGAGGGGGGGGGTCAGGGGGAACTAAATCAGAAAGCATACATTTAAAAAGGTGATGCCTTAGCCCCAAGACTCAAACAAATGAAATCAAATCATCAAAACCAAGGGCTCTCATAGTATGAGAAAAGTTGCTTTGCAAAGCTATGTGTCTCCTTCCCCCCTCCCCCCCCATGTTGCTGGAAGCTTGCCATATAAACTAGTGCTTGTGTTCATTCACAGTTGAAGATTAGAGCATCTTAACACCAAGCAAGAATTGTATTAAACTGGGGATCCAGTCAAGTATGTGGAAGAAAAGGGTGGTAACTGGCAAAGAGGTGAGCAATCATTGTAATCCTATGGATGCTTAATTTCAGAACATTTTAGTATGGAGGATCATTCTTTCTCGGGAAGCAAGTATTTCTTTCCCCGCTAAACTCTCTTGAAGACTAGTAATAGTTTGTCTTTTTTTTTTAATTTTTAATGATCATTAGGATTTATAGTTAGATGTTAACCATGTCAGCCCTTCGTAGAGTCCGTCTCCCGAGGTGGCACAGGACGGCTGAACATACCAATTCCTATCCCTGATTCGGGTCAGGCCTAGTTTCTCTTGGATCTCGTGCGGCTTCATGGCGTCAGGAAGGTCCTGCTTGTTGGCAAAGATAAGGATGATGGCATCCCGCATCTCTCGGTCGTTGATGATGCGGTGAAGCTCCTGCCGGGCCTCGTCTATGCGGTCCCGGTCAGCGCAGTCCACCACAAAGATCAGCCCCTGGGTGCCCGTGTAGTAGTGCCGCCACAGCGGCCGGATCTTATCCTGGCCCCCGACGTCCCACACGTTAAACTTGACGTTTTTGTAAGTCACGGTCTCCACGTTGAAGCCCACGGTGGGGATCGTGGTGACCGCCTGGCCCAGCTTCAGTTTGTAGAGGATGGTGGTCTTGCCCGCCGCGTCCAGGCCCAGCATCAGGATCCGCATCTCCTTGTTGCCAAAGATCTTGGAGAGCACCTTGCCCATGATGGCGGCTGGGGGGAGGCAGGCATCCACAGGGGGAGAGGGGGGCAGAGAGTTGGGGTGGGAGGGAAGGGCTGCTGCCGCACCCGCCAAGTGATCCACACAGGGGGCGGTGGTTGGGGGGGGGGCCACACCTGGACAGGGGAAAGACCAGAGGTTGACTGGTCTATATGGGGCCCAAGAACTTGAGGAAGGGGCTTTGGGGGAGGAGGGAAGAAGAGGAATAACGCAGCCCCCACTTATATGCACCAAGAGAAGGAACAAGGGGGGGGGGAGGTGCTTGACTTGAGACGAAGGGGGCGTGGCTTGGCGCGCGAGGGGGCGGGGCTCGCGAGGTCTCCTCGCCCGTCAGTCAGAGCAGGCCCGGGAGCCTCCCCGCGCTCTGCTGGGCTCCCCCGGGCGTCGCTTCGGAGCTCTGAGGAGAAAAGAGAAGGAGGAGGAGGAGGAGGAGAGTCAGTCGGAGGCTCCGTCAGAGGCGGCGTGAGCGGGAGGGAGAAGGGAAGCCGCCGCCGCTGCCGCCGCCCGCACTTACCTCAGGGGGCGCCGGCTCTCCCTCAGCGCCAGCGAGCTGGGCCGTCCGCCGGCCGGCCGGCCTTTCCGGGTGGGAGAAGGGGCCCTCCTGCCCAGCCGGCCCGCCTCGCCTCTTCCCTCACAAACTCCCTTGCCTGGCTTCGCTGGCTCGAGGCGGCCGGCGGCGACGCGCATGCGCGCAGCTCGCTCCCTCGCCCGACCGACTTGCGAAAGGGAAGCGGCGCCGCCTATAAGACGGGGGGGAGGGGCGAGAGCGCGGGGAAGCGCGCGCAGTTTAAACCCGGAGTGCGCACGCGCAAAGGCAGGGCGGGAAAAGGGAGGTGGGGAAAACCTTTGCGCATGCCCAGTGAGTCGCCCGCTCCCTTCACAGGGAGCCTCGACGGCTGCTTCTGTTCTTTCCACCATTAAGCTTGGCGTTTAATTGCCGCGCCTTTTCCCTTCCCCGAGTGCCGAGGCAGAAAGAGCGGGGGAAATGCACCTCAGGTTCTCTCCTCTCGAACGGGCATATGCGCATGCGCGGTTCCACTTTGCGCAGCCGCATTTCCAGCCGCCAATCCCGGAAGAATAAAGCCCCACGGGAAGAATTTACCTCAAGTGCCCGACCGAAGACCGCGCAAGCGTGGTGGCCTTCTCACCTAACGTGGTCTCTCTCTACTGCGCATGATCCGGAGAAACGGTCTAAGAGACGGAACTGCGCACGCGCAGCGTGTCATCCCCATGAGCCGAGAACGCGCTATCTACGTCAGTTGCTGCGCGACTCGGCCTCGCGTCTCCTTAAAGGGCCATGCACGTGGACGGGAGCCGAGATAAAATAGGAATATTTGACATGTTTGCGGCCTCTTGTTAAGCTCTCCCTTGCCTGAAGGGAAGATATGTAAGAGAGGGAGAAGAGGAATGCAGACCACGCCCCCTCCTGAATTGCAGCTGATCTCATGCAAAGCTTACCTGTCCTGTCCAATTTCTTAAAAGACCTCAGGTGGCTTTTTCACCTCCTTCTCGCCCCAAGTCTCAGCTCTTGTAAGGCCCATCATAATAAAGGTAAAGGAACCCCTGACCATTAGGTCCACTTGTGGCCAACTCTGGGGTTGCGGCACTCATCTCGCTTTATTGGCTGAGGGAGCACAGCTTCTGGGTCATGTGGCCAGCATGACTAAGCCGCTTCTGGCGAACCAGAGCAGCGCACGGAAATGCTGTTTACCTTCCCGCCAGAGTGGTACCTATTTATCTACTTGACTTTGACGTGCTTTCAAACTGCTAGGTTGGCAGGAGCAGGTACCGAGCAACGGGAGCTCACCCCGTAGCGGGGATTCGAACCACCAACCTTCTGATTGGCAAGCCCCAGGCTTTGTGGTTTAACCCACAGCACCACCCCATCATAATATAATATGATAAAAAGGACTTAATATTTATTGCATTCATTGCTTGCTACATAAAACGTCTCAGAGCAACTCCAAATTGTAAGAACATACAGAACCATAGCTGTCAACCTTCCCTTATTCCAGCGCCGTTTCCCGCTGCTGTCCCGGATTGTTAGATATCCCGTAGACTATCCCCAGAACAGGTGAGGCTGCTGCTCCCTCATTTTCGAGGCTGCTGATCCCTTATTTTCAAATCTGAAAGTTGACAGCTATGTGCAGAACACAAAATATAAAATAACAAAAAGCAGAGAACATTGTTTTTTATATATATATATTTTTTATAGATATTTATTAAAAGTTTAACAATTACAGAAAAAGAGAAAAAAGAAAACAGTAAAAAATTACAATACATTACATCAAAAGAAAATAAGAACCAGATTAGAAAGGAAACAATGCAGCACAACAATAAAAACAAAAAAAAGGAAAAACATTTAAAAACAAAAAACACTTAAAAACACATCCAATATTCCTTATCTTTACCTTTCATTTACCTGTTTCATCGACCTCCTCACACCTCCCTTTTTGTATTCTAGTTCAATTAACTATTTCAGCAAATTCTTTCCATCTTTCTCAATTTTTGTTCTGTAATTTATCTTAACAGTCTAACCTTTAATTTTTCCATTTTTACCCATTATCAATCAACTTTTACTTAAATCTTTATTACATTTCTGTTAAAACCATATAGCTTCATTCCAACATCCTTCTAACACTCATTAATTTTGCAATGTTTTTGTAAATATACTTTAAATTTTTTCCAGTCTTCTTCCACCAACTCTTCTCCCTGGTCTCGGATTCTGCAGAGAACATTGTTAACCCAAAGTGCTCATCCTGCAATATTATGATACCTAGATGAAGGTATCTTGTGCTGTGTGCTGAGCAAGCTGCTGTATGGCAGTGAGCTGTGGGCAACTTACAACTGTCAGGAGCAATGCACAGCAGGACGGTGTATCCAAGATATGTTCTCCCAAGCCCACATTCCCAGCAATGTCTACACTGGCTTGGTCATGTCCACAAAAGGGAAGATGGCAGGATCCCCAAGGATGTGCTGTATGGGGAGCTGGCTTCAGGGACCAGATCCAACTCTGAATTATAAGACATGATGGCTGACAATATCAACCCCGCTGTGTGGGAATCCCTTGCAGATGACCGCAATACCTGTAGATGGATAGCCAGGTCCTGCATCCACAGTAAAGACCAGAGGAGGAAGGACTGCTGGGAGGAGCGCAGAGAGAAGAAATGCCATGATGCATCTGTAGCAGCACAACCAGACGCCTTCATCTGCCTCAGCTGCAACAAAACATGTCTCTCCTATATCGGTCTCTACAGCCACATCAGACGCTGCAACCTTCCAGCAGTTTGACTTCACCCCCAAAGGCGCACTCCTCCATTGTCTCCCAACAATGGCCTCACTTTGGCCTGATCCTGCCAGGCTTTTTCTTATGTTCTGCCTATTCTCACAGCAGGTCATTTACACACAGTCTCTAGCCATCATGATATAGGCAGGACTGTGGTGGTGTCCTGGGGATCAGCTGTGGGCATCAAAGCAGTTTGGGGAGACACAGCCCGTGTAGGTGGGATTTCTGAACAGAAAAAATAGTATTTCTCATTATTTTAAGAATGTGAGAGGAGCCTCCTGGATGAAGCCAATGGCCCATCTAGTCCAGCATCCTGTTCTCACAGTGGCCAACCTGATGCTTGTGGGAAACCAGCAATCAGGATTCGACCACAAGAGCCCTCTTCCCACCTGTGGTTTCATAGAATCATAGAAGTGTAGAGCTGCAAGGGACCCATGGGTCTTCTGGTCCAATCCCCTGTGATGCAGGAAACTCAACTAATGCATCTATGACAGATGGCTATCCGGCCTCTGCTTAAAAGCCTCCAATGAAAGACAGTCCACAACCTCCTGAGGAAGCCCGTTCCACTGTCAAACAGCTCCTACTGTCAGAAAGTTATTTATTCATTTGAGAATACAGTAGTGATTCAGTGTTTTGATCTTTGCTGCCATCTTCTGGATGATGGACACACAGGAAGCAAACAAGGAGCCCTGGTGTGGTGGCTCTTGCCTGTAATCCCAGCTCTTTGGGAGACCTGAGCCTGGAAGGCTGCTCTAGCTCCAGAGTTCTAGGCTGCTGCTATGGACTACGTTGCAGAATGAGTGCATTGCTAAGGTTAGGGTCAATACAATGGTCCTCAGTGTGTCAAGACCCAACAGGATGCTGAATTCGCCCAGATCAAAGCCACCATCCTGAGCATCCTCTCTTCTCAATTCTGAAAATAAAATTAAAATGCACATGTCTCTGAACTTGTGCAAAGTGTCTATTATCCCTGGAAACCATACTCCTCCTTGCTATCAGGCTGGCTGAAGCCTATCTAAGCACATTGTGAAAATTAATCTCTAGTGTTACGCTCACCCCACTTCCAAGCAGTAAGAAGTTCCAGGGCACATTGTATACCCAGGATTAATTTAGTTTCCATTAGAAGGAGGTCTCTGGAGACTTACTGGTATTTTGTAATGTTTGCATTTATTTGCAAAATTACGGGCTGAGCATAGCTGGAGACACTGTTGGGATTATATCATTATTTATCAATTAATGAGTTGCCTTTTACATGCACGTGAAGGTGATTACGGTCATATAATAAAAAACAGCTTAAAAAGTCTACTGTTTTAAAAGCAGTACAAAAATAAATAAATAACTGGAAGGCTGAAAAACAACAGAATAGCGGATGAAATGCACTATAGTAATTAATTAATTAATAGCACAAAACACCTAAGGCAGAGGTGGCTTCATCCAGGTGCAAAAACTTGTCAAAACAAAAATATTCCATATCCACCTGTCCTATAGGTACCACTAACCAGCATTTTCAGAGCCCTGGGACTTTGCTAACACCATCTGATTTTTAACCTTGGGCTCAGGAAAGCAGGTCACCTGATGCCATGCGATTGGCAGGTGGGCACCACTGCCCACTTGCCAAATTTGGCCTCTATCTGTGTGCGTAGCTTCAGGTAGGTTGCCGTGTTGGTCTGACACAGTCAAAATAAATTAAAAAATTGTCCAGTAGCACCTTATAGAGACCAACTAAGTTTGTTCTGGGTATAAGCTTTCGTGTGCATGTGTGTGTGTGTGAGGAAGGCATGTAGCCAACCCACTGTGGGATCCAGTTCCCCATCCCAGATTTAAACACTCAAGGCCCAAATCCGCTTTTCTCAAGAGTATCCTCTCAAACAGAACTTACAGAGGCTTAGCTTGGCTCTCTCAGTCTGGCCTAACTGCAGTTTTTAATTCTCCCTTTTTAGATTACATCACTCTCAGCTGCTGGGTGGGAGGCCTCTTTCTGCTCCATTCAGAAGCCTTGAGAGAGATCGCCTAACAATCAGTAGCCATGGAAACGCATCACCTGTACTTTCCTTAACAAAAGCTGTGCCTGGCAACTTTGTCAGGAGTATTAAATAAGCCTTGCTCCATTAACCCTGTCCTGGCCAAGCTCCCCATCTCACAGCAACATGCTCCCCTAAATAAGACATTTCAGAATTCTCCTAGGTGCCAGCCAAACTCCAAACCCCAAGATCTGAATTCACATCTGCATATCGGACTTCTGCCAACAGCTGAGCATGGTGGCACCTTGGGAGGCTGAGGATTGCTCGAGCTCCGGAGTCCTGGGCTGTTATGGGCTATTATATGCTGAGAAGGTGCCCTTGCTAAGATCAGCATCAATAAGGGCACCCTCTGGATGCCTCGCAGGAGACCTAGGAACACCACCCTCCGCATCAGGGAGGAAAGGTGGAGTAGAAATGCAATGCATGAACAAGGTGAAGAAATGGGGACCTCTGAGCATACGAAAAATGCCTTCCCGTCACCATTAAACTCCTGCACCTCCAAGCGTTGCCATTTCCACGCTGTCCGGCAGAGGGCGGCAGGGAGCTCTTCTCCTTCCCTAACGCCGCGCTGGAACAGTTTTGGCCTAGTGGGCTCGCCGTAGGTCACGTGGCGCAACGCGCATGCGCGCGGGCGATTCGGCGCCTGACAGGAGGAAAAGCGTCCCGGAGCGCGGCGGCGAGGGAAGGCCGGGCAGAGTCCGCCGCGGAGAGGAGAGGCCCGGCCATGAAGTCCCGCTTCAACACGGTCGATATCCGGGCGGTGATAGCCGAGCTGCGCCAGAGGTAGGAGGGAGCCTCGAGACAGGCGGGCGGCGGCCCCGCCCCCGCGACGACGGAGGCCCCGCCCACCTGGGCATTGGCTCCGCCCACAGCACCGCCCCCTTTACCTCGCCCCGCCCACTCCCCGCCCTCCCCCAATCAGGTGCCTCCCAGGAGCTTTGGACTACAGTTCCCATGAGTTAGCAGGGCCTGGTGGGAGTTGTAGTCCAAATCACGTGGGAGCTGGCTGGGGGTCGATGGGAGTTGTAGTCCGAAACCTGTGTAAAGGCACCAGAGGAGGGAGGAAGGCTGGTCTGTACTTGATGTTTCTCCGAATTGTTAGACCAGGCATAGGCAAACTCGGCCCTCCAGATGTTTTGGGACTACAGTACCCATCATCCCTGACCACTGGTCCCGTTAGCTAGGAATCATGGGAGTTGTAGTCCTAAAACATCAAGAGGGCTGAGTTTGCCTATGCCTGTGTTAAATTCCTAGCAGTGTTTCCCAAACTTGGGTCTCCAGCTGTTTTTTGGACTCCAATTCCCATCATCCCTGACCACTGGTCCTGCTAGCTAGGGATCATGGGAGTTGTTGTAGTCCTAAAACAGCTGGGGGGCTGAGTTTGCCTCTGTCTGTGTTAGACTCCTAGCAGTGTTTCCTAATAATAATAATAATAATAATAATAATAATTTATTTATACCCCGCCCATCTGGTTGGGCTTCCCCAGCCACTCTGGGCAGCTTCCAACAAAATATTAAAATACAGTAATGCATCAAACATTAAAAGCTTCCCTAAACAGGGCTGCTGTGAGTTGGCAGACTCAGGGTTTCCCAAACTTGAGCTTCCAGCTGTTTTTGGACTCCCAATTCCCATCATCCCTGACCACTGGTCCTGCTAGCTAGGGATGATGGGAGTTGTAGTCCAAAAGCAGCTGGAAGCTCAAGTTTGGGAAACCCTGAGTCTGCCAACTCACAGCAGCCTGTGTAGCCAGTGGTCAGGAGTGCTGGGAGTCAGAGTCCAGCAACATCTTAAGGGTCCTCTCCTGATCCTGAGCTACATTCTTTCACCTGCCGATTGAAGGCCGCTGGCATGGGAGCACTACTATACGGGCAACTAACAATTTACACACATTTAACTTGCATGCACTGGGCTTTATGCACTTAGCAAAAAAAGAAAAGGAAAAGGAAAGTGGGTGGGATTCACCGGGGCTACAGATCCCAGTCTTCTTTCTTTCTCTCCTTGTTCCTGATGTAGAGCTTCCCTGGTGGGGAGAGGGTGTGTGCTATTTTGGGGTCTGCCTCAGGTGCCAACATATCTTGGGCTGGCCCTGTGTAGGACCAGCCACATATTTTACAGTGGTACCTCTGGATGCGAACGGGATCCGTTCCAGAGCCCTGTTTGCATCCTGAAGCGAACGCAACCCACGTCTGCGCGTGCACGGGTCGCGATTCGCCATTTCTGCGCATGCGCCTGACATCATTTTGAGCGTCTGCACGTGCGCGAGTGGCGAAACCCGGAAGTAACGCGCTCCGTTACTTCCGGGTCGCCGTGGAGCGTAACCTGAAAACGCTTAACCTGAAGCACATTTAACCCGAGGTATGACTGTATTTGTCTGATTTTTAGACCCATGAATACGTGTCACATTGATTCTATCTCACTACAGTCATACCTCGGGTTAAATATGCTTCAGGTTGAGCATTTTCAGGTTGCACTACGCGGCGACCCAGAATTAACGGAACCCATTACTTCCAGGTTTTCCCACTCGCGCATGCGCAGACACCCAAAAGGACGTCACGCGCATGTGCGGAAGCGGCAAAACACGACCCGCACATGTGCAGTCACGCAGTCGCGTGTTACGTTCTACTCTGGATGCCAATGGGGCTCCGGAACGGATCCCATACGCATCCAGAGGTACCACTGTAGTCCTGTTCCAAGATAATCAGCATAGAAGACTACTCCAGATTGGACTTAGCCCAGAAAGATGTTTGTGTTATAATTAATTCGTTGTCCTTTTGATTTAAGAAGCAGTTCTTTCACTGCCTCCTCCAGCCTTAACCACAATAAGATTAACAGTTGCTCTTTGTTAAAAAAAAATTGAGTCAGTGTTTGCAACAAGAACAGTCTTCTATAAATTTCCTTACACTGGTAAAAATATAAATATATATGTCTTTTCTCCTCTCTCTTTTTTTTTTAGCTTGTTGGGAATGAGAGTAAACAACGTTTACGATGTGGACAATAAGACATACCTTATTCGCCTTCAGAAGTAAGAGCTGAAACTTCCTTGTTTTCTTTAATTCAGGAAGCCTTTGGCTCTCCAGATTTTGCTGGATTCCAGCTCCCATCAGTCCCAGCCAGCATGGCCAGTGGTCAGGGAGCTCTAGTCCAGTAACATCTGGAGACTCACAGGTTAGTCATCCCAGCTCTCTTCAGAGTATTTCTAACTTTTGAATCTGTATGTGTGTCTTACATGTATCTCAATCTTCAGTGAGATAAAATAGCCAACCAAAACTAGAACACTATGTATGAAAAGGAAGTTGGAACACGGATCTGTTTCCTATGAATGTAGTCTTTTGAATGTAGTACATGAAATCAAGATGCATTAAAGTTAATGGGACTTTTCTTCAAAGATACAGGTGTATGTTGTCCCCTCTGCTTTCTGTGAATGATTACAATCTCTCTCTCCCCTTCCTCCCCTGCATAGCATGCCCATATTATGTATTTTCCTGGTGCTGTTGTTAAACGTAGGGAGAAGGTTCACCTGTCCTTGCTTTTCCAAGCATCTTCACACAGTACTTTCCCTGAGTTTCTAAACATTGTTTAGTTCATAAAATTTATATACTGCTTGATTGTTAAAAAGATCCTTCAAGTGATTACTCGTGGGAAACCTCAGTTCTGGGGTTCTTTATGATTACCAACTGCATAAATTTATTACGAGCGAGTGGATGCCAGCATGCAAATTCAGTGTTTGATTTTGAAAAAATTAAAAATGCAAGCTTGCACTTCCCAGAGGAGGAAGAGCATGTGTTGCGCCCACATCTACGCCAAATCTGTGCCTAGATGCTCCCTGATGCCTTCTGTTGTCATTAGGCCAGACCTCAAGGCTACGCTTCTCCTGGAATCTGGCATAAGAATTCACACAACAGAGTTTGAGTGGCCCAAGAACATGATGCCATCTGGATTTGCAATGAAGGTAAATGCATCTTTCTCTGCATGCTGCAGATTTCTGGGGTGGAGAGAGAAAACATGCCAAGCCGCTAATGTTGTCGTTTCATCTTTGAGGCTAGCCATACAAGCGTTTTGCATTTTCACGTATGAACCTTGCACTATGAGACTACAGGCCCAAATAAGAGCAAGGCTTGAGCCTCGGTTTTCTCTTGTTGAGTGGAGAGCTCTCACCTGTCCTTCTCCTGGCAGGAGCAGGTGAATAATTCCACTCCATGCTCTAAGGCTTTGGAGTGTTTTACATAGATATGTGTGTTCATGTGGCGGAGTGAGTTCTGGAAGCAGGCAGGCTAGCAATATCTGCTGAAGACTCAGCAGCCAAACAAGTGATGGGGAGGTCTTCGGGTAGCCAGAGTCACATCTTCTCCACCCTTTGCTTCTGCCAGACCTTCCCCATAGGTTTTTCTTTTTTTTAATACAGTTATACTTCATGTTGGGACGCGGGTGGCGCTGTTGGTTAAACCACAGAGCCTAGGACTTGCCGATCAGAAGGGTGGGGTGAGCTCCCATTGCTCGGTCTCTGCTCCTGCCAACCTAGCAGTTCGAAAGCACGTCAAAGTGCAAGTAGATAAATAGGTACCGCTCTGGCGGGAAGGTAAACGGTGTTTCCGTGCGCTGCTCTGGTTCTCCAGAAGCAGCTTAGTCATGATGGCCACATGACCCGGAAGCTGTATGCCAGCTCCCTCGGCCAATAAAGTGAGATGAGTGCCGCAACCCCAGAGTCGGTCACGACTGGACCTAATGGTCAGGGATCCCTTTACCTTCCATTTCAGGTTGCGTGTTTTCGTCTTGTGTCCCGTGGCAACCCGGAAGTACTGGAATGGGTTACTTCCAGGTTTTGCCGCTTGTGCATGCACAGAAGCGCTAAATCGCACCGCACACCTGCGCAGACGCAGCACTTTGAGTTGCGAGTTTTTCACGTTATGGATGGGCCTCCGGAACGGATCTCATCCGTAACATGACTACCACTGTAGACTCTCCCCAACACCATGCTTCTCCTGCTTTTATCAGGCCATTGTTCAACTATATCAAATGATCCAAAAGTTTATGAGAGACTATGATATCTACATTTTTATTTATGGGGTGTAGGAGTCCTCAGCTACCCTGGCTTTTTGGTGGGGTGGGGGGGAGCAAACGACTCTGCCTCATTGTCCCTTTGTGAGACCTGTTTGTGCTCTCCCCGCTGACAGTGTCGCAAGCATCTGAAGACCAGAAGGCTTGTGAGTGTGACGCAGCTTGGCATCGACAGGATAGTCGATTTCCAGTTTGGGAGCGACGAAGCCGCCTATCATCTGATTATAGAGTTGTACGACAGGGTAAGTGGAGGGTGAAAGAGCTGCGGGTCTTGGAGGCAAAAACTCTGGTCTCTCCCCCTCGTGCCGCTGCTTTGTTACTTGGTAGGAAGGTTCTTCGTTTTTGTTTCGAATTTCCTTTACTGCCATTACTAACAACCCAAAAGGGCAGTAGCAGGGTGTTGCGTCATACCATATGCAAAGCAGACAAGCAACAAATAAATAGTAATTAAAGACATCCAAATTTCCCTCGGTAGCATGGATGGTGAATGTTGAACATCTAAGTCCACAGCATAGGAACTAAAATTGCAGCCTTGTCTTATAACTATTTTATTACTTTCCACAATAAAGTGTCTTGAAGCTGCTTACAAATCCGTAAAACAGCCTGACACTTGAGGTGTGTCCTTTATTTTTGTGATCGTAATTTGATTTCAGCTGTTTTAAGTACAGCGTTTTAATGTTACAACCTGCCCAGGGATTTTAGGGTGAAGGGAAGTAATTAATAATAATAATAATAATGTTGACACAGGGAGAGGCTCCATTAAGACTTTATAGGTTGAAACCTGCATTTTGCTTGGAAACTCTTTTGCAGGGCAACATTGTTCTTACTGACCATGAATACCTGATACTGAACATCCTGAGGTTTCGCACAGATGAAGCAGATGATGTAAAGTTTGCAGTTCGGGAACACTACCCGGTCGACAACGCCAAAGCAGCAGCGCCGTTGCCCAGTTTGGAAAGGTACCTCTGTTCTTTGTGCAGCATTTAGTTTGGGGGAGAAAGCAATATCTGCACCTGCCCCATCCCTCTCCAAGAACTGAGTGGAGCTGCTTTTCAGAGACCCGCTTGCTGGGCTGTAAAGTGGCTCTGGTTTGGGTTTGACACCCAAAATGATCAAGGGGAATGGAATGACTCCCCTGTGAAGAAAGGTTGTGTCGTTTGGGACTTTGTAGTTTAGAGAAAAAGTAAGTAAGAAAGTAAGTAAGAGGCAACATGATAAAAGTAAAAAGTAAGTAAGAGGCAACATGATAGGAGTTTTTTAAAAATTTGCATGGCACAGAAAAAGCTGGAACCGGTGGGCCTCCATTGAAGCTGAGTGTTGGAAGATTCAGGACAGAAAAAAGAAAGGACTTTTTCACACAGCACAAAGTCAAACTGTGGAACTCCCTGCCACAGGGGGCAGGGATGGCACCAGCCTGGGATTAGACAATTTTTTTTTTAATTTATCATTTTTATTAAATTTTATCAGATGTTACAGAAAAATGAAAAAAAAAAAAAGAAATACCGTATTTTTCGCCCCATAGGACGCACCGCCCTATAGGACGCACCTAGTTTTTTTTGGGAGGGAGGGGAATAAAGAAAAAAAAATATTTACCATCCCAGGCATGGGGCTGGCGCAGGGGAAGCCCGAGCTTCCCCCGACCCCAGCCCCCAGAACAGCCTGCTATCCGCAAGCCTAGGGAGCCACACCGGTCTCCCCAGGCTTGTGGACAGCTGTGCGAAGCCCGGGCACCCTCTTCAGCGCGCCCAAGGCTTCGGAATGCAGGCAGCTCTGCGCAACCCTCCAGAGCTTGGCGCCAGGCTCCGGAGGGTTGCGCAGAGCTGCGCGGAGCCCGGGAGCACAGGCAGCTCTGCGTAACCCTCCTGAGGCTGGCGCGGCTTGGCGCCGGGCTCCGGAGGGTTGCACAGAGCTGTGCGGACCCCGGGAGGGCAGGCAGCTCTGCGCGACCCTCCGGAGCCCGGCGCGAAGCCTGTATTCGCCCCATAGGACGCACACACATTTCCCCTTTATTTTTGGAGGGGGAAAAGTGCGTCCTATAGGGCGAAAAATATGGTAGTAACAATACATAACCATACAAAAAACATTTATCTACACAATTTTCCAGAATGCAGACTAGAAAAGAAGATGAAAGATAAAAGATAGAAAGAAGGAAAAGAATGAAGAGAAAAAATACTTTCCATAATCAATAATTCCAAATTCATACTTCAAACAGTACAATATTTAAATCCTAGTTAAAATATTATAAAAGACTTCCACTGCATTCACCACACATCTCTTGGTTATCTATTTCACCTTTACATCTGTTCTTCAGTCACTTCCTTTCCTTAAATTCTTTCATAGTCCATCTAATCTTTGTACTTTCGTGTTTGATCCCTGTTTGTGTAAATATTCATTTAAGCATTCCCATTGTTTCTGTACCATCGTTTTAGATTTATGCCTTATTATGTCCGTCAATTTTGCTAACTCCAGATACTCACATCGTTTACTTAGCCATTCCCTTTTTGTTGGGATGTTATTTCCTTTCCAGTAACTGGCCACCAACGTTCTCGCTGCTGTTGTTGCGTATAGAAATATGTTAATTTTATCTTTGGGGATATGGGATTAAGACAAATTCATGGAGGTGGAGAGGGCTGTCAGTGGCTACTGGCCACCATGGCTATGCTCTGTCTTCGCAGTTAGAAACAATACAGTCATACCTTCATGTTGCGTCTTTTCACGTTACGTCCCGCGGCAACATGGAAGTACCGGAACGGGTTACTTCTGGGTTTCACCGCATGCACAGAAGCGCCAAATTGCACCGCACACCTGCGCAGACGCAGCGCTTCAAGTTGTGGGCGTTTCACGTTACAGATAGGCCTCCGGAACGGATCCTGTTTGTAACACGAGGTACCACTGTATTGCTTCTCAATGCGAGTTGCTGGAAACCAGAGAAGGGGAGAAGGCTCTTGCGCTCAGATCTTGTTTGCAGGTTTCCCATGGTCGTCTGGCTGGTCATTGTGAGACAAGGAGGCTGGACTAGATGGGCTCTTGGCCTGATCTGGCAGACCCTTCTTATGTTCACAATGTGCTTTCCTCTTCAATATCATTCTATAGCAAAGTAATCCTTTTGGGGGGGGGTGACCTTCCTCCCCATCTCCCACTTAACAGGTTGACAGAAATAATAGCCAGTGCACCGAAAGGGGACCAGCTAAAGAGAGTCCTAAATCCTCACCTTCGTAAGTACCATTTATGTTAAGATTGAAATCAGCAATAAGCTATGTTCTGTTTTTCAAAGTTTGTAAGCAACTTTGAGCCCTAGGGAAGAAAGCAGGATTACAAATATATCTAAGAGAACCTGTTGGAACCTCAAATAACAGGTATATTTCTTCCAGTAATAGCCAATTGCTTTTGAGAGCTGTAATGTTTTTGAGATGTGCAAGGTCTTTGCCGCGATACTTAAAATGACATATATTTGTTTGGGGCTGGTAAGGGACAGACTAAACAAATTGCTGATTCAGGTAGGTAGCTGTGTTGGTCTGACACAGTCGAAATAAAAAAATATAAAAATTGTCCAGTAGCACCTTAGAGACCAACCAGGACAAACTTAGTTGACCTCTAAAGTGCCACTGGACATTTTTTTTATTTATTTAAACAAATTGTTGTTGAAGATGGAGGCCTCTTTATCCCCTGTGTATAAAATGTCCCATATTCTGCCTTGTTTGAAACAAATTCCTTGGGGGGTGTGGTTTCTTTTAAATCCATGTCTCTGGCTAATTGTTAAATGGTTCTCTCCCTTCCTCCACTTTTTATAGCTTATGGAGCAACACTTATCGAGCACTGCCTTATGGAAGCGGGAATTTCCAGTAACGCCAAAGCAGAACAGATAGAAGGGAAAGGCAAGTGGCCAGACATTTCATCGCGAAATTCACCGCACGCCCATTTGCATGTCACATGACAGAGTTGCATAATACCTGGTATTTCAAGATCTTTGTGTTATGCAGTGTGGTGTATCATTTTAATTTCATCTATTAGGCCTGGTTAATTCCCTGTTTCTTGTGAGTGGTTCCCTGACGTACGAGTGGTGTTAAGTCGATCATCTCAGCAGTTATCACCAATATGCTACTCAAAAGGTTAAAGGTGTTTGTATAGGGTATATATTTCAGCTCTGATCATTACGGTCTGTCATTTTTGCACCTCATTCACCTCCCAACCTACACATTCTTTCTTTGCATACCTGCCAGCTAATATTGTGTGCATGAGTTCTTGAAAGCTTAAACCATAATAAATTAGTTAGCCTATAATGCACTGGTTTTCAAACTTTTCTTTTCCTGGGCCACACTTTCAGAATAACAATTTGCTCTTAGCAATTTTTTTATTGCTAAGAAATACATGGGGAAACAAAAAGAAACAACAACTAGCAACTGATTTATAACACAGAACACAATTGCTTTATAATACAATAATGGGACACCTAGAAAGTATAAAACAATGCAGCTTACATAAGAACATGAATCATTCTCAGACTATAATTAGAAATCAGCGTCTTATGTATGTACCTTAAATATGTGTACAAACTCCATGAGAGGTGTGAGCTTTTGCCAGATAACCTCATTTATAAAGAATGTTTTTATACTATACTACACCAAAATGTTTAAATGTTTCCTTGATTGTCTTTGAATCTTCCACCACACTTGCTATCCTCTCCTGCCACGCCAATCTTTGAGAACCACTGCTTTAAGGTGTCACTGTACGGGGCTAACACAGCTGATGCTTTGGAAATGCTTAATTCTTATTCTCCTAAACCAGCCTTGTGGCAGTCTGCAGCTCTGGGCTTGATCATATCCCCAGCATCTCTAGGCAAGGCTGAAAAAATACAGTGGTACCTCATGTCGCATAACCTCCAGGTTACAGAATCTTCGGGTTACTACCGCAGCAAACCCGGAAGTGGGTTTGCCACTCGCGCGTCTGCAGAAGAACTCTGCGGCGCTGCGTGCATGTGCAGAAGCAGTCCTCTGGTTATGAAATTTTTGGGATACGGCCGGGCCTCCAGAACGGATCCTGTTCGTAACCAGAGGTACCACTGTTATCCTGTCTGAAACCCTGGAGAGTTTGCTGACAACATTGAGCTTAGATCAGGGATGAGGTACCTGTTGCCCTCTAACTTTTCCTGGAGTGCATCAACACCAGCCACCAGTCAGCATCATCAGTGGTCAGAGATTATGGGAGTTGCAGTCTAGTAGTGTTTGGAGGCTCCAGGTTCCCATCCTGGGATTAGGTGGACAGATTATCTGATGTGGCCCAAGGCTGCCTCCAGTATGCAGAGAATATGCTGGAAGCCACAGAATCAAAAACCTTGGATTCCATTTTTTCTCTTTTTAGATGTCGAAAAGGTACTTGCTGCTCTACAGAAAGCAGAAGAATATATGGCGATCACAGACAACTTTAACGGCAAGGTAGCTCATGGTTGAAGTGCTCTGGTTTTTGCACACCCCACGGGTTCCAGAGGAGCAGTGTTCAAACATTGCCATTGTAGATCTTCCAGGGAGGGGTGGGTTTAGTAAATATTCTCAAGCTCCCTAGCCCAGAAGTGGAGGAAGTCTGGGACCGTGATGCAAAAGGCAGACTTATTGGACCAAGGAGGAGGGGAGCCCAGAGAACCTCATGCAAAAATAGCTGTGGTTTCACCCTTCTCATCTCAAATGATGTATTCTGGAGAAGGTGTACAAATTTGGATTTTGTGGTCGTCTTGTTGTGATCCTTACTTTTTTCTCCCAATGTGTTCTGGCCTAGTGCTTACCTTCCACTTTTTGTGACCCAAGCTTCTAGTCTCTCCTATCCCCTCACCCCAGGCAGTCTTGTAGGCTCTGGTCTAACTCGCCGTTATTGATGGCTAGCTAAAAATAAAAACCATAATGATCACAATAATTCCAAGAAAAAGAAAACTGAAAAGAAATTCTGCTCAGGGTTTCTCTACTTCTCTTTTTTTGGCAGGGTTATATCATTCAGAAGAGGGAGAAAAAGCCAAGTCTGGAACCCAGCAAGCCTCCAGAAGAAATCCTCACGTATGTATTTTGAAGGGAGACTCCTTTTTGGTCCCTCATTTTCCTGCTGGTCATAGAATTGCAGAGTTGGAAAGGGACCTTAAGGGTCATCTAGTCCAACCCCTGCAATGCAGGAATCTCGGAGAACAACTATGTTTACAAAAAATTGTTAACAAAATGTATGACATTTCAACAGTTTCTAATTCATGAAATCTTAATTGATGTATACAATGCCAAAATAATAATGGCACACGCAACTCAACATCTCAAAGCCAAATAGTCAAAATATTCCTGAAATACGTCCGTGAGAACAACTCTCTCTGTGTGTACTTGTGCTGGTGCTGTCCCAACGGAACTCCGACAACGAGATACGCAGATTTCAATCTCTGTTTCGTGAATCTTCTTATGATTGGCCCAAAAAGGAGCTATACAATGGCAATTCCATGCTCCACTAAATAAGTCAGCTACAACCTTAGAATGGCCCTCTGCTCATTTTTGATGCAGCCTAGAATAGCATTAGCTGCTTTTGGTTTGCTGCTGCTGCTACATTATCCAATGTGTGTCTTGCAGATATGAGGAATTTCACCCTTTCTTGTTTTCGCAACACGCAAGATGTCCGTACGTGGAGTTTGACTCTTTCAACAAGGTACGGTCCTGTGTTTGATATGTATTGTATTTTATAAGTGGAGTGTAATTTTTTAATTGTGTCAGGCGGTACTGGGAAGCCCCAGTGGCCACTGAGTTAGAATCCTGCCAACTGTTTGTGGTTGCACCAAGATGGATCTGAATGCAGCATAGCGGTTTAAGAGCCAAGTTTAGGATTTTGAGTTACAGATTTTTGAAGCGGCGGGTGGTGGCATCTGTACTTTTGGGCGTCACCAGAATGTGGAAGCTGCGACACAGAAAGTTGCTTTGCTCAAGTGAATTCTGAACTCAAACCTTGGAGTTTGAGATTGAAGGAAATCTAACTCAAGGGCCTTTTTGGATGTAATTGGTTTTGTTCTGAACTTTTATTTTTTATGAGAAATGAAAAGCAACTTCCTGACACACACATGTATATATTAAAAAGTTTTAATCTCTTTTGGAAGGCAGTGGATGAATTTTATTCCAAGCTGGAAGGACAGAAGATAGACCTGAAGGCATTGCAGCAGGTACTGATCCTGTTAAAGAATTAGCATTTGACACAACACCTTGTGGCTTCCTTAAGGAGCCAGTTGCCAGCTGTGGATTGTCGTTCAGATGGGGAGAATTTTACTTTTGCCCCTGCTGAGAACCCTAATAGCTTCAGCATCAGAGGGGAAAGTTTTGCTACTGTCAAACACACATGGAGCTCTCTGTGAGATAGCTTCCCTGCTTTTGCTAATACAGAGTAAGGCACAGCCTTGGCTCCTGCATCTTGTCAACTTGGGGTGATTCAGGAGATGAACTGCCTGCCAGCTGCCTCCAGACCTGCCAGGTCTACTCCTTTCCCCAGTAGACCAGAGTGGCTCCTTCTAGCTACCTACTTGCAGCCTCCCCTCCCCTCCTGCTTTGCCTTCAGCTCACAATGCTTGAGTTGGCATGGGCATCAAATCACCACCAGTCTTTCTTTCCTCCTTCATTTTGTCCTGAAAGGAGAAACAAGCACTAAAGAAGCTGGAAAATGTTCGGAAGGACCATGAGCACCGGCTTGAAGCTCTCCATCAAGCTCAGGTAAAGGCTTGTTATCGTACCACCATGATGACTCCATAAACTGTTGGCTTCAGTCCATTTGTCATACTCCAGAGAATCTCAGCTGCTGCTTTTTTGGTCTCCTTCACTTTCCCAAAGGAAATTGACAAGGTGAAAGGGGAGCTTGTGGAAATGAACCTGGAGATAGTTGACCGAGCCATCCAGGTGGTCCGGAGCGCCTTAGCCAACCAGATTGACTGGACAGAGATTGGCGCTATCGTCAAAGAAGCCCAGGCCCAGGGGGACCCCGTGGCAAGCGCCATCAAAGAACTGAAGCTGCAGACCAACCACATCACGATGCTCCTGAAGTAAGCGCCGGGCAGGTGGGAGAAACGCGCTGGAAAGGGGTGGTTGGGGTGGGTGGGTGTATTGAAACTCCTTTGTTAGAAGGTTCAGGGTTAGGCAGAATTGGGGGAGTGGGACTGTGAATAGCTGAAAATGGGACCTCACTGCCTGGAGACAAACTAACCCTCCGAGGACCAAGTGCTGGTTCAATGGGAGTGGGGTCCTTGTTCCAGCAAAGGCTTCTTATCTGCAATTTAATTGGATGAATAAGCCCCAGCCCCAGTCTAGGTTGGCTTGAGGGCTGTAATCTGGAGAATATTGGGAGTGCTACTTGGGTACCGCTGAAATCAGCAGTGCTGAGGCTTTTCCAACAAGGAGCTGTTTTTGTAAATTGGTATGTTGTTGTGTTATATTTATATCCCACCCACCTGGCTGGGCGGCTTACAGCATATATAGAAACACAGCAAAACATCAAACATTAAAAAACAGAATATCCTATACAGGCAACAAACAAACCAATAAATCAGTAGAAATCAATAATAACAATAGTAACAATAATGAACACTTTATGTTTATACCAGGGGTCTGCAACCCGTGGCTCCGGAGCCGCGGCAAAGGTGTAAAAGAGCCACATGCGGCTCCGGGGCGGATACTAGCGAGGGGAGGAGGCGCATTGTGCGCCCCGACACTCCCCACTGTGGCGGGCGCTGTACTGGCTGTGACGTCGCATGGGGGCGGTGCGTGCGTTAGTCACGCACTGTTCCGACGTCACCTTCCTGCCCGCCCGCCCGCTACATTGTAAGGGGCATGTACGCTGGTCACTGCATTGAAAGGGGGCATGTACGCTGGTCACTGTTTTGAAGGGGAGTGAAGAACACACACACACAAAAAGGTAACTTGTTAATTTAACATTTATTTCTATGAGGAGGAGTAATTCTGAGGGATCAAACAAAGAAATAAAAAAAAAAAGTGACAAAAAAGTTATTTTTATAATGACGAGTTTTGCGGCTCCCAGTTTTTTTTTCTTCAGAAACGGGTCCAAGTGGCTCTTTTTGTCTTAAAGGTTGCAGACCCCTGGTTTATACCCAAATTAAAATAACCACCAAACCCAACTAACATTTAACCAACCTCAACCCGACAAAAACAAAACAGAGGAGCCGAAATTAGAACTGTTTAAAACATGGAAAAACATTTTAGCCAGTTGTCCCAACCCAAGAGTTTTCCCAGCAATGTCCCTCCAGCCTCCCAGGAGCCTATACATGCTTATACATGAGCCCAATAGGGACGTGGGTGGCACTGTGGTCTAAACCACTGAGCCTCTTGGGCTTGCCAGTCGGAAGGTCGGCGGCTCGAATCCCCACAACAGGGTGAGCTCCTGTTGCTCGGTCCCTGCTCCTGCCAACCTAGCAGTTCAAAAGCATGCCAGTGCAAGTAGATAAATAGGTACCACTTTGGCGGGAAGGTAAACGGTGTTTCTGTGTGCTCTGGTTTCCGTCACGGTGTTCCGTTGCGCCAGAAGCGGTCTAGTTCTGCTGGCCACATGACCTGGAAAGCTATCTGTGGACAAACGCCGGCTCCCTTGGCCTGAAAGCGAGATGAGTTCCACAAACCCAGAGTCACCTTTGACTGGACTTAACAATTCAGGGGTCCTTTACCTTTTTATACATGTGCCCAGGAGCATATGGAGGGTGTCAGATTGGCTACCCCTGCACTAAGTAGTTATACTTCAGCTCTTGCCCACCCCTGCCAGCGTGGGATGACTTCCTTTCCCCTCCCTATGACTGACAGAAGCAGAATAAACCACACAGAACAGACAACGGAAAACACACATGACGTGTGTAATAACTCTGCTGAATTCAGCTTTCTAGGCACAGAAAACAATGCAGAATTTTACTGTATTATTAGGCCACAGATCATGTGCACAATCAACAGAATGAATGGGAAATCCTGGTCAGAACTTTTCAGTTGGTCTTCCTGCAGCTAGCAGTGCACATACTTTAAAATAATAATAATAAAAGGATAGACATTTTTGGCCCCGGACTTTTGCAATGCCTGTCTTTTCTGCTTGGCTAGGAACCCTTACATGCTCTCAGAAGAGGAGGAGGAAGCTGAAGGGGAGGTGGTGGAAGAGCCGGAGAGCGGGAGGAAGCAGAAGAAGAAAGCCAAACCGCTTCCCAAGCCCCAGAAGAACAAGCCCCTGCTGGTGGACTTGGATCTCAGCTTGTCTGCTTATGCCAATGCCAAAAAGTAAGGGGCTGGAGTGTTTGGCTGGGGTTGCCCCCTGAAAGCAGCCCTGGGATATAGGACCAGTTTAGTGCCAAGGAATCAAGGGGTTCCTCTCTCCTCCTTAATTGCATTTCTTTTGGTCCTGCCCAAGGCAACAAGATCTTTCTGAGACCCATTACTTCAGATCTCTCTGCAGAGCATTAGGCCAGCTTTCCATTCCCACCCCCACCACTGACTTATTCCAGGGAGTCATTAAGTGTGGACGAAGCGCTATGATTAGCACTCCTTCCGAACAAATTGACAATTCGCATCTTCCAAATCATGTGATTCTGCGCTATTTATGTGGGCGTACAAGGCATCCTGCGTGGAAAGGCAAACGGGCCATAATCCTAACGGAAGAAGGGAATGGGGTGGAGACATTGACACGGCTGCTTCTCTCCCAGGTATTACGATCACAAGAGGCACGCAGCCAGAAAAACCCAGAAAACGGTGGAAGCTGCAGAGAAGGTGCGTTGGTGATTTCTTTGCCTTTCTTCCTTCAAGACACTTTATGGCAGCAGCCATAAGCAACTCTTTCCAGTCTGCTTGGAGCTTTTCACAATTTTCACGGTTCATATACATCGACCGAAAATAAGCTCCAGTACAGTGGTGCCTTGGTTTAAGAACAGCTTAGTTTATGAACAACTTGGATGAAGAACGCTGCAAACCCGGAAGTAGGTGTTTTGGTTTGTGAACTTTGCCTTGGAAGCAGAACATGTTTCGCTTCCTGTTGAGTGTGTTCCATTTGTAAATTGAGTCCCCCGCTGCTATGGGAAAGCACACCTTGGTTGAAGAATGCTTTGGTTTAAGAACGGACTTCCGGAACGGATTAAGTTCGTAAACCAAGGTACCACTGTACTTGAAACCTCCATCCCATGGGGCCCAGCCAAGCCTGCCAGGCCTGTGAATTTGACCTCCGAATCTTATGCAAACCAAGCGCACTTGTCAGTCACCTGAAGTCAGATTATGTCCTGCAGAGATCTGTTATCTCTTATCTAAGTGCTAAGTACTAAGATTGAAGACAAGGGATCTCTTCTCTTTCATCTTAGGGCTAAGTGCTAAGATCAGAGATAAGCCTCTGTTTGCTCTTTCGTAGTAAAAGCTGGCAGTGCACATTTTTGCACTCTCATCCCATGGTGCTAAGATTGGAGGTAAGTCTGAAAATGACCAATGAAGGGGTATGGATCTGGCCCTTGAGCTGAAAAAGGTCTCTTCCTGCCTGAAAAAGGGTCTCTTCCTCCGCCCCTGATATAATGGTTTAGTAGCAAGTGAGCCGAATTCAAGAGAATAGCCTTGTGGAGTCTGGGGGCAAACCCTCCAAGCCTGCTGTTGGTGAATCCAGAGTGTCTGCTTCTCAACTGGCAGCAGTTAAGAGCAAGATGGTCAAAGGCAAACATGTCGTAAGCCGACCGCAGGTATAGGCAGCACATAGGCAGGTCCAGGAACAGAATACTGATCGTTTTGAGCACCTGCCATTTGCATTGCTTACACTACTTCATTGTAACTTGGGAGATCTCTTTAAATTCCAAATTCTAGTTGCTGGAAATCACAGGAGGGGAGAACTGCTCTTGTGCCCAAATCCTACTTGTTGTTTTCCCACGGGCAACTGTTCAGTCACCGTGAGAACCAGATGCTGGACTAGGTGGGCCACTGGCTTGATCTAGCAGGACTTTTCTCACATCCTTAACTCTTTCCTTGCTTGCTTTGTTTATTTGTTTGCCTAAACAGGCCTTCAAATCAGCGGAAAAGAAGACTAAGCAAACACTGAAAGAAGTTCAAACGGTTTCCACTATTCAGAAGGCGAGGAAGGTGTTCTGGTGAGTGTCTGTGCATGGATATAAGCAAGTGAATTATCTGAACATCTTTTGCACGTTCTTGTCTGTGTGATGTGAGTTAAGTACTTAATGCTTAAGATCCAGATGTTTTAAGCTTTGGGTTGGGAGGAACTTGCCATTCCTCTTTCAGTTGAGTGGGGTTGGCAAGGGACGGGCTTAAATGTTCCTAAGATGTGGGGCTGTTCCCTGAAAACATCACGAGCTGTCTTTTCTTTTTGGTTATTCCAATGCCTTGCTCTGTCTTGATGGCTTGATGTAATCTGGCAGGTTTGAGAAATTCCTGTGGTTCATTAGCTCTGAAAATTACCTTGTTATAGCTGGAAGAGACCAGCAGCAAAATGAAATGATCGTCAAGAGATACCTGCGGCCAGGTGAGTCTGCCTCGCTCCTCACTTGGGGTGCAGTCCAGATTTGGGACAGGCTAAATAAAGTTCAGGGACGCGGGTGGCGATGTGGGTTAAACCACAGAGCCTAGGACTTGCTGATCAGAATGTCGGCGGTTCAAATCCCCGCGATGGGGTGAGCTCCCATTGCTCAGTCCCTGCTCCTGCCAACCTAGCAGTTCGAAAGCATGTCAAGTGCAAGTAGATAAATAGGTACCACTCCAGTGGGAAGGTAAATGGCGTTTCCGTGCGCTGCTCTGGTTCGCCAGAAGCAGCTTAGTCATGCTGGCCACATGACCCAGAAGCTGTACGCCGGCTCCCTTGGCCAATAAAGCGAGATGAGCGCCGCAACCCCAGAGTCGGCCACGACTGGACCTAATGGCCAGGGGTCCCTTTACCCTTTACCAAAATAAAGTTCAGCCGCGCTCTGTGTGAAGGAGTCCTGTGCAGTTTGCTCCTACAACATGTAGTGATGGCCACCAATTTGGTGAGCTTTAAAAAGAGGTTTAGACTAAAGATGCACAAATATTCACCACTGGCCTCTCTCTGTCTCCCTTCCTCTGTGTAAGGCGACATCTACGTGCACGCCGACCTCCACGGAGCGACCAGTTGTGTCATAAAGAATCCAACAGGTAAATGCTTTCAGGAAAGTGAATTTTGAGAGGGCAAAAGAACAGTCTGTCATTATTACTGTGATTGGTTTTAGGGCTTTTTTTTCTACCTTAAATTTTATTGATTTTTGAAAATGCTGTGAACCGCTCAGAGGACTTTGGTGGTGATGAGGCAGTATACAAATGGTTAAAAATAAAAAGTCATCCTGCTTTTTGTTGAGCAAGCAGAGGTACGTTGGCTGAAGTCGCGTGATTTTGCCTCTGCTGTGCTATGGAGCAAGTCTCTTAAATAATGTGCCCAAACTGCATTGAGAAGACTACAAAGTTTATTTTTAGCAATGCTAAACTTGGAGAGCGCTGTTTTCTTTGGTGTTGGGGTTCCCTGATACTAACCTGCTTCTGGCGCTGCTTCTGTTCCAGGGGAGCCCATCCCTCCACGGACGCTCACCGAGGCCGGCACAATGGCCCTGTGCTACAGCGCTGCCTGGGACGCCCGGGTCATCACTAGCGCCTGGTGGGTGTATCATCATCAGGTAATGAGGCCTGGAGTGGCTGCTGTTGTTGCTATTATTATTATGCATTGAGCTTATATACCGCCCTAGGGACACGGGTGGCGCTGTGGTCTAAACCACTGAGCCTCTTGGGCTGGCTGATCAGAAGGTTGGCAGTTCAGATCCCTATGACGGGGTGAGCTCCCGTTGCTCGGTCCCAGCTCCTGCCAACCTAGCAGTTCGGAAGCATGCCAGTGCAAGTAGATAAATAGGTACCGCTCTGGCAGGAAGCTAAACGGCGTTTCCGTGTGCTCTGGTTTCTGTCACGGTGTCCCGTTGCACCAGAAGATTTTAGTCCTGCTGGCCACATGACCCGGAAAGCTGTTTATGGACAAACACCAGCTCCCTCGGCCTGAAAGCGGAGATGAGAGCCGCAACCCCATAGTTGCCTTTGACTGGACTTAACTGTCCAGGGGTCCTTGACCTTTACCTACTTATACAGCCCTATACCTGGAGGTCTCAGGGTGGTTCACAGAAAAACTGAGAGGGGTGTGGCTTGGCTTAACTTTGCATTTTAAAAAGAATATTTTTCCAAACTTGATGAAGTATAGCCAGTGAAATTGATAACACATCAAGGGAGAAAGGGGGTAGAAATGGATTCAATTTATAAGAAAGGAGACTCCCATTCAACGTTAGGAAGAATTTTTTGACCGTAAGAACGGCTCAAGAGTGGAATAGACTCCTTTGAAAGGTGGAAGACTCTCCTTCTTTGGAGGTTTTTAAGGAGAGGTTGCAGGGGGTTGGACTGGATCACCCTTGGTAGTCCCTTCCAACTCTACCGTTCTATAATTCTGTGATATTGGTGATGAGTCACCGTGGCTGTGCTGGGAGGCACCAAGATTGTGGAAGGCTGTTTTGCAACATCTCTATGGTAGGCCCTGCTTCTCAACGGCCTCTTTCTGGTACTTATAATGCTTATTTACTTATTTTATAAAAATCTACGCACTGGTTGATTGTAAAAACCCTCAAAGCAGTTAACAAAGAGAGTAAAACAATAAAATTATCAGTAAGAAACAACTCCTTCTTTAAGACATCCAAAAGGTAAAACCAGCAATAAACTAAAAACAGATTAAAACATAATATTAATAATAATATTTTATTTATATCCTGCCCTCCCCAGCCGAAGCCGGGCTCAGAGCGGCTGACAACAGTAAAAATAACACAGTTTACATAAAATCACAATCAGTTAATTGAAATGCATTCTAAAATCATTTCATTCTAAAATAAATTCAGAGTCAAAATACATACAGCAAAGTTCTACATTTTTGGATAGGCTAAAATGTTTTTAGCAGGCGCCGAAAAGGGTACAGCCAAGGAGACTGCCTGATGTCAAAAATCGGTGTGTGATTAACATCTCTGGATAAATTCCACGCAGGTGTCTAAAACAGCCCCCACTGGAGAATACCTGACAACTGGAAGCTTCATGGTCAGAGGTAAGACCCACCAGGTGAGACTCAGAGAGGGTTCCTGGAATCCATACCTGGCTGGGCAGCCCCAGGTCCAGCTGGGGGTGGAAGGGGAAGAGTTTTGGCTGTTCCCTCTGGGCATCTTCACATCAAGATCCCCAAACGGCTGAACTTTGCAGAATTCTTGCAGGACGGAACAGTGGAATGTTCACAAAACCCTGAATAGGTTTCCTTCTTTTGTTTCCTCCTATACAGGGAAAAAGAATTTCCTCCCTCCTTCCTATCTGATGATGGGGTTCAGCTTCTTATTTAAGGTACAGTGCCTTCAATTTCTGGTCTCCAATTATTTGGAGATCCTTCTTAAAAGAAACCAATCCTGTGTTGATTCTTCTGTATCAACTGCAGTGAAGGGAAAGGAGCCCTGTGCACATTCAGCCCTCCCCCCAATCCTGATTGGCCCAGATTTTTTGGGGGGGGGATTGTATCTATTTATATTTATTAATTAAATTTCTATACTGTCCTTCCCCTGAGGATCACATGGTGGGTTACATTATAAAAACGCAAAAATACACAACACAGTAACAAACAAAACAATACTCCGGTCCCACACACAGTTTAAAAGGGCATCGATTTTGGCTATTCGCCATTTGGCTAATTAAACAGTTGCTGTGTTCTCCTCCCACTGTTGGAGGCAGTAAGTGCCTTTAAATGCCAGATGCGGGGAATTTCAAGTGGCAAGGAGAGATGCTGTTTTCCTCTTGCCCTGTTTGTGGTCCTCCCTTCGGGGCACCCGATGTCAGGCTTCAGGGAACCGGCTTCCTCCCCCCGTGGCAGTAGATAAGCAGAACAAAGGAAAGGGAGTCTTCTTACCAGTTAGAAACTTTAATAATCGGAGTGGGAGAACAAAGAACCCATCTCTTAGAAATGGCGGTGCTCCCAATTAAGGATTCCACCCCCTTATGTCCCTATTAATCCATGTCACTTCTACGTCTTGTATTTTTAAAACAATCTTTATTGCATTTTTCAAAAATTACAGAGAAAGCATGAATTAAACATTACATCCAGTTGTTCAAAAATAAAAAGGAAAAATACAAAAAAGGAAAAATATGAAAAGGAAAAAAACGATAAATAATAAAAAATGAAAAAGAATTAATCAAGTACACAAAATTGTAGAAAAGATACAAACAGTAATTTGAATAATCTATATGCTAGGTTCTCAGAAAGAAATTACATTGAAAAGTGACTGTAACGAAAGAAAGAAAAGAAGGATTACACTTCTACGTCTTGTAATCTGTCCCCTCTGTGCTTTGTGTGCTTTCTGTTCTGCCACTTTCTCAGCTCTCCTTGACCTTGGGGAAAGCGGATGGATGCTTTCCGGAGACACTGAATCTGTTAACCCTCTCTCTCCCAGTGTTTCTTCTCCTAGATGTTTCCCCTCCAGTATTTCCCAGCTTCTGCCTTCTGAATTATGTCCCTCTACAAACCACTGTTCCAAATTTATATTGTCCTCCTGCTCCTGGGAAGATTCAAGAGCAGGGGGAGGGGGAGGCTCCCACCATTCCTCCTCAGTGCAGCCTTCCTCAGCACGGTCCCTGACACCTGGTTGGCCACGGTGAGAGCAGGTTGCTGGATTAGTTGGGCCGTTCGGGGCCCCTTTTTGTGTGAGTGGCTTCTGCCTGTGCAGCCCGCCTGCTTCAGCTTTGATGGGTGCCTAGGAGGGCTTCCTGCATCCCATGGTCACACGGCCTTCTCTCCCCCAGGTGGACGAATCCTGCGTGTGGCGACACAAAGGGGAGCGGAAGGTCAAGGTGCAAGACGAGGACATGGAGACAGTGACCAGCAGCACCAGTGAACTGGCGGCGGAAGAGATGGAGCCCTTAGGTAGGAGGGCAAAGGGGGTGATTGGGGGCTCCACACACTGCCAGGGAGAGCTTGGGGTGGCCCTGAGATATGGGACAAAGTCCGTTGACACAGTGAACTTCATGGAAAAGATTCATTTTGAGGTTCATTATTATTATTAGTATTATTAGAATTTATAGACCGCTCTATACCCGGGGGTCTCAGGATGGTTCACAGAATAAAATCAGGATGTTGTTGTTTAGTCGTTTAGTCATGTCCGACTCTTCGTGACCCCCTGGACCAGAGCACGCCAGGCACTCCTGTCTTCCACTGCCTCCCGCAGTTTGGTCAAACTCATGCTGGTAGCTTCGAGAACACTGTCCCACCATCTTGTCCTCCGTTGCATCCCTTCTCCTTGTGCCCTCCATCTTTCCAAACATCAGGGTCTTCTCTTCTCATGAGGTGGCCAAAGTCTTGGAGCCTCAGCTTCAGGATCTGTCCTTCCAGTGAGCACTCAGGGCTGATTTCCTTCAGAATGGAGAGGTTTGATCTTCTTGCAGTCCATGGGACTCTCAAGAATCTCCTCCAGCACCATAATTCAAAAGCATCCATTCTTCGGCAATCAGCCTTCTTTATGGTCCAGCTCTCGCTTCGCTTCCATGCATCACTAAAAATCAGGATATAAAACCACAAAATACCTAATAAAAATAAAAACAACAACCCAATAGCCCCCCCCAAAAAAAAACATATTTTAAAAGGGCACAGGATGTAAATTGGATCAACCAAAGGCCTGATTAAAAGGTTTAGAGAGGAGAGGGCAGCCTTCGCCAACCTAGTGCCCTCGAGAAATATCTGCAGGGCACCAGGTTGGTGAATCCTGAGAGAGGGAGAGAGGGCCCCATGCAAGCTTTCTGGTGGGGAGAGTTTTGGGTCCAGGAAGCACTATAGGAAGAAGGGGCAGAATCTTTTCAGGCAGCAGGAGATTTCCCAGTCCTGTCCTATCCAGGTTGGAATACAGTTCCCACCGGCCCCAGTTGGAATGGCCAAAGGTCAGGGACGGTGGGAATTGTGGTCCAAAGTATCTGGAGGACATCTGCTTGCAGATGGCTGTTAGACTCTAAGCCCTGGAGAATGCAGCTGCACTTTCTTTTCCAAGACGCCCCGGAAGGAGACGACAGCAGCAGCAGCGATGGCGAAAAGGAGGAACCTCAGGAGAAGGCTGGGGATGAGGAAGACCCGGCCGAGACCCCCCACCAGGAGGGGGATGGGGATGGGGCAGGGCATGCCCTGGCTCCAGAAGGATCGTCCGACGAGGAGTATGCAGACTCAGAGGAGGAGGAGGGCAAAGGAACTCGGGCCTCGGATGAGATACGTTTTCCCGACACGACCATTGACCTCTCGCACCTGCAGTCCCAAAGGTAACCGAGACAGGCTGAGCCACACCTTGGCTTTGTGTGTGTTGCTTTCAGGAGGACGAAGCAACGTTTGGATTGTGAGCTTGGCTGGGTGTGAGCTGCGATTGGCGTAGTGAAATCTGGGAACTGGTTTCTTGGAGCCAGTTTAAGGAGGGTGTTGTCAAGCTGGAAGGTGTGACGAGGAGGGCGGCCAGGAGAATGAAGGGTCCAGAAACCAGGCCTTACAATGAAGGGTTGAGTTACGTGGCGAGTTCCCGCCTCCCCCATGGAAATAAAGACACAGGACACCAGTATTTTAGGTTAATGGGCAAAATTAGGCCACAACTTTATTGATTACAGGAATTGAGCGGTATTGGCTTAGGCATTGGTCCTATTGACTAACCAGCTTCAGCCTGATTGCTAGAAGACTGGCAAGGGTTAACCGCCAGTAGGGGGAGTCCTGCTGATGTACATCAACTAGGAGCTCCCCTGGGGTCACCGCTCGGGTCATTCCTTGGCCCACACCTCCGTAGGCTTAGGACAGGGCAACGCCCCCCAGAATCCTTTATCGGACTACCCTTCGGTATGGGGGAAGGTGATGGCGCTTCCTCCCCCCCCCCCACTCATCTGCATAACAATACCCTTACCAATGCCTAACCGCCAATGTCGAGGAAGTTGTGACTATTTGCTACGAGGTAGCGGGAAAAGCAACTGGCTGGTGCCAATTTGCCAAGTGGAAAAAATTCCTACCAGGTCCCTTGACGGCGACCAACTGAAGTCCATAGCAATGTCAAAGAGCCAAACCTAAAGGGTGGGAGGGTGGGAAACCGGAGCAGCTGGTGCGCTGGAGTGGAGAAAGAGGGAAATCCTCAGGCGCACCGGCCCTAAATAGCGCGGGCCACGCCTCCCAGGCCAGCCGATTGGCTGGCAAGCGAGATGACGTGCCCGAGGATTCCCTGCTCTCGCAGCTCGGAAGTGGCTTTGGCCCAGTGTTTAGCCCAGATAAGAGGAGATCTGAAAGCCATCCTCAGATATCTGAAGGAGATGGAGCAAGATTGTTTTCTGCTATTCCAGAGGGTAGGACTTGAACCAGTCAGTTCAAATGACAAGAAGGGGGAGTCTGAGTAAACATCAGGAAGAACTTTCTCTCCCATAATCAACATCCACTTCCCAACATCTCACACCAGATTGGCAGCTCCTGCTAACAAAGGACTTAATCGTTTCCTTCCAGATCCCAGCTGAAACCTGCTCCAAAGGAGGACGTCTCGAGCTTGGTAAGCTCCTGCCTGATACCAGCCGCTGATCGTAACGCTTGCCTGCTGCCCCAGAGGAAACAGACGGAGTCTTAATTCCCTTTTCTCTCTCCCTTGCAGAGCGACAGCAAGTCTCAGGGCCGGAGGCACCTCTCAGCCAAAGAGAGGAGGTGAGGATCCTTGGGCGGCAGTTTCGGGGCTGCTTGAGAGATTTGATTCATTGTGATCCAGCAGACGTCTTCAGCCTGGGCTCTTGTGGCTGGCTTGCTGGTCTGACTTTCTCCTTCCCCGAGGAGATTTCTGCAGGGCCACATGCAACACAAACTGAGCCAGGCTGAGGTTTGCTGGCTGCTGGTGCCAGCGTGGAGGGAGTCCCTTTTTCCCTCCCTCTCCTAAAAGTAGCCTCCAGAGGCCGTCCGTCCGTGTGTGTGTGTGAACAGGGGCTGTGCTTTGGAGGGCCCCCCTGCCCCACTGGCCCTCCCTCCCACCCCCCTGCCAAAGCTGCCTGCCTCCTCCTTCCTTTGAGCAAAGCAGCTCAGGTGAAGGGTTTGGGTGCCCCTGCTAAAGGTAAAGGGACCCCTGACCATTAGGTCCAGTCGAGGATGACTCTGGGGTTGCGGCGCTCATCTCGCTTTACTGGCCGAGGGAGCCGGCGTACAGCTTCCGGGTCATGTGGCCAGCATGACTAAGCCACTTCTGGCGAACCAGAGCAGCGCACGGAAACGCTGTTTACCTTCCCGCCGGAGCGGTATCTATTGATCTACTTGCACTTTGAGATGCTTTCGAACTGCTAGGTTGGCAGGAGCAGGGACTGAACAATGGGAGCTCACCCCGTTGTGGGGATTCGAACCGCCGACCTTCTGATCAGCAAGTCCTAGGCTCTGTGGTTTAACCCACAGCGCCACCCGCGTCCCGCCCCTGCTAAAGCAGCAGCAAAAAATGTAAACTGGGGTGGGGAAGAATTGGGAAGAGAAGGCAGTGGCCATTCACAAGTGCAAAAATTAGGCTTGTCCAGGCAGTGGGTGGGTAGGGGGGACCACTGACACCATCACCATGTAGAGGAGGAAGGGGGTGGCAGAGGCACGGAGGAGATGAAGGCAACCGGGGGAGCGGTTTGACTTGCCCCCCTGACAGTGGCTCTTCTCTCAGCTGCTGGCTGGTGCCTCCTTGTTGAGTTTGAAGCCAAGCAGCTGGTCGGACTCTGAGCCCTTGGATGGTCTTTTTTCTTTTTTTTAAAATATATTTTTATTAAGTTTTACATTGCAAATTTCAATTCAAACACATCATTCACCTCCTCATTTAGGATTCTCTGGATCCCTTGACTTCCCTCCATCCTTCCCTGGTTTCCATTATCTATCTATCTTTTCTCATCTGCTTACCTTATTTTCTCTAATTTGTTAAAAAAATTAATAGTCTTTTTCCCCCATATTTTTTCATACATTACAAGCATTACTCAAATCCTGCCAAAGTTTTTAGTTGTTTACAGTGTTCTCTTAAGTACATTATAATTTTTTCCCATTTTCCTTGAAATTCTTCTCTTCCTGGTTTCTGATTTTCCCAATCAGTCTCGCTATTTCGGCATTGTCCATCATCTTCATCAGCCATTATTCTCTGTCTGAGCCCTTGAATGGTCTAAGGAGCCGCTTCCAAGCTTTTGGGGGTCCCTGCCCTCTTGTTCCCCCGTGTCCCCTGCCCTACCTTATAAAAAGCTTTATTTGGAATAGTCACAATCTGCTAAGGAAGACGCCACTAAGGGGGCGCTGTTGCCCAGTTTGGGGATCACGGGTCTCAGGCCTCCTGCCTTTTCCCCAGGGAAATGAAGAAGAGGAAGCCAAGTGACCCAGAGGATCCAGACCCGCCCAAGGGGAAGGAAGAGGACGACAGCCCTCAGCACCCAGCGCCTCCTCCCAGCGCCGGCAAGAATGCAGCAGGGGCCCAGCAGCCCATGAAGAGGGGACAGAAGGTGGGCATTGCAGAGCTGTAGAGTTAGCCTATTTTGCCTGCCGCCTATGCTTTGGAACTCCCTGCCTCTTGAGGTCAAGCAGGTGCCTTCACTTTCCCCTTCTTGGCACCTGCTAAAAACATTCTTGTTTAGACAAGCATGCCCAGGTGTTTAGAAAATAGCGTTTTAGCTTTGGCCTGGTTTAAAGTGTTGCTGCAAATTTGTCTTGATCTTATGGTTTTGTCTTTCTACAAACCGCTCTCAGGGTTACTCTTGCAGTCAAGCGGTGTTTAAACATTGACAAATGCAGCAGTACCTTGGTTCTCAAACTTAATCCGTTCCGGAAGTCCGTTCCAAAACCAAACCGTTCCAAAACCAAGGCGCACTTTCCCATATAAAGTAATGCAAAATGGATTAATCAGTTCCAGACTTTAAAAACAACCCCTAAAACAGCAATTTAACATGCATTTTCCTATCTAACGAGACCATTGATCCATAAAATGAAAGCAATAAACAATGTACTGCAGTCACACAATCAGTCAGTAGCTGAACTGGGTTCCACGCAGTCACCAAAACAAAACAAGAAAGCCGCGAAAACAAAAATGCAAAATAAATAGCAGAAACAGACAGACTTCCAGGTTTGCAGTGTTTGGGTTCCAAGTTGTTTGAGTACCAAGGCGTTTGAGAACCAAGGTACCACCGTAAAACGAATGAAATGGCTCGGATCCAGACCGAGTTGGGTGCCGCATTTGGAGCAGGAGCCTAGAGCGCCCTGTCTGTTGGAAAAGCTGCTCCACTCGGCTCCTTCCCTCTCTCCTCTGCAGAGTAAACTGAAGAAGATCAAGGAGAAGTACAAGGACCAGGACGAGGAAGAGCGGGAGCTGATCATGAAGCTGCTGGGGGTGAGTCAGGCAGCAATGGGATGGGTCTCTCTTTACCTGGGGAAGAAGGGCCATGGCAGCTGCTCAGAGGCTAGAGCATCTTTCTTGCATGCAGAAGGTCTCTGGTACAACCCCCAGCTGCTCTCCGGGTTGGGCTGGGAGAGATCATAGAATTGTAAGGCTGGAATGGACCCCCAGGGGTCATCTAGTCCAGCCCCCTGCAATGCAGGAATCCCAGCTAAAGCATCCATTTCCTGCCAAAACCCCCGGAGAGTTAGTCCTGAGCTGGGTGGACCCGGTGGCCTGGCACAGGGTAAGGCAGCTCTTCTGTGTCCACGGCTGGATTAATCATTAAGCAGAATAAGCACATGCTTAGGGCATCAATGGAAAACTGGAATTTTCCATTGCTGGGTTTACCATGGATCATATGGTGTAGCTGAACCAGGTTCTACAAAAAAAGAAATAGCAGAGAGGTTTTCTTTGAAACTGAAAACTATTCTCAGTGTTGTCAAAAGCGGATTGATACTTGTATGATACCCGATTGATTGATACCCGAGAACTTGGACGCAAATTTCTCAGCTCAGCTTCGGCAGTTTCACTCGTATGTGCGTCATACGTTCAGTGTAATTAAAAAAAGTGAAAACAAGATTCGGACAATATTGAATGTGGTTTTCCAAACGCTGACATTTTCTTTCGTATATTTTTAACATTAATGGTCACAAATTGCCCAGCTGAGCGTTCATTTTCTCAGTTGAAGTACAGTGGTGCCTCGCAAGACGAAATTAATCCGTTCCGCGAGTCTCTTCATCTTGCGGTTTTTTCGTCTTGCGAAGCACGGCTATTAGCGGCTTAGCGGCTATTAACGGCTTAGCGGCTTTAAGAAAAACGAAACAAACTCGCAAGAACTCGCAAGACGTTTTGTCTTGCGAAGCAAGCCCATAGGGAAATTCGTCTTGCGGAACGACTCAAAAAACGGAAAACTCTATCGTCTTGCGCGTTTTTCGTCTTGCGAGGCATTCGTCTTGCGAGGCACCACTGTATATTAAAAAATCCCAACAGAATAATTGTTCAACGAGGCAGGCTGGATGCCTTATTCCCGTGCAACACCCTCTTCAGATGTCAAGGAGATAAAGAACTATACAACTTTTGGAAGACATCTGAAGGCAGCCCTGTATCGGGAAGCTTTTAATGTTTGATGCTTTATTATGCTTTATATATTTTGTAAGCTGCCCAGAGTGGCTGGGGAAACCCAGCCAGATGGGCGGGGTATAAATAATAACATTATTATCATTATAATAATCTCTACTAAGCATAGAAGCGGACATGTTATGTAAGATTAGTTCTAAGGATCTGATCAAAAATCTTGCAATTATAAAAAGTAGGAGAAAACGTTTCAAATACAAGTAAAGTGGAAGCATACCCAAATAAACATTATTTTCCATCTTACTGTAGGTTTTGTTTCATTTTGAAAAAGAAAATTTCATTTTGCTGTTTATTATTGTTTATTTTTTGAATTGGACACGTATGGGAGAACCAAAAACTTTTTAACTGCTTACGGCCTCTGAAGGTATTACCGTATTTTTCGCTCTATAACACGCACCAGACCATAACACGCACGTAGTTTTTAGAGGAGGAAAATCCGTAGGCATGCCACCCGTAGGCATTCCCTCCATAACACGCACAGACATTTCCCCTTGCTTTCTAGGAGGAAAAAAGTGAGTGTTATGGTGCAAAAAATACGGTAATCTGGCCTTGTCTGTGGCCTACGTTCTGGGGTGGGGTGGGTGGGAGAAAGAGAAAATAAATGTATTTCCCCTTTGCTTTCTGTGTCGGGTCTCGAATTCTAACGCCGCTTGTTTGCGCCCAACCCAGTCTGCGGGGTCGAGCAAAGAAGAGAAGCCGAGGAAAGCCAAGAAAGGGAAGGGGGGTCCGGACTCTGCCAAGAAGCAGCCCCAGAAGCCGCGAGGGGGCCGGAGGGGAGAGGGGGTCACGATAGAGCACGTGGCCGTCGAGTTGCAGGACGTGGCTTTGGAGGATCACCTGGACGAGAAGGTAAGCCGTCGAGAGAGAACCTGTCCCTGTTAGCGCACAAAGCCCCTAACAACTTGGGACCGGTTTTCCTGCGAGATCGCCTGATCCCATGGGCTCCCACTCGATCCCTTCAGTCTGCGTAAGGGGCACCACTGCAGGTGCCACGTCTGTAAGAAACCAGTATTTTAGTTTGGCGGTACCGTATTTTTTGCTCTATAAGACTCACTTTTTCCCTCCTAAAAAGTAAGGGGAAATGTGTGTGCGTCTTATGGAGCGAATGCAGGCTGCGCAGCTATCCCAGAAGCCAGAACAGCAAGAGGGATTGCTGCTTTCACTGCACAGCGATCCCTCTTGCTGTTCTGGCTTCTGAGATTCAGAATATTCTTTTCTTGTTTTCCTCCTCCAAAAACTAGGTGTGTCTTGTGGTCTGGTGCGTCTTAGAGAGCGAAAAATACGGTACCTGCACTTTGGAACTCCCTTACTAGTGATTGTTATAAGGAAAAAAATGCTCCTTTTCCCTTATGCGGTACCCAAGAGCCCAAACATAGTCCTTATGTAGGTTCTCTATCAGTAGGAGACAAAGAACAGAGGCCAACCAGAGAATATTGAGAAGCAAAGCAGCTAGTAAGCCTGATCTTTATTAAACTGTTGCAACAGGGTGCTCACTCAAAACACGCAGGAGGGAGGAGGAACCCAGAAAAATGGTGTGCAAGCCCTTATATAGACATTTGAAAATTGCCTCCCCTGTAGCTGAAGACCACCCTCAAAAAACTTCCTACATATATCACTGAAGGGGTAGTCTACAGCAGAAATCCTGTCTGCCAGGATACCTGATAATGGTCACTGATTGCTTTTACCTGGGCATCCTGGCCATTCTTTGGTGATGGTAAATATTCAGTTCCTGAATCCAGGTCACAGGCGCACCCTATTCAGACATAGATACGCCCTTAAGACAGGATTTGTGAGCAAAGAGACAAAAGGGAGAAAATTTTCCCATTGCCTCCCTCCTTGCAGAGAAATATTTGAGGTCAATTTGGGAGAGTCAAAATGGTTTCAGGATTGCTCTCCTTTACTATTTCAGACACGTGGTTTATATACTTACGTATGTGTTTGCCTTGTACATTTATGAACATTTATTTTATATACCGTATTTTTCGCTCTATAACACGCACCAGACCATAACACGCACATAGTTTTTAGAGGAGGAAAACAAGAAAAAAAATATTCTAAACGAAATAGTGGATATATGATTTTTGTGGTTCATGCTGTGGCCACATACATGTGATCTGACAGTGAGTTTGGAGTAGCCCAATGCAAAGATCCCGAGGATCCATGTGGATCCATGCTTTGTAACCACGGAGGAGAGAAGGAAGGGGAACCATGGATCCTCTGCTCACGACTGCAGCAGATCCCCACCACCACCCGCAGGCATTCGCTCCATAACACGCACAGACATTTCCCCTTACTTTCTAGGAGGAAAAAAGTGAGTGTTATGGTGCAAAAAATACGGTATATGTAAGACCTCAGAATTCCTGTAACATGATGTTAGGCAGGGGCCTTTGCTGTGTTCTTTTCGGTACCTGCTAGAAACAATTTTCTTTTCGACAAACCTGCCTGCACTTGTAGAACGTTGATATGCATTTTAGTTTGTTTGTAGCTCATTGCTGGTTCTGTCTTTTGAATACTTTAATGTGTTCTTTTTAACTGATAGTTTTCTCGCTTCTTTTTTTACAATCAAGTGGTATATAAATTTTAATAAATAAATAAGAGGCGGCTGCTATAGAAAGCAGAGACTCCTCCTGCCCCCATTCTAAGTACTGGAGGCTTTCCTCCCTTGGAACCAGCCCTCCTCCAGGTACTCCCCCCTTTGCCAACCTGGTGCCCTCCAGGCTGATGGGAGTAGCAGCCCCACAACATCTTGCAGACACCAGGTTGGCGAAGGGCGAGTTGCTGTCGTTTCAGGGGTCAAGGTGAGAAATCTCCCCTCCCCACTCCCTGTTTTCCTGTTTCTTCTAACTGGTGCTTCCTAATCTGTTGCTGCTCAGCATGTTGAGTCCTCTTTGGGGTTTGCACATTCTCTTCTCCCTGCCCCCTTCGCCTCATTATTTCTTTGGTCTTGGAATATTTGTCGCGCTTCTGAAAATCTTGGGGTTCCCCCGAGCAGGCCAGGATTCCCCTCTTGTTTCTCGGAAGGCCCATTTTGGATCTGTTCATGTTTCGTTGCTGGTGGAGGGAACGGTGACTGACGGATCCTGATGCTTATCTAAAGATAGACAGGAAGTGTCTTACAAAAACTCATTTTTCTCTCCTTTGTTCTTTGCATTGCACTGCTTGTTTTTTTGGAACATATTATGCAAATGCCTAAATAAATTAATATTTAATTAAATAATAATAATAATAATAATAATAATAATAATAATAATAATTTATTATTTGTACCCCAAAATGCTCAAGGAGACCTTGAGATGATGAATGAAATCAAGGAAGCATCTGAAAAAAGGAGTAGTAAAGGGTGATTTCAAGCACCCTCACGTAGACTGGCTAGATATGTGTTCCACTCGTAACAAAGGGGCAAAATTTCTAGATACCCCAAACAATAATAACAATAATAATAATAATTGACTGTGCACTAACAGTTGGTGTTAGAACCGCGACCCTCGACTTAATTTTGAGTGGCGCCCAGGACCTGGTGCGAGATATAAGCGTTGTTGAGCCAAATATACAGTGGTACCTCGGGTTACATATGCTTCAGGTTACATACGCTTCAGGTTACAGACTCCGCTAACCCAGAAATAGTGCTTCAGGTTAAGAACTTTGCTTCAGGATAAGAACAGAAATTGGGCTCCGGCTGCGCGGCAGCAGCAGGAGGCCCCATTAGCTAAAGTGGTCCTGCTTCAGGTTAAGAACAGTTTCAGGTTAAGTACGGACCTCCGGAACGAATTAAGTACTTAACCTGAGGTACCACTGTAGATGCAAATGGCCAAGGAAATCCAGCACGGTCACATTTGATTTCAAAAGAGGAAATTTGTCCCAAATGAGGAGGTTGGTAAAGAGGAGGTTAAAAGACAGGGGGTCAAATCGCCAAAACGCTTGGGAGTTGTTTAAGACCACAATATTAGAATCTGTGTCCAGCAGATCAGGAAAAGGTACCGTGAGAGTCAAGAGACCCCACCAGCTTGGACCTCAGGCAGAGTCAGAGAAGCTATTGGAGGGTGTTGTCCAAATGAAAAGAACGCAAAGGAACACAAATCTGGCAAAGGGAGTGCAGAGAGAAAGGGATGCTTAAAAAAAAGCTTTGAAGAACCAACAACAGGAAGTTTTTTAAATATGTTAGTATCAGAAAACCATCTAGGGAGGCAGTTGGTTCCTCGGATGACTAGGGAGTCAAAGGAGTTGTAAAGGAGGATCAAGAGATTGCGGAGAAGCTAAATGATTTCTGTGCATCTCTCTTCACAGCAGAGGATATGGGGCAAATATCAGAGCCTGGGTTAACCTTTGCAGGAGGCAAGTCTAAAGAACTGAGACAGCGGTGGCAAGAGATGAAGTTCCAGGCCTAATAGACGAAATAAAAATTGACAGATCGTCACACCTGGATGGCATCCACCCCAGAGTTCTCAAGGAACTCAAATGTGAAATTTCTGATCTTTGCACAAAAATATGTTAACTTATATGTAACAGATCAGCCCCCACACCTGACAACGGGTAAGCCGGCAATGTAATGCAATTTTTAAAAAAGGGATTCAGGAGGCAGTTCTGGAAATTACAGGCCTGTTGCCTTAATGTTTGGAAAACGAGTGGAGAGTGTTGTTAAAGATAAAAGAACCCAGCACATAGAAGAACAAGCCCCACTAAAGCAGAGCCAGCATGGCTTCTGCGAAGGAAAGTCCTGTCTCACGAACCTAGAGAGTGTCAGCAAGCATATCAACAGAGGTGATCCGGCTTACATTGTTTACTTGGACTTTCAAAAAGCTTTCGACAAAGTACCTCACCAAAGGCTCTTGAGTGAGCTTAGCAGTCAAGGAATAAGAGGAGAAGTCATCTTGTGGATAAGGAATTGGCTAAGTTGCAGGAAGGAAACAGCAGGAATAAATGGACAGTTTTCTGAATGGAAATAAGTAGGAAGTGGAGTCCCCCAGGGATCAGGGCTGGGACCTGTGCATTTTAACGTGTTCATAAACGATCTAGAGCTAGGAGTCACTTGTTAAGATGAGATTGCAAGGAGCTCCAAAAGGACCTCTTCAAGCTGAGTGAACAGGAAGTAAAATGGTAAGTGCAATTCAGTGTAAACAAGGTTGAATTGATGCACGTTGGGGGCAAAAAACATAAATTTAACATAAACATTCATGGTGACTGACCAGGAATGAACAAGACCTTGGGGTCATAGTGAAGATGTCAGCCAAGAGTGCAGCAGCTGTGAAAAAGGCAAATTCCACGCGAGGGATCATTAGGAAAGGAATTGCAAATAAAACTGCCAGTATCATAATGCCATTATATACAAATCTTCTCGAGCAACCACATTTAGAAGACTATGTACAGTTCTGGTCGCCTCAACTCAGAGAGGATATGGTAGAGCTGGAAAACGTTGAGAAAAGGGCCACCAAGATGACTGATAATTTTGAGTGAAGGAAGGTTGCCGCGTTCAGAACTTTTAAGTTTAGAGAAAAGGCAAGCAAGAGGCAATACGATAGAAGTTTATGAAATAGCACAGAGAAAAAGGGCAGTTTTTCTCCCTCTAATAACAACAGAACTCATCGATATCCAGTTCAGCTGAGTGTTGGAAGATTCAGGATAGATAAAAAGACAGGACTTCTTCATGCAGCGTATAGTTAAACTGTGGAACTCATTGCCACAGGAGGCAGTCATGGCCACTAACCGGGATGGCTTGAAAAGAGGATTAGACGATTTCATGGAGGAGGAGGAGGCTGCCAATGGCTCCTAGCCACAATGTCTACGCTCTGCCTCTACAATCAGAGGCAGAAATGTATTGGACGCCAGTTACTGGAAACCACAGGAGGGGAGAGTTGCTCTTGTGCTCAAATCCTGCTTGCTGGCTTTCCGGTTGGCCATTGTGAGAGCAGGACGCTGGAGTATGTGGTCCATTGGCCTCATCCAGCAGGATTCTTACATTCTTATGTTGACTTTTGCAGGACGATCAGGACCAGGATCAGCTGGGGAACGAGGTAAATACAAAATGCCCAGTTTCTGGGGGAATGTTGGAAGTGCTTTGACTCAGTCAGATCCGTCGTATCTGAACCTAAGAGAGCTGTGGCTTGGGGAGGGAACATGAAGATACCTCCTCAGAAAGTGTTCTCCCTGCCCCCCCCCCCCATTGATGCGAGGAATCATCAGCGCGGTGTATTCTCCAAACCCTTTTCTCTTATTTCTGTTGAGTTTCACCTGGTGACGAGCCACTCACAGATATCCTGTTGCCAAAAAGACTGAAGGAGGTTCCTTCCTTTGTTTTATGAAATAAATGCCACATGTTCTTCATCCAGTGGGCTCTGGAAATAGCTTAGTGTCAGTTTAAGATTTGTAAAGGTAAAGGTAAAGGGACCCCTACCATTAGGTCCAGTCGCGACCGACTCTGGGGTTGCGGCGCTCATCTCGCTTTATTGGCTGAGGGAGCTGGGCATACAGCTTCTGGGTCATGTGGCCAGCATGACTAAGCCGCTTCTGGCGAGCCAGAGCAGCGCACGGAAACGCCATTTACCTTCCCGCTGGAGTGATACCTATTTATCTACTTGCACTTTGACGTGTTTTCGAACTGCTAGGTTGGCAGGAGCAGGGACTGAGCAACGGGAGCTCACCCTGTCGTGGGGATATGAACCGCTGACCTTCTGATCGGCAAGCCCTAGGCTCTGTGCTTTAGACCACAGCGCCACCTGCGTCCCTGGAAATAGCTTAGTGTCAGTTTAAAAATAAGATTCTTACATGGGAGCATTTGAGTGAAATATGGAATGGCCGCAAAAGACCATAAAGAAAACTTGTGTACATACATCCATACGGCCAATGGGGAGTCTTTAAAGACTGTATAAACCACCACCACCCCATTTGAAAATATTGTGCGGGACATACAAAAAGAAATGAATTACAAAGTTAAAACTGTGAAGAGTCCATTAAATCTCTGTCAAGCCAGCATGAGTGGTATGCGTGTTTCTACCCCCAGAAAGCTGGCTTGAATGCGTGTGTGTCTAAAGGATTTGCCGGAAAGGATAAAGCACAGAAAAACCCCCAGAACCAGGCATGCCCACCCCTCTCCCTTCACAGCCTCTGCTTCCATCGCCTCTGTTCTCTTTCAGGAAGGAGAGACGCTATATGATTCTCTGACTGGGCAGCCCCACCTGGAAGACATTCTCCTCTTCGCCATCCCATTCTGCGCCCCTTACACCACCATGACCAACCACAAGTGAGTGGCAGCAACTCTTGGCCCGTTTGGCATTGCCCCCGTTTGGCATTGCCCCTCCCATTAAACCTTGTGTTTGTTCTTGTTCTTTTTTTAAAGATACAAAGTCAAGCTGACCCCTGGCACACAGAAGAAGGGCAAAGGTATTGTATGCTCTCCCTTGCGTTTCTTTCCAGCTCCTTTTTGGTCTTCTAGCCAGTGGATCAATTGCACACACAAAGATTCCGCAGGGCAGCATTACTCGGGAAACTTGAGCGTTACGAGGCAGCTTGACCTCTTAAATTTGTGGGGCCAAATTTCATGCTTACACTCCAATCTCTCAATGTCATTATCACATCGTATGATTGACTGGTCGGTTTTCCTGTCCGCCTGTCAAAATCCCTTCTGCGGTGTCCCCAGGCACCCAGCAGCCAGTCATGTCTGGCATCAGGTGGGCTTGACTTGCCCCAAACGGCCTTGTGGGCCAAATGGGGAGGCCTGGTGGGTCCCATTTGGCCGCAAATCTGGAGGTTCCCTTTCACTGCTTTAGAAAGATGGGTAGCCCAGAAATCTGTCCGGCTTGCAAACAAGCACTCACCTGTCCTCTGTAGTGATCGGTGAATCATCTCCAGGTAAGCAAGATTGGGGTGCTTTCCCCCCTTTGGCCTGCAATGTGCCCACTGACTTCCACGGTGGGCAGAAAGGCTCGTGATCCGTCAGTTGGGTGGTGGCCGCGGTGAACCTGCTTGCAAGGATGTTCTAAGTGAACAAACTGTGGTACATTTCTGTCTCTGCTGGTGGCCCCCTGCCCCATAAATCTGTGCCTTCTGTCTTTCCAACAGCTGCAAAAACGGCTCTGCACAATTTCATGCAGTCCAAGGAGGCGACCCCGAGAGAGAAGGATCTCTTTCGCAGCGTCAAGGTAAGAAGCCCCTTCTCTGGGCAGGCCTGCAGCTTTGGCCGAAAGCAAGTGGCGTCTGCTTCCAGAACCAATTTGTGTGGTTTTTTCCTAACCCAAGTTTCCTGCTAACAGAACAAAGGTTTTGCTCTATGTACAGCTGATCAAGATGTAATCATGTGATTCTCTTCTACAGGATACAGACCTATCCAGAAATATTCCGGGCAAAGTGAAGGTGTCGGCCCCCAATCTCCTGAACCTGAAAAAGAGGTGAGGGGCCATTGCTCACAGCACCGCCGGCCTGCAGCCCTGGACTGCCTTCACCCACTGCCAGGAGTGACAACTGACCTCCCTGTCTGGGTCTCCTTCCAGTTTTGCAAATACAAGTGTGACTGATACTGATGACTTCTGTTACTTGTTTGACCAAAGTGAGAGCAGAACATCCTGTTAACTTAGCTCCAGCTTTCAGATCACAGCTATGTGTGGAAGCGGGTTATGGTCTACCGTATTACCTAACTGCCCGAGTCCTTCTCGTGTCTTAGACTCCAGATTTGATCGTTCCTATTGCTACAATGTCCCGAAAGCTGCTTATGGGACATCTTGCTGAGATGCTTATTAAAGGCCTCAGTCCCCTGCTTGTCTCCTCCCAAATGGATTGAGTTAGGTTTAAAATAAGAGGGTGCGTTTAGCAACTGTGAGAGGACCAGGCATTTCATTGCTTTAGTTTTCTTGTGTGGGCTGATGTTGGGAAATGAAGACAAAAAACTATTAGGGAGAGGGAAATCCCCTTCTAAAATACAAATTAGCTCTAGTTACACCTGTTTAAAGGTAAAGGGTAAAGGGACCCCTGACCATTAGGTCCAGTCGTGATCAACTCTGGGGTTGCGGTGTTCATCTTGCTTTATTGGCCGAGGGAGCTGGCATACAGCTTCCAAGTCATGTGGCCAGCATGACTAAGCTGCTTCTGGCGAACCAGAGCAGCGCATGGAAATGCCATTTACCTTCCCGCCGGAGCAGTACCCATTTATCTACTTGCACTTCGTGCTTTTGAACTGCTAGGTTGGCAGGAGCAGGGACTGAGCAACAGGAGCTCACCCCGTCGCGGGGATTCGAACCGCCGACCTTCTGATCAGCAAGTCCTAGGCTCTGTGGTTTAACCCACAGTGCCACCCGCGTCCCTTAGGGAGAGGGAAATCCCCTTCTAAAATACAAATTAGCTGTTACACCTGTTTACACACCAACATATTCATTCCACTGTTGAACAGCTCTAACTGCCAGAAAGTTCTTCCTAATGTTTTGCCGGAATCTCCCTTGTCATTTGAATCCATTGGTTTGGTTCCTGCCCTCCAGAGAAGCAGAAAGCAAGCTTGCTCTTCCTCCCATGGGACATCCCTTCAGATACTTGAGGCTGGCTATCAGATCTTTTGTGATACAGTGCCTGACAGAAGTAGCTGAGCAGGTTCAAGGAGCTACAGACTATGGAGCTCTTTTCCCTGAAGGAAATAACAGCTGCAACTGTCCCAAAGTCCACCGCTGCTTTTTCTTCCGTCTTAAAGGCAGCGCTAACAATACAGTGGGTTCAGTTCCTCTGCTGATCCGGTTTCTTTCAAGGGCTGCAGCCCCACTGCTTTTAAGCCAACGGGAAGCCCTTCCCAGGAATCGTTCGGGAGGGCAGGTGAAGCAGTGACGTTCCTCTCGCCTTGCATTAAATACATTTATTGCAAACAAATTTTTACACAAAAATAGGTTCTCTCTCTAAGCCATTCACATGCAAACAGAAAAGAAAGGTGAAAGCAGAGAAGCCGTTACCTACAACGCAGAGTTTCGGGGGGGGGGGGGAATTAACCTATACAAATGTCACACACACTTTGCCAAACCGGGATGGTTCAAATTATTACATCTCTTTATATAAGAAGGGCTCGTTCATGCGCAGCGCGGCCAGACGTCTTCGCTGCCGTCCTCCTAGGAGCCAGACGTGTTGTTACTCCCAAAGCGCTGGTTGAGGCTGTGGAGGAGGTGTTTGGGGAGGCAGTGCCAGGAGCTGGCCAGGATCTCCTTGAAGCACATGATGGCTTCCAGGCACAGCCTGTGGGACGGGAAAAAGAGAGGGGAGAAAAAAGGGGCTGAGAATTTGCACCAGGCTCCTCTCCTGCCCTCCACCAAGTCCCAATGGCCAACAGAACATGGGGCACATCTCCACTGGGCTTTCTAGGGTTCTCCTAGAGCAGTGGCTCCCAAATTTGGGGGGCTGCCGTCCCCTCGGTTGCCATTCATGCATCCCCAGCGCCCCTTACTCTACAAAAAGCACTGTTTGCACAACCCACCGAGGGAGGTTAACACGGCACAATGCTAAACTAACAAGCAATTGCACATTTATTGACAATTCAATTAAAACTATTGAATCTGATCCAATGAAACCGACAAATTTGATTTAATGATACTAGCTGTTCAAAGTCTGATAGTCGTTAACACCTCCAGCACCCTCCTACTTCGTAGTGCCCACCTTGGGAGCCACTGTTATCCAACAATCAGTGTGGGTCTGCCCTCCCTTGCTTTTCTCTTGGTTAATCCTCTTGGCTAAACCCTTCCCATCACTCGCTGGGTGTGACCTTTATACAAAAGGGACCAGCCCCTGACCTTGCGATGAGTCTCAGCTGGCCTTCTGGGAATCTCTGCTTAGGGCTCTATGTGGGGAGATGGAGAAGGGGCTGTGTTCTAAAAGCAGAACCCTCCCCAGCAACAGATTTGCTTCCCAGCTTTTCCGAGTAATAATTCAGGCTGTGCAACTACCTGTTAAGAGAGCAGAGCCAGGCTGGATGGGCCTTGCACAGTTGGGGGTGGGGGGAGACTTTTCCTTCCTTTCTCGGGTGACCTACTTTTTAGGCAGGCAGAAATTCAACAGGTGCAGCTATCCTTATCCCAACTGACAAGTTGAAATGCACCTGCCAAATGCTGACTGACTTCCCAGAGCTTACAAACGGGGCGAAATCTTGTTGACATATGGTCACCCATTCCTAGATAGGAAACCTCAACAGAAATTGTTTTTCTGACTCCGAGAATACTGTATTTTTTGCTCTATAAGACTCACTTTTCCCCTCCCAAAAAGTAAGGGGAATGTGTGTGCGTCTTATGGAGCGAATGCAGGCTGCGCAGCTATCCCAGAAGCCAGAACAGCAAGAGGGATCGCTGCTTTCACTGCACAGCGATCCCTCTTGCTGTTCTGGCTTCTGAGATTCAGAATATATTTTTTCTTGTTTTCCTCCTCTAAAAACTAGGTGCGTCTTGTGGTCCGGTGCATCTTATAGAACGAAAAATACAGTAATTCTGCTCCTATTTTTCTCAGGAAGAGACTTGAGCCCGTCATATACCATATGAAAGTCCCCAGTTTCTCATGTTGCATATCCAACCGTAACTGCAAGAATGCACAAGCAATTAGTGGGTTTCCCCCACTTTAATATATACCTTACGAGGGATTTTGGTTGAAGAGAAAAGACAAGAATCTCATTACTATGTGCCTGAAAGAAAAAGAAAGAGCAGCTTGTATAAATCTCAAGATTGAAAAAGCACCTTTGACTTCAGCCCGATTCAAAAGGGTCCGTGTGGAGCTGTAGAGACTACATTGCTGGCCCTGGACCAGAGAGACAGGTTCCAATCCTTGCTCAGCCCTGAAGTCTCTCAGCCCAACCTAACTCCCCAGGTGGTTCTGAGGATAAAATGGCAGGTGGGGTGGAAGACCCCCAAGCGGGTGAGTAACGTCTTCCACTTCAGGATATTTGAAATCCGTCACCAGGGAGAACCACAAGGGCAGAATTCGCAAGGAATGGGGAAGCTCAGGAATCGAATCCTGCCCTCCAAGCTTCCTTAACTGGTGCCTTCGTTGCATATCTTTAGGTGCCGGGCAAACACATTCCTCTTTGCTCAGGCATTGGGTTAATTAAACAGCTTAATGGCCTTTTAAACTGAGTGTGTAAGGGGGATGCTGTTTTTATTCGTTATGATGGCTTGTAATGTTGTGCTTTTATAGTGTAAACCGCCCTGTGATCCTCAGATGAAGGGTCATATAGAAATTTAATTAACGACAACAACAGGCCTTCAGGACTCTACAGAGGCTGCGCACTCAGATGTACCTCACTGGCCCTCACCTACTCCTTCCTCTAGCGGTTTCACCTGGCTAGAGCATTCCTTTGACCCACGGTAATGCCTTTTGCTAGCCCAGATGGAGAGTTGTGTGCCAGGCCCTGGCCCCCGAAAGACTTGCCCCAAAGGAATGTGGCCCCTGGGCTGAAAAATGCTCTCCCCCCGCCCTCACTTCTGCACAGATTTGGACTGGGGTCAGAGGAACTGCCCAGGAGATGGCAGCCATGTTAGAGCAAGTCGAGACCCATCATCATAGATTCATAGAATTGGAAGGGACCCCGAGGGTCATCTAGTCCAACCCCCTGCAATGCAGGAATCTCAGCTAAAGCATCCATGACAGATGGCCACCCAACCTCTGCTTAAAAGCCTCCAAGGAAGGAAAGTCCACAACCTCGCAAGGGAAACCGTCCCACTGTCAAACAGCTTATCCGGTGGGTCTTGCTGGAAAATCCGAATGCCAGCGTTTTGCCATGACCAAAACCAGAAATAATGGTCATGCGCACAGCTTCTTCTGCTCCACTGTCTGGTAATCACGGCACTGAAAGGTGTGTGGGAGGGTGTGCCTCTACCCAGGCGGAACTGCTTTGCAATGGGCCGAGGTGGGGGGTGAAGCCAGGAATTCTGCCCCCAAACGATGACGCAGCAGGCAGCCTTTGGGCTTTACAAAGGGAGCTGTGACTTGGCGCCCAGCTGCCCTGGGAAGAACAACAACAAGGACTTACGGCTTTGTGGTGGGCAAGCAGATTGTTGGCACAGCCCCCAAAGACAATCACCTCTCCCTCGTCGCTCGCGCACGCCGTGTGCCAGAGCCTGTAAGATCACACAAATTAATAATGATGATGATGATGATTTATTTGTACCCCGCCCATCTGGCCAGGTTTCTCCAGCCACTCTGGGCGGCTTCCAACAAAGATGAAAAATACATTAAAATGTCACACATTAAAAACTTCCCTGAACAGGGCTGCCTTCAGATGTCTTCTAAATGTCTGGTAGTTGTTTTATCAATCAATCCTTTATTAGGCATAGCAAACCACCCATTATAAAACAAACACCGTATACAGATTGTGGAAAATACGAATTTGACATAACAATTTGCATAAATAATACAGTCTAACACTACCACATCACCGACCAATCAAGAACCACGAAATCTCTCTATAATGGCCCAGTCTTTCCACATGGACAGCACTCAAAAATTTAGCCACTATCAAAGTAATTTGATCATTCCTGTCCGAGAGCAGGTCCTGAACTGCTGTTTATCTCTTTGACATCTGGTGGGAGGGCGTTCCACAGGGCGGGTGCCACCACCGAGAAGGCCCTCTGCCTGGTTCGCTGTAGCTTTGCTTCTCGCAGTGAGGGAACTGCCAAAAGGCCCTCGGTGCTGGACCTCAGTGTCCGGGCAGAACGATGGGGGTGGAGACGCTCCTTCAGGTCTACTGGGCCAAGGTGGGGTCAAGCAGTGGGGAGATTCAGCAGAAAGCTTTGGCTGCAACTCAAGGGAATCCTGCTGCCGTATACGGCTTTCATCTCCCCTGTTTTTGTTGTTGCGATTATCCATTTCTGTGAGTTTTTGAACATTTTGTGTCGCTTTTCAGCTGTCTTGTTTGTGGCCCAGAGAAGTCAGCGGTTGGACAAGAGGGTTTATCCACCCTCCACCCCTTTTAAGGAAGGGCCTGTTACAAGACACTCCTTTGTTTCTTACCCCTGAGGTGGGAAGGCTGCCGGACGAAAAATATGGGCCCCTTTGCCCAAACGTGCGGCAAGAATAAAAGCACAGACCTAAGTGGCTACGCTTGGCTTCTCTGGGATGCAAACAAGAGAACGACTGACATTTGAAGCCCCTTGCAGGCCAGTCAAATGGAGACTGGCCTGAGTTTACTGGAACTGAAGAGTCTGGCCTAGACACACTGCCCATTATGCAAAGGGGAAATCAGAGAATTGTAGAGTTCGAAGAGGCCCCAGAGGGTCACCAAATCCAATCTCCCGCAGCGCAGGAATCGCAGCTAAAGAATCCCTGACCAACGGCTATCCAACTTCTCAATCTCCTCCTCTTCAGGCTAAACATCCCAAACTCAGTCTACTGTTCCTCACAAGGCTTCCAGGCCCTTTTATCTTCTCCAGGCTGCACACACTGCAGCTTGTCAATATCCTTTTTAAACTGTGGCGCCCAGAACTGGACACAGGATTCCAGGAATAGAGGGGCACTATGACTTCCCTTGATTTGGACGCTACACTTCTGCTGCAGACAGCATTGCTGCAGCTGTCTGACAATATTCTCATCCAGAATTTGTCCCTCTCAAATGCAAGACGGTGGAGTGGTTTCTCTGCCCTTCACCCCCTAAAGCCAATTTTAAGGTATAGTTAAAGGTACCCCTGACCATTAGGTCCAGTCGTGACCGACTCTGGGGTTGCGGCGCTCATCTCGCTTTACTGGCCGAGGGAGCCGGCGTACAGCTTCCGGGTCATGTGGCCAGCAGGACTAAGCCACTTCTGGCGAACCAGAGCAGCGCACAGAAACGCCATTTACCTTCCCGCCGGAGCGGTACCTATTTATCTACTTGCACTTTGACGTGCTTTCGAACTGCTAGGTTGGCAGGAGCAGGGACCGAGCAACAGGAGCTCACCCTGTCGCGGGGATTCGAACCGCAAACCTTCTGATCGGCAAGTCCTAGGCTCTGTGGTTTAACCCACAGCGCCATCCGCGTCTCTTGTAAAGCCAATCTTACTTGAGCTCAAAAAACGCAAGAGCTGAAAGGCTCCCCAAAATCTGAACAGCCATGAAGGTAGAAGGCAAAGAGGGCCATCAGTGCAAGCAAAGCAACGACCAGGAGAGGCGAGTTCTGTGGAAGGTTCAGCGTAGTGTCTGCTACTGCGCGTGGGACTGCTTACCGGGGTTTTTCTGAATAATTGTGCTCAAATTGTATCCACTCGTTTTTACTAATGCAATAGATCCAGGCATCACCTGCAAGGAACAGAAGGGAGGTTTTTGTTGGGAGCGAGTTCTGAGTGTTAGCAAAAGAAGCTGTCCTTGGCCACAACTTGATCCAGAATTTGAACTCACAAGGTGGTCACTTGAAGCTGTCATTTCCCACAACTACCGCGAGTGGCTCAAGAGGCAAATAGGAAACATGAGGATCAGGACACACCCCAACCCCTAAACTGTGGTTAAATTAATTGTTTTTGCATACAATCATTTAACTCCAATAATTCATTGTACTTTTTTTTGGTGCAATGAAACACGTCCACGTGGAACACTGGTGGTGATGGTGGGAAGGGACGGAGATGTTTCCAATTTTTCTTTACAAACATGAGGGTTTGTTTTTTTAAAAAATGAAGTGATAGCCAAGATTCTCAGGATGCCAAATTTAAACCAGATGTACTAGGTGGGGGTGGGAGGGCGAGAGGGGAGGAGGAAAGACTTCAGAGTTATCGGATCTACTTTGGTTTTCTTGCTAGAAGTTCAAGGCTCACCAGCTGAAGCCAGAGCGCGGCTCAGGAGGTGGAGGTTGTTGCCAACTGAAGGCCACAAGCCAATATACATCATATCCAAGTGCCACCCCAAGTCCTTGTGGTTAAGGGCAGGTAAGAAATCTGATAAAATAAAATATGTTAAGAAAGAAGTGTGGATTCCAACACAGACCTCTGAAGCTGGCCAGGACTTAACAAAAGGTAAAGTGTAAAGGGACCCCTGACCAATAGGTCCAGTCGTGGCCGACTCTGGGGTTGCAGCGCTCATCTCGCTTTATTGGCCGAGGGAGCAGGCGTACAGCTTCCAGGTCATGTGGCCAGCAGGACTAAGCCGCTCCTGGCGAACCAGAGCAGCGCACAGAAACGCCATTTACCTTCCCGCCAGAGTGGTACCTATTTATCTACTTGCACTTTGACGGTCCCATCCTACAATGTGCCCACCCCTGATATGTATTATTTGAGATCCGTATCAATCAGCCCACCAGCCTGTTGTGTTTTGTGACCCTTTTAGCCGCTTTAAATCTAGCCAGTGTTTTTGAGAGGGGTGGGGAACAAACAGCAGCAGCGCCAGTCCCCAGGTGCCACTGACGCGCTGGCAGGGTCCTGAACTGCAGCCATTGCAAGGACCTTCTGGGATCATCACAGGAAGGCTAAAATAAACCCAGCGCCAACCAGCTCTGCAGAAAAGGCTCTTCTATCTAAACCGAAGGCTATTTTTTAGCTCTCCTGGGATTTACTTACTGAGAGGCTGCTTGTCGGTGGTGAACCCGCCAAAGAGGAAGAGATGGTCAGACGAAACGGGGGTTAGAGAATGCCAAGACCGGCCGACGGGGCAGATGCCTTGCGTGATTCTGTGTTGGGGAAACACAAGGGATTGACAAGAGATTGTCAAAACGGCAGCCAGGAATGGAGTGTCTGATCTTACTATAAGCAAGCTGTTCTTGACCGGGGTGGGAGATTGTGGAAACTCTGGAGACATCGATGCAGGTGATTCGCTGCTCCGGCCATGAAGTCAGGCTTTGGGAGAAGATTTGGCCGGCTGCTCAAACCACACAGGGTGGTCTTGCAACCCATGCTTCAAGTTTTCCTGGCCAACCAAAAATGGGAATAGGGGAGTGCTGCAAACCACTTAGGTACAGGTGAAACTCGAAAAATTAGACTATCATGGAAAAGTTCCTTTATTTCAGTAATTCAACTTAAAAGGTGAAACTAATATATGAGATCAACTCATGACATGCAAAGCGAGATCGGCTTCTACTTCTCAGAGGTCCAATCTTGCTCCATTTGCAATCCTTGTTTTGCTGATTTCCTTGAATATTCTAATTTTCTGAGATTGTTCATTTGGGGTTTTTATCAGCTGTACGCCATGATCATAGCAATGATAACAAATCAATGCTTGACATATCTTGCTTTGAATGTCACGAGTCAATCTCATATATTAGTTTCACCTTTTAAGTTGAATTAGTGAAAGAAAGGAACTTTTCCACGATATTCTAATTTTTCGAGTTTCACCTGTATATTTTTGACGACATAGCGGGATAGAAATCCTTCTCTAAACAAATCAATAATAAGCAAGTTTAGGCCTCACCTTATTTCAGTCATTTTAAATTGTACAGAACTGTTTTAGAACTGTGTGAGTTGTTGTAACCTGCCCTGGGACCTTAGGATGAAGGGCAGGGGATAAATCGCAATAAATGAAGTAAGAATAGCAAACGAGACCCGGTGCTCTCCAGATGCAATTCCCACCGGCTCCCAAAAGTGCTCGCTGGGACTGATGGGAGTTGTAGTCCAAAAGATTTGGAGAGCACCTACTCGGGATCAGCTTCCCTGCGCCGACAAGGGGAGACAGAAGCCTACGTACATTTCATGCCACTCCCACTTGTCCAGATTGAGGGAATAGAGATCGTTCATCCTGGACTCCTGAGGGAAAGAGGGAGAGAGGGACGGGTTTAGTGAAACCTGAACCCCAGAAAGGCAGCAGCAGCGTCCCCACTCTGCTCTCGCACTCACTCGGTATCTTCCTCCAAAGACGTATCCTCTGTTTCCAACCGTGGCACAAGCGTGGGCTGCTCGGGGCGACGGCGATTTACCCTGCGGGGGGAAGAAGAGGGGACAGGTGAGAGACTACCTGCTTTGGGCTCTACGAAATCTCCTTCCCGTCTCCTGCCACTGACCACTTTTCAGGAACTTGCTGCTGCTGGTTATATTCGTGTCCGCTGGCAGTAGGAGTACAATATGGGCATGTCTTTAAGTTAACATCTTACATCAAAAACCTGACAGTACCAAACTATCGAAGGCTTTTCACCAAAGCCAGACTAAATGTCTTTCCCTCTGCAGTGTTGGCTGGCAGGTTGAGAGGAGTTCCCTACCAGGACAGACTTTGCTCATGTGCTCAAGACATCAATTCCATAAAACATATTTTGTTGCACTGTGCAAAATAAGAGCAAGCCAGGGCTGAACTGATACTACCCTTGCTGGTACCTTTCCCAGGAAAATCAGAGGCTCACTATGTCAGGTTCCTATTGGAAGACCGGACAAACGCTAGAACATTAGCAGTGGCAAAGTTTTTATCGGTGGTTGCAAGAACAAATAATCCCTATATTCTGAACAAAATGCTTGTTTAACCTGGAGGTAGGCTGTATGAATTGTGTATTGCTTTGTAATGATTTGTTGGGTCTCTGGACCGTAATAAAGATTGATGATGATGATGATATTTGTTAGGATCTGACGGGCAGTGGAAATGAATCAGCGGATATTAATCAATATGGGTGGTCCTACCGGATCATAATTTTTTATAAACGTACGATTGCCGTATTTTGGAAGTCCACTACTTTACCTTGGTTACAGGCTGGCTCCACGTAAAGGTGTCTGTGTCCAGGACGTGAACGTGATCATTCCACCCACGGGGAACACCTGAATTCTTTTAGACAAGAACAGGGACAATGGATAAAATCTCATTCCGTGCAGCAGTTTCGACATTTGCAAACTAGGACAGAAAAATTTGTGGAACGGAGCGCTGACTACCTGCGGCCACTGTTCCTCCTGTGATGTGTGCAAGAGGCTTCTAGAACAGGTTTGAGTTTCAGCATCTACCACCCAAGAGGAGCAGGACCACAGAGCAGGTAAATACGGGCAGGTATTCAAGGCGGTGGAGCTGAAAGCCACAGTTGTTCTGGGGGCCTCATGTGCCATCTCCCTGCATTTTTGGTATCATTTATTTAACGCTTCCTCACCCTTCCTCAATCAGGAAGCATAGTGCAGCTCACAACAAGAAACAAGATAAAAACAGCAACAACAGAATGATAAACCCAATAAAATAAAAACCCCACAATCAGAATCAAAAAAGCAGTGGCAAATATCTAGAATAAATTCCACTTATGGATCCAAAGGCCTGGGCATGCCTTTAGCTTTTGCTTGAATGTTTGTACCGAGGGGGCCAAGCGGATGTCACCTGGGAGGGGGTTCCATAGAAATCACAGGTGAGATGCCACCACCGAGAAGGCCCTGTCTTGTGTCACTGTCCAACAGATGTGACTATAAGCAGGGCATTCTCTGTGGATCATAATGCAAAGGTTGGATGGCAGGGGGCGGGGAGAGAGAGTGTTTCTTTGGGTCCTAATTCACTTAGGGGTTTTGATCACATGCAGCCACTGCAGAGCTTTCAAGATGGGGCCGATACAACCCCTCCTTGCTGCTCCAGCCAACAGCCAAGCAGCAGCAGCATCCTGAGCAATCTGCAGCTTCCAGAATGTCTTTAGGGCAGGCATAGGCAAACTCAACCCTCCAGATCTTTTGGGACTACAACTCCCATGATCCCTAGCTAACAGGACCAGTGGTCAGGGATGATGGAAATTGTAGTTCCAAAACATCTGGAGGGCCGAGGTTGCCTATGCCTGCTTTAGGCCCCCAAAGAGTAGATTGCTGTAATCTATTTGGGAGGCTACAAGAGCATAAATCAGTAAATGAGCCACTAGAGGAGGTTCCAGTGCACAAAAAGCAGAAGACTTACCCAAAAAGAGGTTTCATCAAACTCAAACCTTCCAATCTGCTCCCCTTCAGGGTAATACCCGTAGCCACCAAAAAATATAAGCCTGTTCAAAAAGAAGGAAGGGAAGGCAGAAAAACAAAAGAATAAACTATCATCAGAGTGACCAGGTAATATGCGGTAATGGATTTCCACTTACGAGAAAGCACCACTTAAAGAGTAGAAGCCAGAATATCTGAGAAAAGATTCCATTATTTATTTTAGCCTTTCATAAGCTGAGCCAGCATGTCTGAAGGGCACCAGGTGGGCAAAGGTTGATTTATTTAAATGAAACTGAGCGCCCATGACCTGCTTCTCCTCCCTTTACATACTGCAGCTAAAATTCGCAAAGAATCATTCGCAAAGGCAGTTAGAAGTGCCAAAGGACAAGAGCAGGACATCGGCAGCATTAGCTCTGAGGTGCTTTGCTGTTGCTATTTCAGGAAAAAAAACATAAAGCCAACAAAACATTATTTTTCAGGGGGTGGGAAGAGGCATCCGGTTGTGTTGCTATTTTAGCCGGAAAAGTTTCTTAGCTTGTTTCCTCGCCCCCTCTTGCTGTTGCTAACTCTACTCTGAAAATTACCATTAACTCTGCATGGTCACAAACCTGTATGCTATTTGGCTGCAAGTTTCTTCTAATATTTAGGACGTCATGGAACATCAAGTAAGTGCACTTATTACATTCATATGCTGCCTATTTTTATATAAAAGCTATAGGTTGCTTACACGAAACCAACATAATCCAATTAGGCCAAATTACATTACAAATTAAATACAAAGAGTGCTATTACAGTAATGAATGGGTAACAGAGACACTTTGGAGAACAGGCAACATGGAAACCCACTATTTTTTTGAGTCAAATGAGGCTGCAGAGCACACAATCATTTCCAGGAAAGAGATGGGACCCCGGAACAGCCAGGCTCTGGTTCATGCCGACAAACTTACTTGTTTCTATAAACCCAAACGCCGAGTTTGTCTTTTGATGACGGAGGGGTGCCTTGGCACTCCACCCTGACCCACTGCAACACTTTGTCGCTCGACCTGGAATTAAGCATGTAGAACTGCAAGAAAATGAAGGAATAGATTATAAACGTGCAGCTCATTGGCCCAAAGGAGTCCTGATTATTTGGATTGCTCTGTGTCGATTTAAAGATCTTAGGGACGCGGGTGGCGCTGTGGGTTAAACCACAGAGCCTAGGACTTGCCGATCGGAAGGTCAGCAGTTCAAATCCCCACGACGGCATGATCTCCCGTTGCTCTTTCCCAGCTCCTGCCAACCTAGCAGTTCGAAAGCACACCAGTGCAAGTAGATAAATAGGTACTGCTGCGGCGGGAAGGTAAATGGTGTTTCCGTACGCTCTGGCTTCTGTCACGGTGTCCCGTTGCACCAGAAGCGGTTTAGTCCTGCTGGCCACATGACCTGGAAAACTGTCTGTGGACAAACGCTGGCTCCCCTGGCCTGAAAGCAAGATGAGCGCCACAACCCCATAGTCGCCTTTGACTGGACTTCACTATCCAGTGGTCCTTTACCTTTAAGATCTTAATTTGGCCTGTCAGGCAACATGGGATGGATCTGATGTTAGATAGTGTTGGGGTTTTGGATACTGTAGTTTTCTGGCTCCAAAATAAAGGCAAAAAAAGGGGGCGAGCCCCACCCCACCCTGGGAAATTCGAGGACTGACCTTGTTTGTGTTGCCGCGTGCGTGGTGCCCTCCAAACAGGTACAAGACTCTGTCCATACAGACGGCACAGCTCCCTGACATGGAAGGGGGAACATCTCCAGCCGTTCTGTGCTTTGTCCTGGCAAGAAAGGGGCAGAAAGACCTTTGGGTTTAACAAGGAAGCGTTCCTTTCTCATGCTTATCTGTCGTTTATAGCTTTTGTTATCACTTAGTGTGGTACTTACAAGCCGATTCAGAGCTCCCATCACCTCCCCAAACTGATGGCACTTCAATCCAAAGCACCATGTGAACGTTCTCAATGGATTCATGCACGTGTTATAAAACAGTGGGATCCCCAAGCATAAAACCCAGTGGAAAAACACTGGCACCACCTTCTGGAATCAGGCATCTGGGAAGGAGAGGAACCATCTCTAGGCAGTACCTCCAGCACTCAACTAAAGACAACCTGACTAGGAGGATCCATATGGGATGATGGTACTGAAAACTTCTGTGAATTCCAAGAAATCCAACAGAGGAAGGCAACTCTCCCCGTCTTGCTTTCCGCAAAGTGGATCAGAAGACTCACTAACCAAAGGGCCTCTGATTTTCTTCTTTCAATGCACATTTTGTCTTACCTGCCTTGAGCCATCTAGAAAGGGTGGGTTGAAAAATAAAACAAACGAACAAAAAACTGGAGGACATGGAAGTACAGTCGCAAGTCGAACGTTTTGGCTCCCAAACCCGGAAGTGAGTGTTCCGGTTTGTGAACGTTCTTTGGAACCCGAACGTCCGACAGAGCTTCCACAACTTCCGATTGGCTGCAGGAAATCAGAAGCCAGGAAATCAGAAGCTGCGCTTTGGTTTCTGAACCTTTTGGAAGTTGAACAGACTTCCAGAATGGATTCTGTTTGACTTCCAAGGTACGACTGTATGTTTCTGAGCACAACTTGAAGTGTTGGTGCTGACCTTTAAAGCCCTAAACGGCCTCGGCCCAGGATACCTGAAGGAGCGTCTCCACCCCCATCGTTCTGCCCGGACACTGAGGTCCAGCTCCGAGGGCCTTCTGGCAGTTCCCTCGCTGCGAGAAGCCAAGTTACAGGGAACCAGGCAAAGGGCCTTCTCGGTGGTGGCGCCCTCCCTGTGGAACACCCTCCCATCAGATGTCAAGGAAATAAACAACTACCAGACTTTTAGAAGACATCTGAAGGCAGCCCTGTTTAGGGAAGCTTTTAATGTTTAATAGACTATTGTATTTTAATATTCTGCTGGAAGCTACCCAGAGTGGTTGGGGAAACCCAGTCAGATGGGCGGGGTGTAAATAATAAATAAATTATTTTTTTATTTTATTATGATGATTATTCTTATTCTTGTTTTCTACTGCTCTAACAAAACATTATCACGGTTGGAGGTATTTTTTGGTGTTGGTGGGGAGATAGGAGGCAGTCAAGATATAATTTACCATCTTCCAGTTTCCATGTTGTATATCCAGATTTCATCTCGGGGCAGGTAAAAGTCGTAGAATCCTCTCACTTGAGCATTCTGAAGCAGGAAAGCAGGAAAGAGGGGAAGCACCCCCATTATTAAACGGAACGATGAATTAAAAAGCACCATCTGCTCCTCTCTTTATGCCAATAGTCTAAAGAACACCCCACCCTCCATTTCCACCCAAATATCTATATTCTGAGAATCATGGCCAACTTGGGTATAAAAATGTGGGATATTCCAGGGCAAGACTGTGAGCCCCATTTATTTATTTCATTTATAGTCTGTTTTTTCGATCTGACATTCTGATGAATCCACAGGGAGCATTTTTCTAGAGACAGAGGATCCTGACTACGCCAGGACCAACCCCAGCCCCATGTCATAGAATCACAGAGTTGGAAGGGACCCCAAGGGTCATCTAGTCCAACCCCCTGCAATGCAGGAATCTCAGCTAAAGCATCCAGGACAGATGTCCACCCAACCTCTGCTTGAAAGCCTCCAAGGAAGGTAAACAGCAGAAGAGGTCAGATGGGTGGGGTACAAATAAATTATCACTATTCAGGGTGGATAAAAATCAATGTTCTAAAAAATATATATTTAAAAAAAATCGATTTTTTTAAAATTTAAATCAGATTTTTTTTATTTAAATTGGATTTTTAAAATAAAATGCTTTTGGAGGAAAAATCTTTCTAAAGAGAGTTTTCTATTTAAATTATAGTACAGAGACTATTCATCAGGAAATAAGGATTTGATTTAAGTTTTTCATGTATGCTAAAACTCAAAGGTGTTTTTAAAATCGTTTAACCACATCAGTTAACAAACATGGATACATATGCTATAATGTTATTGTTCTAATTAAATGAATTGTTTAAATTGTTATTAAGGAAACAATTATTTTTCTCCTTCCAAGTACAGCAGAAAAGTTGTCCAAATATAAAGTTAACATTAAATCTCACAATAATTTCATAATTATCTGTCAATGTATTTCTAATAGTATAATCAAATCAGTATTTTTTGATATAACTGTAAAAACTACTCTGAAAATTTATTATTCCAAAAATGAAACCTTTGGTTGGCAATATTAAGATTATACCAGCAAGAATGAGCCTTTCTGTAAAAAAAATAATGTAAATCAAGTCTTACTGACTATTGATTTAAATCAAGTCTTACTGACTAGTGATTTAAATCAATTTGATTTAAATCAAGTCCACCATGTCACTATCATCCGCAGCATCCTCATCCTGTACAGTGATACCTCTGGTTGCGAATGCGATCCGTTCTGGAGGCCCGTTCGCAACCTGAAAGGAACGCAACCCGTGTCTGCGGGTCGCGATTCGCCACTTCTGCGCATAACATCCTTTTGCGCGTCTGCGCATGCGCGAGCAGCGAAACCCAGAAGTAACCCTTTCCGGTACTTCCGGGTCGCTGCAGGACGCAACCTTAAAACGCTCAACCTAAAGCAAACGTAACATGAGGTTTGACTGTACTTAATACATCCCTTGAGAGCTTTGGGGCATAAGACAATGCACAAATAAAGTAATAATAATGGCAGCACATCCCACAACGTCCCTTGAGACCTTCAAATATAAGGCAACACATCAATTAAATTATTATGATCCACGCAACGGTCACCTCCAGACTGGATTATTGTGACTCGCTCTACGTGGGGCTGCCCTTGAGACTGACCCAGAAACTCCAGCGGGTGCAGAATGCCGCGGTGAGACTCCTTATGGGGTCTTCGCTGCGAGATCACATTCACCCGGTGCTATACCAGCTGCACTGGCTCCCGGTGGAGTACAGGATCAGGTTCAAAGTGCTGGTTTTAACCTTTAAAGCCCTATGCAGCCTAGGACCCTCATACTTATGGGACCGCCTCTCCTGGTATGTCCCACGGAGGAACTTACGGTCTTCAAATAAAAACATCTTGAAGGTCCCAGGCCACAGAATGGTTAGACTGGCCTCAACCAGAGCCAGGGCTTTTTTGGCTGTGGCTCCAATCTGGTGGAACACTCTGTCACAAGAGACTAGGGCCCTGCGGGACCTGATATCTTTCCGCAGGGCCTGCAAGACAGAGCTGTTCCACCAGGCCTTTGGTCAGGGCACAGCCTGACTCCCTCCTTTGGCAATCTTCACAGAACTTTAGCCTAATGGTTGCCATCAATTTGAGTTGAATTAATTTTATAATGAAATGATTTTAGAATGTTGTACTATTTTATTGTTGTTAGCCGCCCTGAGCCCGGCTTCGGCTGGGGAGGGTGGGATATAAATACATTATTATTATATTATTATTATTATTATTATTACAACATGGTTAGCAGCAACCTGTTGCGCTCTCTCTCTCTCTCTCTCTCACACACACACACACATTTTAAACTGGGTGCATCTTCTCCAGCCCTCTGTGATGGAGGGAGCAAGGGCTCCACCACTTCTTGTCCTGCCTTTGCCAAATAAAGACTCTTTTTTTGCTGCTCACCTTATACCCGCCCCAAACGAACATGCACTGCCCGTCGCTGACAGCCACGTGGCCGCTCCGTTCGGCAGGACTGCCATTCTCTAGATGCTCCAAGCTGTCCTCTGCTGGCCCGGGGATCTCTTCATCTGCCGGCAAATCTTCATCCTCCGGCAGATCCTCATCCACCGGCAACTCTTCATTGTCATCTGCCATGCCTGTAACAGGATAGTCTCCTTCAAGAAGGGCACAAAGAGGAAGAAAAGCTTTCAAAATTGTGCGTAGCCAAAACAGGATGGAGAAAAAGCCACGCTCAGAGCTGTTTCCTTTGCCCGGGGGCAAGAGGAGTCAGCGAGGGTCAAGAGACACTTCTGCCAGTCTCTGAAAATGGCTGGCTCCTAGGGTTAAATAAGTTGGAGTTCTTGTTATTAAATATACCAAGAGAAAAGAGCACACCAAGAACTCTGGCCAATATAAGTTTCAAAAGTGGGAGTGGTCCTTTCTCGCAAATCAATAGTCAATTGAAAAAACTAATCCATTCAAAAGTATGTATTCTGACAAGGAGTACAAACTCAAATGGAGATTACAAACTCAAACAGAGATTAGAAACGCAAACTCATAAGGGTATGTATAACACAATAATTCGTTACAGTATTAAAAATAAGAGTTTATGAATTTATGCTCAATGACTGAAACTAAGATCTTAACGTCAAATCTTACTATGGACTAACATGAACTTATCTCTGCTCATAAACTTGCTGCTGGATGAGGTCCAAGGGGCACCACCTTGTCCAGAATCCTGTTCTCAAAGTGAGAAACCAGATACCTCAAAGGGAAGCCCCCAAGGGAGAGACGCCTTTTCACAAACTAAGATCTCCTTCAAATAACCCATTTCTTGAGCATTCATCCCAATTTGCTTGTGGAGTGTGTACACATCTTTCCATTAACCATTCACTCATTCCTCACTTTTCGGTGCATTCCTCTGTCATTTTCCTCCGCACAAAAAACCAACTTGATTTGTTGCTCTAGACTGGCAACAGAGTGCTTTAATCCAATTTAATTGCACAAATCCAAACTTCCTGGTATGCACTCAAGTCTGTCCCGTAACATACTGACAATCTGGAAGTGTCCTGAAAAACTGCAAGAGAGCCACCCGTTCCTCTCCAAGCTCACTCTGTGAAGATGACCTCAATGTTGAGTGCAAATAAAGGTCTTAGCCAACCAGAGCAGGAAAAACAAGCTCCATGGCCTTGTAGTCTCACCCACAGCCAAGCTCAACATCTCAAGGATGTCTTTAAAAGCTCTCTGGGAAAAGCCAGCCCTGAAGGTCTTGGCCAGGGAAGCAGGAGGAGGAGCAGGCAGCCGGAAAAGAAGAATTGGCTCTTGGCTACTTTTCCTAGTCATTTGGACATCCCAAGGCTTAGCTGCTAGATGACAGTACCTGGAGCCTGAAATGCTGAAGGCTGTTTAAAGGCAGTTTAAAAGGATTTCTTGCTAGACAAAACAGAAGATGATCAAAATCACAGCTTAAGCGGCTGCAAAGCGTTTGACATTTAAAGGCACAGGTAGACAGGAAGGCTCCCCAGCCCAGTCTTCCAACTGCTCAGAGCTTTTTAAAGCTCCTCTGCACCTGGTCAGGGATCTGGGCTGGACACATGGCCCTGCCTCATGACCACTTTGCATCTGTACTCAATGGTCCAGTCATAACAACATGGACACATAGGAATTTGCCTTATATAAGTGCCAGACCAGTAGAATGACTCATTATAATCTCCAGCACTGGCTTGTGGGATCTTTCTGGGCTTTTCAGACAGGAATCTGGAGGTATCTGGAGATGCTAGGGACTGAATAAGCATCTGCCAAAGCAGGTGCTGGACCACTGAGCTCAGACCCCTTTGCAGCAACATAAGGAGGTAGATTTCTTCAAGGGGTGGGATGGGTTGTGCTGCAGCCAGTGAGGGGAAATCACAGTTTTGAAGGCTGCCCTGTGGAATGCCTTCCCACCAGATGTCAAAGAGAACAACTACCAGACTTTAAGAAGACATCTGAAGGCAGCCCTGCTTAGGGAAGCTTTTAATGTTTAATAGGTTATTATATTTTAGTGTTTTGTTGGAAGCCGCCCAGAGCGGCTGGGAAACCCAGCCAGATGGGCGGGGTATAAATCATAAATTATTATTATTATAAATTATTATGCAGTATATGAAATGACGGTTTCTCCCTGATAGGCTAGCCCAGGCATAGGCAAACTCGGCCCGTCAGCTGCTTTGGGACTACAACTCCCATCATCCCTAGCTAACAGGACCAGTGGTCAGGGATGATGGGAATTGTAGTCTCAAAAATATCTGGAGGGCCGAGTTTGCCTATGCCTGCTTTAGGCCCCCAAAGAGTAGATTGCTGTAATCTATTTGGGAGGCTACAAGAGCAGGGTACTACTACTAATAATATTATTATAACCCTTGCAAGATAATGATAATTATTATTATTATTATTATTACCCTTGCAGGGTAATAATAATAATAATAATAATAATAATAATAATACTTTATTATTTATACCCCGCCCATCTGGCTGGGTTTCTCTAGCCGCTTTCCTTTTTAACTGGGGGGGAGCTTCCTAAAAGGTGACAACCCCCCCAAAAAGAGACCCTCCCCAGCCTGCAGTGGTGCAGCCCATTCAGTCACCTTATTCTGCAGGAGGAGGAAGGAGCCACTGAAGAAGGCCAGGGGGGCGGGATAGGAAACCTTCGCCCGCCTCCCCTGCCGGGCTCAACGGAAGGCGCCCCCTTCTCCCCTCTCGACTTACCTTAGCGGGGTCCGCTCACAATGTCAACATCCGCCCGTGCCGGCGGATATCCGGCCCGCCTTCCTGCCCCAGCGGAAGCTCCGCCCCCTCTGCCGTCGACGGAGGAGGCGAGAGAGCTGGACAGAGCGTCCGCCGCGGTCTTGCTCCCCCTGCAGGGAAGGAGGGGAACGGCACCCGAGAGAGCGTCAGATTGCCACTGGCCTACCTTGCAGGGGTGGCCGAGAGTGGCAGCTGTGGTCGTTGGAATGACATATTCATTTCTACCCAGGGACTTCTTCTTCTTCTTCTTCTTCTTCTTCTTCTTCTTCTTCTTCTTCTTCTTCAGAAATATAACAAGACATATCCAAAAACATATCATCCTTGTTTCCACCCCATTTTTCAAAAATGGTGATGAGAAGCCAAGCCATTTTTGCTTCTCCCCCCCTCATGCTGTCCTCCCAACAACCCTGTGAGGTAGGTTACACCTGAGAGCCAGTGGCTTGCCCAAGCAGGTCTCCCAGGATTTGAACCCGCATCCTAACCCCAACAGTGCTTCACACTGATTCTCGTCTGCCTGCGTACGCAGAGGATTGAGATGCAAGCTGTTTTGCAGAAGAAGAGTTTGGATTTGATATCCCGCTTTATCACTACCCGAAGGAGTCTCAAAGCGGCTCACATTCTCCTTTCCCTTCCTCCCCCACAACAAACACTCTGTGAGGTGAGCGGGGCTGAGAGACTTCAGAGAAGTGTGACTGGCCCAAGGTCACCCAGCAGCTGCATGTGGAGGAGCGGAGATGCGAACCCGGTTCCCCAGATTACGAGTCCACCGCTCTTAACCACTACACCACTTGCTTGGGTTTCTTGTGCATCCACTCTGGAAAGTGAAAAGGCTGTGACGGTTAATGAGGGGTTATGACGACTCACACGCACCAAGAAGGGAGCCTGGATTCTAAACCTTCTGCTCGAGTATTCAAGTGACTAAAATTGTGCAGCCTAGTATCCTCTTCCCTCCATTTTCCTTGGGGTGTGTGGATTTAGTTTTCAGTGGACACACAGAACCTTTCTTCTGCTCTCAACCATCCACTTCATCTGCTAGATTCACTGTCTACCTGACTTACCTGCACCCCTAACCCCCATTCAATTGCCATTCTGTAAACTCACAGGCAACGATGTTGTTTTTAAGCGTGATTTCCTTTCCTTCTATAAACTATGTGCTTCTGAATTCCTTGACTACCCCTGCCACAGTGTGCAGCTCATTTTATGGGAGGGTTATTTGTTTTTGTACTGTATTGCTGTTTTGTACTTTGTGTTCTTATTTTGTATTTTTCTGTTGTGTTGTGAACCACCTTGGGATCTTTGGATGAAGGGCCGTATACAAATTTAATAAATAAGAAGCCTCTTTCATTTGTTTCGAAACTAATAAAACGTTGTTGCAGTGTGGAATGCTCCATTCCTTTCCCTTCTCTCCCTTGGTTTTCCATTTCTCTGTCCCCTAACAGTCTTCTATGGCCACTGAACATGCCCAATGCTCACTGGTGTGTTTGTGCGACGGTCTTCCCTAAAGCTTCTTGAGAGTGGTGGTGTGGGTACTTCTGCAAACTGTAGGATGACCGTATACCTGCTGACAACTTGCTTGTGTGCATGGTGTGGTTTCAGCCCCATAATAATCGTAAGTTTGCTATCGGTAAACAGGATTACTGTATATAATTGTATAACAGAAACAAGATCGTCAGAATTCCATGTTTTTATTGCGAGAGAGAAAATTTCAGTCTTCTGCAGATATTGTAAAACACACATGAAAACATAATAAGGCAATAAAGGCACTTTTCTTTGGAACTGATTCTGAACACAATTTCAATATGAAAAACTTGTGGATAGATCCCTGTCAAAGTTTTCTAGCTCAGGTATGGTATAATCATCAATGCTGCTACTGAAGTTCAGAGTCAAGTTCCCCTGACTTTGACCTCATCAGGATTTGACCTTTTAAGTAGCACCATTGCTATTTGCAAGGTTATCTGGAAGTCCATAGAATTCTCACACCAATCCTAAACACATTATGTAGAGGTTCCATTAAAATAAACGACCATCACTTCAAAATACTGTCACAATCCACTGAAGTTTTCCTGCTCATGTATGGGAGATGCTCCCATTCGTTCTGCAGGGGCCTTGTGCAGAATATTCCAGGGGATTGCATTTTAATGCTTGACATGTATGGCACTCTTGAGTATCCTGCATGTGCTGGGGACCAGAAGGCAAGAACTGAAAGCTCCTGTGCAGCATTCTCCAATGCCGTAATTTCCATATCTGGTCAGATCAGTTCTAATAATGCAGTAAAGGGTTCTTATCCTACTAGGCTAGGTTTGCCAACTTTTCTTTAGGATGGAACCCTTTTGTGTTTTAACAGCTGTGCAACAAGCAGAGATTCAGGGGAAACTAACTCGTTACTTCACCTGCACATCAGAAAAGCTTCGTCTCCTGAATTTCAGCTTGACACAGAACTTCCAAACACAAGTTTTCAGCCTTAACCCAAACATCTGCCAGGATGATCATTAAAAATACTTCAAGAGAAATATTTGTGACATCTTGATTTGCTCCAAGACTGCGTCATCCGTCAATGTCAAGTGCAACATTTTACCTAGAAGGGAGCAGAACTGGAGTGAATCTCAGGAGGAAAGGTAGATAAAAAGTCACTTGCTACCTACAGTACGTTCAAAGTACGTTATGCCATTGTTCCACGACAAAGGTTGGCATTAATGACTTCACTAAACTGCTGCATCTATTCAGGTGCTTGAACCACCCGATTCCTCTGATTTTCAGTCATTCATATATTAGGTCCAAAGTCAAAATATCTGAAACATAGCTCTATATTTGATAAGTCACATACTCGGTTTTGGGAGTAAAAGCCCACATTCCTTATTTTAGCTTGTAGGTTCTGCACTAAGAACAAGGAAGCAAAGATCAGTTATATAAAATCTGCATCACCCCTTCCCCAACAGAAGCAAAACTGCCATGGTGGGATTCGGCTAACAAGTCCCATTAGCACAAAGATTTCCACTTGCACAATGGGCTTCCCACACCCCAGGTTTGAGGGAGAGAGTAGGCAAGGGATTGTTCCCTCTGGGGAACTGAAATGCATGTGCTGGTGGAATGATCAGAAGAGTGTGATGTTGAATTCCTCCCCTAGTATCAAAAATATCCCTAAAGAGATATATGGCTTAAATGTGATACTGAGTTATTAAGCGGCATATCATGGCATGACTCCACCTCCTCCTAATCTCCTAATACCACATGTGCTTAGTTATTACTGCAACCAGCCTGAAGGCAACTCAAAGTAGATGTATAAACAAAAATATTTCCCCCCAAGATTTTTGCTCAAAATGGCAAGTGAGTAAAAGTATTCAGAGTAAGATTCTATTCAAAACATAACAGCAAAATGGTAACAATAGGGTCCCTATTAGCTAAATACCTAAAACTGACAGGAAATTTGTATTTTATAAATACTTTACAATAAATAACAAAAAAACAGCTAAGTTGAATACAAACCTTACACACTGTGGTCTGTGTAACATTTTTAAAATTGTGATTATTTACAGTCCATCAATGTTTATTGCAACAGTAAAACTTTGCCCAGTAAAAAACATTTAACACAAAAGTGCAACTTTAAAGTGTTTCTATAAAATAGTGTCAAAACCCGCCCCATGCAACTTTCAACCAAGTTTTTTATAGTGCTGTCGAAAGAAGAGAGTTTTGCGGCTTCAGAGGTATTAAAGAAATCCCCCTCTTCAGACAATGGCTAAAGTGTAGCAATACGCAGGAATATGACCAAATAAAGCTTTAACTGTCTGAAGTCTCATTAACATATTTAGCTTTAATAATAATAAATGGCTCAACTAGCTTTATGAACTGGCTCAGTAAACCCAAGAAAGTTGGTATTAACCTCCAGAGCCCCTACGTGGAGCTGTTATTACATCAATAGACTCTGTTCCCATTCCTTATGCACCAGCAAATCAGAGTGCCTTTCACCCGATCTGCCCCAACCTTGGAAATTCAGCCCAAACAGTCAACAGTAACATTTCAAACTCATCTCCAAGAAGGGTCTGTACTGTGCGCTGTATATTCATGAAGAATGGTTGCTAAGAGACATTAATTTGCTCCTCTGCTGCTGCTTTGGCTTTTCTTTCTCGACGATGGCTAACAGCAGCCCAAAAAGTTATTTTATCCATAGCTTCCTCCAAAAGTCTAGATGGTAACCAGGATAGTTGGTTCTCCAAGAGGGCAGCATTTTTACCAATGCAGTCAAGGCTCAGTCTGAAAGAGATAATGCCAGATTACAAAGTTTTGCAGGTTAAACATTATATAGAAGAAAAGAGTTTTATCCATGTGAGTACGTAGGTATTCTCATCTCAACTATGAATTTACCAGGTGGCTTTAGGCAAGTTAATATGGCTTAGTTGAAACATCACGCCAAACTGGTTTGTGCTAACTGCAGTTAAGACTCCACACTGTGATTTGGACGTCCAACATTAAACCATGGCTTAGAGCAGCTTTTGTCTTCCATCTGCTCAGCTTTGCAAGTTTGCTCCCATCCACATGGTGCATTAGCCTTCTGAAGTAGGTCTGTGTTTTCAAGGGTTTGATAAATGAAAACCACAAGCCCACATCAACTGTGGTTTGCAAACCAGCTTCAAATAGAGGCTTGATATCATAGTTTGACAGTGTTTCACACACCATGGTTCGTAAACTGACATTGGTTCAGATACAAAGATAGACAGGCCATGGTTTGGAGCCGACGACTGCATCTAGTCGCAACCTCAGCCCTGGCCCTTACCTGCAATATGGGGACTAAAGTGATTAATTCAACTCTGTGCTAAGGTGATCCTTCTGTCAGCTCGTCTGATGGAATGATCCCCCTTCCCACTGTTCCTGACACCCACCCACACTAAGCCAATTTGGAGTGGGGGAAAGGGAGTGAAGAGGTGGTGGAAGCAGCCCTATTGCACAAGGCTTCTGCTGACGGGACTCATCAGCTGCGTCTCACCCATAACGTTGACCTATTTAAAGTGATGTTGCAAGGATTATCAAGTGAATGGAAAAGGCTTTGGACTCTTCAAAGTCGCACACTGTTTTGTATGTGTTTTCAAGTTTGAGGTTAACAGATGAGCAACTGAAATAACACTTGGGTTTCAGAGCCTCTGAAATCCACAGAATGTAACTGTCGTTTCTCACGAACCAAAATTCTGCAGGACTTTGAGGTGCAGGGGATACCCCCTCTTCCCTTCCTTGTCAGGGAATGCTTGAAATCCTTACACTGTGTGTGGAGCATTCCCTGACTTCCTGAACAGCCACTGCATGGGGTACAGCTTAGTGTGTGTCAGTGGCCCTGCATGTGCTCTGAAGCTGCTATGTCGGGATAGTTACTGCTTAACATTTTGGAATATACAGTTGCTTTTAAAAAGTGTTGAACTCAACTAGGCTCATGGCTTTATAATATTGTTATCCGAGTAATTTCTCAGCTCACCTGAGAAGTGAGTAGGGTTGTGTCTGGAAAATCAATAAATCGCTGCAGTGTCCCTAAGCAAGAACAACAAAAAATTCAAATATTTATGAGTTACTTTGCAACAAAGGTACTTATAGCATTGCAGAACAATAAAACATTGCATTAAAATATATGCAATTAAAAATAACATAAAATCAACACTACCAACGTGCAGCAGAAACAGTTAAAAAAACTCAGTAGAACTGGGTAAGGAAGAACAACTAAATATTTTAATGAGGTATTTAAAAACATTGGGCTAAGCCAACAAAGCAGTTCTGATAATGCAAGGATTTCAATTTGTGAAATGGAATATCCTCACTCTCTCCTCAAGCACCCCCAGGCGCCCCCCCCCCCAAATCTGCTCTGGAGGGTTGTGGGAGCCCCAGAAGAGATTTAGGGGTGCACAGGGAAAGGATAGGGACGAGGAGTTCAGGAAGGATCAAAACTCCTCTCATATGATCTGATTCTGTTTACCTAAATTCTCTCCATAAAAACATTTCAATTAAAAGATTTATCAGCACAATGGTGACATTTAACAAGTGTTCTATTTACTAACCGTGTCCATGAAATGCAAGTCATCTTTACTTCCTCCAAAGACCATCACTTCACCTTCTTTACCAAGACAAGCTGTATGCCACAATCTAAAGTATATTATAGTGAGAATAAATACTCAAATAAATGTGCATTTTTAAAAAGTTTTCTGTTAGCTATCATAGGGTTTTAGTGCATTTTGTAGGGCAGCTTACACCAACCTGGTGCTGTCCAGATGTTTTGAATTACAACTCCCATCAGCCTCAGCTGTCAACTGGAAGGTATCAGGATGGCAAAAGCTATTGTAGCACTCTCCCCTTTTAATCTCTACTGCATAGTAAATAGATTTATGTGAATGGAGCTGTCTCTCAGCTCTTGAACTAACTAACTAGTCCACTCAAATGGATTCTAAAAACATCTGAATTCATTAGACACAAATCAAGAACTTAATACCCTTTTACTACTTACCATGAGTGGGCTTACTTTTTTTGTCAAACACAACTGTTTAATAAACGTTTAACAATGTATGCATTCCAATTCTTAAAATGATGCTATCATAAAACCCAGCAGGATAGATTTAAATAGGAGGAACACAACAAAAATAGTTCTCTTGTGAGTGCAGTTTTAAAAAGTACCTTTAGCAAACACAATTAAAAATGGCTGCTGTGATATAGAGGGACTTGATTTGAGAGTAGGAATGGCCATGGCAATGATTTAAAAACTGGGCCATCGGAAAGAAATCTTTCTTTCTTACAGATCTTGGCCTTCACTCAAAATCATAGGGTGAAACCCAGGCACTGATTCTTGAACTTGCTTATTCTGAAGTGCATAATTTGAGAGTTGTAGAAACATCTCTGGGACAAAGAAGGCACCTTTCCTCCCTCACCTGTCTCAATTAAAAGGAATCTGACAAGCACGGAGATGGAATTTGTTACCTTAAAAACACACTTATGAAAAAAGGTACAAGAAGAACTTGGTAATTTAGTTTAGATACCAGCTTTCCACAGCTAGAGTGAGCTGCTAAGTTCAGTTTCTCCTCCCCCCACCCCTGATATGTCACTGAGGTCAAAGGAACGAAGGGTCTTTAATCTCTCATCCCTCCTTTTCATCTTCCAAGATCTGGAACTTTCTGAATGTTAATGGTTTACAAAATTATGCTAAAGGGAGTAAATTTTCTTTTTGCACATGCTAGTGCAAAATAAACAAATGGGTATGCATGGATACACAGCAGTTCAAAATAGGACCAATTCATATAGGTTTGTAAAGAGAGCTTCACTGCACTGAGCTGAATTTTCTTTCAAGAATTAACAGACTGAGTATAACTCACTGAGGTCAACAGGATTGCAGAATTTGTCCTCTTTTGTTTATTTAACTATTGCAAAAATATGTGCAAGATGACTCGGTGCTAAATAGCACTTCTTACTTCATTAATTTCAGCAATTATGCACTGTTCTCCTTACACTAAACTGTATCCCACCTGTTCTCTTCCTCATACCTGTTGATAGGTCTGCCTCTGTCTTATCTGCATTAGGAAAACTCTGGCCTGGACTGGATCATCGCAGAACACTGGAAAGCCTTTCCTGCCTTGACTCTGTGCCTTGACTCCTAGCTTGAAACCTGAAGCTTTTTTCTACAGACTGATAGGTTTATGTCCTCTCACAGCTGCTCTAACTTAGTACCTAGACATTCTAATAAAGCATGTTATTTGCATCACATATCAGCTAGATTAACATCACCTTTTAAAATAAACCCTCCACCTAGAATTATAGTACTGAGTTATAACTGAATTCTACAAAGTATTCTGTGCAACTGTCAGGGAGGGTATCTTTTATTCAGAAAAAAGTACTTATCAGCAAGGGCCAATATCACAACAGGAGTGGCAGCTGAGTCCACACTATGAAAAAAAGAATGAAGTCTAGCCCAGCAGATGTGCTAAAGCACAACCAAGAGAAGGCCAGGCTGTTTTAAGTCTTAATGAAATCACTCTGATCCTTAGCATATTTACCTTTACAGAAGGGTGAGATCAAACACAGATGTTTATCAGCTTACAGGCTGTTAGGTAAGGTGATTACTTGGAACAGGCATCACAGAGTAACACCACAGCCAGAGACATGGACATCCATCCCAACACAGTATTTTTTAAATGGATGCATTCATGTATTTGTCTTCATATATTCACAAAGTGTTAAAAAGTGATAGTTTGGGTGTTTATCTATTTAGCAAAATAAATTTTACACCACTCTTCAACTATATTCCCTCCCCGCCCCCCAAAAAATCAATTAAAATGTAAATAAAGGAAGGAAGGAAGGAAGGAAGGTCGGTCGGTCAAAGCCCACAAAATCATAAAAGCAGCATAAAGCAGTCAGCAGGTTTTGGGAAGCCCTTCACCTTGCCCCAGATATCACATACTCACATGTAAATTTCCTGATCGCCTAAACCATGGTTGGGAGAATGGGACTGCCCCACAGACACAAGCACGCCTTCCTCCCTTCTGGGCCTAGCCATGATGCATCAGTATGTCTGCACCACTGCTAATGCTACTATTGCAATCATGGTTAACAGCAGGGTAGCAAACTCTATGTTGAGCTAACCACAGTTAACAATAGTATCAGCTCACTCAGACCCTGCAGCTTGGTTCATTCCAAAAAAGGAAGAGCGTGTGTGTTATGGGAGAAGAGAGAAAGGAAGGAGAGCACAAGGCTGCGGAGTTCTCTGAATATTGATTCTTAGGAGATCAAGAATGTTATGTCTACACTGAGACACAGAGTGAGAGTTCAAACTACCAAAATAACAAGTTGTTTACAAGCGTGTGTGAATCAGCACTTTGTCCCAGTGATTGCAGTGGAACGTCTTTCAAAGCAAGCATGTTTAGGAAATTGCAGTCTTAGTTCCTGTTGGCTTCAAACTATTGTTCTGAGGCCAACTTTCTCTGGATTAAAACCTTTACTTAAAAATCTTAGCAGAAATGCAAATGCACTTTGTTTAATGTTTGATTCCCTGGAGAGGACCACTACCTGCTGGTAGTTTCCAGTTAGCAGCTAGTTTTACAAGAGGCTGAGAGGCCCACCTCTCCAAAGGGGTCTGACAGACCTTCCACACAGCTCTCTTGCCTCCAAAGTATTCCTCAAGAGAACAGATTTGGCCATGGGGCCAACAGTTGCTGATCCCTGCCCAATACTGCATGGTGATGAAAGGGCACAGAAGAAGGAGTTTCTTAGAAGGGTCTGTGTATATTTTTCATATTCCTAGTGGCTTGACTGCAGTTCAACCTAAGGAGAAACCCCCTACGTCTGCATTTCTAAAGCAAACATGGTGGAGGAGAAGAAAAATCTCACTCTGATTTCAACCTAATTTTATATAAAATTGCTTTAATGCGAGAAGATCTAAGTATCAAAATGTGTTATGGTTAGTGTGTGCTGCTGTGCAGTCTACCTAAAACATTGGGGGTGGAGACTTCGTTAGAATGGAGGGGGAAGATGATAGTTTGGCTCAGTTTGAATCAGCTTCTATCTACTGTAGAGACAAGCTGTGGTGTGGGAGTGTAATTGCATCCCCTTTGGCGGCACCTATTCAATCTTCAGTCTGCAGTGATATATTTGCACAGGGCCTGCATAGCTAAAGTCAACATGCAGGCCCTCTGAAAACATGCCTATCAAGAATGTTTTGTTACAGTGCAGCCTACACCCACACACCCACACAAATAAATAGAAGGTGTGGATGCAATCTCACTCCCTGACCCATGTAGATATATTCATTTGAATCAGGGCTTTAAGGCCGCCATCCCAATCGCATGAACCAAGGAAGCAGTTTCTCCTGAAGTCAATGTGACTTTCTTCCAAATAAGTGTGTTAGGGTGGAAGTCAAATAAAGTTCAAATAAATGTCCATTAGGTGAATGATTATGTGAAATTAATCAAATATTATTTCTTCACAATCGTATGTATCTATACTGATACCTTTTTAGTATCACCTGGAAAATTATATTTCTGGTTCAGACAGAGATATAGGATAAAGTTAACTGAAAATGTGCACAATTCATTTTGGGTTGTTTTTTTTAAGATACCTGGTTGGATTCTATGACCTATGATGAGATTTCCACTTGTCTAACAGGGCTTTCCTGCCTCCACCCTCCCATTCCAGAAGCTCAGGGGACTCTATAGGACAACATCTGATGTGAACAGAACTTCTGCCTGAACAGAAGTTTATACTAGCACTTGGCATCACTGGATCCAAGCCTATGCTCCCATGTTGAACATAACGATTTATTCATATTTTCTTCAATTCCAGAAAAAGTTGACTAGTTTATTATACCCAGAGGCATGCCTAGGAGCCCTTAAACCATTGGAAAAGAATTGTATTGGCCCCCTGCCCCCCCAAAAAAACAATACAGTACTTTACTGCAATAGCCACATTAGAAATGACTACATTTTATGTGACCCAACTACTCAAAGCATCCGCAGTGGAGGCAAGGCAAGGAGGAAGAGCAAAAGAATTAGCATGCATTTGTGCCATGATGCAAAAAGGACAGGAAGCTTCTCCTATGTTTGATTTCACCACGACAGTGGAGGCAAGTCACCCCACACACCTACATCATACACTCCACAGTCTGATAGGTGTTTTTTGCATGCCCCTCCCCCCAGGCCTGCACCCCTGGTTGGGGGCTGGTTTCACCAACCCCCAGGTACGCCTCTGATTGTACCTCGGTATGCTCTTTGGTAAGTATGTAAGTTGTTGCCATTTGTTTGTTGCGACATCATAAATCCAACCATCACCTGAAAATAAAGAAAGATGCATAATTACTGCTATTTATTTTATTTAAACACTAACAACTTGATAATAAGAGACCATTTAAGTTATGCAATATATTATGTTCCGTGTTTAAACATGAAATAAATGATACTGAATAGGAAAAACTAGGGCAACTGTGGACAGGACCCAAGGAGCAGCTTGTACTAACCCTATGGGCTTTTGACTCCCTCCTCCTACAGAACACTGGACTTTAGTGCCATATCAGAACTAAAGGTAAAGGTAAAGGTACCCCTGACCATTAGGTCCAGTCGTGACCGACTCTGGGGTTGCGGCGCTCATCTTGCTCTATGGGCCAAGGGAGCCGGCATTTGTCCGCAGACAGCTTCTGGGTCATGTGGCCAGCATGACTAAGCCGCTTCTGGCGAACCAGAGCAGTGCACGGAAACGCCGTTTACCTTCCCGCCGGAGTGGTACCTATTTATCTACTTGCACTTTGACGTGCTTTCGAACTGCTAGGTTGGCAGGAGCAGGGACCGAGCAACGGGAGCTCACCCCGTCGCAGGGATTCGAACTGCCGACCTTCTGATCAGCAAGTTCTAGGCTCTGTGGTTTAACCCACAGCGCCACCCGCGTCCCTTCATATCAGAACTACCTGCTTTTAAAATTCCCTTCCGTTACAAAAGTGGTGGCAAGGAGGGATGTTGTAACTTGAAGCCTCCTTGAGCACAGACTTGACTAGTTACACGGTTCTATGGACTGGGACCACTCTATGTTTCACAAGCATTCAGCATCTCTGCTTGGGCGAGTCCTCTTCTTTTCCCCACTTTTCCTTTCTGTCTGTTGTGACAGCCTGCAGACTAGGCTGCACATTTCAGACTTCTGCTGCAGAGGCAGACAATAAACTAGTCTTGGGAGGCAGGGGTACCATTTTAAAGCCCAGATATCTTCAAAAGGCCTATTGGCTGGAGATGGAAAGTACCCAGAACTAAAGCAGCTTTGTTAGAAGGAAAGGTGCTCTGAGAGTCTCTTTTGTGTGAAGACCTGGATAAAACTGCTTTCAATAAATAATAATAAAAATTTATCCTATGTCTGTTTAGTTAGAAGTAAGCTCTGCAGATAAATAGATTTACCCCTAAGTAACTGCAGCCGATGCGTTATAGTACTGTTTTTTAAAATGCCAAGTCTGAAACTAAAAACTAAAGGAACAGTTTTTTAAAACATTCTGACAATGATTTTAGCTGGCTGCAGTTCTTTGACTTATAAAGAAAGCCACAGCAGTTTCCTTCTGAAACGTGAAATCTGCTAGACTTTGATAAAAGATGGATTGAAATATTATCTTTAAGTTTACTTGTAGTCAGATTTGGAGCAGGGGGACAGGAGCCAGGATGGTGGCAAGTCCTTCAAGCATCATGTATCCAGAGTTTTTCTGTTGCTATTGTGCCAGCAATTCATTGACAAACAAGTTTGTAATTTATCTTAGCATTATAGTTTGTTAATCACACAAATCATTCAGTTGTAACTTGCTTCCCTCTTAGCATAGTGTACTCAATAATTTTGAATAAATAAAGTGATAACAATCAATTAATATCAAACTACTTACTTAAGGGTACATTGTCTGAACTCAGCCCACCAAACAGGAAAAGTTTACTATCTGTTACAGATGTCAAAGTATGCCATGATCTGTCTCCTGGTTTTTCTCCATTTGTACAAATTCTAGGAAAAGCAAGCAAAAAACAAAAGGCCTACATATTTCAAGAAACAAACAAAATAATTATTGGGTGGGCAGTTTAGCATCTTTCAGGTAGGGGGGAACAACTATTTTGCGAAGTCAGCATTCACGTCAAGTGATTTGCTTACAGAGCACTTGCTTACTGCACCACTGCCAATGAGAGTCCTTCCCATGGGTAATGCTCTATTTTTCAAGTCTTTTTGCTCTTGGGAACCTCCTGTTGGGACATTCTTAGGATCCATGAAAATCCCAGGATCTGCCTGAGGACTCTCCTCGTCTTTCAAAACCAGGAATCCATAGCTACCAAGGAGGCAGGCTCCTAACAGAAGCACTATCTGATACTGGTGAGAAGGGGGCTACAGACCCTGTTCTCCCTAAAGGCTTTGCATGTGTAATAAATGTGTAATATGGTAATAAATTCATTGGGTCTGAGGCCCAGAACAATAAATACTACTAATTTAACATCAAACAAAATTTAAACAAAAAAATTAAAGGAGAGAATCTGTCCTTATAGAATTCCTTCCTTCCTTCCTTCCTTCCTTCCTTTACAAAATACTGTTTTCCCAGTCTGAGAACACTCATAAGAATGGATAAACGTACTTCAAAGATATGTCAAACTGAGATTTCTACACAATCTAAATAAATGTTCCCCAAAACCATATTGCTGTTTACCACCCTAAAACAATTATCTAAAAAAGGGCATCGTTATTTTAAGCATAACAAAGAGCAGTTTTTAACTCAAGCTCCCCCCCAAAAGAAAACCAAAGGGGGGAAAAAGTAATGATGGGAGTAAAAGGTAAAGGTAAAGGGACCCCTGACCATTAGGTCCAGTCGTGGCTGATTCTAGAGTTGTGGCGCTCATCTCGCTTTATTGGCCAAGGGAGCCGGCATACGGCTTCTGGGTCATGTGGCCAGCATCACAAAGCCGTTTCTGGCGAACCAGAGCAGCGCATGGAAATGCCGTTTACCTTCCCGCCGGAGCAGTACCCATTTATCTACTTGCACTTCGTGCTTTTGAACTGCTAGGTTGGCAGGAGCAGGGACCGAGCAACGGGAGCTCACCCCCGTCGCGGGGATTCGGACCACTACCTTCTGATCGGCAAGTCCTAGGATCTGTGGTTTAACTCACAGCACCATCCGCGTCCCAAATGATGGGAGTATTCAGTACTAAATATACAAATACATTGAACATGAATTGTTACATACAACAGAGCTATGACATGAGGAAAAACTTACTTTCCTGACCAAACCCAGGTATCCAAATTCAAATAATGTAAATCATTCATTCTTTTTTGCTGTTAAAATAAAAAAGTTTAATCAGGAAAATATGACAATACAGAATGATTTTCAAAGGACAGCCAAGTAATAGATTCTGTCTGAGAACACCTCAAATGGGCAAATTGCAGCTGTTTCAAGACAGATTGTGTTCTTTATGGATTAAGGCAATATTCCCTGACCTGGTAACCTCCAGATGTTCTGAACTACAACTCCCATGAGCTCCACCCAGCTAACATGATCACTTTTCTGATTTCCTACCTAGCCCCCTCTCTCTAACTTAAGGCACAGTTCCGATATATTTCATTTGGTCAAGAGGAAAAGCAGGATGGTGAATAGGAAGAACTTTGGCTTCTTGTATTGAATACTGCTGGATGGAGAAAGGGAGCTCCACAGAGGAAATCCCTTTATGTCTGCTGGCTGCACTCTCATTAGCAGGAATCATATATTTACATTATTATTCTTGATCACAGCAACTTCAAATGCAATCTGCATTTTCATAAAAAGAAGTAAGGACAGCCCTGCTGGATCTAGACCAGCATTCAGCTCCACTAACAGCCCACCAGATACATGGATGGGAAGGCCTCAAAGAGGACCTGGGTGCAACAGTGCCCTCCCCACTTAATGGGAATTGCTCCTCTGTATCCTGTCCACATAGAGATGCCTTTGGGAAATCCACAAATGGCCCCAAGGGCAAGAGTTCTCTCCTGCTGATACTCGGAGGCAGACTGTCTCTGGTCCTGCAGACAGCAGAAGTATAAACACACTTGTAGCCTAATCTTGCTAAACATTACATGCATACATTAGTACCAACTACAATCCAAAGTCTTTTCCTCAGAAGATATATTTTGGGGAGCAGTATCTGTTGATTGCATTCAAGATGTCACTGGCAATACAACCTGCCTTTGTAGTTTCGGAACTCTGTTACTTTGGTAAAGGCTGGCTCACTTTTTAAAACACTGCAGCTCTTTTTAAAAAGGTAAATAGGCTCCCTTTCCCTCACAGCAGGCCTCACCATTTCAAGACTTTTCTCTTACAGTATTTTTATTTCAAAGCTGAGTGCTTTTCCCTTTCCAGCACTGACATGCTCCTTTCCCCCCGTTTTTTCATAGTGTAAACATAAAATCAGTACAAACCAAAACACGGCCTCCAAACACGTAACCTTTGTTTCCTAGGACTGTGCATGAATGTGCTGCTCGAGGCTGAGGTGGAACTCCATTCTGCAAGCAAATACAAAAGAAGTACTGCTGTGATTCTTAGGACTGCTGTATTGCGTTTGAGCCAGGACTGCTTTTGAAGATGGTTTAGAAACTTCAGTTGCTGCAGAACGAATTGACTGTCTACATTCTGGTATGGACCGGAAAGTCAGAACATTAAATCAATCCTGTCTGTGAGTTTCTGGGGCCAATTTAAAAATTGTTGTGGTAACCTAAATCCCTAAAAGTTTGGGATCAGGTTATCGGCTTCGCCCATATGATTTTTGCCTGCAAATTAAGATCTGCATTGAAGGTCCTACGTGGATATCTTACCACTGGTAAGATCAACAAAGTTGCCTAGCACAAGAAGACAGGATGGGCACCCTTGTCTAGGTTCACCTATGATGTCTCTTCTGTGTGGATTGCATTGGCCTCTTCAGTTCAGGCATTCAAACTGGCCTCAAAACCAGTTTGGTTCACTGCTGTCTTCTCCTAAGACTGCAATAGGTTTTTATTTCTTAGAAATACTTTAAAATGTTTGTGTTTGCAGATTTGTTTTTTTACTATGGTAGGGCATTACCCTTAAAAGCAGCCTAGAAATACTTCGATAAATAAATGATTCAGAATATTCATATCAATCCAAGAGCATAAGGAAAGATATGTGAGATTGTGTTTGGAAAGCCTCTGGAGGACAACGAAACGTGACAACAACAAATCCAGAGTTCAAGTAACACTTACTTTAATTTTTGGCTGATACCAAGTTTGCGTAGTTGTATCAAAAACATGAACGTCATTGTGCCATCCCCAGAATATCCGTTCTCCCTGAAAGAAAACAAAGAAGTGAAACAGTAGGTTAAAGGGAATAAAAGACAATAAAACCACTGCTAATATTCCTTCCAACACAGGGTCCTCTTTATTTGAAACTGTAACAGATCTCTTACCCAATATGCATCATGAACATCAAAACAGTCACTCAGCTCACTCTGCTTTCTACAGCCATAGCCACCAAAATAGATGAGCCTTTTAAAAAAATCAGAATTAAAATTTACAAATTAATTCCTGCCATTAGATCTAAGAGATCAGATGCCCTAATTTAATTCCTCTAGAGCAGCCTTCCCTAACCTGTTGCCTTCTACACCTTTTTGACTACAACTCACACATCTAGAAGGCAACAGGTTAGAGAAGGCAGCTCTATAGTTCTTTGACACCTGCAATCATCTTGTTTCAATTCTCCTTGTGTGTGAAACCTTCCCACCCTCCAGTGTGCAAGGAACTACTGGAGCAAGGCATTTAAGAGTAAAAGGACTTATCTGTGCTACCAAAATGCAGATCAATCAGCAGAGGAAAAACTCAAATATGCATTCATATTTTAATCATCTAATATTTCTAAGTCAGTGAACCACTGTCATTTAACAAGGTTTTAATATTGCCTTGGGCTCTAATCCTATCCAATATCATGCCTCACACATAATTTGCAGGCTGTTGACATCAGCGCAATTCTCATTTTATAAGTGAAGGAACAGAAGCACAAGTGAATTAAGGGAAGACAAAGGTCATCAAGCCACACAGAATTACAACCTGGTCTGTTCACCAGCTAATGCCACCTCCCCATTTGTGAAATCACCCATGACAATTACCTGTCTTTATACACCCAGCAGGCAAGTTTGTCACGTGGTGTAGGAGGCTGACCTTTAAAGTCTGTGATTTTTTTCCACAAATAGGTTCCATTTCTTGTTCGCAAATTAACATAATAGAGCTTAAAAGGAAATTAAGACACTTTCAACACACAGCAATATTCTGGAAAAAATGAAGTGCTAACTGGCAAAAGTGGTGTCTGGAGAGAACAACCAGTAATATTTAGTCCTTTATAGTTTTAATAGAAAAGGCTTAAATTCTTCTTCCTCCACTTGCTCACTGCTAATAATGAGCAGCACTTTTCATTGCAGGGGGGGCTTCCGTATTCTAATTTTAACTGTTGAAAGTCAGACTGTCCTTAACCTTTTCCACAACAGCAACATAAATTCCAAAGAAATAAAATGAAGCAGAAAGGCTTAACCTCTCAACTGATGTTTGGTCACAACTTCTACTAAAATTAATTACTGTGATGCCCCGTCATAAAGAGTTATAGAATCTAGTTACTCCACAGAATCTAGTCAAGATCAGTTCCTAAACATCGGTGTCAAGCAGAGTCCCTCTGACATCAAAGGGCAGCTCTGCAGGCTTATATAAATTTTGAATGGCAGCATAACAAACAGGTCATCAAATTTACACTGACATGAATGAGTTGCTGCCCTTCTTTTGGTAGCAGCATGAAATGCACAAAACTGCAAAACAAATTACACACACCCAATCAGGCTGCTTCTCAAACATAAGCGCCCGCATCACATGGCAAATCATTATGGAAATAAGGAGGAGGGTTAAAAGATTGTGTGTGTGTGTGATAGGTTCTGCGGTTCAAATACTTGGGCATACCCTAAAGTTGTTCTTCTGGTTCTAGCCTGTTACATCCGTGTGAAAATAAAATCAAAACATAATGTTAAGATTTCTTGAACAGTTTAATTCTCACTACTATACTATTTCATCCTTAACAAGCCTGGTAATTCTATCCGAAAGTTTTTAAAAATAAAGGAACCCTTTACCCGATTGCTGTATCCTTTGTCATCATATCCTCCAAAGATGTACAGCTTTCCATTAACAGATGCTCCACAACTTCCAGACATGGATGGAGGCAATTCACCTTCCATCAGATGCATCGACCTGTAAATCAGTGAGCATAAGAAATCCCACAATTTGACCCACAGATACAGTAGTAAATTCCTTCAGGAGCCCTCATGGGAAGCGATTCATGAATGAAATATGTAATGAAATACAGGTAGTAGTTAGCGAAGGGTAGACTGAGGCTGGTTAGGCAGTGCCCCATTTGCCCTAATGGACCAGACTCCACTGGTGCCATCCCTAGACACAACCTACTATTGTCATGTATCTCTGTCTCAAGAGACAATGGAGTGTGCCTCTGGGGATGAAGTCAAACTGCTGTGTTAGGAGCATCAAAGTGACTTCCCTGGGGTGCAAGCCTGGGCAGTGTGTATGGAGGTCCTGGGATGGCCAGATGACAATAATAATAATAATAATAATAATAATAATAATAATTTTTATTTATACCCCGCCCACCCCAGCCAAGGCCGGGCTCAGGGCAGCTAACAAGCAATAATAAAAACAAGTTGAATGAATACAACTTAAAAACAAGATTAAAATACAACATTAAAATATTGAAACATTAAACAACTCTGTCTTACAGGCCCTGCAGAAAGGAATCAGATCCTGCAGGGCCCTGGTCTCATGAGACAGAGCGTTCCACCAGGCCGGGGCCAGTGTGGAAAAGGCTCTGGCTCTGGTTGAAGCCTTCTCTTCGCCTTGCTACGGTCCAAAGAAAAGCAGAGCAATACGTTCAGGCCAACTGTCTTATGGACTCCTCTCCAGATATGTGTAAGGTTTACTCCTTAACCTTTTCTTCTCCTGAAGATATCCCACAAGGCAGCAGAGGTTTAGGGTCAGTTTTCCTTCTCTTGGATGGGCTACATTCCCATGCTGCTCCTCACTTCCCTCTACAGCAGGGGTCAGCAAACTTTTTCAGCAGGGGGCCGGTCCACTGTCCCTCAGACCATGTGGGAGGCTGGACTATATTTGGGGGGGGGGAATGATGCAAAAGCCCCGGTGACTGCTTACCTGTGTCTAGCGAGCGGCAGGGGCTGGCGGCGACACGATGAGCGGTGTGCGAACAAAGCCCAGCCCCCTTCCTCCTCTAGGCAGGATGGGGAGAAGCCAGGAGGAGGGAGGGAGGAGGCACCGCCACCACCATGAGAGTGGGAGGGAAAGAATGTGTGCGCTGGTGATCTAGATCAAGGGAAGTAATAGTGCCACTGTATTCTGCTCTGGTCAGACCTCACCTGGAGTACTCTGTCCAGTTCTGGGCACCACAGTTCAAGAAGGACACTGACAAACTGGAACGTGTCCAGAGGAGGGCAACCAAAATGGTCAAAGGCCTGGAAACGATGCCTTATGAGGAACGGCTAAGGGAGCTGGGCATGTTTAGCCTGGAGAAGAGGAGGTTAAGGGGTGATATGATAGCCATGTTCAAATATATAAAGGATGTCACATAGAGGGGGAGAAAGGTTGTTTTCTGCTGCTCCAGAGAAGCGGACACGGAGCAATGGATCCAAACTACAAGAAAGAAGATTCCATCTAAACATTAGGAAGAACTTCCTGACAGTAAGAGCTGTTTTGACAGTGGAATTTGCTGCCAAGGAGTGTGGTGGAGTCCCCTTCTTTGGAGGTCTTTAAGCAGAGGCTTGACAAGGGTGGCGCTTGGGGGGGAATTGTCATCCCGCCACTCCTTGGTGTGTGGAGTGCCTCAGGGTGCGATACTCTCCCCGATGCTTTTTAACATCTTTATGCGCCCCCTCGCCCAGCTTGTCCGGAGTTTTGGGCTGGGTTGCCATCAGTATGCCGATGACACCCAACTCTATCTGTTGATGGATGGCCATCCTGACTCGGCCCCAGACACACTGACCAGATGTTTGGAAGCTGTGGCTGGATGGTTACGTGGAAGCCGGTTGAAGTTAAATCCTTCGAAGACAGAGGTCCTCTGGCTGGGACGGGACGATATGGGATTGGGGGGGCAACTCCCATCTCTTGCGGGGTGCAATTAGTGCCAGCACCGTCCGTTAAGAGTTTGGGTGTAATCTTCGATACCTCCCTCTCTATGGAGGCGCAGATTACAGCTATAACAAAGGCGGCATATTTTCATCTCCGCCAAGCTAAGCAGTTGGCCCCTTATCTCTCTCGCCCTGACCTAGCCACTGTGATCCACGCGACGGTCACCTCCAGACTGGATTATTGTAACTTGCTCTACGTGGGGCTGCCCTTGAGACTGACCCAGAAACTCCAGCGGGTGCAGAATGCTGCAGCGAGACTCCTTATGGGGTCTTCGCTGCGAGATCACATTCATCCGGTACTATACCAGCTGCACTGGCTCCCGGTGGAGTACAGGATCAGGTTTAAGGTGCTGGTTTTAACCTTTAAAGCCCTATACGGCCTAGGACCCTCGTACCTACGGGACCGCCTCTCCTGGTATGCCCCACAGAGGAACCTACGGTCTGCAAATAAAAACATCCTGAAGGTCCCAGGCCTCAGAGAGGTTAGGCTGGCCTCAACTAGAGCCAGGGCTTTCTCGGCTGCGGCTCCAATCTGGTGGAACGCTCTGTCACAGAGACTAGGGCCCTGCGGGACCTGACATCTTTCCGCAAGGCCTGCAAGACAGAGTTGTTCCACCAGGCCTTTGGTCAGGGCCCAGCCTGACTCCCTCCTCTGGCAACCTGCACAGAACTTTGCTTAACAGTTGCCATTAATTTGATTTTAATTAATTTTTATAATGAAATGTTTTAGAATGTTGGATTATTTGATTGTTTGATTATTTGTTTGTTGTTAGCCGCCCTGAGCCTGGCTTTGGCTGGGGAGGGCGGGATATAAATAAAATTTATTATTATTATTATTATTATATGTCAGGAGTGCTCTGATGGTGTTTCCTGCTTGGCAGGGTGTTGGACTCGATGGCCCTTGTGGTCTCTTCCAACTCTGTGATTCTATGATTCTATGATCCACGCAGTGGTTCCCGGACTGTCCGTGGGCCGGATCCAGATGGCAATTGGGCCTGATCGGGCCCGCAGACCTTAGTTTGCCGACCCATGCTCTACACTACAGCATATGCAGAAACCGCCTTCTTGACTATTGGACCCACTGTTGGTCTCGTCTGCTCAATCCGCCAGAGCCTGCCTTTCCCTCACCCATCAGCTACCCTCACCCGTTTTGGCCGGCCTGTCAAAGCCACTCCTGGGGTGTGTCCACTGTCACATGCTGGAAGCCTCCAGGACTAGTCGCAGCAATACAATAAAAGGAAGGAGAAACAGAGATACCTATTTTCCAGCACATATTATGCAGAAAGTCCATGAAAATCCATGGGATTTACTTTTACCCAGGAATTTAGGATCGTGCCTTTTGAAACAGTAATGAAGGCTTGTGATATAAAGGGCCTTGTTAAAAATTGTCAGTAAATAATATGACTTACCATAATCCACTGTCAATTTCATAGATCCACAGCTCATCGTTAGGTAAGTAAACTTCATTTTCTTCAATTGACTAACCAAAATAAGAAAGAAAATCATAGGCATACAAATGTTCCATCAGGGTCACTGGAAATCTTCCTTTTTACCAACAAGCTACTTTTCATTTCAAATTATAGCTTCTCATCAAGTGATTTGGATTGTGGAAGCAGTGCTGTAATAATGCACACTCATGGAATTTTCTTCCTGTATATAGGAGTTTTGCTAGCTACCTAAGATACGCTCTGCTCAGAGTTCCACCAAGGTCTCTTGGGAAATTAAATTAAGTCTGGTTCAGCAGCAAATGGGAAGCAGGGAAATCGAGGCACTCCAAAGTATTGTTAAAAGCAATGTAATAAAGAAATTCCTATTTTGAAGAGTTGCCCATCGAGAAAAGTCTTAGTGGTGATCAAGACTTTCGGGAAGCATTAGGCATTAAAACCAGCCACCATAAACTGGGATATTTGATGCCTAATCTCATGGCACAAGGCAATCAGGATTCTGGAGCTAGAGAGGTGGAGACTATGCCACTCATGTGGAATTATTATTTTGTACTAAAATCAGTGTAAGATCTTTGTGCCTGAAGAAAGGCAGGGAAAGGCAGACTAGCCATAGCAAGGCACAACCTTCTCCAATAGATCTCAGCAAAAGGTCAGCCACTGCTCTTTCTGCACTGCTGTTCTGTGATCATTTAGCTGCACACAAATGGTGTATTTGGGAGGATGTGCACGTGTGATATCCATGCAGAACCAAGAACTGTATTTGTGAAACTGAAATGGCATCCCTCCAGTTTGCTAGCAAAGCCAGAGGAGAGAAATCACACCCAGAATCATCCAGCTAATGGCACTGTAAATAATTATTTGAACGATGAAGTTTTGCATATGAGAAGTGGTGGTTGCTGCCAGAGGTCCTGTGATTTCCTGCAACTGGTACTCAGAAGCATGGAGGCAGAGCACAGCTTTCAGGGCTATTATTCTCCAGGAATATGTCCAATCCTCTTCTAAAGCCACTCAGGACCATCTTGGCTGTGAGTCATGGAAGGCTTGCACCATGCCATGCAGGCATGTTTGTGCTGGCTGGGGCTGACAAGGTAGGACAGTGGTACCTTGGTTCTCAAACTTAATCCATTCCAGAAGCCTGTTCCAAAACCAAGGTGCGCTTTCCCATAGAAAGTAATGCAAAATGGATTCATTCTTTCCAGACTTTTAAAAACAACCCCTTTAAACAGCAATTTAACATGAATTTTACTATCTAACGAGACCATAGATCCATAAAATTAAAGCAATTAATTAAAGTTAATTAAATTAAAGTTTACTGCAGTCACACAATCAATCAATCAGTAGCTGAACTGGGTTCCACAGTCACAAAAAGAGAGAGCTGCAAAAACAAAAATGCAAAATAAATAGCAAAAACAGATAGACCTCAACATTACACTCAAAACGGAAGTGTGGCACTCAAAACAGAAGCTTAAAACTCAAATTCATCAGCGTAACACTCAAAACAGAGCACGTTTGGCTTCCAAAAAAAGTTTGCAAACCCAAACACTTCTGGGTTTGCAGTATTTGGGTTCCAAGGCGTTTGAGAACCAAGGTACCAATGTAGCCCCAAACATCTGGAGGGCATCAGGTTGGGGACGGCCACCCAATGCTATGGCTCCAACAAGGCTGGGACAATTTACCTGCAAGGTCGCCTCACCCCATAATTGCCCACCCAGCAGCTTCAACTGACAGAACTGGCACCGTTACAGGTGTCCCATGAGATCTGTTCCACATTTGTAATAATTTCATTTTTTCATGTGGCAGCACCTACACATTGGAACTCCATACCTATTGACATCACCACACTGCACTTTCCCATGCCTGCTAAAATCATTCATTTACACAAGCCTGCCCAGATGTTGTATTCGAGTTTTCATGTTTTAAGACGACTGCCATTTCAGCTTTCCGAAAGTTTTTAACCAGTCTTAACTTTTCTTGCTGACAATTTTACTGTTTCATTATTATATTTTGTAAACCGCTTTGAGGTTTTGTGTCCCCGTCCCCCCACAACCAAGCGGTGTTTGAATCTTATGAAATGAAATGTTATTGGCGAAAGAGTGCGAGTGGCGGGGAACCGAGTCGCCCTTTTATTTATTGAATTTATACACCGCTCTATAACAGAAGGTCTCCTCAGGGCAGGGGGCGGGAAAATAGGCCGGCCGCCGCGCCTCGAAAAACCAGCGACCAATAGGCGACGTCGCTTAGGTAATCGACGGCCCCTCTCTCCAATCCCGCTTCAACGCTACCTCCAAACCCCCACCCTTCCGGGCCCTCTCGCCCTGTTATGCTTTCCCGCCCATTTTGCTCTCCTCAGCGAGCGCCCGAGTGGTGGGCGGAGCCAGCGCCCCTTCCCCGTCTCCTCACGGGATGTTTTGTCGTCGGCCGCCCGGAGCCTCCCTCCGCCGCCGCCCCGCTTCTCCGCCGCCTCCCTCGCCCCTTCCTTACCACGTATCCCCCCCCACACGTAGAGGCAGCCGCCGTCCACCACGGCGCAGTGCCCGCTCCGCTCCTCGGCCACGGAGAACTCCTGAAGCGGTGGGGAAGCGGCGGCAGCAGCAGGAGGAGTCGCCGCCGCCGCCGCCATCTTGACGCGGGGTGAAAAGGCAGGCTGCCGTCGCCTCGCGTCGTCCCCTCAGCAACCGCGCGACGCCCGACCGCTCGGAACGCGGGCCTGGCTCGGGAGCGCGGCGCCGTCGGCCTTGGGGAGGGAGCCGTCGCGGAGCCGCTTCTTCCGCCGCCGCCGTCCCTCTCTCCCTTGGCGCGGATGCGCAGGACTCGCCTCGCGCCAACCGCCCCGAGCGCCGTTTGAGGAGGAGGAAAGGCGGAATAGGCCGGGGAGGGCGGGGGAAGAGAAGAAGAAGAAACATCAATAAACTGACGGACTGGTGTCTTCGTTATTGTCTGTTCGTAAAACGGCACTTCGATAAGGCAAATCCCACGTCCTTGGAAAGGAATTGAAAACGAAATGGCCTCTGGCGCGACCGCACTGGAAATCCCGGCGCCATGGGGTCGCCTCATCTGAAAAAGGGCATCGCGGGGTTGGGAATAATAATAATAATAATAATAATAATAATAATAATAATAAATTTATACCCCGCCCATCTGGCTGGGCTTCCCCAGCCACTCTGGGCGGCTTCCACAAAAAATATTAAAATACTGTAATACATCAAACATTAAAAGCTTCCCTAAGCAGGGCTGCCTTCAGATGTCTTCTAAAGTTTGGTAGTTGTTGTTCTCTTTGACATCTGGTGGAAATTAACACATGCCATTAAGGTAAGACGGGGAATATGTAGGAAAAATACGTAGGGAAAAGGGAAACCCCAAAGAACCGAGGGGCTGGAGCGGCTTCCCTATGAAGAAAGGGGGCGACGTTTGAAGCTTCTTCGTTCAGATTGAAAATAAGAGGCAACATGATAGAAGTTAGTTAACACATGGAAAGGGCGTTATTTTATGAAAACCAAGTAACTTAATTTTTTTTTTTAAGTGAACAGTACATCATCACCATCAAACCTTTATTGGCATCACATACAAACATTCAGAATAAATAGGCCAGTGCGATCTCGTCACCATTTCAACAGTACAGTCATTTGCCAAAGGGAAGAAGAGGCGAGCAATCTATTTCAAAGCAGTGTCTAAATCTTGTTAAATAAATAACTAAAATTGTTAAATAAATAAAAAGTGGAAGGGTTCTGTCCTGGACAGGTGGTTCAATGTCTTTATAAATGACTTGGATGAAGGAGTTGGGATGCTCATCCTCCTTTGGTGATCACTTGAAGCGGAGTAAAATTGTCTTCCATGAGTCCGTCAGTGACCATGGAGGCCAATTCTGGATCCGCAGTGGGGACACTGGTTTCCAGGCGGGAGTGGATCACGGTGAGGGTTTGCCAAATGTGCCTTCCTCTTAGCACATTTCGTCCTGAGGATGCTCATCCAATTTGCAGATGACACCGAACTGGGAGAGGTAGCTAATGCCGCAAAAGACAGAATCAGAATTCAAAATGAGAACTGATCGGAGAACCTGGCGCAAGCTAACAAAATGAATTTCAATAGGGACAAATGTCAGGTTCTGCACTTAGGCAGGAAAAACCTGGTGCACAAATATAGGATGGGGGACACCTGTCTTACTAGCAGTACAGTGGTACCTCTGGTTGTGAATGGGATCCGTTCCGGAGCCCCGTTCGCAACTTGAGTACGCAACCTGCATCTGTGCGGGTCGCGATTCGTCACTTTTGCACGTGTGCATGCCATTTTGAGCATCTGCGTACGTGCGAGTGGCGAAATCCAGAAGTAACCCTTTCTGGTACTTCCAGGCCGCCGCGGGACGCAACCTGAAAAGATTTAACCTGAAGCAAAGGTAACGAGGTATGACTATGTGTGAAAAGGATCTAGGGGTCTTGGTGGACCACAAGCTGAACAGTGTGTCAACAGTGTGATGCAGCAGCAAAAAAAGCTAACGCTATTCTAGGCTGCATCAACAGAAGTTTAGTGTCCAGATCAAGGGAAGTAATAGTCCCACTCTATTCTGCCTTAGTCAGACCACACCTGGAATACTGTGTCCAATTCTAAGCACCACAATTTTAGAAGAATGTTGACAAGCTGGAACATGTGCAGAGGAGGGCAACCAAGATGATCAAGCGCCTGTGGAAGCAAGTCTTCAATTATTGGTTATCATTGTGGCATAGATTACCAGACCATTACCTTGCCCAATGCTTATGGCGAGATGAATTCCCCAGCCTTTGGACCAGTAGAATTCATGCCAAACTCCTGAGCTATGGAATCTCTCCCTTAGATTCCCTAAAACTAGATCAAATCACTGCTCAAAGACTGATCCGCCAAAGACTGGATGACATCGATTTACAGCAAAATTATATGCTGGGGGGAGGTGTTTGTTCGCCCCAGAACATTGGTATCACTTTAACTTACTGCGTTCCATCATACCTCTCCTCCCTTTCGACTGCTGCCCATAGGCTGGCCTTCACCAAAGCGAGGTTTAATGTTTTCCCTCCAATGTCCTGAGACATAGATTCTCAAAGGGCCAAACCTCCGCCATGTGCGAATGTGATAAGGAGATGCCGGAGTCGCTTCAGCACATTATGTTCACTTGCCCCTTATTTAAGGTGCCACGGGCAAATTTGTTGGGATCAATCATACAGAAATTAGAGGGTACTCCACCAAAATTCCACCTTGCCCAAATCTTGCAGGATAAGGATGCCCATACGACCCTGAAAGTGGCTAGGTTCCTGGTCGCTGTCCTTACCCAAAAGCGTTGCCAAGGAGCACCACAAGCTAATTAAGGCGTAGTATGCCATTCCATCTTATAGTAGTTTATTGTTATAGTAGTGTTTTAGCGGCTGTTTTTTCCCATGTGCACAGGCTGTTATTTATGTCTTGTTTTTATCTGTATGGGCCTACGGCCGTAATAAATAAATAAATAAAAAGATCAAGCGTCTGGAAACCAAGCCTTAGGAGCAGTGTTTTTTCTGGGGGGACACAGGGGTACGCATACCCAGTGCCGGATTTACGTATAAGCTAAACAAGCAGAAGCTTAGGGTCCCACTACCTTGGGGCCCCCCAAAAGATTTAAAGCAAAAAAAAACCTGGATGTGCATTTGCAAAATATAAGATAAAAAACATAAAATAAAACCTACATACAGCAACAGTGGCAAATGGCTTTAGATACCTATTACAGTGGTACCTCGGGTTAAGTACTTAATTCGCTCTGGAGGTCCGTACTTAACCTGAAACTGTTCTTAACCTGAAGCACCACTTTTTTTATTATTTACATTTAATTATTTCAGATGATGACGATGCGTCTGCCACGTCCAGCCCAGCAAGCATCCGCAGACGAATTAAGACCCCGAAATGGACTTTGGACATGCCTGGTCATTAAAAAAAAAACCTCTCTATAATATATGTATTTCAATGAACTTGTTTTTAGAATTGGTTGTTAGTCGCCCTGAGCCCAGTCTTGCCTGGGGAGGGCGGGGTATAAATAACATTTATTTTTATTTTTATTTTAGAAAGCCACAGGGGCCGGGTAAAAATGGGTTTTGGGGGCTGAATTAATGGACTTTGGACATGCCTTTTCAATATAGTCATATTTACTTGAAGCGATTCTAAATCATTTTTTTTAAAAAAACCCTCTATAATACATGGAGATCTTGGAGATTTCAGATGATGACGATACTTATATTTTATTTTATTTTTATTACTTATATTGTATTTATTTATATTTTTTTATTTCTATTTTATTTTATTTTTATTACTTATATTTTATTTTATTTTTATTACTTATATTGTATTTTATTTTTATTACTTATATTTTATTTATTTATATTTTTTTATTTATATTGTATTTTATTTTTATTACTTATATTTTATTTTATTTTTGTTACTTATATTGTATTTATTTCTATTTTTTTATTTCTATTTTATTTTATTTTGACTATTTCTATTTTATTTTCTATTTTCTATTTTATTATTTACAATTATTTCGGACGATGACGAGACTTCTGCCCCGCCCAGCCCTGCTCGGGGAAGGGAGCGGAGGCGGAGGCGGCGGCGGCGCCGCGGCGGGCCTTCCCTCCTCGCGAAGGGGCCGGACGAGGGACGAGGAGGCGGCGGCCTCGCCGTTGGCGGGAAAAGCGCCCAAGATGGCCGCCGAGAAGCTGAGGGGCAAAGTGGGCGCTGCCTTCAAGATGCACGGCTTGCTGCTCCGCGCGTGAGTAGCAGAAACACCCCGGGGTGGGAAGCCAGACTCTGCCCCCCCAACCCACGCCCCTTGCATGAAGGGCTGCGTGTACACGTGTACGTGTGAACGCAGCCCCAGGCGCGCGCGGGCGCCGCCTCCCCCCTGGGGCTCCTCAGGTGGCCGACAAAGAGATGAGAAAGGGGGTGTGCAACGAATGGGTCGTCTTTTTTCGCCATATCTGGTGACTTGGGGTCTCCTCGTGTGAAATGGACAGGCAACGTCGAAAGCTGGGGCGGCTCACACGGAGCCAAACTCGGTCCTCCAGATTTTTTTGGGGGACTACAACTCCCATCATCCCTAGCTAACAGGAGGAATGGTCAGGGGTGATGGGAATTGTAGTCTCAGAACATCTGGAGGGCTGAGGTTGCCTATGCTTGCCCTTGGCCATGTGAGCTGATGGGGGTGGAGTCCCACAACATCTGGGAGAAATAAAAAAAATGGTCCAGTAGCACCTTATAGACCAACTATATAACAATAACAACAACAATTTATTATTTATACCCACAACAACAACAACAATAATAATAATAATTTATTATTTATACCGCACCCATCTGGCTGGGCTTCCCCATCCACTCTGGGCAGCTTCCAACAAAATATTAAAATACAGTAATGCATCAAACATTAAAAGCAAAAAACATTAAAATCGTGCATGCACGCGAAAGCCTATACCAGAACAAACTTATATGGTCTATAAGGTGCCACTGGACAATTTTTTAAAAATTATTTTTATTTCAACTGCATCAGACCAACACGGCTACCTACCTGAATCTAACATCTGGAAGGGCCACCATCAGCCACAGGTTGCAAGGACCGTGGGGAATTTGGTGCTGAAAGATAAGAGAAATTTTTCTATGTACTAGGTTAGAAAGCTTTCAGAAAAAAAAGAGCTAGGCCAGGTACCCTCAAACTTGGCCCTCCAGATGTTTTGGGACTACAATTCCCATCATCCCTGACCACTGGTCCTGTTAGCTAGGGATGATGGGAGTTGTAGTCCCAAAACAGCTGGAGGGCCAAGTTTGGGGATGCCTGGTCTATAAGGTGCTACTGGACAATTTTTATTTTTATTTTTATTTCTTCCAGATGTTGTGGGACTCCACCCCATGGCCAAGGGCAAGCATAGGCAAACTCAGCCGTCCAGATGTTTTTTGAGACTACAATTCCCATCATCCCTGACCACTGGTTCTGTTAGCTAGGGATGATGGGAGTTGTAGTCCAAAAACATCTGGAGGGCCGAGTTTGCCTATGCCTGCTCCAAAGGAATAGCTGCAGTGGTTTTCCTGCAAGGACGGCTTCCACAGTTCTGGGGTGGATGAAAACGGAATCACTTACAAATCTCCCCATGTGTTTTCTGGGCAATTAGTCTGAAAACTGCAGGCATGAGAGTGGTGCCCCAGAGCAGAAACATGCAGTCACAGAAAATTAGTTCCGTACTTAGTTTAAACCCAGCCATGCACATCCAGGTCTTTATTTTAGCCCTTGGCTTCAATAGTTCTTTCCTTGCGTCCCTGATCATTTTTGCTCTAGACACCCATTTGTGAACCCATGTTTACTATGGGTATATATTCATACGAATCTTGAGAATGTGTAGGGGGTATTTGGTGCTTGTTAGAGGTAAAGACAGAGGTCCTCTGGCAGGGTCGGGATGGCATGGGGATGAGGGACCAACTCCCTTCTCTTGTGGGGGCCCAATTAGTGCCATTTCCTTCCGTTAAGAGCTTGGGTGTAATCCTTGACGCCTCCCTTTCCATGGAGGCGCAGGTTACAGCAACAGCCAAGGCGACATTTTTCCACCTTTGCCACATCAAGCAGTTGCTCCCTTACCTTTCCCGCCCCGACTTGGCCGCAGTGATCCATGCGACGGTCACCTCCAGGCTTGACTACTGTAATTCGCTCTACGCGGGGCTGCCCTTGAAGCTGTCCCAGAAACTCCAGCGGGTGCAGAATGCTGCAGCGAGGCTCCTCACGGGGTCCCTGCCATGGGAGCTGCACTGGCTCCCGGTGGAGGACAGGGTCAGGTTCAAGGTGCTGGTTTTGACCTTTAAAGCTCTTCACGGCCTAGGACCTTCGTACCTACGGGAGCGCCTATTCCCGGTTTGCCCCGCGGAGGACCTTAAGGTCCATAAATACCAACACCCTAGAGGTCCCAGGCCCTAAAGAAGTTAGATTAGCTTCAACCAGAGCCAGGGCCTTTTCAACGCTGGCCCCGGCCTGGTGGAACGCTCTGCCTCATGAGACCACGGCCCTGCAGGATCTGATTTCTTTCCCCAGGACCTGTAAGACTTGTTCAGCCTGGCCTTTGGCTTGGAGCCAATTTGATTCCCTCCCTCTCTTTCTTTTTTCTTTTCCTTTCTCCTCCTGCAATGAGGCTACATTTTAATATTTTAATGTTTCAGTATTTTAATGTTGTATTTTAATTTTGTTTTTAAGTTGTAATCATTCAACTTGTTTTTATTATTGCTTGTTAGCCGCCCTGAGCCCGGCCTTGGCGGGGTATAAATAAAATAAAATTAATAATAATAATAATAATAATAATAATTATTATTATTATTATTATTATTAAAGCAGGATCTCTACAAGGCAGCACCTTTAAAGTTGATTTTGTGGTGGGAAGCGTTAAAAGGGATTCATGACAATCATTCCTTCTGATGACAAGCTAGACTTGTCAGTTGTGAAGGAGCCCCCGCCCGCTGCCACCAATCCTGGCATCTTCCTTAGACATAAATGCCACTCTTGCAAAACTGCTCCCTCCCAGAAAGCATTGGGTTTGGAGAGGGCTGGTAAAATTGTTTCCCCTGATAACAAGCTAGATATGTCAGTGACAACAGAACAGAGTTTGGAGATGCCTGAGCTAGGTAAATTCCGGAAGGAGGAGAGACTTTCACCCGATGACTACTTGGCAAAGCAGCTGAATGAAGTCTCTGGAAGAAGTCTCGCTCCAAATCAGGTCACCAGGGCACACGCTCCCACAAAGCCTTCCTTGGGCACCCACAGGCAGTGCCAGATTTACATATAAGCTAAACAAGCTATAGCTTAGGGCCCCACTCTCTTGGGGGCCCCCCCAAAAAAATTAAAGGAAAAAACCAAACCCGGATGTACATTTCCAAAATATAAGATAAAAAAACAAATAAAACCTACAATTATTATTTCGTGGTATAGCAAGTTTCTAGAGACTAGATTATGAGTCTTTGTAAATCGTGTTTCTAAAGGAAATTTTGTTACTGCCAAATGCCAAAGTGTTTGCATTACAGTCATACCTCGGGTTACAGACGCTTCAGGTTGCGTTTTTTCGGGTTACGGACCCGCCGAAACCCAGAAATACCGGAACGAGTTACTTCCGGGTTTCAGGGGTCGCGCATGCGCAGAAGCGCTAAATCGCGCTTTGCACATGCGCAGAAGCGCCAAATCGCAACCCACGCATGCGCAGATGGATCACGTTTGCAATCCGAGCGTCCACTGTATTAATTTTGTTATGAATAAAAAATCATTTTAACTTAGAACTTAATTGTTTCACTATTAATATACTTAATTGTATTTCACTGTTAATATACTTCTAAATTGTATTTCAGTTCAACGATTCCTTTGATATAATACATATTTTGTTATGTGCAAATACCTGTCAGGTCCATAAATGACCATATAGCATATATTCAACCCAAAAACCAGCGACAATTTGTTGTTGACAAAGGACAACAGGACCTTCAGTAGCTTAGGACCTTATTAAACCTAAATCTGGCTCTGCCTGCAGGTCCCCTCCCTCTGCTGAAATTAGCAATATACAGTCGTACCTTGGTTCCTGAACGCCTTGGTACTCGTACATTTTGGTTCTCGAATGCTGCAAACCCGGAATTGAGTGTTCTGGTTTACGAACTTTTTTGGAAGCCGAACGTCCAATGCGACTTCCACAGCTTCCAGTTGAGTGCAGGAAGCTCCCGCAGCCAATCGGAAGCTGCGCCTTGGTTTTTGAATGTTTTCGGAAGTTGAACGGACTTTCAGAACGGATTACATTTGAGAGCCAAGGTATGACTGTATTTTAGTCGACAAACTAATGATTCAATTGGGGGCAGTTCTTGTGTTCACATCCGTATGCCATCGTCATGTGCATTATTACGATCGTTTCAATCACATCTCGACTAATTTCGTTCTTTATTCTTTAATCAGAGAAGCTACCAAGTATCTCACAGAAGTTCTTCAGACAGTTAATGAAGCGGAACTTGAAGATATGATAGAAAATATAATTGATGCTGTTGAAAAGCAGCCTTGTAAGTAGAGTTTTGGTTATCTTAAATGCTTTGAAGAGAAAAGAAAGTTGGATTCTTATGAGTTTTGTGGCGTCCTTGTGTGGCTGTGATGCTCATGATAATTACCGTATTTTTCGTTCCATAGGACGCTCTGTCCCATAGGATGCACCTACTTTTTTGGGGGGGGAAATAAAGGAAAATAATTTTTCCTTTATTTCCCCCCCAAAACCAGGTCGGGGAACAGTGGGATGGTGGCGCTGCGCCTCCCCGTTGTCCCCCGAGCTTGTGGGGCTGGCCGATGTCTGCCCGGCGTGAGGAGCGCTCTGCTTCAGGGCGCCCCACGCGCCGGGTGGCAGGCTGCAGACACCTGCGCGAAGCACGGGGCGTCCTCCGGAGGGCGCCCCATGCTCCGCGCTGCCGGCTGCCACCCGCAAGCCGTGCGCGCCCGGGGAGTTCCCCGGGCGCACAAGGCTTGCCGACACCTGCACGAAGCACGGGGCGTCCTCCGGAGGGCGCCCCGTGCTCCGCGCTGCAGGCTGCCGCCCGCAAGCCTTGCGTTCCTGGGGCTGATCCCCCGGGTGTGCAAGGCTTGCCGACACCTGCGCGAAGCACGGGGCGTCCTCCGGAGGGCACCCCGTGCTCCGCGCTGCAGGCTGCCGCCCGCAAGCCTTGCGCTCCCGGGGGGATCTCCCCCCGGGCGCACAAGGCTTGCCGACACCTGCGCGAAGCACGGGGCGTCCTCCGGAGGGCGCCCCGTGCTCTGCGCTGCAGGCCCGCAAGCCTTGCGTGCCCGGGGGAACTCCCCCCGGGTGCGCAAGGCTTGCAGATAGCTTCCTGGAGCCTGGAGAGCGAGAGGTGTCGGTGCGCACTGATGCCTCTCGCTCTCCAGGCTTCAGCGAAAGCCTGCATTCGCCCCATAGGACGCACACACATTTCCCCTTCATTTTTGGAGGGGAAAAAGTGTGTCCTATAGGGCGAAAAATACGGTAAGTGTGTTAAAGTTCTATGGATCTAATAATTGGCACAATAGATGGCAGGGGCAGAACTTTGGGTCACAAGGCTGCATGTGCAACCAGCAAATAGAGCATTATGTTCCAGTTAGCTTCTCATTGCTAATAAGATTGTACTGTAATTCTATTATGATTTCTCTTGAAGCAAAGGTATTTTAAAATGCTTTGTGAAATACTTCTGTAGCCTGCATATGCGTAGGTTACCATTTTAATCTTTTTTTAAAAAAAAAATTATTAGGAATTTAAACAAAACATATTATCTTAAAACATATCATCCTTAATTTCCCTCCTCCCTCCCACAAAACATCCCCCCCTCCCCACCCCACCCTGACTTCCCTCAGTTCCAATCTCTGGTTTCTCTATAAATGCTATTCTCTGCATGTTACAAAATTGTATAAATCCTTAATTTATCCAACTGGTTATTATCAATAAAAAGTTTGTGAGTGTTTATTCAAAGGCTGCCAAGGTGTCCAGTTCACTTTGTTGTATCCTTAGATACTTTGTAAAAGGTTCCCATTCATCTTTAAAGTCATAGTTATCCTTGTCTTGTAGTTTATGTGTCAATTTTGCCAATTCTGTATAGTCCATCAGTTTCTCTTGCCATAATTCTTTAGTCGGGATTTCCTCAGTCTTCCATCCTTGTGCTATTAAGACTCTGGCCGCCGTTGTCACAGACATGACGATATTTTTCAACTTCTTTGGCAGGTCTTATCCTACAATCCCTCACAAAAATGCTTTGGGTTTTTTAGCAAATGTTAGATGGAACATTTTCTTCAATTCATTGTACATCATTTCCCAAATTTTTTAACATTTCATTACAATCCCACCACATATGGTAAAATGTCCCCTCCTTTTTGTTACACTTCCAACACATATTTGAGCTAATTTTATTCATTTTTCCTAACTGCACTGGTGTCATATACCATCTATACATCATCTTCATATAATTTTCTTTCAACAAAGAACAATCTGTAAACCATTTTAATCTTTTGAATTGTTCTCTTCAGTGACATGTAATATGATTGAAAGAGCTATGGTGGAAGCAGCAGTCCTGGAATGCAGCCAGTCCCTAGATGAGACCATGTAAGTTGGCATCAATTCACATAGAGGAGTAAACAAACCACTGGGAACATTTCTGCCATCAAATTCAGTTAATTGCCATTTGTAGCCCTCCCTGCTGATATTTCAGATTTAAAACTCATTAACGCTAGCCCCTTCTTTAGACTCTGAGCGATTGTAATCTTGTTCTTACATTAAAATGGCATGTCTAGGGCACTGTGTGGCTTTTACCAGAGATCATTGTTGTTGTTTAGTCGTTTAGTCGTGTCCGACTCTTCGTGACCCCCTGGACCAGAGCACGCCAGGCACTTCTGTCCTTCACTGCCTCCCGCAGTTTGATCAAACTCATGCTGGTAGCTTCAAGAACACCATCCAACCATCTCATTCTCCGTCGTCCCCTTCTCCTTGTGCCCTCCATCTTTCCCAACATCAGGGTCTTTTCCAGGGAGTCTTCTCTTCTCATGAGGTGGCCAAAGTATTGGAGCCTCAGCTTCAGACCAGAGATCATTAGCTGATAGCATTGGGAAGAAAATGTTTAAAAGAACGTTTCCTAAAAACCCAGAAGCTTTCCTTCTGGGAATAATAACAACAGAAATCCCAAAAAATCACACTACATTATAGAGGTATGTGACTACAGCGGCCCGAACTCTGGTAGCACAAACGTGGAGAACAGATGCGGTATCATCACAGAAAGAATGGCACCTTAAAATATTAGATTATTTGGAACTCGCCAGCATGACAAACAGATTAGGAAATAAGGATGATAAGAAACTAAAAGAAGATTTGACAATATATATATAGGTTATATGGAAAAATACTATAACAATAAAATAGTGTAACAGGATGTATAAATACTCAGCAGTAGATGTGACAAAGTGGGATAGTGTATGGCAATGAAAACAATGTAGTAGGGTAAGAAAATGCAGTTTGAAAAGATAGGAAACCAGGGAAAGAGTGAAAGGGGAGTTAACATCAATGTATATAAGAGCGGAGGAATAAGTTATGTTGCGATTATTGCTCATATACATACGTGTTATATTTAAGTTATTTTTCTTTTCTTATTACCTTGTGCATGACTGTAACACAGTATGCATTGATGGTATGATTATACAGAAAAGCAAATAATAATAATAAAGAATATATATATTTTTTAAAATCCATGAACTTGACTGTCAGTTATTTAAATGAGATAGAGGACTCAGCTATACAGCCACAAATAAAAAAGTTTTAAGTGTGTTTTAAGTGCAGTATACAAGGTGACACTAGATGGCGATGATGAGCTTTAAGGAAAATTCAGTGTATTTTTAAAAATGCTTTTTAAAAAAAGCATTTTCAGGACAGTTTTTATATGTGTGTCGATTCTACCTCTGACTTAGTTAGATACAGCCCAGTAAGTTTGGAATGCTCTTTGGCTTAAGTCCTATTCAGATGTTCTACTTGCGTGTAAAATCAATACAAGGGCAGGTAGGAGAGCACTAAGCTTATAATCTGAACCATAAACTATGGCTCATTTAGCTGTGGTTAGCGAAAGCAAGCCATCTTCATAAACCATGGCTTAGTTTCACTAACTAAGTTGATTTAAGCAGAGTCTTTGTGCCCAGCGGAAGGATGAGGAAAATGTGTTACATACTCTAAATTGCTTTATTTACAGTTCAAAGCTGGTATATTACAGAAAGACATCTTGCCTCTGCAGGAGCAGAGAAATGCATCCTCTCTCCTCAACAGCTTGGAGAGAATCACACAGTGAAAAAACAGCAAAACAGTGTACGTCACATCCAGTCTCCCTTTCCCGTGAGAAACTCCAACAGTACAGACTGTGGAATGTAAGCACCTGTCTTGTGACTGCAGTTGCTGCACAGTGAAGGAAAGCAGAAACCAACATCCTCCCCTTTCTGTGAACATCACTGGGCAGCGTGTTCAGTACAATATCAGTACAAACCCAACTTCTGCACATAGGTACAGTGTTGATCCCTTGATACAATCTTGGACAATACATCAGCAGGAATTTCATTACCTGGCATATAGGACACCGTTACGAGTCCCTTCTGAATACATTCCCTAGCATGCTGCAACTTTAATTGCAAGTGCTTTGTGCTTTGCTTACAACCTTCAGACTTCAGCAAAGCCAAACATGCTTTGTTGTCCTGGTAAACCTGGATTGGACATTTGACAGGAATTTTCATATCTTTGCACAATTGTACTAACCATTCACAATCCTTAAGTGAATAAGACAGTGCATTCAGTTCAGCTTCACAAGTACTTAAGCTAACTGTTGTTTGCTTCTTGCATGACCAATCAAACAGACTCTGATTGTACATGTAGCAAACTCCAGACGTACTTTTCCTGTCTGTAGCGTCACTTCCAAAACTTGCATCTGCAAATATCTCAAGACCACCAGACTTCTGATTGTTAAATCTCAGTCTGTAATGCATAGTGCCTTTCAAATACCGCGCTATGCGTTTCAGAGCTTTCAATCCTTGACACTAGGATTGTTGACTTGTCTGCTTAGCAAATTACAGCTAACAGCAATGTCTGGTCTTGAACATCTGGCAATGAAGTTTAGCTTGCCTAGCACACTCCTGTACAGTGTAGTGTCAGAAAATGCTTCTTCAGTGTCATCTACCTGATAACCTGTTGTCATCGGTGTGTCTACAGGGTTAGCATCCATCAGATTTAGTTTGCTTAACACATCAGCAATTTTCCGTGACTGGTGTACTAGAATGTTACCATCTTGATCTCTCTCTATTTCCAGAGATAGGTAGTTGTTTACCTCACCAAGATCTTTCATGTCAAAGTGCTCTTTCAGTTGAGCTAGGGCGCTATTGTACATTGCAACATCTTTCCAAAAGAATAATAAATCATCAACATAAAACAAACAGTACAGTTTCTTTTGCCCCTCCTCTTTGACAAATGCACATGGATCAGCTTTCCCTTGCTGAAAACCTAGAGAAAACAATACTTCAGTGAGTTTTGTGTGCCAACACCGTGCACTTTGTTTGAGACCATAAAGGGATTTCTTCAGAGCACAAACAAATCCCTGTTTTACCTGTACGCCATCAGGTGGAAGCATATAAAGTGATTCATCTAGAGATCCGTACAGAAAAGCTGTATTAATATCATGGTGACTAATGTGTAGATTTTCCTCTGCAGCTAGCTTGAGCATAAGCCTAATGCTTTCATATCTCACTGTGGGTGAATAGGTCTCGTGATAGTCTTCACCTGGTACCTGTGCAAAACCTCTGGCTACCAATCTGGCTTTGTGTCTGACTATCTTGCCATTTTGATCTGTCTTCGCTTTGAAGACCCATTTGCTTCCAAGCAGTTTCATTCCTGGAACTACTGGAACTAGCTCCCATGTTTTGTTCCTTTCTAAGGAATCAAGCTCAGCCTTCATGGCATTTAACCATGGCTCAGCTTCCTTTGAATCCAAACCCTGGATTTCTTGGAAACTTGAAGGTTCAAATACCTTCTTGGAGCTTTTAACAGCTGTTACTGCTATCTTAGCAAACTCATCAGCAAATCTCTTTGGAGGTTTGCCTTTTGTGGCTCTCTGTGACCTACGAATTAGCCTTAAGTCTTCAACACTCTCCTCTTCCTTCTTAGGAGAAAAACGACCTATTGTGAACAATGGTTCCTCCAATTCTTGATCAGAGCTTTCAGAGGGTCGCATAGAGGCTTTCGCACTCTTGAAATCCTCTGAATCACCCGATTCAGTTTCAGATTCAGACTCAGAACCTTCATCAGTGGGTGTGGGCTGTTGTGGTTGCTTTTGACTATCCTCAGTCTCATCACCGTCATCAGGATAACATTGGAAAATTCCCACATTCTCCCCCACTTTGCATTGTACTCAACACTTCTCGTGAGCTTAATTGTCTTAGAGTCAGTCATCATTATTCTGTAAGACCCTTTCTGATAACCTAGAAAGATACCATGCAATCCACGCTTGTCTAACTTGGAGTTTTGTGGTGAGCGAACCCACATGTCAGAACCAAAAATCTTCATGTGTTTGATGTATGGCTTCTTGCCAAACATCTTCTCATAGAGGTACAACCAATCGCTGAAGATAATCTGCGATTGTAACTGTAAACAAAACACGAGAGAGATTCGGCCCAATAACTCTCTGGAAGATTGGCATCATGCAGCAAGGTTTTTAATCCTTGAAGCAATGTCTGATTTGCCCGTTCCGCAAGTCCATTCTGCCATGGCGAGCGAGGACTAGACAAATCGTGTTGAATTCCTTTCTCAGTCAGAAAAGCTTCAAACTGCTGAGAAGTGAATTCCCCCAGCGATCACTGAAAAGAGTCTTTATCTTCTTACCATGCACATTTTCCAACCAAGCACAGAATTCCTTGAACCTAGGAAAAGCCTCCGATTTCTGCTTGAGATTGTACACAAAAATATATCTAGAAAATGCATCAATGAGAACCATGAAGTATCTATTTCCACCCAAAGAGGGCGATAGTGGTCCAACCAAATCAGCATGAACAACCTGGTATGGTTCTGTAGCTTTCCTACTAGACACCTTACCTTTCGCAGCCATTTTCACCTTGTTTGCTGCGCATGCTTTGCACTTCATGTGGTACCTGCAGGGTTTAATAGTCATACCTTCAACCAAGGCAGGCATTTTAGATACTGCCTCAAAATGCAAATGACCAAATTTGCGATGAAAATCGTGAATACATTCTGCATGCAAACTTTTGTTAGAACCTGCAATGCAACAAGTGTCATCCTGCACCACATCATCATAATACAAAACAAACAAATGATCAACATATTCTGCATGCAATACATAATCATTTTTCTTTGTGATGATGCACTTCTTGTTCTTGAAGGAAACGTCAATGTTCCGCTCATTCAGCTGTCCAACGCTGAGCAGATTATGTTTGGCGTCTGGCACGTAAAGCACATTCTGTATCGATAAGTCCAAACTGTGAAGAACAACAGTTCCGTAGCCTTTACTGGGAATAGTGTGGTCATCCGCCTGGTGAATCGCACCTTCCTGCGGTGTAAAAGACACAAACAGTTTCTTATCGTTGCACATGTGGTGGGTCGCCGCTGAATCAACAACGAAGAAAGATCTAGACGTCTTCTGGACCTCTGCAACCTTTGGAGTGAAGCGTGAAACCATAGCCTTGTGCTGCGTTGTCCTAGACACCGGACCTTTGCCTTTGCCTCGGCCTTTTCCGCGCGATGAGCTTTCGCTGCGCTGCTCTGTCTTGGCCCTGGGATGTCTGCATTCCCTCTTCATATGGCCTAGACGTCCACACGAGTAGCATTTCACTGCCTTCAAAGCTTTGGCGCCATCTGGTGGTTCCACTGCACTATGGGATGACGTCTGTGAAGACTCTCCCTTGCCCATGCAGCTAGCACCCGGCGATCTGCTTCATTTAAAATCACGGCAGTAACAAAGTCCACTGTCAGCTGAGCAGTTGGTTGCACAGCAATCTGGGTTGCAACAGACTCCCAACCTGAACCCAAAGATTGTAGTATCATGAAAGAATACACAGCCTCTGGAAAGTTGAGTCCTCTCTGTTGCAGCTCATGTCTCAGATTTTGCATCTCCATTAGATGTAAACGCACATCTCCACCTTCAGCAAGAGCCATATTATGCAGCTTGTTAAAATAAAACATAGTGGATCCAGCTTCTGTCCTTAAGTGAGCCTCTCTCAGAGCGTCCCAAATTTCTCTGGCTGAGGTCTTATCACGCAATAGACAGAGCTCTTCTGGGGATACTATCAATGTAAGAGTTCCCCTTGCTTTGGAATCCTTAGCTTCCCATGCATCTGTAACTGGAACTGGGGGGGTTCCTGTAATCACCTCAAACAAACCCTCTTTCCGCAGAATTGCCTCTGCATACTGAACCCAGTCGCTGTAATTTGTCTTGTTGAGCTTAGGAATCCCACAAGCATCCTGAAGGGCCATCATGACTCTGGCATTAGCCTTCAGCGTCATATCTATGCTGCTTTAAATCTTGCTGCGTCACTGCTGCAGCTGCTTCATTACAAAGGCACACTTAAAAGTTACTTTCGATTTCCCCAGCATAGTGACTTGTGCCTGGGAGCCTTTTGCCTATTCCCGGCAAAACCGGCTTTAAAAGTTCAAAGTCCAGCCATAAAGCCATTATCTTGAAGCTGGCAGGCTGCCCGGAGCAGTAGCACATACCTCATCAATCACTTCTACGCGCAGAGCAGATTCCTTTCCGATCCGTCCCTCTGCATTCCGATCCTCTGCCGGCACTCCGATTCGACCTCTGGAGTCCATAACCACGTGTTGATTTAAAGCAGAGTCTGTTGTGCCCAGCGGAAGGATGAGGAAAATGTGTTACATACTCTATATTGCTTTATTTACAGTTCAAAGCTGGTATATTACAGAAAGACATCTTGCCTCTGCAGGAGCAGAAAAATGCATCCTCTCTCCTCAACAGCTTGGAGAGAATCACACAGTGAAAAAACAGGAAACCAGTGTACGTCACATCCAGTCTCCCTTTCCCGTGAGAAACTCCAACAGTACAGACTGTGGAATGTAAGCACCTGTCTTGTGACTGCAGTTGCTGCACAGTGAAGGAAAGCAGAAACCAACAAATTCAGTGTATTTTTAAAAATGCTTTTTAAAAAAAGCATTTTCAGGACAGTTTTTATATGTGTGTCGATTCTACCTCTGACTTAGTTAGATACAGCCCAGTAAGTTTGGAATGCTCTTTGGCTTAAGTCCTATTCAGATGTTCTACTTGCGTGTAAAATCAATACAAGGGCAGGTAGGAGAGCACTAAGCTTATAATCTGAACCATAAACTATGGCTCATTTAGCTGTGGTTAGCGAAAGCAAGCCATCTTCATAAACCATGGCTTAGTTTCACTAACCATCAGTAAGAGAAATCACAGTTTGTCCAGGAGTGGGCAACAAACATCCCCTCTGTCATCACACTGTAACCTGGGGGATATCCAATGAAGGTGAATGTTTGGAAATTTAGGAAGGAGAAAAAGAAGTCCTTCTTCATACAGTGCACACTTAAACTATGGAACTTGCTGCCAAAGGAGACAGTAATGGTAATCCACCTGAATGGCATTAAAGGAGTCTTAGACAAATTCATGGAGGATACTGCTATCAGTGGCTACTAGTCAGGGTGGCTGTGTTGCCCTGGAGGTGGCGTGCTCCCAGTCACTTGCTGGAAATCAGAGAGTGCTATTGTGCTAATATTCAGTTTGTGTGCTTCGTATACAGTGGTACCTCAGGTTAAGTACTTAATTCGTTCCGGAGGTCCGTACTTAACCTGAAACTGTTCTTTACCTGAAGCACTACTTTAGCTAATGGGGCCTCCCGCTGCTGCCACGCCGCCGGAGCATGATTTCTGTTCTCATCCTGAAGCAAAGTTCTTAACCCGAGGTACTATTTCTGGGTTAGTGGAGTCTGTAACCTGAAGCGTATGTAACCTGAAGTGTATGTAACCTGAGGTACCACTGTATAGGCAAATCGTTTGCTACTGTGAGAAAATAGGCCTCTGCTTTCATCCAACAAGGCTATTTTGATGTTCTTAGGACGCAACAAACTGCTTAATCAAAAGCATAAGGGAAAGCTTCTGAACTCCTTGAGCTGTGCCAGGGCAATGTTTGAACCCCGAGGGAAGCCGTTTTATTTGCGTCTGCTAGAATAAATTGAAAATCAAAGTAACTGTATTCTCGCTGTTCAAGCAAATGTAAAGTGATTTTCTTGTAAATGTGAAAACACATGAATAAGTTACAGTAGGATAATGAATCAAATTGTTTTTAAAGTGATTTCCCCCCCTTTAAAATGCATTCATATGTATGTGCCTTACTGTGCATTTCTTTGTTTTAACCCCCAGGGAACATATTTTCAACATTATTGGAGCATTTGATATCCCCAGATACGTTTACAATTCTGAAAGAAAGAAGTTTCTCCCGTAAGTTTTTGTTTTGCAGTTTCTGAAGAGCTTGCATCCCAACAATCGTTTCCCCATTTCTTCAGACCAGGTTTGACTTACAATATGCAAAGGTTTCCTAGTTCCCTATTTTAGCACGGAGGTGCAGGTCAATTCTATGTCCAGGGCAGCTGTCTACCAGCTCCACCTGGTACCCCAGCTGAGACCCTCCCTGCCCACAGACTGTCTCACCAGAGTGGTGCATGCTCTGGTTATCTCTTGCTTGGACTACTGCAATGCGCTCTACGTGGGGCTACCTTTGAAGGTGACTCGGAAACTACAGCTAATCCAGAATGCGGCAGCTAAACTGGTGACTGGGAGCGGCCGCTGAGACCATATATTTCTGGTCCTAAAGGATCTTCATTGGCTCCCAGTACGTTTCCGAGCACAATTCAAAGTGTTGCTGCTGATCTTTAAAGCCCTAAATGGCCTCGGTCCAGTATACCTGAAGAAGCGTCTCCACCCCCATCATTCTGCCCGGACACTGAGGTCCAGCTCCAAGGTCTTCTGCTGGTTCCCTCACTGCGAGAAGCGAAGTTACAGGGAACCAGGCAGAAGGCCTTCTCGGTAGTGGCGCCCTCCCTGTGGAACACCCTTCAGATGTTAAGGAGATAAAGAACTATACAACTTTTAGAAGACATCTGAAGGCAGCCCTGTATTGGGAAGTTTTTAATGTTTGGTGCTTTATTATGTTTTATATATTGTGTAAGCCGCTCAGAGCAGCTGGGGAAACCAGATGGGCAAGGTATTATTATTACTATTATTATTATTATTGATAGTAATAAATAATAAATTTTTATTTATACCCCGCTCTCCCCAGCCAGAGCCAGGTTCAGGGCAGCTGACACCAGTAAAATTACAATAAAAACATAATGGGGGGGGGGAGAGAAAAGAAAAGAATAAAACCCAGTTTAAAATACGGGTTAAAATACAATTTAAAATGCAGCCTCATTTTAAAAGTAGCCGATAAATCAAGACCATAAGGGGAGGGCAACATAAGGGTCAGACTGAGTCCAAACCAAAGGCCAGGCGGAACAGCTCCGTCTTGCAGGCCCTGCGGAGAGATGTCAAGTCCCACAGGGCCCTGGTCTCTTGTGACAGAGTGTTACTCCAAGTCGGGGCCAGTGCTGAAAAGGCCCTGGCCCTAGTTGAGACCAACCTAACCACCTTGCGACTCGGGACCTCAAAAATGTTGTCATTTGTGGACCTTAAGGTCCTCCGCGGGGCAGACCAGGAGAGGCGGTCCTGTATTATTATTACCACACACTTTTTGTGCTCACTTAAAATCCACCTTTACACAAGTCTCTGTAAAAATTGATTTCAGCCTCTCAATGACCGGCCATTCGGCTCCAAATTTATTTGGCTCTGCCAGAGATAAAGCAGAACTGTTTCGTGAGCGCTACATCATCTTGCAGCAGGTAAGGTAAAGGGAGGAAATACTCCATCAGATACATATTAATGCCATAAGTACATGACAAGAGTGCTGCTGAATCGGACCCAAGGACCCATGTAGCCTAGCATCCTATGCCCACAGTGGCCGCTCAGATGCTCCCAATGCCCACAGAAGGACTTGAGAGCAGTAGCCTTTCTGTGCTGTTTGCCCTCCAGCAACTGATTTTGCAAGGTATGCTTCCCCGTGGACAAGGAGGTTCCACTTAGCTGCTATGGCTGACAGCTGCTGATAGTGTCCTCTTCCTTCACGAATTTGGCTTATTCCCATCTTAAAACTACAGTCATACCTCTGGATAAATATGCTTTAGGATAAGTATTTTTGGGTTGCGCTCCGCGGTGACCCGGAAGTAACAGAGCACATTACTTCTGGGTTTCGCTGCTCGTGCATGCGCAGACGGTAAAAATGACATCATGCGTGGAAGCGGCGAAACGTGACCCGCGCACACACAGATGCGCAGTCGTGTCTTACGTTCTGTTCAGGATGCGAACAGGGCTCCGGAATGGATCCCGTTCGCATCCCGAGGTACCACTGTATCTGTAATAGTGGCTGCCACCACATGCCGTGGCAGCGAATTCCATGAGTTGATTACCGTATTTTTCGCTCTATAAGATGCACCAGACCACAAGACGCACCTAGTTTTTGGAGGAGGAAAACAAGAAAAAAAATATTCTGAATCCCAGAAGCCAGAACACCAAGAGGGATCGCTGCTCAGCAAAAGCAGCGATCCCTCTTGCTGTTCTGGCTTCTGGGATAGCTGCGCAGCCTGCATTCGCTCCATAAGACGCACACACATTTCCCCTTACTTTTTGGGAGGGGAAAAGTGAGTCTTATAGAGCAAAAAATACGGTATATGCTAAGTAAGCAGCTGCAGTTTCCTTCCAAATAATTAACTCTGTAGCTGTGGAACATCGTTTCACCGCCAAGCTTGTAAAGCACATATCTCAACCATAGTAGGCTAGGACCATGGTTAATGTGGGATAACAGCTTGAGGGCATCATTGCATGGGGGGAAATGTTTTAACCATAACTGCATGGTACTTTCCCTTGCTACCGGGCTTGTATTTCCCACTGTGCAGAGAACGCATAGGCATGAACTCTTCACACCATCTGCTATTGGCGCGCCTGCAGAGGAAAGCAGAAGTAAATTCCAGGTAAAATTTAAAATGTTTTCATTTACTTACTTAAATATTTACAGAATTTATATCCTGCACCTTGCAACACAAAGGCCCTTTGGAGACTTTGGGCATGCGTTTCTCAAACAGCAGCTCCCATTTTTCCTAAGAGAAAGGTAAAGGGGCCCCTGACCATTAGGTCCAGTTGTGGCCGACTCTGGGGTTGCGGTGCTCATCTCACTTTATTGGCCGAGGGAGCCAGCGTACAGCTTCCAGGTCATGTGGTCAGCATGACTAAGCCGCTTCTGGCAAACCAGAGCAGCGCATGGAAACGCTGTCTACCTTCCTGCCGGAGCGGTACCTATTTATCTACTTGCACTTTGACGTGCTTTCGAACTGCTAGGTGGGCAGGAGCAGGGACCGAGCAACAGGAGCTCACCCCGTCGCGGGGATTCGAACCGCCACCCTTCTGATCGGCAAGTCCTAGGCTCTGTGGTTTAGACCACAGCGCCACCCGCGTCCCACAAGAGCAAACTAAGGACAAACTAAGGAGTCTTTAAAAACCGCTGAAAGCCATTTGCAGTAGGGCACCAGGGACTGACATTCAAAGGGGGTAAAGTAGCTCTAAGGCTGTGTAGCTAATTTTTGAATCTGGGAAACGCAGGCCTTAACTAATTTAATTTATTTGTCTCTGATTGTAGCTCAAAACTATAGAAACTCTCTTGGGGAACTCAGCTAAAGTTAAGGAAGTTATCGTTCTGGGGATGATAACCCAGCTGAAAGAGGTAAGCTGTGCTGTGTCAGCGGCTCTTTAGATGACTTTGCTGTTCAGTGTTCTGATGGCGATGCACATGATTTGTGTTAAAATGTGACCAGGGGAATGGTCCAAAATATTCCACTAATATAAGCAGAAGTGGAGTTTTTTACAGTTGCATGACCTCAAGGGGAGTGTTTTGAAGCTGAATGGCTTGGCCCTAATTTATTTTATCCATATTTTTAAGGGGAAATTTTTCTTGGAAGATCCAACAGGAGTTGTTCAGCTGGACATTAGTAAAGCAATATCCTTTTACATGCATCCTAAGTAAGAAAAGAGACTGAACAGTGAGATAAACTCATATTTCCCCTTTTACATTTCTTTGTGGACCTTCTACTTGTTTTTCCCCCCAATTCTTTTTTCCTACCTGTAGTTTAATCATTGTATAGGGTATAATAATAATAATAATAATAATAATAATAAGAAATTTGCTTTCTCATCCAGCTGCTACAAAGTTTTCCTTTCTCCAACTCCCTTTTCGTTTTTTTCACATGTTGATTTTTAGTTGTTAACCCTGCAGACTGGGGCGTTTCATTCCTGTACAGTACCTAGTCCTCACTTGTCTCCTCTGTTTCAAATGGCCAGACACTGAGTGTTGCTGCTTTTGCAGCCAAACAGCTGGAATGGTTTAATTAAAAACATAGTTATTCCCACCCAACAGTACTTACACAGCTGCCTTTTTGTCTTTCTAACAATCAACTTGCCATGATCGCACACAGCTGTAGTCATCGTAACCGTCTTCCTGGAGATTCACCCAGAAATGGAAGTTTTCTATTCCTTTACTTGCTAATCAGCTAACCTAAAAACCCAATATTTTTGTATATGAGCTCTCTGCCGGCCCTTCCCAATTTGCATTTTTACAACAGTATGAAGGCCTAAATGTTATTGTTCTATTTTAACCAACACATGGAAAAATTTAGGCTGTTGGCTTCCATGTGGAGAAATGAAGGTGCAAAGAATATTCACAGCCTTGCCTAAAGTCTGTGTTTTGAGCCACAGCTGTTCATTTGCTCGGATTATAATAATTAGAATCATTTCTATAGTGCGGCCTACATAGCAAGAACATCTTCCTTAACTGTTCTGTACCAGTTCCACAGTGGCTTATACACAGAGTCCTGTTTTGTTTTAACAGAAGGTAAGCCAGATCATTTTTCTTCTTCTCAAGCTTCACTCTTTTCAGTAAGGTCAGACTTGTTCAGCTGATATAACTACTGGCTCTGTTTGCATGATAAATCCAGGGATCTGAACAGATAAGGGTGGGTGGAGAGGAGAGAATTGTACCAGAGGACACTGCCTAGGTGTTGTTCTAAGGCTTTGAACAGAACCTAGTCATATAGAAGTTGTGTACACAATCCATACACTTCAGCAGAGTACAGATTGCATCAGCAACTTATGTGTTGTTATTATTATTAATTATTATATTGATGGGGGTGCGGGTGGTGCTGTGGGTTAAACCACGGACCCTAGGACTTGCCGATCAGAAGGTCGGCGGTTTGAATCCCCACAACAGGGTGAGCTCCCGTTGCTCGGTCCCTGCTCCTGCCCACCTAGCAGTTCGAAAGCACGAAGTGCAAGTAGATAAATAGGTACCGCTCTGGCGGGAAGGTAAATGTCGTTTCCATGCGCTGCTCTGGTTCACCAGAAGCGGCTTAGTCATGCTGGCCACATGACCCGGAAGCTGTACGCCGGCTCCCTTGGCCAATAAAGCGAGATGAGCACCGCAACCCCAGAGTTGGCCACGACTGGACCTAATGGTTAGCGGTCCCTTTACCTTTATTATATTATTATTATTAACCTGCCCTTCATCATGAGATCCCAGGGTGTGTTATAACAATTTAAAAATGCAATATTAAAAACAATTAAAATGGATTATAATCCAGAGAATAGGGTGGGTCCTTAAATATCTATCTTGGGTGTCAAAGGCACCTAGACTGGTGACTGGGAGCTGCCTCCGGGACCATATAACACCAGTCTTAAAAGATCTACAAATTTCCCATTTAAATAGATGGTAAAATCAAAGGGCTCTAAATAAATAAAAAAATGCACGAGCTGTTCTTAAACATCCAGGAAAACAGAAATATTTTTATCTGGTGCTGCAGTGATCGTAAGCAGACCTCTAGGTGGGCCTCTTTGAGTAAGACATTCCTCTAACCAGGTTATTCCTCCATGCTTCCGACTTGCTGCTTCTTGTGTGGGGATTTTCCTTCGTCCCATATGGAAAAAACCAAATTCACTTGCTAAAAGGTAGTTGGGGATCAGCTCCTTTATTGCATTTATGAATCAGTAGGCGATTAGCTTGTGGTTTTTCTGTTCGTGTATCATTTACACATTTGAGAACCTGGGAGAAAAATAATGTAAAATATGTTCAGAGAGCCTGGCGTCTTTGGTGGAGGATGTAGTATCAATGGGAGTGATAGGTTTAAAGCATACCATGTTTTTTTTTAATTTGGAAAAAAAGCCATGCTAATCTTATTTCCTAGGCTGGTATGAAGATGAAATATTTCACGTCAATGCATTTGGCTTCCCCCCTACGGAGCCTTCTACAACAACTAGGTAAAAAACTATAAAACTATAAATTTTCATTTTGCTCCATTTTTATGAAGGAAAATCTTAGGTGTAAGAGTATACAGTTTATTTAATCTCTTGAGGAACTGATGTTTGTAATGTGGATTATTATCAGCAAAAATTTGCATTTCAGAAACTTTATGCAGGTGAGGGACAGAGTGAGCTGGGTTGGGGAGTCAGTGTTCAATGCTGGAAGCTACAGACCCTTATTTAAAGTCAAACTCTTTGAAACCAACAAGTGACAAACTGAGGACGTGATCTGGGAGAGGAATGAGCTTAACTTCCTTCTGCAGGGCCTGTAAGACAGAGCTATTCCGCCTGGCTTTCAATTTGAACTTAGCCTGATCTTTTATTCCCCTTCCTTCCCTCCCCATCCCCTTTTTATGAAGATTCCCCGCTCTGGGATCCCACAGCTAATTCTCCCCTGGTCTCCTCGCTGGCCCAAATAGGACTAATTTAGCCAGCTAGCCCTGGTGATCATCTAATGTTTATTGGATGGATTTCCCCCCCAAATTGAGTTTTGAATTCTGAATTTATTGTTATTCTCGTTTTACACTGTATTTTATGCTGTTTTTTGTTGCATTAATTAAGTGTTTTAAATATGTTATTTGCCGCCCTGAGCCTGGTTTTCTGAACTGGGAAGGGCAGGGTATAAATAAAAATTATTATTATTATTATTATTATTATTATTATTATTATTAAATGGAGCCTTCTGGCGTTTGCTGTTCATGCTGTAGGGCGTATTATGGAAACACAAACTTCTTTGGAGGGCCTTCTTCGACCTCTGTAAAATCTTCTGCGAAATTGAAACAGCTGGAAGAAGAAAATGAGGACGCCATGTTTGTGTTCCTTTCGGACGTTTGGCTGGACCAAGCAGAAGTTTTGGAGAAGCTGCGTATTATGTTTTCAGGTAGCTCTGTTGACCCATATTTGTCAGCCGCTTAAAGGTTTCGGTTGAAATGTGAAGCAATATGTAAAAATAAAAAAGATATGTGCTACCAAACCAAAAGTCAGTGATGTTCCTTGTTCCTCTAACCAGGTTACTCCTCCATGCCTCCAACTTGCTTCTTCTTCTGTGGGAACTTTTCCTCTGCCCCATACGGAAAAAACCAAATTCAGTCGCTAAAAGGTACTTTGGAGTCAGCTGCTGTATTGCATATTGTGAATAGTTTGTGGTTTTTTCTGTTTGTGTGTTATTTAAACATTTGAGAGACAGTTCTGTAGCGAGATCCATGGTGGGAAATTTGTTGTGAATGGGAGGGGTAAGACTAATAATAATAATAATAAATATTTTATTTATACCCCGCCCTCCCCAGCCAAGACTGGGCTCAGGGTGGCTGACACCAAATATAAAATACAGTAAAAACATTTTAAAAACAACCAAACAGTTGATTAAAATATACAAAATCCCAGATAAGGGGTTCCATCAAAAAATAAAAATAAAACAAACAAACAAATAAATAAATAAGTGACTGGTGCAAACTTGACATGCTTTGAATGAAGCTGGTGTAATGTGGTGGCAACTGAGCTGCTTCCATTAGAAGAGTTTACCCATTTCAACAGTGATTGAAGTAAAGTGGGAGGGCGGTACCATGGCAGCAGGCTCATATCCTAGAGAATGCCATGTTTATTAGAATATGCACTGGCTCCCAGTCGGTTTCCAAGCACAATTCAAAGTGTTGGTGCTGACCTTTGAAGCCCTAAACTGCCTCAGCCCTGTATACCTGAAGGAGCGTCTCCACCTCCATTGTTCTACCCAGACACTGAGGTCCAGCTCCGAGGGCCTTCTGGCAGTTCCCTCATTGTGAGAAGTAAGGTTACAGGGAACCAGACACAGGGCCTTCTCAGTAGCGGCGCCCACCGTATGGAACGCCCTCCCACCAGATGTCAAAGAGATAAACAACTACCAGACTTTTAGACGACATCTGAAGGAAGCCCTGTTTAGGGAAGCTTTTAATGTTTAATAGACTATTGTATTTTAATATTCTGTTGGAAGCCGCCCAGAGTGGCTGGGGAAACCCAGCCAGATGGGCGGGGTATAAATAATAATAAATTATTATTATTATTATTATTATTATTCTGCAGAGCCCCCCCAGGGTTCTCAGTGTGGCTTTTCACCCAGAAGTGGCTGAAATGGAGCTACGGTTTTGCCCAGCTATAATTGATATCTCAATTTAAACTTGCTTAGGTTCAGTAATAAAAATACTTGCCTTAGTGATCTTTGCATTGTGAGAAACAGCTTCCACAAAGCCATTTACAATATAACCAACTGGTTTAGTTACTTAAGGTGGGGGGAAATAATAGATGTTCTGCGTAACTGTTGTTCAACTGTCGATGTAAGATGCATATTAATTACCTGTGGATAAGATGAGAAAATATAGGAATAACTATGCAGTTTCATAGGAAAGCTTTTACGGTTGTACCTCTAGGTTCACTGAAAGCCCTTGCAAATATCATCTGTGAATACCCCAGTATCCATAAGAGGTATGTGCTGTGTTTTTATTTGCTTGGTGAAAAATCTTACTGAATATGTGCTTCAGATTTGTCAGTTAGAGAAAACATTCCACCCTGCAGAATTTAGTCCCACTTAAAGAAAGAAAGAAAAATTGAGTCCATTCACACCAAGTATTGTATACAGAATTTTGATAACAGCTACTAAAAAGTTCATTCTCCTTTGTTCAGCCACACTTAAACATTTTGTTGTTGCTGGCATCCTGTCTATCTTGGGAGACTTATGGTCTCTGTGTGTGGTTTGGGAGCTGCACGGTCAGGGGAAAAACAATGTTGTCCAGGGTTGTAAAGACTGCGGAGAGAATAATTGGGTGCACTCTCCCCACCTTGGATCAAATCTATGCTTCCAGGTGTCATAAGAAAGCTGCAGAGATAGCGCAGGATAGTGCGCACCCCGGAAATGATCTCTTTCAGCTTCTGCCTTCTAGAAGAAGGTACAGGGTTATAAAGACTAGGACTAGCCGCCTGAGTTTCTATTCAAATGTGATTTTGGTTTTAAACGCAGTGTAAGGTAGTCTCTATGGGAGTATATTGTATTTAATTATGGGGTATCAGAGTTTTTAGGGGGCTAACCAGGCTGGGATAGCAGGCTTGTTGGTTTCTGAATGTCTGACGTAGATTTTCAATTTCATTCTGTATGGGACAATGGCACTAAAGATTATCATATCGTATCGTACAATGGGGGAGTGCACCTTTGTTCATTCACCTGTCATAACTGGAGGTTTATGTGGCCTGCCATCCACTTCTAAAACTCTAATTGTATATGAGTAATGTTGCCATTTACTTTACTTACGCTTTGATTTTTACCTATCGGTTATGTTAAATGTAGTATATGAATTCAACTATTTATAGCAGTCGGTTTGTGTTTGTTCCTGGCTCTGAAGACCCCGGCCCAGGTTCAGTTTTGCCAAGGTATGCTTGTGACTTGACAGTTAAGGTGATTCATTCAAACATCCAACTTTGAGAATACACACATTTCTTTCTAATACATACCACACAATTTATTTCAGGCCACCACTTCCTGAAAACATTACTGAAGAGTTCAAACAGCAGGTGCCATTTTCAGTCTTCACTACAAATCCTTGCAGGTAAATGTCCCAATTTAAAAGAGATGTTTTAAATTGAGACCTTTAATATGTGTCAGATTAATAGTACACATAATACTACATATTTGTGTAGGGTTAATACTCTGAGTATCCGGGGAGAAGTCTGTGTGTGTTTCTGCCTTGCTGATGGTCTCTCCTGGATGCCTGTTTAATCACCCTGAAAAAATAAAATTGTGCTTCTTCCTTCCAGAGTCCAGTATTGCACTCAGGAAATAATAATCTTTAGAGAAGACCTGGTAAATAAGATGTGCCGGAACTGTGTCCGTTTTCCTAACAGCAACTTGGATATTTCTAATCACGTAAGGCAAAAAAAAGCATGAAAGATTTGAGGATAAGCTTCTGCTGGTTAGGTCGTTACTATTATTCTAGCATGGTTATTTTTAGTAATAGAGTAAGAAATTGAGAAAGAGATCTAGTGTAATATGATCGGGCACCTGCTTCTCATTCCTTTCCTTACCTCTGCATCTCCCCCGCCTCCACCTGCTCTGAAGCGTGGGGAGGAAGCAGATTTGGAGGATATGGGGAGGACTGGAGAGGGAAGAAGAGAAAACTGAACTCCTTACAGTATATGCAAGCAGATTTCTTCATTGCTTTTATTTTTTATTCAACTCCTATACTACCCTTCATCCAAGGATCACAGGGCCGTTTTAAATAAGTGGGCTGTGCAAGTGGATTGCCACATTTGGATCTCACCCAGAGAAAACCATCCAGTAATAATAATAATAATTAATAATAATAATTTATTATTTATACCCCGCCCATCTGGCTGGGTTTCCCCAGCCACTCTGGGCGGCTTCCAACAAAGATTAAAAATACATTAAAATGTCACACATTAAAAACTTCCCTGAACAGGGCTGCCTTCAGATGTCTTCTAAAGGTCTGGTAGTTGTTTATCTCTTTGACATCTGATGGGAGGGCGTTCCACGGGGTGGGTGCCACTACCGAGAAGGCCCTCTGCCTGGTTCCCTGTAGCTTTGCTTCTCGCAATGAGGGAACTGCCAGAAGGCCCTCGGCGCTGGACCTCAGCATCCGGGCAGAATGATGGGGGTGGAGATGCTCCTTCAGGTATACTGGGCCTTGGCCGTTTGTGTCTGATTACCAGCAGAGTGGACTCCCACTTGTACTCTGGATGATATTCAACACTCTGCAAGCAGATATCTGCTCAAACAGTGATACTTTCCCTTCTCTGCTGCCCCCCGCCTGCCCTCCCAAATCTGCCGGGGCAGGAGCAGAAGGGGAACTTTGGGTGTCCTGACGAATGCAGTATGTTTAAAGTGGCCACCTTATTTTAATCTTCACACACCCGAAGTTCTTTTCTGTTCCAGTGCATTTCTGTGCAAATAATATGGGACACATATACAAGAGTTCTACCGAGGGAGAAGTAGTTGTCATTGAAAAGAGAGAGAGGAGCTGAAATTCCATCTTCTTTCTTCTGCATATACTGTAGAAACTTTTTAATATAGTTAATGGAATGGATGGATGGATTCTGATGACTAAATTGGATTCCAAATGGTTCATCTTCCATACAAGAGGCCTTGCAGCTGCTCTGCTCTGGAAAAGTATAGTTTCCTGAAAGCATGGTCCTCAGAGATCACTTCAGATGCTGTTGGTAGCATGGGAATGTCATTGGGTCAAGTCACCGCACAACCCTGCAAGACTGCAGAGGTTTGAATGAGTCTCAATTCTGACTTCGTTTACCAGATTTAGAACTCGAAATGAAGCCTATAGTGCTCTTTTTAACATGTGCTAATCATCAGGAAAGGAAGATGGTTTTGTGATTTATATAGGAGTTTGGAAGACAGGTTTTTGCTTTCAAATGGAAACCAAAGTAATTTGTGTGCCTTTGTTCATTGCCTTGCAGTTTGTAAAGACTATTTTATCACAAGGTCATCTGACTCCATTGCCCCTTAATGTTAGTCCTGTCTACTGGGCCTATGACTATACACTGAGAACCTACCCTCTGCCGGATCTCATTGTCTTTGCTGACAAATATGACCCGTTCACTGTGACCAACACTGATTGCCTCTGCATAAATCCCGTAAGATCCTGTCTCTCTATCCACCCTTTCCTTCCTTCTGTAAGCATGATGAAAAACCGTCTCTAGTAAGAAAAAAAAGATGTGTTTAATGTATTGTTAGTACACACTCTTAGTTGGGATTGTTCCTACTTAGCACCGCTCATTCTGATGGATATATAATAGAAACATTTATTTTGTTTTTCCAAAACAAAAAAATGGCAAGTTAACTGAAAGTTATTGTACCTGAGTTTCATTCCTTCCTTCCATTATTATTCTTAAATTAAATGCTGCCAGGTGGTGGTGATTAGTACTTACTCTTATGCAAGCAGCGCACTGTTTTGTTAATGTGGAGTTTCAGATTCTACTTTAGTCTGGTGCTAGAACAATGTGACTTTGAAAAGAGTGGCATGGATCAGCCTCTTAGAGGTGTCCCCGTAAAGCTGAACAAATTTGAGCTGCCTTGTGTTATAGGGAAAGCTACTGATTTAGCCTTTCCAGAATCTAAATTAGGTCCTTTTAGAAAGATCCAGGCAGGTACGCAATTGGCGTTTCAAAACAAAAGGCAAGTGTAGAGAGTTCCTGGGACATCCTGCACAAGGTGAGGCGATAGCCCAGCCATGGGGCATTTCCTGCTCATTAAATCTATTTTATCAAGGTTCTATTGCTGTGGCGACGAGAACAAAGGAAGCTGGTTTTACATTGAGTCAGATCTGGTCTCTGTTGTCTATGTTGACTATCAGTGGCTCTCTAGGGTTCAGATGGGCTATTCCCAAGCCTTTATAGTGATGCAGAGGACTGAACCTTCTGCATGCAAAGTAGATGATGTACCGCTGAGCTACAGCCCTTCAGATGTTCTTAAGAAATCCAAATGACGAGCTTTAAAAACTAAAGTCCTTTCTTACCCTCTCATTCCAGGGATCTTTCCCAAGAAGTGGCTTTTCATTCAAAGTATTCTACCCATCTAACAAAACAGTGGAGGACAGGTAAGGTCTTGTTTTTTCATATCAAATAGTAAGTGCGAGACCCCCTGCTTTTACAATACAAATTTCACCGTTATTTGGGCTGCCGTTGTAAAGTCTTTGTTTGGTGGAACAAAGAGTTTGGTGTTTGACTGGGATAAAAACAAACTGTTCAATATATAAAGCACGACTACAGTAAGCCCGCAACTTAGGCACATTTAATTTGTGTGTATTCAGCTTTATGTGCTTGGCAAAAAAAAGTAAGAAATTAAAAAGTGGACGGACGTTTGGGTAAGAAGGCTTTGGCAATTCCCCCCCCTCCCCATTGAACCTAGTGTGTCTTAACTATATGAGATTTTGGCTTTTGGTGCATTCCACAGAATGTAACCCCTGCATGAGTTGCGGGGTTACTGTGCTCGCAAGGAAAAATCCATACCCAAGAATTTCAGCCCCATAGCACCATAGTGGCTACAAGGTGTCTGAATATAAGGGTTTTTAATACTATTCAGAGGAAGATTGAGATTCAGATAAACCTTTCTAGGGAGGGAATTATGAAGCTTGCCTTCCCTCTATATACCAAAAAGGAAATTACCCAAGAATGTGCCCCCCACTCTGCTATTTTGCTCTGCTGAACTTGTGCTTTTGCAAGCGCCATGTCATGCTTGTCCTGCTTTTGTAGGCAATGGGTCCTTTAGTGTTGCACCACCCATTTTTGAGAACTTCCTGTCCATTAATATTTCGCAGGGGCCTTCAGTGAATTGTTCTCGGTGCCTACTAAGAACTTTGTTTCGGCAAGCCCTGCCTAGGCATATAAGTCTAGCATTTCAGCTTAACAGGAGTACGTTAGCTGTTCACCAGTTTTAAGTTTGTTTTAAACTTTCATGTCACTTGCTTTTAATACTTGTTTTCTGTTGGTGTTTTTGGTATTTTAACTGTTTTGTTAAACTGCTTTGGAGGCTTTTTTGTTGTTGTTCTAGTAAGTGGTAAATACAGTCTTGTTAAATAGAAACGAACAAATCTCCGTTCCTGTTTTGGAACTCTTGCCCTTGGGTAACAACATGAATTTGGACCAGTCTGTCCTGTGAATACATCTGTGTAGAATTGTCAGTGAGCATTTTTAGTAGGAGGGTTTTTCATTCATATGTTTTTATTCACAGAATGTAGGCTATAAAAGAGGAATATAAAATATTGCCTATATAAAATGTAGATACAAGATATAGGTAAAGGTAAAGGTACCCCTGCCCGTACGGGCGTCTTGACAGACTCTAGGGTTGTGCGCTCATCTCACTCTAGACGCCGGGAGCCAGCGCTGTCCGCAGACACTTCCGGGTCACGTGGCCAGCGTGACGAAGCTGCTCTGGCGATCCAGCACCAGCGCAGCACACGGAAACGCCGTTTACCTTCCCGCTATAAAGCGGTACCTATTTATCTACTTGCACTTAGGGGTGCTTTCGAACTGCTAGGTGGGCAGGAGCTGGGACCGAAAGACGGGAGCTCACCCCGCCGCGGGGATTCGAACCGCCGACCATGCGATCGGCAAGTCCTAGGCGCTGAGGTTTTACCCACAGCGCCACCCGCGTCCCCAAGATATATTAGAATATTAAAGACTGTATTTTTTATTTTTTTTTGTATCCATACCACAAGGACAATGTTGAAAGGCAGCAGTGACACCCTAGCTAGTGCACTCGGTTAAGAGTGGGCATTACAAAATTTGTATTCCCCCCCACCTTCCCACTTATTTGTAACACAACCCTGAAATCTTATTCTGCCTAACTGGCAGTAATTCTCTTAGGTACATTTGTGATTTTCAGACCAAGCTATGGCTTTTAAAACCTTTCCTTTATAACTAAGCTAGTAAACTTTCAGCGACCCCAGCCATCTGGAAGATAGCCAAGCTGAGTTTTAAGGGAATTAAATAGGGAAGCATTAAGACTCAGCGATCAGAGGCAATCTCGGTAGCCTTCCGTGTGAAGTGTAAAGGGTTCCTTTTTTTGTTGTATTAAACAGAACTTAATCCTCAGGGCCTGGGACAAAGCATTACAAATCTGTGTGAAGTGGGCTCTTTGTGTCCCCATCAAGTGCACTAATCTTGGATCTAGAATATTCACGTAACTTTAATCAAATGCGAGGGTTTAATTCTATGTAACCATAGGAACAAAGATATCTTAGTATGGCAAACTCCTTTGAAGTTGCTAGTGCTTATTTTACAAACTTTTAAAAAGCAAGCATTAAGGCCGAAGAAAGAAAGGTAAGAAGTTAAGTTTCAAGAAGCACCAATGTAGTTATGGTAACTTGATTTTTTTCCCTTCCCCCAGCAAACTTCAAGATATTTGAATCTCAGGAAATAACAGTAGATCAAGTATTCTGACCTTAATACCATGGAAGCACCACTTCTGGAATCATGGATTTTATTATATGCTGCTGTTACAGATATTGAACGTCTTGTAAATAAACTTTCAAACAATGGATGGTATAGGCTTGTGGCGTACTTGCATAAGTCTTTCTCTAAGTGATTTTTATTCAGACAAAAAAAATTGTGGCTGGATCCTGACTTGAGAAATGTGTGTCCTTTTGCCTCCTGCTGCCATAACAGTTCAACTATTTGTGGATGGCTTTTCTGAATTTGGGGGGATGGGGGAACCTCTCTGTAATGGTTCTAGGGGTTGCTCGTGCGTAAGCCGGTGCAAACACCTGGCTGGGTTGCCTGAGTGAACCTTTTCTGTCCGGACAGCCACTCACCCGTGGCTGTCTCAATCGCTGGCAGAATCCGTCAGTGGGCGTTTCTTAAACTTCTTCCAGCAAAGAAGCTCTTTGACGCCTAGTCTCCTCCTACTCTCTCTGCGCGAAAGCCTTCTGTGCAAGGAGGGCGTAGGCAGCGGAGGACCTCTACTCTCCCCGCTGGTCCCCAGCAAGGAGTCATGGGACCGCCTCGCCGCTTCCCCCATCTGCCCCCCTTCTCCACTGGTGCTACGCTGATTCTCTTCCCCAGAAGATGGGCTGCCTCTCCCAATCCCGGGACGCTCTCCAGAATCCCTCTGGATTTTGCTCTCTCCCTCCGGCACTGATGGCAGTTCCCTGACACTCTCCAAAGGGGCTTGAGAACCTTCCAATACGTGAAACATCAGTTCTAAGCAGACAAATGCTCATTTTACATTATCCAAAACTGGGGTCTCTTAACAACTGAAGGGGATTGGCATCATATCATGGCCCTACCTAACCACAAACTGGCTAAAATATTTAGCATAGCAGGTTTTGGAACTTTGCTGTGGATGGATGTGTGGAGCTCCCATTTATTAGGCAGTTGCTAAGACTAGCTCTCCTGTGCCTATTCTGCTAAAAGCTCTTCTATAATGTGGAACAATTACAGTTCTCCATACAGCTGCCAAAAGCCTCACACCAAACCCTAATCCTCTTTGTTTATTGCATTAATATCCTGCCTGCCAGTCTTCCATTATACCAGACACAGCATACGTATCCTTGAGGCAGTCTACCATCCAGACACCGATCACTTCCGCAAAGTTGCTACTGTATGTATCTTCAGCTCACATCCCAGTCCTGAGAATACACACTAGCAACAGCACTTCAGGCTAGTTTTCAGAATACGCAGTGACTGATAATGGGATTATAACTTCTGAATTTACACAGCCTCATCAAAACAAGGTAGCCAAGACTGATAGCATAAGAAACAAGATGTCCCATCAAGTTTCTAGGACCTATGCAGCTAATCTACTGGTTCATGTAGCATATCAAAAGGTATGTTCTAGCGTAAGAAAGATTTGGTGGGGAGTATTACTAAGGTTGTGCGCAACTGATGGATGGGACTTGATACTTTTTAAAGCTTAAGTCTGTGCCCTTTTAAAAAATAACTAAGTGGGGCTTCCTGTTCCCGGCGGTGGAAAATGGCAGATCCCACACGATCGGACCTCAGCCGTTCCGATAATTCAGGGCTGATATGGGGTAATTAGCCCTGGCAGCCTCCCCAGGGCAGGGGCGGACTGTCTCGATGACCCGTGGTTTGCCCCAGATTGCCAATGTGGCAGACGGCAGGGGCACTGGATCACGGAGCAAGGGACGGACTGACACTCCTGCAACGCCACCCCATAGCCGGACGCATCTGTTTGGGAAAATATAAAGATTTGAAAAACAGACATGCTCTGAACTGACGAAGCTGGGGAAAAAACCTGCGGTATGTAGTCGTCTCTGGTGCAAAAGATGAAACTTCAAAGAGATCCTCATCATGACGTTTGGAATTTGAAGGGGCTTGGTATGTTTTTTTCTACTTCCTTTAACATTAACAATCCGTACTGCATGCCAAGTCTCATTAAGAACCTAAATTGTTCTTCAAAAAGTGAGTACAGATGGACTTTCATATATAATTGGGACCTATTCGCAGCTGCTTTTCTTCTAAGATTTGAAATGCTTGATAAAGATGAAAACAAAAACAAAATGGCTTCTACCCACCACGCACTTACGGAATATCTGAAATACTTCCCTGATTAAGAGAAACAGGAGCTAACTGATGGTTGGTCATAAAGACTGGAAACAATATTATATATACAACTGTTTGCAAAAAGGAAGTTTTTTATTATGAGCGAGAGAGAGGGCTAAATGGATGTCTGGCAGCCCCCCTCTAGGGCCCGGAGGGGGGATTTGATTGGGTAGATTCCAAAGGCTAATTGTTAACTGTCTGATATATGGCTACATTGCAAACAGTCTGCTCAAGAATATATCAGCAAGGAATTTCAGAAGGAGGTTTCTCTCTGTTTCTTTGATAACACCTGGACGGGAAAGATTAACGATCTGGGAGCTGCCAAAATAACAACTCTCAAAGAGCTGGACAGAACTCTGGAATTGGATGCAATTAAAGAAGCGGTGCGATGAAAAAACAAAAACAGCTGAAAGAGTACAATATATGGACAAATCTGCACTGCATAGAAAAAAAAGTATCTGCTTTCTGACATGAATGAGGATCGCAGAACCAGAGTCAAAACGTGGAGGAAAAGATCGGATATGGAATTATGAAAAACATCAATGATGATGAGAGGCAGGACTATGATGTTGAAAGCACTTCGGAATTCAGACCGTGGGAAGCCAAAACCAAAATTATCACAATTTGGAAGACAATTGGACTTTTTTTTATTTTAGTTTTTTATTGGATTTGATTTGATATGTTAATTAGATGTTCTTATTGGAAAATTAATAAACGCTTAAAAAAAAACTGTGAAGAGAGTTCACTGAAATGTATGGGCTTGTTCACCTTTTTTTGGATGATTTTATTTATTTTTCATGGTACAGAAGATACATTTTGAGAAAACAATTGCTACAACAGTAAACAACAGAGTTGTCCTGATAGAATTTCAGACTTTTGTCATGCTGTGTGATAAAGTTTCATTCGATTCCTCTAAGAGATCACACCACATTTTCCCATGAGTGTTGGGTGGATTCCTGCCACAGTCTGAACAATTTATGTATTCACTAAACATTTGCCATATGTTATAAAAGGAACAGGGATTGTGTTTGCCCTTTGCTGCTCTGACCTGACGTGTTAGTTTCTCTGCCAATGCTATTGACCATACTATGCTATACCAAGAATCAGTGTTCAGCCCAACACCAGTTTTCCAACAGAGGTCAATAGAAAGGCTAAGATGTCATCACTGGGGTAATCTTGAGCAGGTGGCTCCCCAAGCCCAAGTAGTGTTAGTGCACAAGTACAGTTGTTTTGTACATCAAGTTTATTTCTTTGAATACAGCACTCCAGAAAGATTTGATGAGGTCACACCACCACAACATATGGAAATGTGTACCTATGGCTTGTTCACCATTTTTTATATATATATAATTTATATTTTCTGTTTTACAATTTAAAATAAACATTTTACAAAGTTTGAACGAACTTTATTACGGTCATAGACCAGGATTAAGAAAAGCATATACATAAAATAGCAGTTGGGATTTTTGACTGATAATTGTTAGGGCAAAAGAGGACAAGGAAACAGGCATAAAACATCCGAATAAAATACAAGATTAAACACAGATAATGGGTGGATAAAAACTAATAATTAAAACAGATAAGAGCTAAAAACCAACAAAGACACGCAGTTAAAACAACTAAGTTTATAATGTCCAGTTACTTCCCTTCTTCTCTTTCCATGGTTCATTTTACATATCCTACCATTTTTAGCCATCTTGTTTCTTTATGGAACCAGCGTTGATGGCAGCTACCAATCCTACCCTCTGCATTTGTTACTCCAAATGCTTAAGTGTCTTTTTACTAAAATAGTGTCTTTATACTAAAAACCAAGCATGAGCAACATGCCATTGTGACCAGGTAAGAAAGTCTGTAGCCCTGAAGTTCATGCCCAGGAGCGGTTGCTCTTTTCCTCTTACAAGGCAATTTCATTAGTCTCAAAGGATAGCGGGAGTAAAATTAAAATAATTGGTTTAGCTCTTGCTGCTACACTTCCACTTCTGAATTAAACTGCGTACTGCTGAAAGTTCAAACCCATTTGACTTTCCATTAATACCTTACACGTTCTTTAGCAATTCATGCCCTCTGTCGTTCTCCGTGAAGCAACCTTGTGGGAAGTACTTTTGTTCACAGTGGAAGTCTGAATGCCTTTAAAATGTTAATGACCAGGAAGGCGGCCCTTGATACATGAGCTTTGTAGGAGATGGGGAAATAACGGTGGTTGCATTTGAAACTTCCTTGCAAGCATTTTCCTCTGGAGAAGGGCCTATACCAGCTGTACTGGCTCCCAGTGGAGTACAGGATTAGGTTTAAGGTGCGGGCTTTAACCTTCAAAGCCCTATATGGCCTAGGACCCTCGTACCTACAGGACTGCCTCTCCTGGTATGTCCCACGGAGGACCTTACAGTCTGCAAACAACACTCTGAAGATCTTGGGCCCCAGAGAAATTAGACTGGCCTCGACCAGAGCCAGGGCCTTTTTGGCTGTGGCCCCGGTCTGATGGAACGCTCCCCCACAAGAGACTAGGGCCCTGCGGCATTTGACATCTTTCCACAGGGCCTGTAAGATGGAGCTGTTCTGCCAGGCCTTTGGCAAGGGGCCAGTCTGACCTATTTTCCTTTGTATAAGAACAAGCATGTTCACAACCTGTTCACAGGTCCATATATGATCAGTGAAAACAATTGGTCCTGGCGAGTATTAACTGCTCTCAATCTTCACCTGATAACTGCCATTTGTCCAGGTTTTACCGGTAATTTGTCTGAATTAATTTAAAGACGTATTTTAACTGATGCCTGTTTTTATGTATACTGTGATATTTGTAGTAGGATAGCCGCTCTGTAACCCCCATAGTCGCCTTTGCCTGGACTTAAGCAGCAACCTCAGTACCATGGAGCCCAAACCTCCCCACTACGCCTCCCAGCAAGCGATGCCCACCCTTCCCTCTGCACACGGCCAAAGTTTCCAAAGTACATTGTGGACTATGTCATTCTGGGCGCTGCAGGAGGAAAGGAAGCGGCAAGGTTTTGACTGCCAGCTAAGCAGCGTTCTTTCTCCCAGAAGATTTATGCTTAAAGATTCGCTATGGTTAGGTTTCTTTTTAAAGAAAAAACCCAACACACACTTGCTGTTTCAGAAATGGTTTTCAACTGAAGACAGAACCGTACCATTAGTTTTAGCAGGTTACTGAAGGGCTTCTGCGGTTTTTATTAAGCTGCTGGGGAAACTTGAGTGTTCATTCTGGTTTATTTGAACAGAGGAGCCTGCAGAATCAGGCCAGAGGTTGCCATTAAGGACACTGACAAACTGGAACGTGTCCAGAGGAGGGCAACCAAAATGGTCAAAGGCCTGGAAACGATGCCTTATGAGGAACGGCTAAGGGAGCTGGGCATGTTTAGCCTGGAGAAGAGGAGGTTAAGGGGTGATATGATAGCCATGTTCCAATATATAAAAGGATGTCACATAGAGGAGGGAGAAAGGTTGTTTTCTGCTGCTCCAGAGAAGCGGACACGGAGCAATGGATCCAAACTACAAGAAAGAAGATTCCACCTAAACATTAGGAAGAACTCCCTGACAGTAAGAGCTGTTTGACAGTGGAAATTGCTGCCAAGGAGTGTGGTGGAGTCTCCTTCTTTGGAGGTCTTTAAGCAGAGGCTTGACAACCATATGTCAGGAGTGCTCTGATGGTGTTTCCTGCTTGGCAGGGGGTTGGACTCGATGGCCCTTGTGGTCTCTTCCAACTCTATGATTCTATGTTTCAATTCTGTGATTCACAGCGGTCTAGAACTTGGTCCTCTGAACCTTTCTTTACAGTTTGATTTAGGGAAACGTAATTAAAAATGGTACATAATTGGCTTTTAACCCCAGTAAGTCTGAACAGCACGCTAAAAAGGTTCTCTCCCTTTGGTTGGTGGGGTAGCAATGTGATAGCTTCCTAGATTCCACCTAAACATTAGGAAGAACTTCCTGACAGTAAGAGCTGTTCGACAGTGGAATTTGCTGCCAAGGAGTGTGGTGGAGTCTCCTTCTTTGGAGGTCTTTAAGCAGAGGCTTGACAACCATATGTCAGGAGTGCTCTGATGGTGTTTCCTGCTTGGCAGGGGGTTGGACTCGATGGCCCTTGTGGTCTCTTCCAACTCTAGGATTCTATGATTAATTTGATTTGAGCTGATTTTATAACGAACTGATTTTAAAATGTTGTATTATTTTACTGTTGTTAGCCGCTCTGAGCCCGGCTGGGGAGGGCGGGATATAAATAATATATATAATATATATATAAATAATATATAAATAAATAAATAAATTATTAGTATTAGTATTATTAAATGCAAGAGAAAACATTTGTCCATTGCCTTTTAGCTGCTCATGGTGGGAAGTCCCATTTGCAGCCCAGCACCCGCTCCGATTCTGCCTCTTGACCCGGCACACCCCATCTGAAAGGCAGCAACCATCAACTTGGGGGACGGCCCCCTCAAATATTTTATTGGGGAGACAGGAAGGGACGTTGGCCCTCTGGACTTGGCTCCTACGATCTGGCAGCTCCTCCCCAGTTCCCCGCCAGGAAGGACAGCGAGACGGGGAACGGAAGCTCCTCTCGGTCACACTTTCCGCTCTAGGACCGGCAGCTCCATTTCCGCGGTTAACCCTTCCAGGACGAAGCGGCAGGAACCTCCGGGCCGCTTCGACAGACACAAGAGACACTTGCGGGGTGCGCGTCACCCCCAAATATCTCATTGGGCGGTGCGAAAATACATGGCAAATAGGTTAGGAACGCTTCTACAGCGACTGCGGCCTCCCGCCGAGCGGAGCCCGCCATTTTGCTTGCCGCCGTCTCCACGGCGACGGACCTCGCCGCCGCCATTTTGCCGGGGTCGTTTCTATAGCAACGGCGGCCTCCGCCATTTTGCCGGAGTCGTTTCTATAGCAACAGCGGCCTCCGCCATTCCGCCGGGGTCCTTTCTATAGCAACAGCGGCCTCCGCTATTCCGCCGGGGTCCTTTCTATAGCAACGGCGGCCTCCGCCATTCCGCCGGGGTCCTTTCTATAGCAACGGCGGCCTCCGCCATTTTGCCGGCCCCCGTCTCCATGGCGACGGGCCTCGCCGCCATTTTGCCGGGGTCGTTTCTATAGCAACGGCGGCCTCCGCCATCCGGCCGGGGTCATTTCTATAGCAACGGCGGCCTCCGCCATTTTGCCGGCCCCCGTCTCCATAGCGACGGGCCTCGCCGCCGCCATCTTGTTAGGGTGGCTTCCATAGCAACGGCCGTCCTCCTCCTTCCCCGGTGGCTTTCCGAGGGCCGGCATGGCGGTCCGCTCGAGCCTGGAAGCCCTGGAGCTGACGGGGGACGAGGTGGAGCGGCTGAGCCAGGCCTTCCAGGACGAAGGCTTCCGCAAGCTGTTCGCCGACTACGCGGCCGAGCTGAGCGACCCGGCGCAGCGGGCCGTGTACGAGGCGGAGGTGTCGGCCCTGGAGCGGCAGCGGGGCGTCGAGGCGCGCTTCCTGCACCCGCAGCCCGGCTGGGTGCTGCGGACCAGCCAGGCCGGCTCCCGCCGCTGCTACGTCAACGTGTGCGGCAACGCGCTGGTGGCCAGGCCCGAGGCGCGGCCGGAGCCCGGGGGCAGCCGCTGGACGCTGCCGCACTGCCTGGCGCCGGCCCGGGAGGAGCTGGGCAGCCGGCCGAGGCCCGGGGAGCCTCGCGGCCCGCCGCGCCTGGTCTACGACGTGCTCTTCCACCCGGACGCGCTCCGCCTGGCCGCCCGCTCGGCCCGCTTCCGCCGCCTGGTGAGCGACACGGCCCTGGAGGCGCTGGAGAGCCACTTCTCGCCCGGCCTGGACCGCGCCAACGCCGTGTCCGCTGCGGGGCATCAAGTACAAGGGAGTCCCGCAGGCCACGCTGCTCCGGACGCCGCTGCCCGGGGCCGCCCCGGCGGGAACCGGGGAGGAAGAGAGCCGCTCGCCGCCGCTGCCGCCCTTCCCCACGCCCTACGCCTACCCGCCTCGCCCAGCCGAGCCCCCGAGGCCGGCGCCCGAGCCGGCCCCGGCGGCCACCACGCCGCGCTGGAGCCTCCGGCAGCGCTCCTACGTGGACCTGCAGGACTACCGCTGCTGCCGCGACTCGGCGCCCAGCCCGGTGCCCCGCGAGCTGGTGGTGACGGTGGAGCTGCCCTGCCTCGGCTCGGCCGCCCAGGCGGAGCTGGAGGTCCGCGGGCGGGAGCTGCGGCTGGAGTCGCGGCGCCCCGCCGCCTACAGCCTGCGCCTGCCGCTGCCCTACGCCGTGGACGAGGCCGCCGGCAAGGCCACCTTCAACAAGGCCAAGAGGCAGCTGGTGGTCGTGCTGCCCGTCCTGCCGCCGGCCGGGCAAGAGCAGGGGAGCCCCGGCTGCGGCGAGCAAGGCCGGCCGGAGGAGGAGGAGGAGGAAGAAGGAAGGGAGGAGGAAGAGGAGGAGCCGCCGCCGCCTTCGGAAACCGGAGGCTCGGCTGAACCGCAGCCGGGCTGCGCCCCGATCCAGGCCGCGAGCAACGCGGAGCAAACGCCCCTTGCCGCCCACGTGGAGGCGAGGCCGGGGTGCGCCGCGGAAAGCGCTCCGGCCGCTCCCGAGCCCGGCCTCTCCACGTGTCCGGGTCATAACGATTCCGACGATCCTCGGAGCCCCGGGGCCAGCAGCCCGGAGGATCCCGCGGAAAGCGACCCGGCGGCTGACACGCGTCCGACCGTCCCGACGTGCGCCGGCACTGGTCGCGCCGCGGGTTTGCCTGCTGCGCCGCGTGAAGACCCGTGCGTGGACAGCACCGTGGAGCTACGCGGCCCTGTTGCGGGAGTAAGTCAGGGGCTGCTCTGCGCCGACATGGATCTGAACGAAAGCACCCATGTCACCAGCGACGTGGTGCCCTCGCCGTGCCCCGGTGGCATCGTGGCTCCTCCACGTGTGTCCCGCTGTGACGGCCCGGACCATTCCGTGGCAACCCTGTCGGATCTGGACTGCTCTAGTGTAGATGAGGATCCGATGCCCTCGACAAGAAGCGAGCTTCCTGCGCCACCAGCGTGCCCCAGTACCACTAGCGTCGTGCAGATTTCTGCACCTGCCTCTCTGGGTCCTGCAAACATAACCTCTGGTTCTCCTCTGCCGCCCACGGAGGGCCCCACCGTTGATCCAGATTCTGCCAAAAGCCCTACTAGTTGCCCTGACTCTCCAGTGCCCCCTGCAAGCCCAGCCGCCCGGTGTCCCCCTTTCCAATGCACTCAGGATGAAAACTCTCTGAGGCTGATCTTTCAGGTGCCAGGCATTGTTCCCCAGAGCCTCAGGGGGGAAGTAGGAACAAATTGCTACAGAGTTAGTTTTGCCAGCAAAGACTTTGCTTCTTATACATTCCTCTTGCAGTTTCCTCCAGAAAATAGACTGAGTCCCCCTGAGTTTGGACTTGATGTGTCCCCCGATAATGCTGTTATTTCCCTCACCAAGTCTCTGGAGACCACTGGACTTTGGAGAAAGATGTATTTTGGCCCAAATGGTGATTCCTTGCAGGTAAAACTACATTTCATATCCCTCTCACCCTCAGGGTGTAGCAGAATCAAGGGTATATTTCTGAGGCCCTTATTTCATTTTTATTCTGCTCTTCTTCTGCTTGGGGCATTGCGGACTCACTTGTTATCCTATAAATTTATTCTCGCAACTACACTTTGAAGTACGGTAAGTTATGCTGAGACTAATAATGTGATAGACCCCACATCACCAGTGACCCTCATGGCTGAGCAGGATTTGAATGTGGGTCTCCAAAACTTTCCCTACTAGGCTCCTTGCTAAATGTGTGAGCAACAGAAAGGCGTCTGGGTTCACACAGTGCATAGTTAAACGATGGAATGGATGGCCAACAATCTGGATAGCATTAATAGGAGACTAGACAAATATGTGGAGTATAAGGCTATTTCTTATGCCCGCTGCCAAGGCAGTGATAAGGAGTGCTGTTGTGCTCATGTTTTGCTGCTGGGCTTCCCTGAGGCATCTTGTTGACCACTGTGGACAGCAGGATGCTGGACTCGATGAGTCTTTGACCTGATCCAGCAAGGTGGTTCTTCCATTCTTAGGATTTGTGGGAGTAGTAAAGCCCTTTAAAGCCCTAAAAGGCCTCGGTATACCTGAAGGAGCGTCTCCACCCCCATTGTTCTGCCTGGACACTGAGGTCCAGCGCCGAGGGCCTTCTGGTGGTTCCCTCATTGCGAGAAGTGAGGTTACAGGATTAGGCAGAGGCCTTCTCGTTGTTTATACTTGGCATGTAACCTGCCTTCCCAGCTTCTATGTCTAGGTAATCAAACAACTATATCTAACTTTCACAGTGCATCTGGAAGCCCCACTTAGCGTTGTTTGCACATCAACACTGTATCGTTTTCAGATATTCAATTCAAGTTTCTCCCAGGTGCCTCGATGAACCTGTTGATGCTGCAAAGATAATCTGATTTTCCTATGTTAGTCTGTCCAGTTCTGCAAGTGAGGTCTGTCAGCTTTGCCAGTCTGCCATTCTTACTACATGTCGATGTTAGTTGAGTGCTGTGTTTCCATTTCTGAGCCAATAGAATTCTTGCTGGGGAACATTTTCCTTCCCTACCACAGTGATGAAAAGAAAATAACCTCCATAGTAAGTAGTGACTGTTACCTACACCCTTTTAGTATTGCAACCCACTGCTCTCTTCCCATTCTCCTTGCCTCTGAAGGCTTGAGAAGGACCTCTGAGGATGGTTGGCAGTAGTTGAGTAGGCTTGTATGAGAGAGCGAGAAAAAGTCATTCAGGAACCTAAGTCCCAAACTGTTCAGGGCTTTGCCTCAAGATTGCACCTGACCTCCTTTGGGCTGAACTGGAGAAGGCGCTGTCAAAACACAAGCACCTCATCGGACTGAAGTGAATAGTGTGTGCCTAACCCTACACAGTAGAACTTGTCCCCTGAACTTGCTTTGCTACTTGTTTAGTTTTGTTGTTTAGTCGTTTAGTTGTGTCCGCCTCTTCGTGACCCCCTGGACTAGAGCACGCCAGGCACTCCTGTCTTCCACTGCCTCCCACAGTTTGGTCAAACTCATGTTGGTAGCTTCAAGAACACTGTCCAGCCATCTCGTCCTTTTGTCCCCTTCTCCTTGTGCCCTCCATCTTTCCCAACATCAGGGTCTTTTCCAGGGAGTCTTCTCTTCTCATGAGGTGGCCAAAGTCTTGGAGCCTCAGCTTCAGGATCTGTCCTTCCAGTGAGCACTCAGGGCTGATTTCCTTCAGAATGGATACGTTTGATCTTCTTGCAGTCCATGGGACTCTCAAGGGTCTCCTCCAGCACCAGAATTCAAAAGCATCAATTCTTCGGCGATCAGCCTTCTATTTATGGTCCAACTCTCACTTCCATACATCACTACTGGGAAAACTATAGCTTGAACTATACAGACCTTTGTTGGCAAGGTGATGTCTCTGCTTTTTAAGATTCTGTCTAGGTTTGTCATTGCTTTTCTGCTTTGCTACTTACCGATGTGTAATATGCTATAAAGTTTCTCCTATTTGATGTCAGCAGGGGGCTGAAACTGTCATCCTCCTTCTGACACCTGTTTAGTAAACAAATGTGTGGCCATTTGCAGTTTGGTCATCATGTTTGTTTAGAAACTGAAGAGGCAAAGTAAAGTATGCTTCCTCTCTGTTTCAATACTCAAACTAGCTTAATTTGCAGTTCTGCTCCTTGAAGACAGCATTTCTTGTTATAGCTTCCACCCTTGTGAATAAACATTCCAGACCGAATGCTCATGAATCTGTAGACTGATTCTCTGGAGTTCTGTTGCCTAGAATGTTTCTTTGCATGGGGAAAAAAAACCTCATATTAAAATTGCAGAGGGGAGGAAAGAGAGGATCTAGGTTTGGTCTTCTTGCTGACACTGGGGCTATACATTTTTCCCTGTTGAAGAAAACACACACATTTTTTTTACCACTTAATTGGAGCATTGAGTCAGCTCTCATCAACATGAGATACTATTAGAGCTACGGTTGCATTCTGGCAAGGCAGAACCTGTGTATGTCAGGACTCAGTAGCTTCAAAATATCATTTGCATTGACATATAATTAATTATTCAAACTCACATAAATATTAATTATATGCCAGTACAAATGACATATTGAAGCTACTGAGTCCTGTATACTAGCGATGACTAAAATAAGCTCTGTACTTTATATAGGGGTGTTTTGCAGGACCTTTTCACCTGTAAGACTTGGTCTGCTGGGCTAGAAAGCTTTGCCACTCCTGAAACAGAAGTTTAAAGTCCTAACCAGCACTTCGATTTGGGTCTGGATGTGGGCCGACTTCCAGTGAAACTCTATTACAAAATAGTGGAGCCACACGTTCCTGATAACTGGCTCCAGTCAGCAGTCTGGCCACAGCATACTGTGCCAGCTGAAGCTTTCAAACAAAAGCTAGTTCAGCTGCAATGCAGGTCGTGAGGTATCCTGGCCAGATCTGACTTTTCTAGGAACAGGTGCACCCAGCGCACCAAGCAAAGTTGTGCAAAGACACTTTTGCCCACAGCCAGCTTCTGAACATCCAGGTTCAGGGTGCAAAACTCAACTTTAAAGTGGGGCGCAATCCAGACTAGCTGCTGCTTGCTTTTGGTTTAGTTGAGAGTAAACTGATCAAATCAAGCCCCTGCTGTTTTTTGTTTTTTTTTGGGATTTGATATCCCGCTTTATCACTGCCCTAAGGAGTCTCAAAGCGGCTAACAATCTCCTTTCCCTTCCTCCCCCACAACAAACACTCTGTGAGGTGAGTGTGGCTGAGAGACTTCAGAGAAGTGTGACTGGCCCAAGGTCAGCCAGCAGCTGCATGTGGAGGAGCGGAGATGCGAACCCGGTTCACCAGATTACGAGTCTACCGCTCTTAACCACTACACCACACTGGCTCTCTTCTGTTAAACAGAAACATGTGGAAGAAGAGCTTATAAGTATATAGTGACCTGTAAACCATCACCAAACTCCCCTGTGATTTTGCTCTGGTTCTAGAACCAGATGAGAGTGCTCTGCAGCATGTTACTTTTTGGGGATGGTGTTTGGGCTTCTGTCTCCTGGCAACAGAGACATCTTTATCCTTTCTCAGGAGTTTCAGTTGTGGCCTTGAGTAATTTCCCTCCTGTTCTGGAGTTCAATCCGCCACTTTGTGGAGGATCTTGTCTTGTGCTGGAGTGCTAGTTGTGTTGATCTTCTGCTCCCATCTTAAATGCACACCCTCGGTTTGGAAAACCACGGCAGTTTTTAAAGAAAGAGACTGAGCCCTTGATACGGATGGACTTTCCCCACTGCTATTCCTGCAAGGGTTGCATCTCTTAGAGAGGTAATGTGACCTTTCGTTCAGAAGTTCCTTAAAGGCCAGCAGTTTGTTAAATAGGGTTTTAACAGATCAAATGCCCTTTCGATTAAAATTTTTAAAATTATATTATCTCATTCAGTATGGATCATTGATGGCAAGGAGGTAAAAAATAACTGTGGCATTTCTCTCAGAGGCTGGTGAAAGGTCATTAATCTAATGCTTTGCAGAAACCATTAACTCCTTATGTCAGGCATTGCCGCTGGCTGGGTGTGAGGACTACGAATGGGAGAAGGTTCAGTTGCAGGTGACTGGTTTCATTTCGTCAGATTTTTCAGCCAAGTAGTACAGCACAAGCAAATAAGTTTTCCATCATACAGAACAGCTGACACCTGGAGACTGAAGGTGTGTCCCAGTGAGCAAGATCAGTACTGCCAGCGTTGGCTCAGCTGTGCTCATGGGTCTTTGCCTTCCGCAGCCCATGGATGGGGCCTGGTTGCAGTGATACCCCTGCAGTATGGACAACAACTGGCCATTTTTTTCTCCAGGGAAGATAGAGAGATATAAGAAATAGGCATGCAGGAAAGCATAAATTCCAGACGTGAAGCCTTAAGGCAAAGATGCATTGTTTAGAATGAGAAAAACGGGTTTATTTAGTGACATTCTCATGGAGAGAGATTCAAGATTACCCACGTCTTGGTCCAAGAAACCAGATACCTTCTTGTTACAGTATAAACAATTTTAACAGCAGCTCTAGTTTTCCTATTTCTAGCCTTCCCGCATATCTAGATTCTTTTGGAATTAGCCAGTGGAATTAGTTCTTGCTTGACCTCCAGCTAGCAACTGAAAATACTTTCATAGGAGAATGCTTAGAAAAAATAAATATTGTCAGGTTATACACTGACATTGTAGCAGCTGGTTAACTGATAGAGGTGTGCTTAAGAACATATTGGTGGCTTTATAAGTCATCCTTCCCCCAACCTAGTTTGAACTACAGTTCCTATCAGTCCTAGTCAGCACCATTAGTTCCTGAACACTGTAAATCCTGTCCAATAGCTGCCGACTGTGGTTGAAGAACAAACTGGAGGTAGTTGAAATGAATGCCAAGAAAGGATTAATAACACTAATTATTTAATGCACAGTTGGGAACAATTTGCTCAATATTAGAATGACTCTTGGGAAAATTAGTCTGGATTGTTGTCTCTTCATTCCATAATTCTTGTGCTAATCATGTGTTGATATGTGTGTGAGTCAAGAAGGGAAGGGATTCTACTCCCCACAACAGTGGTTCCCAATTAGCTTAGTAGTGCAGACCCCCTGTTTTTCAAAAGGCAAGCCATGGAGCCCCTAGTTCTGAAAATGTTGATATCTCTATGGTAGGTTATTTTATGTGAATAGTGCCGCAGACCCCCCTGGGTGGGTTATGTAGACCCTCTGGGTTCTGCGGACCTCCAGTTGGGAACTATTGTCCTACAAGAAACTGATTTCAGGCTTCTCATATGCATCTGGTTGGACACTGTGAGAACAGGAAGGTGGACTGCATGGATCATTGGCCTGATCCAGGAGGATCCTCTTATGTTTGTTGTGGGGGAGGAAGGAAAGGAGAATGTTATGCACTTTGAGACTCCTTAGAGTAGTTATAAAGCGGGATATCAAATCCAAAATCCTCCTCCTCTTCTTCTTCTTCTGTTTCTGTTTCTGTTCACCAGCACCCACAGAGACCTTCCCTTGTGCCTACAGGGTCTCCTCCACCCACTGAAATTCAACTTGAAAGAAGCATTCTCTTGTGCTAGTCAGTAGGATAGATTGAGCTCTGTCATTGGTTGCTGTTCGTATTTGGTGCTCACAACAGGTTTAAAAGGTTGATGACGTCTGGTTTAATCAAACAAACCCAATTCAAAACATGGTTTATGAAGCTGACTTGTTTCAGTAAACCGTAAATAAGATTAATTACATTTTGTGTTTGGACCTAACACTAAACTATGGTGAATAGAAAATGGAAGTGGAAGCTTCAAATGTCCCCATGACTGTGGAGGCAGAGTGTATAAGCCAGGGCTGGGCGATATCTGGTTTCCAGCATCACAATATACCAATGTATGACAATGTCTGAAATAAGGATGGTGCTAGGTAGAGGCACTGGCTGGCTTCACGGTTTCTCCTGCATCGTGATTTTTGCCTGCGCCTGCTCTTGTAATTCGCTGCCCCCTGCATTACTGTATGATACAATAATCATGACTGCACATCAGCTAAGAAATACAGACTAAAATAAAAGTTTGTGCTAATCTACTTTATGTAAAATATAATCCACAGAAAATAAAAACTTTTCTCCTAACACCACACTTTTGTGAGTAACATACAGTTGTGGTTTCCAGTATTTCCAAGCTGATACCATTAGCAATAAGCACTTAAATAGTTTTATACTCATTTACTTGTATCTTGCATGTTCTAAAATGGCGCACATGTTACTGTGGAATCTCTTGGGTTTCCCCATGCCTTGGCATTTTTCTGTGGCGCTAGGGTTCTTCTGGGATCCTTTGTTTCTGTCAATCTACAGATTACATGTTTGCCTAGTTGTTCCTTTCCAAAACTGAGCAGTTAGTTTCATGTTTTGCTGGCAGCAGCGGAAAATTGCCAGTTCTTGATGTTTTCCAAATGAGTGGAGAAATGCCAGCTAGAATTGGTTTTGGCACATGGACGTTTAAGGGGATTGCCTTGGTGAAACGCGGTTTGCTTTTCAGAGGGGGGAAATTGTTGTTCTCGTCGTCACCACCAGCAGATAGGCAGTGGAGTTCCTCGCTCTGTATGTTCTCACCAAGAAGCAGGGGTTGGTTTTTAGTGCTGTGAGTAGGCAACCTACATAAATGTTTTAAAGCAGGATTCCTTTTCGCTTACACATGGTGGCACTAACATACCGGAGACCGTATCTCACTCTTCTTCACCTGGGAGGAATTCCTGTGTGTTTACTCTTCCAGCTGGAACTGAAGGAGGCTCACACATCAGGGTACAACCATAGAATCACAGAACTGAAGTGTTGGAAGGGACCCTGAGGGTCATCTAGTCCAACCCCCTGCAATGCAGGAATATGCAGCTGTCCCATACGGAGAAGCAGACTTGCAATCTTGACATTATCAGCACCAGGCTGTTACCAACGGAACCATCCAGGATCTTATGCAAACCAAACCTTTAGAATGCCAACTAGAAGATATTCAGATTGATTAAAAAAAGATGTTCCTTCCATCTCTCTGTATTTCAGCAATGATGTAATAGGCAAATGGTTTCCAAGCCATTTTGGAAGCCAGGGTGTAAGCAATAAATCCCCCTTAGTTAACAATACTGTACACACTTTCCCCATAAAACTATGTCCACAGTGTTAATTCCATTTTAATGCCCAGTTACCCAAATCAGCTTTAGTCATCTGAATGGATTTGCAGTGGGTTGCTAGGATGGAAGTATTTGGTGGTAGCTTTGCTCTAGGCTAGTCTATACTTCAGATAGACAGGAGCATTAGACTCCTGAGTAAGCTTAGCTGTCGTGAGATCAGAGGAGAGGTCCTCTTAAAAGTAAGTACAGTGGTGCCTTGCAAGACGAAATTAATTCGTTCCGCGAGTTTTGTCGTCTTGCGAAGCACGGCGTCGGGAAAGTTTTGGAAAAGGTTCAAAAATCACCAAAGTCTTTAAAAACCTCAAAAAAGGCTACCACACCGCGTTCTATGAGTTGCTCCTCGAAGTCAAGTCGCAACTATATTAACGGTGTTAAGAAAAAGGAAACAGTGAGAGCTGTTTGACAGTGGAATTTGCTGCCAAGGAGTGTGGTGGAGTCTCCTTCTTTGGAGGTCTTTAAGCAGAGGCTTGACAACCATATGTCAGGAGTGCTCTGATGGTGTTTCCTGCTTGGCAGGGGGTTGGACTCGATGGCCCTTGTGGTCTCTTCCAACTCTATGATTCTAGGATTCTATGAAACTTGCAAGACGTTTTCGTCTTGCGAAGCAAGCCCATAGGGAAAATCGTCTTGCGAAGCAGTTCAAAAAACAAAAAACCCTTTCGTCTAGTGAGTTTTTTGTCTTGCGAGGCATTCATCTTGCAAGGTACCACTGTAAATGGTTAAGGAACAGGAAGCAGAGAGAAGGCATAAATAGACAGCTCTCTCTTTAGCAACACTGGGATGGGGGCAATTTTGCACAACTTATAAAGGTTTCACGCAGACCTGTATTAAGCAGTTCTTTCCCCCTCTTCTTTTTTCTACAGCAAATTAGTGTAACAAGGAGCAACTCTTAGACAATCACAAAGCAAAAACCACACCTCTCTGAATGCCATGCCCTTTCCCCAAAATAAACATATTTGTCTAGCTAGTGTCCTCCCTAATGTGGAGCAAAGTAGTCAGTTCTTCCATTTCCTATCCTTTATAAATATCTGATGAAATTAAGTCCACATTTGTCACCAGATTTTATTTGTTCAGTTTATTTCAAAGCTCTTTTTATCCTGCCTTTCTGTTTGAAAATGCTCAGAGCAGCCAGCAAACAACTCCCTAAAAGTATACCCCATTAGCACATAAAACTGTTCAAAAACATTGTAAGATGCAAAACAGTGTTTTGAAAAATTTGCGTAAACAAAGCAATGCTAAAAGTAAAGAAAGGAGCGCCCACATGCTGTTACGTACTAATTTTCAGTGGTTTATGGATGTTTGCTTTGGTGCCGTTGTTGACCTTTGTTTTGGAAGTTTCTATTTATCTAAGCATTATTTGTCAAAGCAGAGGCGTAACAAATGTAGAACTGGGATTAGAATATTTATTGTAACATGGTATTCAGAAATGGGAATGACAGGAGGAAATAAACCCAGGGCCATTTCAAGCCATTTTGCCGCCTTGATACATCACAGAAACTAGAATAAAGAATAGAGAATACGTTTTGAAAATAAAATAAAAATCTATCCATCAAAATTGTTACTGATTTAATCGCTGATAAAAAGCACCATCATTTTCTAGAAGCCATTAATATTTAAGTTTCATTTGCCGCCTTCCTGGTATGGGAAACTTGTGTCACCAAAGTTATTAACCTCTTGATTAAGCTGCCGAAAGCCTTTCTGGAGATGTCTTAATTCTGGCCATTGCTAATACCTTATACATAGGAGACTCCCCCCTTTGTGGCTTTCATCTTCCATTGCCATAGAGACTCTGACTTTAGCTGATCTCCTCTGCAGCAGGATTTGCAAAAAGGCAGAGAGGCTCTGAGATCTGAGTTTCTTTTGAACCTGTTTCCTGAATTCACCATAAAGGCACCTTAATTTAGATCCAGCGCATGACCTACTTTTAAAACGCCTGCAGTCTGCTGGAGAGAAACTTTCAATTCTAACAACTTAGCCCTGGGTATTATTGATAAAGGGGCAAAAATGGATCTGTTAGCTTTATTTCTTACCATTGGCAATTGGTCCAAAGACTACTGTGAACCCAAAATGTGCTTTATTAGTTGATTTTATTTAATGCCCAATGAACAACGTGACATAGTGCTGACTGTTGGGATACTGCCAGGGAGATAAAGTCCATCAAGGCCCCCAAGCCGTCTGCCGGACGATCCATCGACCTCCCGTAGTCACGCAGTATCAACAATTAGCGACATGAGTTTCTCGAAGATTTCTTGCCACATTCCAGAGCTCATGCACACTCTTATCAGCAGATAGCACAGCCAAAAGTTGCAATCAGGAGAGCATTATTTACAAGTTTATTCAGCGTTGATCAGAACACAGAAAAACATGACTGACTGCTTTAGTGTCTGCGACACCAGTGAGAAAACGAAAGCAACAGAAAACATAAACATCCTGTGAACAGGAAATACGCAGACTCTGACTCACAAAGCCTGCTCCCTTTTAAGGTGGAACGGAAATATCCTAACATCCTCCCCCTTCCGTGTAACCTGTAGTACCTGTGGTTCAACCCAATTGCAACCTTTGTACATAAACCTTAAGTTGTTCTCTGTTAACAACCTTAGACAACAGATCAGCAGGAATTTCATTTCCTGCCATGTAGGACACCTGAATGAGTCCTTTCTGAATACACTCCCTTGCACGATGTAGCTTAATCTGCAAGTACTTGGTCCTTTGCTTGCAACTCTCCGAGTTCAGCAAAGCCAAACACGATCTATTGTCTTGATACACTTGTACAGGACATTTCACAGAAACTCCGATGTCCTTAAACAGTTGCATCAACCATTCACAATCCATGAGTGAAAATGACAGAGCATTGAGTTCTGCTTCACAGGAACTTAGGCTCACTGTCGTCTGCTTTTTGCACAACCAGTCAAACAGGCAGTGGTTGTACATGTAGCATACTCCAGAAGTGCTTGTACCATCCGTGGTGTCACTTCCAAAACTTGCATCTGCAAAGATTTCAAGACCTCCAGTCTTCTGACTGGTGAACCTCAGCCTGTAGTGCAAAGTCCCTTTCAAATAGCGGGCTATGCGCTTCAGAGCTTTCCAATCCTGAACAGTAGGATTGTTGGCATGTCTGCTAAGCAGGTTACAGCTTACAGCTATGTCAGGTCTTGAGCATCTAGCAATGAAATTCAACTTGCCTAGAATGCATCTGTACAGCGTTGTGTCAGAAAACGCTTCAGCAGTACTATCTACCTGGTAACCTGTCACCATCGGTGTGTCTGCTGGGTTTGCATCAACCAAATTCAACCTGGTTAATACATCAGCAATTTTCTGTGTTTGGTGTACCAGAAAATTACCTGCTTGGTCCCTCTCCACCTGCAGAGAAAGATAGTTGGATACCTCACCAAGATCCTTCATGTCAAGGTGCTCCTTTAGTTGAGCTAGGGTGCTTTGGTACAAAGCCTGATTCTTCCAAAACATCAGAAGATCATCAACAAAACATAAACAATACAGTTTGTTTTGCCCCTCCTCCTTGACAAACACACATGGATCAGCTTTGCCCTGGTGAAAACCTAGAGAAAGCAATGTCTCAGTGAGTTTTGTGTTCCAACACCTGGCACTCTGCTTGAGACCATATAAGGATTTCCGCAGTTTACAGACCATTCCCTTCTGTATCTGCATCCCGTCAGGTGGAAGCATAAACAGCTCCTCCTCCAAAATCCCGTACAAAAAGCTGTATTAATGTCATGATGGGAAACATGCAGTTTCTCCTCTGCAGCAATCTTGAGCATCAGCCGAATGCTCTCATATTTGACGGTGGGTGAGTAGGTCTCGTGGTAATCCTGTCCTGGTACCTGTGAAAAACCTCTGGCAACCAATCTGGCTTTGTGTCTGACAACCTTGCCATTCTGGTCTGTCTTGGCCTTGAAGACCCATTTGCTGCCAACCAGTCTCATTCCTGGGACTACCGGTACCAACTCCCAAGTTTGGTTCCTGTTCAAGGAATCAACTTCAGCCTTCATGGCACTAAGCCAAGGCTCAGCATCTTTAGAGGTTAACTCCTGAACCTCTTTGAAGCTTGAAGGTTCCCACACCTTCTCTGAGCTACTAAGAACAGCAGTTGCTGTCTTAGCAAACTCATCAGCAAATCTCTTTGGAGGTCTGCCCTTCGTGGCCCTCTCAGATCTGCGTACTAGACGCAAGTCTTCTGGACTCATCTCCTCTTTCTTAGGAGAAAAGTGACCAATGGTGAACAGTGGTTCTTCCAGTTCATTGTCAGACGCATCAGATGGTCTGACTGAGGCCTTTGCGCTCTTGTAGTCTGCTGTGTCATCACTGTCACTGACACCAGCAGCAGCGCCGCCCACTGAACTGGAATCCGAACTCTGATCATCATCATCATCATCATCATCCTCAGCAGCTTCCTCAGCTTTAGCTGCTTCTTTGACATCACCTTCATCCTCCTCTGGGTAACTCTGGAAAATTCCCACATTTTCCCCCCACTTAGGATTGTACTCAACACTCTTTGTGAACTTAATGGATTTAGAGTCAGTCATCCATACCCTGTATGAACCTTTTTCGTACCCCATGAACAAACCATGTGCCCCACGCTTCCCAAGCTTGTTGCTTTGTGGGGTGTGTACCCACATGTCAGAACCAAAGATTCTCATGTGCTTGATGTTGGGTTTCTTACCAAACATCTTCTCATAGAGGGTACAACCAATAGGTGATGACAATCTGCGATTATAAGTGTAAGCAAAATTCGACAGAGCCTCCCCCCAATACTTATCAGGGAGATTGGCATCATGCAACAATGTTTTCACTCCTTGCAGCAACGTTTGATTTGCTCGCTCCGCAAGCCCATTCATCCATGGCGATCTAGGCGTTGACAAGTCATGCTGGATTCCCTTCTCAGTCAGGAAAGCTTCAAACTGCTGAGAAGTGAACTCCCGCCTCGATCAGTAAACAGACAGCCAATACGTTTACCGTGAACATTCTCCAACCAAGCACAGAATGCCTTGAACTTAGGAAACGCTTGCGATTTCTGCTCGAGCATAAACACATGAATGTACCTGGAAAAAAAGTCAATTAGAACCATGAAGTACCTTGCTCCACCCAAAGAGGGCGCAAGTGGACCAACCAGGTCTGCGTGCACTAGCTGGTAGGGTTTGGAAGCCTGCCTGCTAGACTCCTTGCCTTTTGGAGCAACCTTCACCTTGTTCTCTGCACAAGATACACATTTCATGTGAAACTTACAGGGTTTGATGTTCAAACCCTCAACCATCTCTGGCATCTTGGCCAGTGCCTTCCAAGAGATGTGGCAAAACCTTCGATGTGCATCGTGAATGCATCCTGCATGAAGAACTTTGTTAGTTTGTGCAACACAACAAGAATCAACATTAGACACAACAGCAGCACTGTCATCATAAGTTATACAGAACAAGCCATCCATAAACTTTGCATGCAAAATGTCCTCTTTGCCTTTTCTGATGACACAGACGCTCCTCTTGAAGGAAATCTCAAAACCACGCCCAGTGAGCTGTGGGACACTGAGCAAATTGTCTGCAGCACCTGGAACATAAAGTACATCTTTGATGGTAGTGTGCAGACTTGCCAGTTTCACAGTCCCTTCTCCTGCGATTCGCAACGTCTTTCCGTCAGCCAGGTGGATCTCACCTTCTTGAGGTTTGAAGGAGATAAACAGGTGGCGGTCTTTCGACACATGGCGGGTACAGCCTGAATCAACAACAAACCTGGCTTTGACCTCCGGAGCAGTCTTTGCAGCAAGCAAAACCTTGTTTTCCACCGGCGTGGGCTTTTGCAGCTTGCCCCCCTGCTTCTGGCCATCAGACTTGCCTTTAGCCTTTGGTGAAGCTGTGCCAGTAAACAAAACCTTGTTTTCCACTGGCGTGGGCTTTTGCAGCTTGCCCCCCTGCTCCTGGCCATCTGCAGGCGTCTGCCTCTGTTTACCTTTGCCCTTCCGGCCTCTGCAAAGGCGATGACCTTGGCTCCCATGAGAAACAGAGCTCTCAGCTGCCGACTCCTTGGCTCCCCCTGGAGGCTGGAATGCTGCCTGGGATGACGTGACAGTCAGCTCCCCCTGCAGTTTGCAACCGGTGCCCTCAGCATCCCTGCATTCACTCGCATTCTGGGAAACAGCCAGGACCTCCGATGCAGTCAAACTCTGGGCTGGGATGACTGGCAGATGGGCTATCTTCAAAGCATGCCACATATTACGTGCAGTCACATTGCCAGCAAGCGTCTTTATTTCCTCCAGAGAGACGGACAAGACGATTACGTCTATCGCCCTCAAATTTTCGGCCTCCCATCTATCTGTCAGAGGAACTGGAGGGGCCTCACACACTGTATGCCACACTCCAAACTGACGCAGCAAGCTCTCACACCACACAGCCCAGGTCCCATAATTGTGCCGATTTAACTTTGGGCACTCATCAGCCTCAGAAGCCTGGAAAAACTCCATTCCAGCTTTTTACTTGAGCCTTGAGCCTTTATGCCTTCAAAGACGTCTTATCTTAGCAGCTATAAATCTTGAGGCCTTTGGCGCGGCTCCCAGATCCAATAATCTGCCGGAGTTCAAAGGCCCTTGCCACGGCAAACAGAAAAGCCTTACTTTCGCTTTTCCTCCACATACCTTTCAGCAGTCTGTCGCAGTCTTACTCTCCTGTAAGTGCTGTGAATCTGGGCCCGAAACCTGTTTGTTGGGATACTGCCAGGGAGATAAAGTCCATCAAGGCCCCCAAGCCGTCTGCCGGACGATCCATCGACCTCCCGTAGTCACGCAGTATCAACAATTAGCGACATGAGTTTCTCGAAGATTTCTTGCCACATTCCAGAGCTCATGCACACTCTTATCAGCAGATAGCACAGCCAAAAGTTGCAATCAGGAGAGCATTATTTACAAGTTTATTCAGCGTTGATCAGAACACAGAAAAACATGACTGACTGCTTTAGCGTCTGCGACACCAGTGAGAAAACGAAAGCAACAGAAAACATAAACATCCTGTGAACAGGAAATACGCAGACTCTGACTCACAAAGCCTGCTCCCTTTTAAGGTGGAACGGAAATATCCTAACACTGACATATAGTGTTAAGTCCTAGACATACAGTGTTATTGTGGTTTTGTGCAATATTCTCAATATGCCCAGTTGGGTTCAGTGACTTACCTATGAGTGATATTCCATCTTGCCATTGGCCTTATGTTGGTTGATGTATTTGTGTGCTATTTCTGGGCTGGACATGTATTTATTATTGCAGGTTTTCTTAACATGTGGTTCTATTAGAAGTTTTTTATTTATCTTATTCCTGTCGAAAGTTGTATTTTTATAAGGCTGTAAGCCACAGTGAATGAGTTCATAAAGTCATCCTATGAATGTTATAAAATAAAAATGTATCTTAATATATGTGAAGCTTCTTGAAAGTGACATGTTCCAAGGCGCATGTGTGGGTTTTGTTAACTCTGAAACAGTGGCGACAGTGATGTAAGGTTATGAGAATGAGTCTGGGGGAGCCTCTGGCGCCTCTGGAAAAGCCACAAGGAAATGGGAAGGCCTTGCTTCTGTTTTCAGCCAACTGTAATTACTTATTTTGTCCAAACTGAGGACCATTATTAGTGTTAACTATAGTTAATACACTGCATTTTGAAGGCGGCTTGTTCTCTGAAATATACTTAACATTCATCACAGTTTCCCCTAGCTTTGGACCTGAGTCACTATGGTTATCTGCAGATGGAAGCAATCACTTCTGATTTCCTCCTCTTGGTTGTCCTGGTAGAGGAGAGGGCAGGGAAGATTGGCAGGGTATAGATAATAAAACTGTTATTGTTATTATTAAACCACAGTTCAGCATTATGTGTGAACCAGGACAGCATGCGGAGCCATCTCTTTCCGTGATGTGCAGACAGGGAACATGGGCAAAAATAACGAAAGTGAAATTCCCTACTGGGCAGTTTGCTTCATCAGTGAACCTGGACATTTTACTTTAGCTTTAAAGGCCAGATCCAAAGAGCTCCTTGGGGCATTCCATTTGGTATTTTCTTCTAGCTGGAGCTCTTCAGAGGCTTCTCCCAGCTGTCCCCTGAGATTGAGGAAATGGCGGCTCCAGGACAAAGCACGCATGTACCTGCAATCCAGAAAACAGCTTTGGGCACCGTTGCCTTTGTACTTGCCGTTTCTCTAAACCGAAAAGTCCCAAATGCTGCAACATTTCCTCATAGGGGATCTGCTCTACTTTTTTTTTTCAACTGTATGACAAGCAAAAATTCACTGGCTGAAGATTTTATTGCCACATGGTCCAGTTCATTTACCCCATGTGTAAAAAGCTTCACCTGTTGAATTTCTCCTCGCCGCGCAGTTGTACAAGGCGCTAGCGCTTTGCCAGAAAAAAAGGTTGACAAATCTGCATAGCCTCTGTTTCTCTCTCATTGGTGAATGTCTTTTGGGGTTGAGTAATGCAGCAGTTTTGCATCTGGATTCTTGCTCAAAGGCCTTAAAATAATGTCTGCAGCCTAACATAGAATTGGCCTGTTACTGTATATATTGAATCTTCATCCTGACCTTCAGACCGGTTGGGTGTATGCAGCATAAGCACAATAATGAAACAACAGATAAAATGGTTAATCATTAAAATGTACTACACAAGGTTAAAATGCTTCTGTGAGCAAAAACACCTTAGCCTGGTGCCGAAAGGACTCTGATGAAGGTGCCAGGGAAGCAAGGCTGTGTGTGTTGTTGTTGTTTAGTCATTTAGTCGTGTCTGACACTTCGTGACCACCTGGACCAGAGGACGCCAGGCACTCCTGTCTTCCACTGCCTCCCGCAGTTTGGTCAGACTCATGTTTGTAGCTTCGAGAACAGTGTCCAACCAACTCATCCTCTGTCGTCCCCTTCTCCTTGTGCCCTCAATCTTTCCCAACATCAGGGTCTTTTCCAGGGAGTCTTCTCTTCTCATGAGGTGGCCAAAGTCTTGGAGCCTCAGCTTCAGGATCTGTCCTTTCAGTCAGCACTCAGGGCTGATTTCCTTCAGAATGGATCGGTTGGATCTTCTTGCAGTCCATGGGACTCTCCAGAGTCTCCTCCAGCACCAGAATTCAAAAGCATCCATTCTTTGGCGATCAGCCTTCTTTATGGTCCAGCTCTCACTTCCATACATCACTACTGGGAAAACCATAGCTTTAACTATACGGACCTTTGTTGGCAAGGTGATGTTTCTGTTTTTTAAGATGCTGTCTAGGTTTGTCATTGCTAAAGGCTGTGTGGCAAGGGCATTTGAGAGTTCAGGTGTCACTGCCAAGAAAGACTTTTCTTTTGTTGGAGTTCCATGGCATCCCTCAGACAGATGCTCACAAGGAAGAAGGGCCTTGGCAAAAAGGCTTTAATCAAAGAAAAAGAAAACAAAACCAACCCGGTCTGGCCTGCCCTTGTGCCATTTGCCAGCATATGGAAAAAGCATTATCACCTGCAAGCATGGAGCAGCTCACCATGAAAGGCTTGGCCAAAGGATCTGCTAGAAAATTAGGCAGCTGGATTCTGGTTTTTAATATAAGTAGATTGCTTGAAAAGGGATAGAAATACCTTAAGGAAAGCATTATTTTGTTGACTAGCACGAAGTCTGTCAGCCCACAATAAAATCTACACCTTGTTGCTGATCCATTTGGTTGTGTGTGACTTTCTGATTGAGGGTGCCACAGCTGAAGGTTTCAGCCGTTATTTAAGAATGCCAGCTTTAAGGAGAATCAGCGATCTGGGGATTACGGCAGCTTTGGGGTGCCTAAGGGCTGGTGTTTTGTAACCAAAGGGAAAGTTTAATCCTTGCACTTGTTTCTCCCCTTCAGGAAAGGTGGTTTGTCACTGAAGACAATGTGGATGAGTTTCTGGACAGTCTTTCGAGGATGTCCCGTTCCAGCCCGTCTGAGATGGAACATCAGCCATTAATTGAAGTGTTGGATGTCTCGGAGGGCAAAAGTCAGATCAGATTAAAGGTAAGGCATTGTTCAGCAGGCCTGCCTTATCATCCATGAACAACACTGGAGTAACCAGTCACTGTCTTACCTGTCTCCAGGTCACTGTCTTACCTGTCTCCAGTTCCATTTGCCCAACACCTTGCTGCTTGTAAGGATATTTTTACCTGTGCGTTACGGCCGCTCATTGATTCTGAAAACTTCCAAATTAAATGTTCAGCAAACATGGCAACTTGCTATTCCACTTGTATTAAGCTCCCCACCCTGGCATGTGTGTGCTGGGAATGTTCTGTGTTTCAATGAGATTGCCATGCTTGTGCAAAAATCTGCAGATCAGCCAGAATTTGGCTTCAACTCAATGCAGGACAAGCGACATTGAATTTAAACTGCAGAGAGAGATTTAGGATAAGCAAGAATGTTCCTGATGGCCATGAACATGCTCCCAGAACAGACCACACTGTTCCACTGCATTTGGAGAGGAGCTTAACTGCATGTCGGAAGTCAGATTTTTCTCATCTTATTGCGGATCTTGTAAGCTTTGTGATTTTAAAGCCCTTTTGGAGAGCATGAAGACTTGTCATCTTGGAAGGAATAGAAATCCAAATTCAAATATAAACAGAGGCAGCTGGCTGGACTGACACCTAATATTTAGAGTCTCTTGAAATTTTAAGAATTTAAGAATTACTTGGTCCTGTGTGGCGGTTTCTCAAATAGCCTGCTGTAACAAACGGTCAGAATGAGGGTTTCTAGGATGTCGCTCCCCTCCCCTCCTCCCAACTTAATCGGCAGAATCATTACAAGAACTTCGCAATTTGTAAAATTATAGCATATCCCAAATAATAAATGATTAAAAGTGGCAGCAGATGAGTTGTAATCTCTTCCTGAAATAGACCGAACACGGTGTGGCTCCACATGCTGCATTTGCAAATATTATTTCAATAACCATGTGCCTCAGCCAGCCTGTATCTTGGATCAGACTCTGAAAGTTCAAGGCCACAGTCTGGACTTTGCTCCTGGGGGTGGGTTGCGAGGGGCACTCTCTTTAATTGCCTGCACACAATGAAATGAAAGATAAGAGCAGACATCTGTATTTGTAGCCCAGCTCTCCTTACGGACTCTGGGGTTGTTTCTGCTTCCCCTACTGTAAAATAAAAGTGTCTCACACTTTGTATGTGTTGTCAACTTACAGCTTCCATTTAAAGCCTCAGAGGCTGCCTTGCATTTCTACCTTGGGTCTGGCACCTGTTGTTTGTTAGCTGTTGGAAACTTGCCAACTGCAATGAATATCAATATTTGATTTTCTACATTTAATTATTGAAAGGAGAGCAGAGCTTGATATCGGTTGGATGGCAATTCCAGCCTACACCAGACCTCTTGGTTGGTATCTATGTGGTGTGTTTTCCCTTATCTGTGCTCTCATTTTTCTCAGTCCTGCACTGGAGCAGAATAGCTTTTTCCATTAACATTTGCAGCCAGCACCGTGGCACAGACCACCTTGGTGTCCTAGATTGCACAAGGCCAAGAATATTGAGGTTGGCAACCACCTGCTGTTCATCTCCAGGCTACTTTGCCAGCCACCGCAAGAGTTTGTGTCTTATTCTGTATCTTAGAGGATTGCTTTATTTGCCAGTGAAAATGAGAGCTGGTCTAAAGTCTTCTGAACAGCACAAAACGTGGCCCGTCCTGCTGCATAGGAACAATTGGAGGAATGTTGACATAGGGACCTGGGCTGCCAATCATTGGCTGCTTGTGGGCACTGTCAAAGAGGGTCCTTAGCAAGTAGGGTCCTTGGACGATTTAGATGCAGTCCTCCTCAGCAGCAAGGTGTTGAGGCTCAAAACACTCTTAATTTAGACTACATGCATTGTTTTACACTTGTTTGCACTGAATTGCATTTGCCATTTTACCACCCATTCACCCAGTTTGGTCTTCACAGTCTCCTTTTGTTTCATTATCCCTGATACTTAACCAATTCCTGATCTGCAAGAGGACTTCTCCAATTATTCCATGAGCTTACTGACGTGTCTTTGCTGAGGTTCCTTGTCAAAAGTCCAAGTACACCATGTAATCAGAATAAAACCAATTAGTGCACCACTTATGACTTATACACATTGAGTCTCCTCAGCTGAAACCATGACTCCTTCTCTGAAATGTGCATGATCCCGATGGCCCCAAGGCATTGGGTAACTACGGCTCTGTGATAAGCGCAAGGCATCTTGCATAACCCAGCCAGAATCATCCTTCCTGTGAGGAGCACACAGTGGGCAGCCACCTGGCAGAACTCTTGCAACTTTGCCTCTGAGCACGTTCCCAGAGCTTTGTAGGTCAGGGTCCACTGCCAGGCCTGCAAAAATCTCCAGCCCTGTTTACTGGAAACATTGCAAGAAGGTACGAACTTAAAAGGGAGACCTGTTTGGGAGGAAGCCCAGGTTGTTCCTGTTTGGTGGCTGAGACCGTTTTCAGCAACACTTCTCTCCACCTTTAGCCTACCACTGTAACAAACAGCTCTCCCCCTTTCTTTTCACAGCCGCTGGAGCAGAACGGCTTTGAGCTTGGTAAAATGCAAGAAGGAGCTACTCCCAAGGGAGAGGATGGTGAACAAGAAAATGGCAGTGAACTCTCAGCAGATGCAGAAAGCTGCCCCGCACAAACAGCTCCGCTCACATCCATGGAAACAATGGGCCAAGTTGGCGGGGGACCAGGCCATTGTTTGGAGCTTGACCCCAGCAACCCCAGCTTGGCAAGCCCTGGGAAACAGCAGATAAGGGAGTGCCGTGAGTCAGAACGTGCTTTTGCAAGGGTGGAGGAAAGAGCCACGTCCACACCACAAGCCCAGTTTGACTGGGAGGAGCCTGGCCAGACCAGAGGGGGGGAGGGTGTGCATTCAGAGTCAGCACAGAACAACCAAGGCCAGGGCAGGAGCAGGCCGGCTCCTCCTGTGCTAAAGGAAACAGACATGCGGGATGGAAGTGTGCAGTACATTACCAGCCACACAACGCACTGCGCTGTCGCCTTTCAGAATGCTTTGTTGTATGAACTGGATTAATGTGCTGAGCTCCCAGCCGGGCTCTGCAGTGAGAAAAACCTCAAGTTTTACATTTTGCATTTCCTCCAAAGAGCACAGGAAAGAGACAGTGCAGAACCCCAACCACAAGTCTTGCAGAAACAAAGAACCGGTCCCATGTGCTCAAAAATGTTCACTTCCATTTGGGAGATTTGAAAGGATTGGACTCCAGGAAGGGGTTACCAACACAGTGCTCTCCAGATCAGCCCCAGCCAAAGGTCAGGAATGAGGCAAGTGGCCGTGCAGCAACATCTGGAGAGCAGTGCCTTGGCAGCCCTGGGTTTAGACGAGCACTCAGCACGTTGCTGAATTTCAGAAAGAAACTGGCAGTTCATTAAAGTCAAAATCCCGTTGGTGCGAGTAGTCAGGGGAACATGCAGGTCGTGGTCAGGCTACATCTAGGTTTGTTAAACTGAAATAGAAACGTGCCTTTTGCCTGTGCACACAACCAGGATTAAACCAGGAAGTTTCTAATCAATTTCCCATTTCCCATTCTGAACTGGGAGAATATAGTTACTAGCTTTGGAATGAGGATCTTAAACCAGACTTTGAAGTTTCGTTTAGGATGCTGGCTTGTTCTGAAGCCGGTGACTGAAACAGGGAGACTTCTTGGTTGTGACGTCTTGCGCCACGGAAGGGCAAAGCGAAGAGGCTGTGTGGGCAGAAGGCTAATTCATCTCTCGGCTGAGCCAACTGAGACATGCTCTTGCGCAAGGCCTTGTCACAACTTCAGGGTTTCATAATGCCTTTATTCCAACTTCCCTTTGCTCCAGCATTCCCATCTCTTCTCCGCTGATGGGGAAACAACAGCCCACTATTTGAAGTGTCCTCCCGTCTCAGAAGCCTCACATTTCACAACGACTTGTGCTGCCACAATTACTTTCAGGGGTGAATTTGTATGGTTTGCCTTTGGGGCATCCCTTTCACACTCCGCAAGCACCCTTCAAACAGGTGGATAGAAATGCAACAGCACCAGCTGGGCAAAAACCAGCTTGCTTGCTTTCATGGTGGATACTAAAACCAGGTATACATACCATGAGTTGCTCTCTGTTCATCAAAACCCATGCAAGTCTCCTGAACGTTGAGTGTTGCAACTGTGTTGGGAAATCCCCTGGGTGCTTGCATGAAAACTGTTTTTGGGGAACTCAAAACATTTCTGTAATGTATGCAGCACAATCTATTTTGGATCAGGGTGTCATAGCCAGATTGTAAACTGCATTCACAGGAAGATAATCCTATTCATTTTAATGGAATTGATTTCAAAGTAAGCATGCCCTCGAGGGACAGGGCTGTACCCAACCGTTGCAGTTCCACTGCCATTGGGACAGAGAATAGCACACCCCACAAGCAGCGACTGTACATAGATCTATTCCCAGCTCTACGTTTTACAGCAGAAATGTGTTTCGGGTTTTCTGTCGGCCAAACTAGTTTTCACAGTTCAAAGACTATTTTAGAACTTCTGCTTAATTTGTCTACCATAGCTAGGCTGGATGCTTTTGAAACTGCCTGCATTTTACAGGAAGAGATTTTGTGCCAACTGTTGCTTTAACAAAAGTCATCGATACCCTGGATGTGGCAGGTACCTACCATGAAGCTAAAACTTAGCACATTTTAAATGGAAGAATTGTTCCCCAGTGATCTGCATTGGGGCTCAACAGTGCTCAGTTGGAGCAGGATTGTAACCCTCTTCTCAGTCCCACAGATTTCACCAGAACCCACTCTCAATTAAGACCTGCTTGAAAACCCATCAGCACTCTTCAGGCCATTAAATTAGAAGTTCTGTCGACATTAATTAGCATGTTCAAAATTGAAATGGAGCAGAGCAGACTAACCTAATGAAGTCTTTCCTCTCTTGTAACCTGAAGAAACACATTTGCATCCCAGAAAGTCAACTTCTGGAAAACACTCAGCAGTTAATTATGTTAGACAGAATTCAGTAGTTTCCACTAATTGGATTGTCCTGTAAAATCTAGGAACACACTAAAAGTCACCAATAAAGCGTTTTGCTGCAGGTCTAAGGGATGCCTTGGAGATGACTTTGCCATCTTGTGTTTTCTGCTGCTGCCTGTATTACTGCACCACAATACACAAATGGGCCTTTGTTACATTTTGGGCATAGAAATGGATTTCATCTTCATTGCCTTTTTCCAGAGGCAAGGAAGGGCACAATCCACTGGGAAGTTCTTTCGCACAAGGCCCATTTACTTTACGAAGAACTTGTGCAGGAGAATTTTCTGATGGGATTGCGCTGTAACATTCATTCAATACCTAGTTAAATTAAATCTGTGCTCTTTCATCAAGAAGGGCTTTTGAAGGTTACTGAGCCTCTTAACACAGATGTAGACTAGGCTCTCAATTAGTATATCTCTTCTCCATATGCTGTTACTTTACATTGCTTGGGGCTTTTAGCTCTTGGATGCTCTCCCCTGTTTCTTCATCCAGCCCTATTTTTAATTATTCATTAAGCTGGGCTGCCTACGCAGGAAACGGAATTGTTTCTGTAACAGGAGGTAAATGGTTGTCATTGTTTTCAGTTCAGTTCTTCAAATGTTATGTTGTTCATTTACTTTACTTTGTATCATTGCACTGTGTCGTCATTACCATTGTTGAAGCTGCTCTTTTAATTTGGCGCTATAAAAATTAAAAGGGATTGTTTCGGATCACTGAAAGACTTGTATTACAAAAAACATGATTTGTTTTTATTTTGGCAGAACTAAAAAAAAAAGTTGCATATTTCTACATTTAAGTGAAAAGAAATGGATTTCCAATTTTCTCATAAGCACATAGCAAATAAAATAGAAGGCTTTTGCAGGTATTAAGGTACCAAATTTCAAGCAAGCATGTACAAGATTATGGAATACTGAATGACTGATTCTCTCTAGTAAGATAAGTGGTAGGCAGAGAGAGGGTGAGGGGTTGTTCAGAAAGTGCCAACCAGTTCAGAACTGGGGGGCTCGTGAGCAGTGGACCGGGGGCCCTGGTCATCTTAGGCACTCGCCCAACCCTTTGACTCCCAAACTGCAAAAGAAAAACGGAATTCAGGGTTGTTTGAAAGTGTCACAAACACTTTATAAAAAGGCCTAGGTAAAAATTGTCAATTATTTTTCCAGTAAACAAGTAGCATTTATGTTTATTTTTAACCTTCCCCTACAGGACCTTTCTGCCTCAGAAACACTTCTTTTCTCTCTCTCTCTCTCTCTGTAATAACCACTGTCCCTATTAAAGCAGAAACCAATCAATACATTTTCGCCGCCCCCCCTGTAATAGATCCCACAGGCCCGACGGGGAAAGGCCGAGGCTCCATCGAGGCCCGGCTGGGCTCACTGCAACCTGCGGTAACTTTTGCAGAGCTCGTGGTCCCGAATGTCTCCCCAGCCGCCGTTCTTGACATGGGGGCTCAGCGGGGCCAGCGAGTACCTCTTGCCCACCACCATGGTCTCGGGGAACAGGTGCTGCCGGTTGGCGTCCAGCAAGGCGTCGACTTTGGCACTCTGGGCGGCGGGCTGGCACTGCCTCTTGTGGTGCATGCCGCAGTCGCCCGTGTGGAAGACCCTGGGGATCTCGGGCACCAGCACCTTCCAGAAGCGCGGCAGGCAGCTGACGGTCAGGTGCTGCAGGGTCCAGTCCCAGTTGTAGTCGTCGTAGGTGCAGAAGGCCTCGGCGCAGCCCATCAGCTGCTCGTAGGTGTCCCGCCCAAAGGCCATGCCCATGTTGTGCTCGGTGGACTTCCAGGTCTTCAGCTCCAGCTTGTCGGCCCGTCCGGAGAAGGGTCCCCGCACGGGCGCGTAGGTGCCCAGCGACAGCACCTGGCACTCGGGGCAGTCCCTCTGGCGCGCGGCCCACAGGCGCTGCAGCACGTGGTAGAAGTCGGGCGCCAGGTAGTGGTCCTCCTCCAGGAAAAGCACCAGCCCCGGGTGGCGTCGCAGGGCGCGCACCCTCTCCCAGACGAAGTGCAACTTCCACCACCAGTGGTGCTTGGTTTGCGCAAAGGCAGCCTCGCGGTAGTGGCCGAAGGCGTCCGGGTATTGCGCGTTGAGGCAGCCCAGGCGCAGCGCAGCCGCCTGGCCCACGTCCCGGGCACAGTCCCGCGGATCGGTGCCCGGGAACTCGCCCGGGTAGAGCTGCAGGCTGAAGGGGAAGAAGACCTGCAGCACGGCGCAAAAGTCCACCGACGCGGCCAGCGCGTTCAGCTCGGCCGACCACACGTCGTGGCTCAGCACCAGCAGCACCCGGTCGGCGCCCGGAGCGCGGCGCAAAGACGCCAGCAGCAGCCGGAGGTGCTCGGCGCGCTCGTGCACCTGCACCACCACCGCCACCGGCACCGCGTCCGCCCCGTCGCCGCCGCCGCCCTCCGCCGCCGTCGCCCGCCAGCGCTCCTCGTTGCGCACGGGCTGGTCGAAGTTGAGCCGGTAAACCAGCGATCGGTAGTGCAGCGTCCGGTTGGCCGACGCCGACGCTTCTTCCCCGGGGAGCCACGCCGGAGACGACGCGTTGGGCAGCCGCTGGCCGGACCGGGCGGGGAGGATGCTGCTGCTGCTGGCCGGTGCCCCGGGCTGGTCTCCCGGCGGCGGCGGTGGAGGCGGCGGCGGCGCCCGATCGTCCGCCTCGCGCTTCCCTCCGGCTTCTCCGGCGCCTCCCCAAAGCGCCAGGGCGCAGGCGGCGGCGGCCAGGGCCAGCAGCAGCGCCAGCACTTTGCGCTTGTAGATGCGGAGCCTCATGGCGGCGGCGGCGGCGGTGGCGCGGCCGCCCCTTCGATCACCGGGGAGCCGGGCCCGGCGCGGCCCTCCCTCCGGGGGCGCATCAGCCGAGCGGCCGGGCGGCCAACGGTGCCCTCCGCCGCGCGCGCGGCATCTTTCCTGGGCTCCCTCGCTCGCTCTCCCGGCCTGCCTGCCTGCCTTCTCGCTCTCCGGAGGCGGCCCAGGGGCGAGCGGCCAGTCCCCGCGCCGAGGACGGATGGGGCGTGGGCGGGCGGGCGGGCGGAGGAGGAAGGAGGGAGAGAGGGAGCCGGCCAGCCAGCCAGCCAGCCGCCCCGCCCCGGACGCGCCACCGGCTGCAGCACCGGATCCTCCTCCTCCTCCGCCGCCGCCCTCCACGTGCGGCTTCCGCATCCGGAGCCACTGGCCGGCCCGCCAGGAGAGGGAAGAGCCGGCGCTGGAGGTGGAGGGCGGCTTGGTCCCCGGCAGAGCGGGAAGGCAGAGGCAGCCGGAACGGGAAAATCTCCAACATTTCTCCCCCGAAAAGAGGGACGAAGCATTCGATCATAATATTTTTATTTGTCACCTGCCCATCTAAGCAGCTTCCAACAAATATTAAACATTTAAAATGCTTCCCCCCTACAGGGCTGCCTTCAGGTGTTTTCTGTTTCCTTGCCTGGGGGGGTCGCATAACTCCATACCCTCCAACATTTCTCCAATGAAAATAAGGACATCCTATTCAAGAATGATGATGATGATGAGCTGCCCATCTAACTGGGTTGCCCCAGCCACTCTGAGCAGCTTCCTATGATTTATATATATATATATATATACACATTAAAAAGCTTCCCTCTATAGGGCTTCCTTAAGATGTCTTCTGAAGGTTATAAAGTCGCTTATCTCCTTGGCTCCAGGGTTGCATAACTCCTTACCCTCCAACATTTCTCTGATGAAAATAGGGATGTCCTAAGGCACGGATCAGCATCCTGCGGCCCATGGGGGTCGTTTAACCAGCCCATGAGCTGCCCCCCCACCCGAGCCATTTGCTCGGCAAGTCCCTGCACACTGTGCTAAACCGGCACAGCACGGCGTGGGGACTCACTTCCGCAGCGCTGGAAATTGCACCTGTGCAGACGCAGACGTCGAAAATGGTGCACGCTATCTGGCCCACAGAGGGATCTCAGCTGGAGTGAATCGGCCCAGGCAAAGGTAAACCTTGCTGACCCCTGTCCTAAGGAAAAGCAGGACATTCTAGGATCGAATTGGAAACCGGGACAGCTTCTGTAAATCCGGATATTGTCCCTGGAATACAGGGGCACATCATGGAAGGTCTCAATATTAGACAATTGCCCCTCCTCTGCATTTTTAACCAAGTGCAAGCCCCGCCTCCCCCTTTAACTCAGTGGGGGATGGGGTATCATAGAGCATGTGCAGAGTCTTCAGCCATGCAAAGAAAGGGAAAAGAAGGCGGTGTCTCCTCTCTACCTAGAATTTTTCCCTTGCAGCTGGTTGTTAGAAGAATCTGTAAGGAAGAACTGGTGCTTATTTCCTCCTCCCTCTCGACCAGATTTCCTTTTGTGTTGTGCCTTTTTAGGATTGCACACAAGAGGATGTGGGTGGCTGTGTTTTTGTTGATCTGCCAAGTTGCGGCATAAACGTTATTTAAATAAAAGAGGAGTTGCAGGCACCAGGCTTTGAGATGGGTGCAACAAGCGTGTTCATTTTAATCCCTCCCTGCTTGGGAATGGTGTGGCCTTGCTTTCCAAGACATCCGCCTGCTGCAGCTGATGCATGAAGCGCCAGTTGGAACTCAGAAGCAAATGCAAATTACTTGGCAGTTTAAAAACAATCACGTCCAAAAGAAGCGTCTGGCTGGAACTACAAGACTGAAAAAGAAAATGTTTGTGTGTTCCTGCATAGAAGGAACTGGGGAAGGTTGGAGAGCTCAGAAGAGGAATTTTCTGAAACCTCGGTAGCGGATTTTAATTCTGGAAGGGACCAGCTATATATTACAGCCCCACTATTCCTTTTGACACTTCATTCTGACAAAAAAAGGGATCCGTGGAACTCTGAACTTCATGTACAGTGTTCTCCCCTCCACAAGCCCAGATATGTCCTTAGTAGTACTCTTAAAGCAGCCCAGACCTTGACCATAGAACACCTCTCCTGAAATTCCTGGGTCATTCCATATCAAGTGATCCAACTTCTTTACTTCATGTCATCCAATTTCCTTAATATTTTGTACATTTGTGGAATGATCAAAACTAAGTTCAAATCTAAAATTTTAATTTTTTATCTCATTCCGTTTGTGAGTTATGAGGGTTTGATATTTCAAAAAATTGACCATTTTGGCCTTTAAACCTTTAAAGCTCAGCCCAGGATTGAGATTTGTCAAAACTAAAAACACCAATCTCTTCAGAACTTTAATGTATGTCACATGATGGGTGTACTTTAAATTTGTTACAAAATCTAATACGATTAAAATTTCCCCAATAAATTTTTGCTTCCTGCAAAATTTCACCTTGGGATCTCACTGGGATCACATTAATTTTTGTTTTTTGTACATACATGTCTGCCTTATTGGGTTCCATTTAGGATAAACGGGTCTCTCTGGAGTAAAATAAAACAGAATAAACAAGACTACAACCTATAATATCAGTTACCTCCAGCATTTCTTTAGAAAGTTATTCAATTAAAAGGTATCTGAAAAGCTAGTCAGGCTTTTTAAAAAATGTGTTCCATAGCAGAGTGACAGCTTGCTTTTGCATGATACAATAAACACTTTGAAATAATTCTTTAGTACTTAACGAGAATTCTTTCAAGGCGTTAATTCTGTTGGCCGAAGTCTTGTTTATTTTAGAGTTGAACTTAGTTTTGATCATTCAACAAGTGTACAAAATATTAAGAAAATTGGATGACATGAGGTAAAAAAGTTGGGTAACTTTATATGGAATGACCCTCTTACACTGGGTCCCAGTACGTTACCGAGCACAATTCAAAGTGTTGGTGCTAAACGGCCTCGGGCCAGTCCACCCCCATCGGCCAGTTTGGACACTGAGGTCCAGCGCCGAGGGCCTTCTGGGAGTTCCCTCACTGGCGCCCACCCTGTGGAACACCCTCCCAGCAGATGTTGAGAAGATAAAGAACTACTGGTACTCAACTTTTAGAAGACATCTGAAGGCAGCCCTGTACCGAGAAGTTTTTAATGTTTCCTGCTTTATTATGTTTTATATATTCTGTAAGCCACACAGGGTGGCTGGGGAAACCCAGCCAGATGGGCAGGGTATAAATAAAATCATCATCATCATCTCCATGGGGCTGGAAAGCAGTACAGCAGCCCCAGAGTTAAAGAGGCCATTTAGTTCTAATGGGCCAAAGGTTTCTATCTGTGCTGTCACTGTATTTTGTAAATTTAGAATCCTTCACGATCCTAAAGAGCAGAGACCAGGGAACAGAAATATGCTGGTGTGATCTATGTTGTTTCTAAAGCCCAGCTCCATTTAAGAGTAATGCAAGACTCATTTCTCACCATTTCAGACTCTTAAGCATTTATTTATTCTTTTTAAGAAATAAAAGAGGCTTTCAGAAGTTAACTGATGCAAAACTTGCTTCACATGATGCACTCCATAATAATTCTTGCATACAGAGCACACATTTTACAGGCAAAATCCAGACTAGCAGGGGCCCAATCCTTTCCCATTCTTGCATCACATACCCCCGTCCTTTCAAACTACAATTTCTGCACGTGGGCACCATTCCCAAAACACACTGTGCCTGCATCTGGTACTCAGAAAAACCAGTTCCTGCATACAAATTTTAATGTATGATGAACTGGCCACCACAATATTTTGTTTTGAAGCACATTAGTTTTGCATCAGTTCTTCAGTACCAACACCACAGGTTGTGTGAACATGACAAACTTCCTTTTGACAATGGCACGAACGTTTAAAAATCAGCATAAACTGTGTTAACTAGTAATACTGTCCTGTTCAGAGCGAACACCATTTCAGGGAACAGATTTTGGGAGACTGATGAAATAACCTGGAGCTTGTCTGAACAAGTCGCATGCCATCCAGAGAAGCCAAACTTCTAGACACACTTTGAACATGAGCTGCTTTAAATAACAAACAGCTAGCTATTTTTGTAGGTAGAACAGTATCCTTATAATGCACAGGACAGGGAAATCAGGTTCTTGCTTGGGGGCACGACAAGAAGAGTCCTCTTGCTCAATCATAGCGATGAACAGGAAGGTGAAGGAATATGATATTCACATCTTGAACATAACCTGCCACTCTCAGGCAAGGAGCTTCCCTGATCTATGCAGGCAAGAGAGTTTCATAAAGAACCTGCAGCCTTTGCTAAACTGCATTCTGTTTAGAATGCAAGCCTGCCTCCCTTGCTCCTTCTGGATGATGAAAAAAGGAAAGGCCTGGGAGACAACTGATCTCTTGGCTCTGCTTCCTAGTGTCCCAGCATTGCTTTCGACATCAGACAGCGTCTGTTGCTGAATGAGGCTTCTCAGACCACATGTGGTTTTCGGTTTCAGGTCATCGGATGCTTTGCAGATGTCTGTCCAGGAACTGAGAGTAGCAAGTCAGAGAGCAGAAGTAGCGGAGGAGGGGGGCCTCTGTGCTCCCCATGTTGTCCACAAGGACAACCGTGTGCGCCACACTGTGGAGATTCATGGTCACGGTCGTCTGAATGAAGCTGCTTAGGCAGGCTCGCCCACAGTGACAGCTCTTTGACATGTCCAGATCGTGACAGAGGTGAGAAGGAAGGACGTGGCAGCTGTACGGGAGCCTGTGAAAAGAGAACAAGGCCTGGATGTGAATACAGTTCGTGCTGAGCAGTTTCATAGAGCCTGGAAGCCTGTCTTGGAAAGAAGCCTGCAAGCATTTTAAATTAACATATTGAATGTATGCACCCCAAACACACTTCTGAGCCAAAGTGACCACCCAAGACCTTCATACTGCTGAACCTGGAATCTCCTTAGCTGGTAAAAATAATAATGTAGCTTTATTAAAGATGTAAAATCCATTTCGCCTGCCTTCCCCTGGGTGGCCTTTAGCTGCCTGTAGAAATACGTCCTTCTCCTCAAGCATGCATATCCAATAGTGTCATTGGAAAGCCAAATTCTCTTCCAAAAACCAATAGCCTTACTCATGCTACACAGTTAATTCTGTTGCTATTATGCAACAGAACTGTAAACATCTGCCTTAGATGACAGTGACTGAGGGTGTGAGATACCGGAAGCTCTTGTTGCACAAACAAGTGTCGGTGAACTTGCACAATTCCACTACACTGCAATGAAGAGGAACTGGTTGCTGGAGAGGCAGGCCAACTCAATTCAGCCACAGAACCCATTGGGTGATACTGGACAGTGGCTTAACTTCTCGCGCAGAAACAAAAACAAGATCTGGATCTACGGCAATGTTCCCGAGCCATTGCCAAGAGGGTTAAGACCTAAACTGATTTTGGGATTGAAGAGAAATTTCTCCCAATAGCTACAAGTGCCTAATGAGCTTGGCAATTCCAATTACATTACTGAAATTACCAAACGCCCAACTTAACAACTTACTGAAAACTCGTAACAGATTCATTCTGATTTATGTGTAAATACAGGGCCATGGTAAGTCAGCTGTCTGGTCTCTGTAGCTCAATACTGTCAACACAATAAGTTGCCCTTTTCCCCCCTTTTGGAAAACCTCTGGAAGATTGCTGGAGGTCTCAGAGGATCACTTAATGCACTTGGTTCCTCTTCAGCATCAGCATCCTTGCCAAAACAAACACTGTATTATGAAAGGTCCTGGGCTGCGGAACAGAGATCCCAAAGCTTTCTATGGGCCATGTGGGTGGAGCAGTGGAGGGGACCTGTGACCCACAGTTTGAGAACTTAACTGCTCAGGTCTACCCTGACTTGCAGAGACTTCCAAGGCTTCCACGTCAGCCAGGCCTCTTTCCCAACCCTACCTGGAACCGTCAGGGACTGAATCCGGGATCTTCTGCAAGTCACTAAATACTGTATTTGTAGAAGAAACCCCACAAATGCAAATCAGCACATCATCCTAAGGCCTTTCTGAAATTCTTCCATGAGCTTTACCTACTTTTCCTTCACGTTACAATTGTTTCTGACACTCAACAATAATCTCAACATTTTATAACTGAAAAGTCCTAAAGCACTGATATGATTATTGACTGTAAGAAACAATAGGAAGGAAAGGGATGCACTGCTTCTGGGATTCAGAAACTCCCCCCCCCCCCCAAAAAAAAACCCCTTTACCTGTAATTGATCGTTGCTCTAGCTGAATGTTCCCACAAAGTCAGTGGTATTTTTAGCTGTATGTCAGGAGCAAGGGGACTGGGCTGCTCAAAAGGATTGCCAAATAAATCCAGGCTCTCGAGGGAGAGTTTTCCAAAGCTGTTGGGTAAAAAGGGGAGCTTGTTCCGAGCCACGGACAAGAAGCGGAGCTGGCTCAGTTGACCAATCTTGAAGGGCAGCCTGATCAGATCGTTGTCATCCAACTTCAAGTGAATGAGCTCCCGCAACTGGCAGAACTGGGCTGGAAGCGCTTTGATTTTGTTCTGGCTGAGATCCAGAGACTGGAGCGACTTTCGGAGGGTGGAATTACAGAGGGCCGCGCCAAAGGACTCCAGGAGGTTGCCCTGTAGACTGAGCTCCTGGAGGGACACGAGATCCCCAATTGTGACTGGCAGCTTCTTGATAAGGTTGTGGCTCAAGTCCAGTTTCCGGAGTCTCTTCAGGCAAAGTATGTGCATATCAATGCGGGGTAATTTGCAGTAAGAGGCCTGGAGTTGCTCCAGAGTGTACGGGAAGCTCTGGGTGAAAGGGTAATCCTTCCTGGATGTTATAGTCATCTTTGTCTTTGGCTTCTCAACTTCAGAAGCTTTTGGTGGGGCCAAGGTGGACAGTGGTAAGCTTTCCTCACTGGTGCCTCGGTCAGCCAGCTTCATTGCAGAGAGGAAAGTCTTCAGGTGGCTGACATTTGCCTGCAGCCAAATAGGACACCAAGATAATAAGCATTTGCAGATTCAACGCTTTTGTCAATGCGCTGGCACTTTCTGAACCATGACACCAACACGTGGGAAAGGATCAGGTGGCAGCCTTTGGAAAGCGAATGGGGAAGACAGCAGAATGCATTTTTGTCTGGCATTGTCTCTGCCACAATTAACAAACCACACTGTCGACAGGGGCATCCAGGGAGGCTGGGCAAATACTGCTCTAATATTAAGCGGGGCCTGTAAGAACAGGACTAACTATTGAGACAGCAAAAGAAAGCTTCAGCATTGTCACACTGTACAACTTTCATGAATAATCTGGTCCTACAAACCGAACCCTGCGTTGTTCTGAAGCACAAAGCTTAAACTTAAAAATCATTCTCAAAACAATGAGGAAAATCTCTTATTTACCTCATTTCTAAAATGATGCAAATGTAAAACCTGCCAGCCAGCATCAACATTGATGAAAGGTATTTTTTTAAGTTGCAAGATATCGCTCCCAATCTGTTCACTAGCTTAAGAAATGAAATATATATGGGGACCATAATAAGCCCAATGGCCCATCAGGTCCAGCATCCTGTTCTCACAGTGGCTAACTAGATGCCTGTGGGAAACCCGCAAGCAGGACCCGAGAGGAACAGCACTCTCCCCACTCCTGGTCCCCAGCAACTGGTATTTATTTATTTAATAAAAAAATATATAATATGATATCTTCATAACATAAACAAGTAGAATAATAGAACTGTAGAGTTGGAAGGGACCTCAAGGGTCCTCTAATCCAAGCCCCTGCGACGCCAGAATCTCAACTAGATCATACATGACAGATGGCCATACAACCTCTGCTTAAAAATCAATGAATCACATACATTGAAATGCATTTTTATTTCTTCACTGTGAGACGGCCAAGACGTCACAAAGCTCCCAACTGCTATTTCTTAACCTTGGAAGATCAAAGGAGCAGCTAACGAGCTTCCTGCTGCATCCAAACTCCTGTGAATCAACCCCAAATTTAATCATTTCAGCAGAGACAGGTTAGAGGTTGGGGAGGGTGCATGTCTTTCCCTGTCATCCAAGAAGGGCTACCTCAACACCATCCTAATTTGGCAAGGGAGAAGATGCAGTTAGAAGACCATCTGCTGCCCCTGGCCTGACGCCATACCTTGCTGAGACAGATGTCCACCGCTGGCTCCTTCAGCCGTACGGTGGCTTTTCCTTCCTCCACAAACTTAGTAAAGAGCTGTTCTATGTTCTCTCTCAGCTGTTTTCAAAAGGAAAAGAGCACAATAGAGCCATGAGCCTGTAAGTAAACATTCCCTGCTGAGCACCCAAAAACAAGCTTCATGTTCAAATTGCCAACCAGATATTCCGGCTTTAAAAATGTGGGAAGGGATTCACAATTTGTTCATTTTATAAAGCCCCCTGTGATTGGCCAGTGTCTGAAAGCTGAGCCTGATTCAGCAAAGCTCTTCTTAAAATACTGGCGGCACAGCTTCCCACTCTCCTGGAGCAAATGGCACCTTAACCCTCCACTGTTCCCTATTCACCACTGCAATATCCCAGATCTGCCCCGTGGCTTTTAAAACCAGGACCAAGGTGATAAGGACTGAAAGAACAAGTTCAGAGCAGGAAGACGGAGGCTGCCGAATAATCATATACAAAGCTAATATTTGACAAAAGCAGCTTTGGAAAGGCTTCTGTTTCCCAAACAGCATATTATTTGTAATTTTTAAAGCATTTTACACAGTGGCCAAGTAACTGCCAATTCATTAGTGGAATTAGTATCCAATTTCAGTGTCCTAATCTAGTTCTTCAGCTCCAGGAAGTACTTCACCTTTAGTATCTGGGGACTTCAAGCCTGATAAATTTTTGCAGCCCCTTTTCTTGGGCACGTCCTCCAGCTTTGCTAACATGGCTGTTGCCATGTCGCTCTTTGCTTCTGTTCTCTGCCTCTTAAGGGACCCGCATGTTCTGATCAGAGCTACAGATAAATCCAAGTAACTACTAAAGAGTACATTTTCCAATGCTCCAGCAGCCCTCAGGTGCCAGCCAGGTGACCCTTAGACATAGCTGTCAATGTTTCCCTTTTTAAAAGGGAAATTCCCTTATTCCGAATAGGATTCCTCGCAAGAAAAGGGAAAAGTTGACAGCTATGCCCTTAGAATACCTGTATACCTGAAGGAGCGTCTCCACCCCCATCGTCCAGCCCGGACCCTGAGATCCGGTTCCCTCATAGTGAGAAGTGAGGTTACAGGGAACCAGACAGAGGGCCTTCTCGGTAGTGGCGCCCGCCCTGTGGAACGCCCTCCCTTCAGATGTGAAGGAAATAAGCAGCTATCCTATCTTTAAAAGACACCTGAAGGCAGCTCTGTTTCGGGAAGTTTTTAATATTTAATGCTGTACTGTTTTTAACATTTGATTGGGAGCCGCCCAGAGTGGCTGGGGAAACTCAGCCAGATGGGCGGGGTATAAATAATAAATTATTATTATTCTAGAAGCTCACAGGCAGGGCACGATGGGAGTTGGCCTCTATTATTCCCTAGGTCCTGCTTGCAGGCTTCTTATAGGCACCTGCTTGGCCATTGTGAGGTAGCCAGGCTCTTCTGAGGATGCTTGTTGACAGCCAAAATAAATGAACGGCACCCTCGTCTTGGTCCTCATTACATGCAGAGGAGGGACTGCTGGCAGTTCTGGGCAAGCGTCTCATAAGAACTTAAGAAGCGCTTCCTGGATCATCAGTCCAGTGGCCCATCTAGTCCAGAATCCTCCTCTCACAGTGGCCAATCAGATGCTCACCAGAGGAAGTTAAGACCCAAGCACAATAACAGTCTTCCCTCTTGCAGTTTCCAGCAACTGGTATTCGGAAGCATGCTATCTTCATCTGCGGAGGGCGGAGCACAGCCGTCATGGCTAGTATCCATTAATACCCTCTCCTCTTTGAAAGCATCCAAGCTTTTATTAGGACCGCAAAAGCTCAAGGACTGCCTCTCCCCATGGGAATGGACCCAGACCCTGCAATCATGATCTGAAGGCCCTTTTTTGTGCGCCTCCTTCATGAGAGGTCTGGAGGGTGGCAACACAAAAACAGGATTTTTCTGTGGTGGCTCCTTGCTTGAGGAATGCTCTGCCCAGGGACGCTGACCTGGCCCCTTTTTACATATCTTTAGGCACCAGGCAAAAACATTCCTCTTCTCCCAGGCCTTTATAATAATAATGAATAAACAATATTTGTAAATTTATACCCCACCCTTCCCGCTTCAGAAAACCGGGCTCAGGGTGGCCAACAACAAATGTAAAACAATTGTAGAAGCAGCATAAAATACAGTATAAAAACATGAATAACAACAAAATTCAAAGTTCAAGAATCAATTTGGGGGAAATCCATCTAATAAGAATTAGATAGTCACCAGGGCTAGGTGGCTGAATTAGTCCTACTTGGGCCAGCAAGGAGGCCAGGGGAGAATTAGCTGTGGGGTCTCTGAGCGGGTAATCTTCATTAAAGGGGAGGGGGAGGGAAGAAAAGGGAAATAATTAAACCTAGTTAACCTAATTAAAGCCTTTTCAACTGTGTGTGTGTGCACATGCATGTAGGAAGGTGTTACTGCTTTTGTCTGTTACTATGTTATGTATTTTTGAGTTTTTATATTTTAAGCCGCCATGGGATCCTCCGATGAAGGGCAGTATAGAATTTTAATGAATAAAAATAAAAATAGACACTATTAAATTCATTAGTCTCTTCCCTGGGGCACCAACAGAAAAAGACAAACCATACGTATGTTAAAACCCGGGGGGGAGGAAAATACATTAAAAGCCCCCCCCCAACCCCTCTAAATGACATAAGACAGCGAAAAGTCAAAGGCCTGATTAGAAAAGCAGCTTGACTTATGAGGGGAGAGAGGCGATTCCTTGCTCTCTTTTATTTCCTTCTTTCACTTGCTTTCCCTTCTTTGCACGGGAAGAAAGGGCGCTGGATATGCAATGGGGTCCCCCCCCCCCCACAAAAACCTCTTCTCACTGTGGCCAACCAACATGCAGGATTTGAACGCAAGAGCCCTCTCCCCTCCTGCCATTTATACTGGGGGGCACTGGATGTGCAGTGGGGTCCCCCCACCCCATTGCTACGACGTAGTACTAATAATATTTAAAATACTTTTATAACAAACGGGGTAAGGCGACCCCGAGGAGCGAGGAGCCACCACCGAGGAGGCCCCGAGGGCTCGGCTCTCCCTGCGGGGGGGGGGAGAGAGAGAGAGAGCAGGGCCGGGCGCGGCCTGCCTGCCTGACCTGGTACTTGGCCCCCGGGCGGTGTCGGGCGGTGCTGACCTGGAGCCAGACTCCCCCTCCTCCGGGCGGCTTCCCGAGGGCCAGCACAGCCCTGGCGGCGCGGCCCGGCCCTCGCAGCCCCGCCGAGGGGAGCAGGCGGCTCGCCACCCACACCTCGCACGGCAGTCGCATCTCCGCCCGGCCGCCGCCGCCGCCTCAGGCGCCGCCAAAAAACCGCCCCGGCGACCCAGCGCCTTTCCCGCCTCCTGCGCGCGCATCGCGCCGCCGGGAAAGGAATCAAACCAACACACAAAGCGGGCCTTCCTCGTCCGGTCGCTTCCATACTTACGCAACGGCCGGTTGCGACTGCCCTCAGCGTTGCCTGCCTGATGAATCCCAGTCTCCCTACGCGGCAGCCGCCCCCTGACCCCAGATCCGTTTCTTTTCCCTAGAGTTGTTGCGCGAACTTCGCTTCTCTCTTCTCGCCCCCCCTCAGAAATCCAAGCGGGGTGGGCAGAGCGCAGCAGGCGAACCAGGTAGACGCCACATCTTCCTTCAGGACCCCCAGTGCGAACCCGCCCGTGGGATAAGCGACGTCTGGTTCCATAGAGATGGAGAAAGGGTAGAAAGCAACTCTATGGTCTTCGGCCGTCTCTACTACAGTATCTTCCCGGCAGGCTATAAAAGCCAGTTATCGCCCTCTAGCCGCAGATGATGGTATAGCGTCCAACTCTTAACTTCTTCAATCTAATTCTGTTTGGAGACCTAAATCTGAAAGGCCCATAGGCGTTGCCAAGGGGGGGTCAGGAGGCAGCTTCCCCCTCCCTCAATTCAAGTAAATAAATAAAAATACTTAACTAACTGACCGAACAGATAGCTTGGTTCTGCTCCCCCCAGCTTGTGGGTTGGACACAGTGAGGAGGTTTTCTGGACCAGTTGAGCCATTGGGCTGATGCAAACAAAAGACCTCTTCTTATAATTTACTAACAGGTGGGAGGCAGAATAATAATTTATTATTTCTACCCCACTCATCTGGGCGGCTTCCAACAAAAGATTAAAAATACATTGAAACATCAGTCATTAAAAACTTCCCTAAACAGGGCTGCCTTCAGATGTCTTCTAAACGTCAGATAATTATTTATTTCTTTGACATCTGATGGGAGGATGTTCCACAGGGCGGGTGCCACCACCGAGAAGGCCCTCTGCCTGGTTCCCTGTAACTTAGCTTCTCGCAGTGAGGGAACCGCCAGAAAGCCCTCGGAGCTGGACCTCAGTGTCCAGGCAGAATGATGGGGGTGGAGACACTCCTTCAGGAATACTGGGCTGAGGCCAAGACGACTTCACCACCGCGTTATTGCTCTGTACTCTGTCCACAGCTTCCCACAAATGGTGATGAAACCTCTGGAGGCAATGGCACAATCCTGGATGCATAACTTATCACTGAGAGATGTGCCATCCATGGCTTATAGTTGAAATATTGTTTACAGCCTCAAATGCGGGAATGCTGATGTCAATATCTTGACTTCTGCTTCCCTCTGTATGGGACAATAATAGATTGTTGAACTGCATTGCCTCTGCTGGAATCCCAGGTAAGATCAAAGCCGTATTTACATCCGCAAGCCAGAAGCAACAGCGAGCTGTATGTGACTTCATAGAATGACAGAACCGTAGAGTTGGAGGGACCGCAAGGGTCATCTAGTCCAACCTCCATCCTAAAACGCCTTTAACACCTGACATGCATGTTTTTAGGCCCCATCCTATTCTATTGACTGTAATTCATTTTGTTGTTGTTTAGTTGTTTAGTCGTGTCCGCCTCTTCGTGACCCCCTGGACCAGAGCACGCCAGGCACTCCTGTCTTCCACCGCCTCCCGCAGTTTGGTAAAACTCATGCTGGTAGCTTCGAGAACACTGTCCAACCATCTCGTCGTCTGTCGTCCCCTTTTCCTTGTGCCCTCCATCTTTCCCAGGGAGTCTTCTCTTCTCCTGAGGTGGCCAAAGTATTGGAGCCTCAGCTTCAGGATCTGTCCTTCCAGTGAGCACTCAGGGCTGATTTCCTTCAGAATGGAGTGGTTGGATCTTCTTGCAGAATTCAAAAGCATCCATTCTTTGGCGATCAGCCTTCTTGATGGTCCAGCTCTCACTTCCATACATCACTACTGGGAAAACCATAGCTTTTACTATATGGACCTTTGTTGGCAAGGTGATGTCTCTGCTTTTTAAGATGCTGTCTAGGTTTGTCATTGTTTTTCTCCCAAGAAGCAGGCGTCTTTTAATTTCGTGGCTGCTGTCACCATTTTATTCATTTTACACCATTTTAATTCATTTTACACTGTTTTTAATGTCACAAAGATTGCTGTAACCTGAGATGGGACCTTATGGTGAAGGGTAGGGAAGAAATGCAAATCAGTAATAACAAGCAGGCAGAGGATAACTTCTTAGTGAGCCCACCTAGCAAAATGGGACTTAATTACAGGTGTGGGTCTCTCAGCAAGGAGGTGGGACCGACTGTCTCTCAGGTGCTGTCAAGAGCCATGTCTGACCAAAGGACTTTCAGAGGCACTGGTCATGGGGCTAGAAGCAGGACTGGTAATTTTGCCAATGCTATATCCAGTGCTTTCTTCTTCTTCTTCTTCTTCTTCTTCTTCTTCTTCTTCTAGGGGGACACTCAAGGGGACCATTCCCTGGGGTCCCAACTCTACAATGCGATGGTCTTTCTCTTTCTTCTGTCAAATGCCTCCAAGTAACTCATTTTTTCAGTGTCTATGGACCTCCTAATCATAGGAAGAGCCTGATCAGGCCAATGGCTAGGTCAGCATCCTGTTTTCATAGTGGCTGAAACCCGCAAAGCAAGACCCAAGAACAACAGCCCCCGCCCCTCTTGTGGTTTTCAGAAACGGGTACAGTGGTACCTCGGGTTAAGAACTTAATTCGTTCCAGAGGTCCGTTCTTAACTTGAAACTGTTCTTAACCTGAAGCACCACTTTAGCTAATGGGGCCTCCCGCTACCGCTGCGCCAACGGAGCACGATTTCTGTTCTCATCCTGAAGCAAAGTTCTTAACCCAAGGTACTATTTCTGGGTTAGCGGAATCTGTAACTTGAAGCATATGTAACCTGTAGTGTCTGTAACCCGAGGTACCACTGTATAGCATTTGTAATAAAAGTGAAACATTATACACACACACACACACACACACTGTGATCATACATTTATATGCACACTCTTTCAGAAATTGTTGCTTGTGAAACCATTTTAATTGGTTTGCTGAGAGGCACAGCATCTATTTTCCATGCAAAACGTCCCTGCTTCAATTTCCATCATCTCCAAGAAGCACCAGGAGAGCCCTGAGCTGCTACCAGTCAGTGTAGACAATACAGTGGTACCTCGGGTTAAGAGCTTAATCGTTCTGGAGGTCCGTTCTTAACCTAAAACTGTTCTTAACCTGAAGCACCACTTTAGCTAATGGGGCCTCCTGCCACAGCTGCGTGATTTCTGTTCTCATCCTGACCTGAAGACCTGAGGTACCACTGTATTCCAAACAGTGCCAGATTTAAGTACAGTGGTACCTCGGGTTACAAACACTTCAGGTTACAGATGCTTCAGGTTACAGACTCTGCTAACCCAGAAATATTACCTCGGGTTAAGAACTTTGCTTCAGGATGAGAACAGAAATCATGTGGCAGCAGCGGGAGGGCCCATTAGCTAAAGTGGTGCTTCAGGTTAAGAACAGTTTCAGGTTAAGCATGGACCTCCGGAACGAATTAAGTACTTAAGCCGAGGTACCACTGTATAAGCTAAACAACCTAGCAGTTTGAAAGCATGAAGTGCAAGTAGATAAATAGGTACCACTCTGGTGGGAAGGTAAAAGACGTTTCCGTGCACTGCTCTGGTTCGCCAGAAGCGGCTTAGTCATGCTGGCCACATGACCCGAAAGCTGTACGCCGGCTCCCTCGGCCAATAAGGCAAGATGAGCGCCGCAACCCCAGAGTCGGCCACGACTGGGCCTAATGGTCAGGGGTCCCTTTACCTAAACAAGCTCTAGCTTAAGGCCCCACTCTCTTGGGGGCCCCAAAAAATTAAAGGAAAAAACCACCTAGATGTACATTTCCAAAATATAAGATAAAAATCAAATAAAATAAAACAGAACCTACAGAACAGTGTTTTGTGTTGTGCAAGGGTGGTGATCAGGAGTGTTGGGACTTGTGGTCCCAAACCAGTTTAGGGGCAGCTTCAATGGACCGTATCTGGGAATCGGAATATACATTGTGGGGGATCACGTTTTTCCCCATTTCCAAATAAAGCTGAGCTTGCTCATTTACCCAGTGATTCCACTTATAGAAAGGCTTATCTGTTTCTGCAGCTAAAAGATCCTAAAAGCATCTTTCTTCCCACCGGTCCGGGTGCGCTGCTGCGCTGACCCCTGCTGGCGGCTGGGGGAAGTGCGCGCGGCCTGAGAGGCACTTCCCGGCTCTGGCCAGGAGGAGGCGGTCGCGCAGCGCAGGAGCCCATTGGGCTCTGTCCGGTCAGCGGAGAAGTTCTTTGCAGAAATGCAGCCCAGCGGGGAGAGAAGGGGCTTGCGAGCCGCCGCCCAACTCCCTTTCCCGGCCCCCAGTCCCCAGCCCGCTCCCTCCCCGAGATCTCCGCGCCCGCGGGGCCCGTCGCTTTTCCTGCGGGCCGAGGAGTTCCTGCAAGCGGCCAGGGACCCCGTGTCTTATCCGGGGGGCAAAGGCAGGGAGCGAGTTCCCTTGATGGAATCTCTTCATTTGCCCTTCATGGAATAAATGCATTGAATATTGTTCTTTCTGCAGCGCCTCTCTCCGAATTGCACGTATCATCATCATTATTATTTTGTTGCATTAGATTCAGCCAAAGAGTCTGGGTTTGGCTGTGTTGCCCCGGCGAGGCTGCAGCGCCTCTCTCTCCCAATTGCCCTTATTATTAATAATATTATTATTCTGACTATTATTCTGATTCCTCTTGCAATGAGCAAAAGAGTCTGGGTCTCGCTGTGTTGCCCCGGCGAGGCCGCAGCGCCCCTCCTTATTATTAATATTATGATTAATTATTAGAATTGAGCCAAAGAGTCTGGGTTGGGCTGTGTTGCCCCGGCGAGGCTGCAGCGCCTCTATTTCCCAATTGCCCTTATTAATAATAATATGATTATTCTGACTATTATTCTGATTCCTCTTCCACTGAGCAAAAGAGTCTGGGTCTCGCTGTGTTGCCCAGGTAAGGCTGCAGCGGCTATTCACAGGCGCGGTCCCACTACTGATCGGCACGGGAGTTTTGACCTGCTCCGTCTCCGACCTGGGCCGGTTCACCCCTCCTTGGGCAACCTGGCGCGCCTCGGCTCCCCGGGGCTCGCCATATTGATGCCGAACTTAGTGCGGACACCCGATCGGCATAGCCCACAGCAGCCCCGAACTCCTGAGCTCAAGCGATCCGCCAGACTCAGCCTCCAGGAGTAGCTGGATTACAGGCACGCGCCACCGCGCCCGGCTGGACGAGAGAGGGGGAAGAGAGGCTCTTGGCTCGGCGCGCCGTGACGTCAGGGGAGGGGCGGGGCTCGGGAGGGCGGGGGCGCGGCGTCAGGGAGGGGGGCGGGGCTCGGGCGGGCGGGGGCGCGGCGTCAGAGGAGGGGGCGGAGCTCGGGCAGGCGGGGGCGCGGCGTCAGAGGAGGGGGCGGGGCTCGGGAGGGCGGGGGCGCCGTGACGTCAGGGGAGGGGCGGAGCTCGGGCGGGCGGGGGCGCGGCGTCAGGGAAAGGGGGCGGGGCTCGGCGGGCGCGGGGCACGACGGGAGAGGCTCTTCCTCCGCCAGCGCGTGCGCAGTGGGGCCCGGCCTTTCCCTCCTCGCCAGGCGCCGAGCAAGATGGGGCACCAGCAGCTCTACTGGAGCCACCCGAGGAAGTTCGGCCAGGGATCCCGATCCTGGTGGGTGGGGGCCGGGGGGGGGAGCGAGGGAAGGCGGGGAGGGGGGGCAGGAGGATTGGGGGGGCGGATGGGGGAGGGAAGGAAGGAGCAACGCCGCCATGAGGCGCCTCAGGGAGGGAAAGAGGGAGGAAAGGGCAGCCAAGCCCATGGGGGGGGCTGAGGGGGCGCCTCCTCCGCGGGGAAGAGGGGGGGGACAGGGAGTGGGGGTCCCTCCTGCCCCCCGGCTGACCCACAGGCCTCTTCCTCCCCCCCCAGCCGCGTGTGAGGGAGGGAGCCCCGCCGCCATGAGGCGCCTCAGGGAGGGATAGCGGGGGGAGAGAGAAAGGGCAGCCAAGCCCGGGGGGGTCTGAGGGGGAGGGGGGAGTATGGGGGGTCCCCGTCCCCCCTGACCCACAGGCCTCTCTCCCCCCGTGGGAGGGGGTGCCTCCTCCGAGGGGGAGTGGGGGGTTCCTCGGCTGACCCCCAGGCCTCTCTCTTTCTCTCCCCCTTGGGAGGGGGACGCTTCCTCTGAGGGGAGGGGGGAGTATAGGGAGGGGGTCCCCTGACCCACGGGCCTCTCTCTTTCTCTCCCCATTCCCCACCGTGGGAGCGGGGTTGAGGGGGCGCTTCCTCCGAGGGGGGGAAGGAAAGAGGGGTCCCCGTCCCTCCTGCTAACCCCCAGGCCTCTCTCTCCCCCCCCCAGCCGCGTCTGCTCCAACCGCCACGGCCTGATCCGCAAGTACGGGCTCAACATGTGCCGCCAGTGCTTCCGCCAGTACGCCAAGGACATCGGCTTCATCAAGGTGAGATGGGGGGGCAGGGGGGATGGAGGGGCTCTGGGACGGGGGGGCGCTTCTCTAGGGAGAGAGGCCAGCGAGGGCCGTCAGCCCTGCTCCTTGCGCTTCCCTGAGCCTAAAAGGCAGGCAGAAGGGGCGAGGAGCCGGTGCTCCTTCCCAAGAGCAGAGATGCCCCAGAGTAGAAAAAGGGGCCTCTTGGGTCCTGGCGGTCACAGGCCCAGAGGAAGAAGCCACAGTTTGGGGGAACTCCAAGAGAAAGTCACACTAAAGGTCTTTGCTCTTCTCTCTACCACTTTTCAGCTGGATTAAACATCTGTCCACCCGCAGAGATGGCCTGAAGAGGACGGCAGACATGGAAGCTGCTTCAGCCAGTTGAGACCTTCTTGCCAGGCATAAGATGCTTTTGTGTACAGAAAAATAAAATATAGGGACTTGATTCTCAAACTCTGATGTGATGCTCGTGATTTGACAGAGTTCTATAGTCAGAGCAAATAGCGCTTGGGAAGAAGGAGATGGCAGGGGTTGGATCCAGCACCCAAAAGGGGCCATGTCATGTCATGGCCCATATCCATGGTATGAGTTAGGAGCCTAACTGAAGAGGAGTCTTAGTTACAGAGAGACTCCTCCGTTTCCTGACTCTTTTGTACCCAGTTGCTTCTCATACCAACATAAAAGAGTCCTGCATCTGGTTCAGGCTAGTGGCAGCATCCCTATCCTCACAGTGGCCAACCTGGCACCTATGGGAATCCTTTCAGCAGGACCTTCCTGCAGTTTCCAGCAAATGGAATTCAGCAGCACGGTGTCTCCGGCCCTCCTTGCTCCTCACTTCCTCTTGGGTTCTTCAGCAGGAGAGTTGCAATGCAGCATGGATGTCACCTCAGGAAGTGCGGCAGAAGTTTATAAAATGTCAGGTTGGGCGCAGGACATACGTTTCAAAGGTCTTGTTTTCTCCAGGCAGGGGTGGAAGTTGTCACGTTCGTAATCAGCTTCACAGTCCCATCTAAATGAAGGTTTAAATTCCCAAGTTTTGTGCATTATATTATATTTCGCTTTTGAAAAATAATTGCTGCCAATTTTACAAAGCAGATTTATTGTATGATCTAAAGGGGTTTGTTGTGTGTTTTTACATCAAAAGAGGTTGGGACCACTTGCAGTTTCACTATAGATAACATTCCCCACATGGGACTGCCATTTTGTGTGGCAAGGTTTCTTGACTGGCATGATTTCGTCCTTCCTTTTTCAACCTTGTACCCCTCAGTTCCCCAAGGGCAGCCTGAGCTTGCATGCCAGTTGACCATAGACCCAGAGTGTGTCAGTGTTTGTAAAAAGCGAAAAAAAAGAAGGAAAGGGTTCTGACCTCCCTTTGTCTCCTCAGCCTGGTCCTCGGACCCTTGTCTGCATAAAAGAGTCCACGAGAATATCCTTGCAGAGTTTTATTCTTAAAAGTCTTTGTGCAAAAGCGACTGACACACAACAACACTACCAGCATTCACCAGCCAACCAACCCAAACACCAGCCTCAGCACAAACTCACTTTATATATACAACCTGCTGCAGGCGGCTGAGTCATGCTGACCCAGCTTTATTCGCATTACAGAAACAGCGGCCATTTTAGCCGTGACACCCCTTCTGTTTCTTAAATGCGAAAAACCCCAACAGAAACCATACATACACTATATACATAAACCCAGTTTTGTCATCAATTCATTATGACATGTTGCTGGCAAAGGCTTGGTAAACAAATCGGCAATATTATTTTGTGATTGACAATACTCCAGTTTGATTACCCCTTTCTGTACACAATCTCTTAACATTCGCATGACGGATAGCAATATGTTTGGATGCGGATTTCATTATTTCTGAGCCCGCTAATGCAATGCACGATTGGCTATCTTCATACACTTGGATAGGCAAATCTACTTTACAATCTAGATCTTTTAGTATCTGTATAAACCACATGATTTCATTGCATGCTAGCGACAGGCTCCCATATTCTGCCTCACAGGATGAAGTCGCAACAAATCCTTGTTTCTTTGACCTCCACCCAATTATGGAATTGGCAAACATCATAACTATTCCACTTGTATATTTTCTGGTAGCAACACAGCTTCCCCAGTACGCATCAACAAATACTTCTAGTTTTTCGTCTTGTGTACTAGATATCTTCAAACATACATTTAATGTCCCCTTTAGATATCTGATAAGCCTTTTCAAAGCACACCAATCGGCAGTACTGGGTTTAGATACACGTTGACTCAGAACATTTGTAGCACATGCAATGTCTGGCCTTGACCACTGGCTTAAATACAACAGTGATCCTATTTTTGAGTGATACAACTCAGGCTGATCAAATTCATCATCACACACTGTCTTTGGGAAATCTGGTGTCATGGGAGTCTGAACTGGCTTGCAGTTTTCCATGCCAAACTGCTCTATCAAATGAAGAATTTTCTCTTTCTGACTCAATAGGAAGCTTCCATCAGCTTCCTGCCTGCCTTCTACTCCCAAGTAATTGCTTACAGGCCCTAAGGCTTTAAGCTTAAACCTCTTTTCCAGTTGGCTTGTGAGCTTCTGGATCTCATCTGTGGAACTCCCTGCTACAAGCAAATCATCAACAAAGACTAAGAGCATTAGATATTTGTTGCCTGTCCCCCTTGGTGTACAGGCATGGATCAGACACACTCCTTTTAAAACCAATTAATGGTTGGAGAGTCGGGCTGGGACTTGGGAGACCAGGGTTCAAATTATGCTAAAAATTACTGGGTGATACCCAATTAAGCCACCCATTCATTTCATTTCCACGGGCCTCATTTTGAGCATGATTAATGTCCGTAGAGTTGGGACCCCGAGAGTCATCTAGTCCAGCCCCCTGCAATGCAGGAATCACAGCTCAAGAATCCTGCATTGCCTTTGCGGTTGGGCGCAAGGCAATAAATTATGTCGATCATTTAAATGCCCTGCTGTCTCCCAAAGCTGCACGCGAATTGTTTTTAAGAGGAAAGTATCGTTAAGGTAATAGAAGCAATAAACAGAGCATCAGAATATGAAACAGCAGGAGATCAGAGCAAAGGGTTGAGAGCAGGGGAGAAATCCCTCGCAGGCCAAAGAGGACTCTGCAAGGTTGCAAGGTTTTTAGCTAGGGCAATCAGCATAAAACGCACGTTTTGACTATTGATTCAAAACCCTAAAATGCATTTTATATAACTGACTTTTAAATTCCTATTCTTTGCATATCGTATTGTTGTTTTATTGCTATGGCCAATGGCTGGCGCAAATAAAGATTCATTCATTCATTCATTCATTCATTCATTCACAAAGAGCAGCCATGGAGACGTCTCCGATCTCTCCATTCTTCTCCATGGGAAGATTTCACTTCCGTTCCGGGGCGAAGGAAGGAAACGAGCCCGGAAGTTCAGCCTCAGACAAAAAGAAATACATACAGTAATCCTGCGGTGACTCTAGCCTTTTCCTATCTCTGCGAAGCCGTGGCTGGGGAAGGTTTGCTACTAAATAGCGCAGCAGCAGCAGCAGCAGCAGCAGCTGAGAAAGAGCCGGACCGGGGAGGAAGGGGGGGCACGTGCAGAGGTGAGATGCAGAAGATGCATTGCGAAGAGGGAGGGGGAGGACAGAGGGTGGCAAGGTCCTTGCAAGACCCACCCCCCCAGTAAGCTGCCAGCTGTGCAGTATCAGTGAATTTGTCTGGGGTGGGGACACTTTGCAATGATAGGGGAGGGATTTAGGCCCTTGGGAACCCCATTGGGGTGGGAAGTGGGGGGGCAGAGACGGGTTGTTTCTGTATCTAGGTAGCCCTGGCTATTTTTATTATGTATTTTATGTTTTCATACTGTGATTTTATCCTGTGAACCACCCTAAGACCTACGGATATGTGGCAGTAAAGAAATGTAAATCAATTAAATAAGGCCAGGGCAGAGGATGGGTCTGTGTGTGTGTGTGTGTGTGTGTGTGTGTGTTTAGAGAGGCATCTCCATGCAGAGGGCCAGGTTGGGGGGGGGGGCTGACCAGGGTGAGCAGACCAGGTGGGAGACCATTGGCTTTACTGGGCAGAAAGCAGCTTTGCACGCTCCCAGAAGGACCCGCCCTCCATGCCAGGCAAAGCAGAGATAGCTCTGGACCCTCCTGTCCCCCTCCCTGGATAAGAGCCCTTTCTTCCGGGGAGACACATGCCCAGAACTCTAGTGGGAGCATCCATCTGCCCTTGCAGTCCTCAACTGGAGAGGCAACAGCTGGTTGCTGTGGGTGGGCCTCTTCTTCATGATCTCATCTTATTCTGCCATAGCCAAGATTTTGAGGGATTTGAGCTGGAAGGTTTCTTCACTTTTCATCCACAGGAGGCCTATCTGAGCACTGCCGTTCTCACCTCCTTTTCTCCTCTTTTGGGACCCCTCCTGAACCTGACTATCCCAAGATGATGAATCTGGGTTTGGGAAATGGTTCACTTTCAAATTCACTCTGAGTGCTCAAACAGCAGAAAAGAGACTGTAGTTAGGTAAAGTTCTGGCTGCATTTACAAAATAAATAGGCTGGGTTTTTAAAAAATCTTTTGGAAACCCACTAAAACAGGCACAATGTCCATGTTATTTGCTGTATGGCCAGTTTGTTTAGAAATAAAAGGCGAAGGGTCTTCTGGAGGCTGACAGCTCCTTTTTTCCAATTCTGCCTTTCCTCTTCCTTGACAGGAGCTCAGCGCAGCTGTCCAGATTGCTGTCGTTTATTCCTGAGCTGCCGGAGTTATTGGCAAAGATGAAGATGGAGGAAGACGCCGCGACAGGATGCGCCCCAGAAGAGGCACCGGAGGAAGCAGGAAGAGACCAGGACCAGGACACTGTAGACTGCAAACCCAAGATGGAGGACAGAAGGCAGCCCCATGAAACTATGAGATCCCCTCAGAAAGCAACTCCACAGCCGGTGAAAGAGGAGCCGGAAGAGGGCTTCTCCCACCAGTGGGAATCCCAGTGGCAGGACTTCCTGAGGACAGTGGATCCCCCTTGCCAGGGCCCAGAAGCCCAGCCTGAGGAGCCCACACCGTGGGGCGACACAAAGGCCTTCCTGGCCTCTTTTGAGCAAGTGGCCGCCGCCTGCCGCTGGCCCCGGGAGGAGTGGATGGCGCGGCTCTTGCCGGCCCTCCGAGGAGAAGCCGAGTTGGCCTTTGGCTTGCTGGAGGACAGAGACCGGGAGGACTACGGGAAGGTGAAGGCGGCCCTCTTGCGCAGAGATGCCCTCGGCCGGGAGAGGCGGCGGCAGCACTTCCGGCGCTTCGGCTATGGGGAGGCCAAGGGGCCCCGGGCCGTTCATGGGCGGCTCCAGGAGCTGTGCCACCAGTGGCTGGCCGTCGAGAGGCACTCCAAGGAGCAGATCCTGGAGCTCCTGATCCTGGAGCAGTTCCTGACGGTCCTGCCGCCCGAGATCCAGGGCTGGGTGAGGGAACGGGGCCCCGAGACCTGCTCCCAGGCAGTGGCCCTGGCGGAGGACTTTCTGCTCAGGCAACAAGAGGCCGAAGGAGACGGAAGCCAGGTGATTTTTCCGCAAAGGTGCTCTGCTGTGGGACTTAAGGATCTGGGTCTAGAAAGCGCACCCTCCAGGTCTAGTTTTTGGCTACAGCTGTGCCCACAGCCTGGCCTGGCCTGACCCTCACAGTTGCCCCACAGAGTAAATAACAGGACACCCGAAATCTAGATGCTCAAGTTTGCATTGCATTCCTATTTTCCCTCCCTTCCGATATAGGTAGGAAAGCCTTATTGGTTAATAATGATCATGATAATTTTATTATTTGTATCCTGCCTATTTGACTGGCTTGCCCCAGCCTCTCTGGGTGGCTTCAAACATATATAAAGATATAATAAAACATCAAACGCTAAAAACTTCCCAATGCAGGGCTGCTTTCAGATTATCTTCTAAAGGCTATATAGTTACTCATCTCCTTGACACCTGATGGGAGGGCGTTCCACAGGGTGGGTGCCACTACCGAGAAGGCCCTCTGCAAATAATTATTGCACCTTCTCCTCCAAGGAGCTCCAGGCAGGGTACATGGCTCTGCTCCTCATTAATCCCCACACCAACCCCCTTGCAAGGTAGATCAGGCTGAGGGGCAGTGGCTGCCCCTAAAGGTCACCCAGGGAGCTTCTTGGCTGAGTGGGGATTTGAACCCTGGTCACTGAGGTCATAGTCTGACACTCTAACCACTACACCACCCTGGCTTTACGATCAGCCATGGTCGCCAACCTTTTTGGGACCGGTTGGCACATTTTGAATGTTGAGAAAGTGCTGTAGGCTTCCACGGGGAGTGTGGTGTGACATAATGCAAAATTAGAAAGAATATAAAGGTAAAGAGACCCCTGACCATTAGGTCCAGTCGTGGCCGACTCTGGGGTTGCGCCTCATCTCGCTTTATTGGCCGAGGGAGCTGGCGTACAGCGTCCGGGTCATGTGGCCAGCATGGCTAAGCTGCTTCTGGTGAACCAGAGCAGCGCATGGAAACGCCGTTTACCTTCCCGCCGGAGCGGTACCTATTTATCTACTTGCACTTTGACATGCTTTCGAACTGCTAGGTTGGCAGGAGCTGGGACCGAGCAGCGGGAGCTCACCCCCTCACGGGGATTCGAACCACCGACCTTCTGATAGGCAACCCCTAGGCTCTGTGGTTTAAACCACAGCGCCACCCGCGTCCCAGAAAGAATATAGTCATTGCTCTTTCTCTCACCCACAATCTTATGCTTGCCATTCAGTCACCCAGGTTTTGCTGGTCCTGACTGTGGGCATCACACAATATTGATTTCTCTCACACAAACATGCAGCATGTGAAGACCACTAACAAGCATTAGCCTCTCTCACAAACACTCATACATATATTGTACCTCTGTCTCTCTCGCACACTCCTCCCTCTCTCTGCTCAAGTGCATCTCTCTCAGTCGCACCCACAGAGCAGGCTGGATAAACCCATCACCCCATTGAATCTCCTATAGATTCACGGGGGTTGCCAACCTGTTGCCCAGGGAGGCCTCTGCATTAGCTAGAAGATGCATCCACTGAGGGTCCTGCTGTTCCCTCTGTGGCCTCCACCTGGCCAGTTGCCCCAGGCAGAAAGCCTCCAGGAGCTCCTTCGCTCTGTCCTGCTGGAGCTGCCCCTCTGGCTGGGGGCCAGTTGCTGTGGGTGGGCAACAATCAGACATGGAGACAGGCAGCCTGTATCTGACCCCCCAATGTGGCCATGGGGCTGCTAAGTTGAGACTGGGATAGCGAATCGGGATCAAGGGGGTCCCTGTTCTGAAAGGCTTCCTTGCTGCTCTTGCAGGTGGCCTTTGAGGTGGTGGCTGTGAATTTGTCCGAGGGAGAAACTGCTCCTGATGGTGGGGAGCTGGAGGGGCTCCTGTGCGCTGAAACAAAGCAGGAGGAGGAGGACCAGGAAGCCAGCAAGTTGGGTAAGAGGGGGGTGCCTTGCGCCCGAGTTCCTGCTGGTCTGAGTTCCTCGTTTCTCAGCTCAGGAGATGCTCTTGCCATCAGAATATCCAGGCTCTTTGGGGTTTCTAAGGATGGGAGGCGGGGACAGTGCCCTGAAGAAACACTCTCTCGATGCAATTTGTATTTCTCTCTGGTGGCTCCCATTGTTATCCTCACCAATGCATTAATTGCTGGTGTAATAATAATAATAATAATAATAATAATAATAATAATAATAATAATTTATTATTTATACCCCGCCCATCTGGCTTGGCTTCCCCAGCCACTCTGGGCGGCTTCCAACAAAATTTTAAAATACCGTAATGCATCAAACATTAAAAGCTTCCCTAAACAGGGCTGCCTTCAAAACTGCAAACAGATCTATTTAAAACAAAGCAAGCCCAATACAAAGAAGGAGGTGTTCTTGCAGAGATTCATTCATTCATTCACTGGGAAAGCCTGTAGGAACAAATATATCTTCAACTGTTTCAGGAATGTGCAGATAGTTGGTGCCTGTCGTATCTCAGCAGGAAAGCTGCTCTGCAGAACAGGAGCAGCCATACGTGAAGCCCTGCTCTGAGTAACTGGGGGGCGGGTAACTTAAGTGCAGGATGGTACATACCTCAGATGTACTGCGGCAAACGTCATTAAACCAAACGTCCAGCAGTTATTTAGGTAAAAAAACCTAAAGATTGCTTGGGCCTCTCTCAACTCCCTTCTGTGAGCTTGCTAATGCTGTTCCCCCTACTGAATGGGTCATGTTATTGTTTGTTTATTACATTTGTATATCACCATTCCCCGACCCCCCAGGAGCTCAAGGTGGCATATGCTGTTATCTTCTCCCCCATTTAATCCCAACAACCATGTGAGCTGGGTTAGGCTGAGAGTGAATGACTGGTCCAATATCACCCAGTGAGCTTCATGGCCCAGTGGGGTGGAAAATTTGAACCCTGGTCTCCCAGGTCCTTTGCCCCATCACGCTAACCATTACACCACACTGCCTCCCCCTAATGTTCTGAATCTCCACCCTTTATTTCCCCTGCTTTGAAACTCTTGTTTCTTTCCTCTAGCGCAGGGAAAGAGTCATTTGGGATTCTCTCATTTCTTACGCAGGCAAAGAATGGATGGCCGCACACGAGAGGGAGACGTTCACAGCGGAAGATCCGGGCCGAGCAGGGGTGTCCCTGTGGAAAGCGGAAGAGGTGGTTCCCCAGTGCCGCTTCCAGGAAAATGCTGGCGCCAGTCAGGAGAGGCCTGAGGGCCAGCTGAGGACCGACCCCGGAGGAGATGGAGACGCATCTGTACGTTTTGGGGGAGATTACACAGCCCTCATTGTGACCACCGTCCAGGCAGGAGTGGACACAGGGAAGAAGCGGAATACCTGCCGAGCTTACGGGAAAAGCTTTGGCCCGGGTTCCGGCATGCTCAAGAGCCGCCGAGCGGGAGCCAAAGCCCACAAATGCCAGGTCTGTGGGAAGTTCTTCCTTTCCGGCTCCAAGCTCATCATCCACCAGAGGACCCACACGGGAGAGAAGCCCTACGAATGCTCGTCTTGTGGGAAGACGTTCAGGTCCAGCTCTGTCCTGTACCGTCACCAGAGGATCCACACGGGAGAGAAGCCTCACAAGTGCCCCGTCTGCGGGAGGAGGTTTGGCAGCAACTCCAACCTCAATCGGCACCAGAGGATCCACACCGGGGAGAAGCCGTACGAGTGCGCGGAATGCGGGAAGAGCTTCATCCAGAGGGCCAACTTGAATAAGCACCACAAAATCCACCAGGGGGACGGGAAAAGCCGGGAGGGTTTCAGCAGGAGCTGAAAGCGCAAAGTGGGTGTGACGTGTGCACACAGGAGGAAACCACGTAAGAGACCGGATCGCGCAGAGACACTTTTCAGAAGAATATTTCAGAAAAGGACACAGAAATTCCTGTGTTGCAGCGGGTTGGGCTGGATGACCCTTCCTACAATTCTGATTCCACGAATTCCAGAAATCCCAGAGGACTTTTTGGAACTGCTCCCTGTTCTGGGTGCATTGATGAGGTGTAAGGTACTGTGGGGTGAGGGGGGCACTACTGTGAGTGCGCTGGCTGCTCCCCATCATTCGCTCACAGATGCAGAGTGCTTGGGAATCACCCTGGCAAGAGTGCTGTTGCCTTTTGCATGAAGACATCTGCATCCAGTTGCACAGGCTCCCTATGAAATGAGGCCTTGCTCAGAGTGCAAGGCAAGATTGTGGGCTGTATTGTATGTTATGTGAAAAAAAGGAGGAGACAAATGTAAACACAAAATAATTTCAGTTGCATTCCTTCTTCTTTAAAACTCCCCTTGCTTTTTCTTTTTTTAATACTGCCTTTCTTCAGAATCTCAGCCAAGGCAGCTTATAGTTTAAACATGTCCCTTTCATGTTGAGCTAAGGAGAGAGAATCACACCAATAACATGAAGAGAGCAACAGGCAAAGCCAGCGGTCAATGCAATTGCAGTGGAGCAAATTCAATGTTTTCATCAGTTAGGCAGAGAAAGGGCCTTCGCTCAGTGAGAAAGCATGTACTTGGCATGTAGGAGCCAAGTTCAGTCCCAATGGCATCTCCAGGGAGGGCTGGAGAAGACCCTCTCTGAAGTCGCAGGGGGAGATGATACTGAACTAGTATCTGGCTCTACCAGGCAGCTTTCTGGATGTGAAGTTGAGCATTCTGTTGACAGGGATCTCCCAGTGTTGCTTGGAGAGACAGAAGGTTGTGCATTTATTTATTTTTTAAAGTGTGGCTTGTGTCCAACCAATTGATTCTCAGAGTATCCATCCCATTGCAATTAATGGACTTAAGTAGGTCCATTAATTTCTATGGGATGTATTCAGCATAATGCTAAGGAGGTCGCTCACTCCAGTAGAAGCATTTCTGTTTGCCTGATGGAATAATCTCTCCTCCCCAACCACCCCCTGCCAGTTTTTGGGGTGGGGGCAGGAGGAAAGCCCCATTGCACTGTCTGACGGGAGTGGACTTCCCAGGGGGCACCTGGGGGGCCAGAGCTCAAGAGGGTGATGGACTAGAACCTTAAGTCACTACGTGGACTGTGGGTTGCCTCCTACAAAACAGCTGATTCTTCTCCAGAAGGGGCATTTTCATCGGTCCAGCACAAACTGAGTGATCCCATCTCTGGAGCAAAAGCACCAACAAAGCCCAGGTAAATGGGAATTAGTTGAAATGACTGGTTTATGTATTTGTTTTCTCCAAAGAAGGACTTCAAATTCCCCAAACTTGACCAGCTCTCATGCCTGGAAGAAGTTGCAATTGTCTGTGGCCTGGACGATGGAGAGAAAGTTTTCAGGTAGCTCTTTCAATGTGTGTTTGGATCCTCTGATGATCTGAGAACCGTCAGGCTTCTGCAGATAGGTTACTGAATCCTTCATTATGATTCACCCAAAATAGGCTGCTGACATGGACGTAGCCAGGAATTTTTAAAACAAAGTTATCTGCAACACAATTGGTCAGTTAAATTATTTTAATTTATTTACTTGATGGGGGGAGCGGCTACCCCCTCTGCCCCCTCCTGGCTGTGTCCATGACCCATGGCACCCTGAGATGCACAGGCTAGTTAAAAGTCTGGTGAGTCACTGGGTACAAGATTTAGGAAAACACTCCTCTTCCATGGGAGCAATCCTTTTAAAGGAGAATCCAAGGGCAAGAGGATGGATAGACAGATCCACAGCTTGCTGGCTAGAAAAGCATCTTTTGGGAAACGCTGTGAATTGCCCCCTTTTGATGGCAGAAATGCTCAGGCCAAGACACATAATTTAGAAGTGAACTGATTGTTTCTTTCCCCCTTGGGCTCTGACTGGGTTTCTCTCTTTATTCCAGCAGGTGGTGAAGGGAAGATCAGAAATGAGGGGAAACCGGATAGCATCTCATCAGAAAGAGGCACGCCCGAGGAAATAAAGGGAATTTTTGCTTCCAAGATGGAACACTGAAGCAAGGGGCAAACTAGATCAGAAAGAGGATACCACAAGTGGGGATCATGAATGCTGTTGTGCTCAGGTGCTGCTTGCAGGTTTCCCACTGAGGAATCTCATTGCGAGAACAGGATGCTGGACTAGATGGGGCCCTGGTCAGATCCAGCAGGGCTTCCGTTTTTTTATATTGATTTGGGTTTAGATGAATTTAGGGATGAACTTTTTTATCAGTAGTTAAGGTTGTGTTTCCAAGCTTTTTACTTGTAAACTAGGAGCGTTTGATGCTGTTTTAAAGATAAGCATCCTATTACCTGGTAACATCTGTATATAACTATGTAATTATCACTGTATTTACTCTTACTGATTAGGTTGTGTGTGTTTTCCTCTTCTATATTCCCAGCTACACAAAGTATGTTTATTCCTATCTTTTCTGTATAATTTTAATTTTAGTATGTCTGCTGCGGAAGGGAGCACTCTTATTTTTTCTTATGAATGGGCATCTAATGAAAGGCTTACTTTTGAAAAATATTGGATGCCATCACAGAAAACCATTTTTAAAAAGTGGCTCCTAGAAGGAAAACATGAAATTGGTCAGGCTATGTATCCTAAAAACAAATTCAAAGGTGTGAAGCATGGAGAACAATAATCAATTGTTTTAATTGTAGAGAACATAAACCAAACCATGAATTAAGCTTTTAAAGAAACCCCATTTGCTTTGAAAATTAACAGTGTACGTGGAGATCCAATGTCCTTATGATCCTGTCTGTTAATGAATAATATTTCTGTATGGATCTAATTTGTGCAAATAATTTCAACAAAAATAGGGACTGAAAAATTAAGTACAGATTCTTGAACAAATCCTTGCTCATACCATGGATATGGGCCATAAGATGACAAGGCAGATGACAAGGCCCCTTTTGGGTGCTGGATCCAACCCCTGCCATCTCCTCCTTCCCAAGCGCTATTTGCTCTGACTATAGAAATATGTCAAATCATGAGCATCACATCAGAGTTTGAGAATCTGGGCAAACAAGTCCCTATTTTTTATTTTTCTGTACACAAAAGCATCTTATGCCTGGCAAGAGGGTCTCATCCGGCTGAAGCAGCTTCCATATTTGCCGTCCTCTTCAGGCCATCTCTGCGGGTGGACAGATGTTTAATCCAGCTGAAAAGTGGAAGAGAGAAGAGCGAAGACCTTTAGTGTGACTTTCTCTTGGAGTTCCCCCAAACTGTGGCTTCTTCCTCTGGTCCTGTGACTGCCAGGACCCAAGAGGCCCCTTTTTCTACTCTGGGGCATCTCTCCTCTTGGGAAGGAGCACAGGCTCCTCGCCCCTTCTGCCTGCCTGTTAGGCTCAGGGAAGCGCAAGGAGCAGGGCTGATGGCCCTCGCTGGCCTCTCTCCCTAGAGAAGCGCCCCCCCCGTCCCAGAGCCCCTCCATCCTCCCTGCCCCCCCATCTCACCTTGATGAAGCCGATGTCCTTGGCGTACTGGCGGAAGCACTGGCGGCACATGTTGAGCCCGTACTTGCGGATCAGGCCGTGGCGGTTGGAGCAGACGCGGCTGGGGGGGGGGGGAGAGAGGTCTGGGGGTCAGCTGGGGGGCAGGAGGGACCCCCTACTCCGTATACTCCCCCCCTCGGAGGAAGCGCCCCCTCAGCCCTCCCCCATGGGCTTGGCTGCCCTTTCCTCCCTCTTTCACTCCCTGAGGCGCCTCATGGCGGCGGGGCTCCCTCCCTCACACGCGGCTGGGGGGGGGAGGAAGAGGCCTGTGGGTCAGCCGGGGGGCAGGAGGGACCCCCCCTCCCTATATTCCCTGCTCTTCCCCTCGGAGGAGGCGCCCCCTCAGCCCCCCCCGTGGGCTTGGCTGCCTTTCGGCCCCCCCCCCCCCGAATTTTAGAGCCCCGGAGGAGGGGGCCTCGCTCTCTTTCCCTCCCTGAGGCGCCTCATGGCGGCGTTGCTCCTTCCTTCCCTCCCCCCTCCCCAATCCTCCTTCCCCCCCCCGCCTCCCTCGCTCCCCCCCCGGCCCCCACCCACCAGGATCGGGATCCCTGGCCGAACTTCCTCGGGTGGCTCCAGTAGAGCTGCTGGTGCCCCATCTTGCTCGGCGCCTGGCGAGGAGGGAAAGGCCGCGCCCCACTGCGCACGCGCGGGCGGAGGAAGAGCCTCTCCCGTCGTGCCCCGCGCCCGCCGAGCTCCGCCCCCTCTCCCTGACGCCGCGCCCCCGCCTGCCCGCCAGGCCCCGCCCCTCCCCTGACGTCACGGCGCGCCGAGCCAAGAGCCTCTCTTCCCCCTCTCTCGTCCAGCCGGGCGCGGTGGCGCGTGCCTGTAGTCCCAGCTACTCGGGAGGCTGAGGTGGGAGGATCGCTTGAGCCCAGGAGTTCTGGGCTGTAGTGCGCTATGCCGATCGGGTGTCTGCACTAAGTTTGGCATCAATATGGTGACCTCCTGGGAGCAGGGGACCACCAGGTTGCCTAAGGAGGGGTGAACCGGCCCAGGTCGGAAACGGAGCAGGTCAAAACTCCCGTGCTGATCAGTAGTGGGACCGCGCCTGTGAATAGCCACTGCAGCCTTACCTGGGCAACACAGCGAGACCCAGACTCTTTTGCTCATTGCAAGAGGAATCAGAATAATAGTCAGAATAATAATATTATTATTAATAAGGGCAATTGGGAGAGAGAGAGAGGCGCTGCAGCCTCACCGGAGCAACACAGCCAAACCCAGACTCTTCTGCTCAATTCTAATAATTAATCATAATCTTAATTAGGGCAATTCGGAGAGAGGGGCCCTGCGGCCTCGCCGGGGCAACACAGCCAGACCCAGACTCTTTGGCTGAATTTAATGCAACAAAATAATAATGACGATACGTGCAATTCGGAGAGAGGCGCTGCAGAAAGAACAATATTCAATGCATTTATTCCATGAAGGGCAAATGAAGAGATTCCATCAAGGGAACTCGCCGCCCCGATAAGACACGGGGACCCTGGCCGCTTGCAGGAATTCCTCGGCCCGCAGGAAAAGCGACGGGCCCCGCGGGCGCGGAGATCTCGGGGAGGGAGCGGGCTGGGGACTGTGCGCCGGGAAAGGGAGCTGGGCGGCGGCTCGCAAGCCTTGACTGCATTTCTGCAAAGAACTTCTCCGCTGACCGGACAGAGCCCAATGGGCTCCTGCGCTGCGCGACCGCCTCCTCCTGGCCAGAGCCTGGAAGTGCCGCTCGGGCCGCGCGCACTTCCCCCAGCCGCCAGCAGGGGTCAGCGCAGCAGCGCACCCGGACCGGTGGGAAGAAAGATGCTTTTAGGATCTTTTAGCTGCAGAAACAGATAAGCCCTTCCAGAAGTGGAACCACAGGGTAAATGAGCAAGCTCAGCTTTATTTGGAAATGTGGGAAAACGTGATCCCCCACAATGTATATTCCGATTCCCAGATACGGTCCATTGAAGCTGTCCCTAAACTGGTTTGGGAGTACAAGTCCCAACACTCCTGATTACCACCCTTGCACAACACAAAACACTGTTCTGTAGGTTCTGTTTTATTTTATTTGATTTTTATCTTATATTTTGGAAATGTACATCTAGGTGGTTTTTTCCTTTAATTTTTTGGGGCCCCCAAGAGAGTGGGGCCTTAAGCTAGAGCTTGTTTAGGTAAAGGGACCCCTGACCATTAGGTCCAGTCGTGGCCGACTCTGGGGTCATCTCGCTTTACTGGCCGAGGGAGCTGGCGTACAGCTTCCAGGTCATGTGGCCAGCATGACTAAGCCGCTTCTGGCGAACCAGAGCAGTGCACGGAAATGCCGTTTACCTTCCTGCCGGAGTGGTACCTATTTATCTACTTGCACTTCATGCTTTCAAACTGCTAGGTTGTTTAGCTTATACAGTGGTACCTCGGCTTAAGTACTTAATTCGTTCCGGAGGTCCATGCTTAACCTGAAACTGTTCTTAACCTGAAGCACCACTTTAGCTAATGGGCCCTCCCGCTGCTGCCACATGATTTCTGTTCTCATCCTGAAGCAAAGTTCTTAACCCGAGGTAATATTTCTGGGTTAGCAGAGTCTGTAACCTGAAGCATCTGTAACCTGAAGTGTTTGTAACCCGAGGTACCACTGTACTTAAATCCGGCACTGTTTGGAATACAGTGGTACCTCAGGTCTTCAGGTCAGGATGAGAACAGAAATCACGCAGCTGCGGCAGGAGGCCCCATTAGCTAAAGTGGTGCTTCAGGTTAAGAACAGTTTTAGGTTAAGAACGGACCTCCAGAACGATTAAGTTCTTAACCCGAGGTACCACTGTATTGTCTACACTGACTGGTAGCAGCTCAGGAGCAGCTCAGGGCTCTCCTGGTGCTTCTTGGAGATGATGGAAATTGAAGCAGGGACGTTTTGCATGGAAAATAGATGCTGTGCCTCTCAGCAAACCAATTAAAATGGTTTCACAAGCAACAATTTCTGAAAGAGTGTGCATATAAATGTATGATCACTGTGTGTGTGTGTGTGTGTGTGTGTGTATAATGTTTCACTTTTATTACAAATGCTATACAGTGGTACCTCGGGTTACAGACACTACAGGTTACATATGCTTCAAGTTACAGATTCCGCTAACCCAGAAATAGTACCTTGGGTTAAGAACTTTGCTTCAGGATGAGAACAGAAATCGTGCTCCGTTGGCGCAGCGGTAGCGGGAGGCCCCATTAGCTAAAGTGGTGCTTCAGGTTAAGAACAGTTTCAAGTTAAGAACGGACCTCTGGAACGAATTAAGTTCTTAACCCGAGGTACCACTGTACCCGTTTCTGAAAACCACAAGAGGGGCGGGGGCCGTTGTTCTTGGGTCTTGCTTTGTGGGTTTCAGCCACTATGAAAACAGGATGCTGACCTAGCCATTGGCCTGATCAGGCTCTTCCTATGATTAGGAGGTCCATAGACACTGAAAAAATGAGTTACTTGGAGGCATTTGACAGAAGAAAGAGAAAGACCATCACATTGTAGAGTTGGGACCCCAGGGAATGGTCCCCTATTCCAGCCCCTTGCAATGGCTTCATCCAGGTGTTTGGGGAAACAGTACCAGGCGAAAGGGGTGGCAAGGGAATGAGGCATAGCTGTCAACTTTTCCCTTTTCTTGCGAGGAATCCTATTTAGAATAAGGGAATTTCCCTTAAAAAATGGGAAATGTTGACAGCTCTGGAATGAGGTCGGAATCTTTGGAGGGAGCAGGAGACCTCGGAATAACTGGGGGTGGGGAAATGGAGCAGCCAAGGCCATAGCGTGGATCCGACCTTCTAAAATCCCTTTATTGTTGTTTAGTCGTTTAGTCGTGTCTGACTCTTCGTGACCGCATGGACCAGAGCACGCCAGGCACTCCTGTCTTCCACTGCCTCCCACAGTTTGGTCAGACTCATGTTTGTAACTTCGAGAACGCTGTCCCACCATCTCGCCCTCTGTCGTCCCCTTCTCCTTGTGCCCTCCATCTTTCCCAACATCCGGGTCTTTTCCAGGGAGTCTTCTCTTCTCATGAGGTGGCCAAAGTACTGGAGCCTCAGCTTCAGGATCTGTCCTTCCAGTGAGCACTCAGGGCTGATTTCCTTCAGAATGGATAGGTTTGATCTTCTTGCAGTCCATGGGACTCTCAAGAGTCTCCTCCAACAGCATAATTCAAAAGCATTCATTCTTCGGCGATCAGCCTTCTTTATGGTCCAGCTCTCACTTCCATACATCACTACTGGGAAAACCATGGCTTTAACTATACGGACCTTTGTTGGCAAGGTGATGTCCCTTACCTGGCCCCATTTTCCCCCACCCTCTAATCAATAAAGCCTAGGAGTAGTTCTGGGAGGTGCAAACATCCGCCCCCCCCGGCAGCATCTTAAACACTGTTTGGCCCTGGGATCTGCGCTTTTGCGAATCGCTTTCAACAGCCGAATCAATATTCCGTGCAGGGTAATACAAACAGTAGGCTAATGGTCAAATCACTATTTTAATTTAAAACAGGGAAAGGAGACATCTATTATCTGTGGCAATAAATATTCTGCAGCCGCTGCGTGCTGGGTTAATAATCTCACGGACGCATATGTTGAACTGAAATTAAATGAGATCAAGTGAAGAGGGAGAGTTTTTTGCTTTGATCCTTCTGCCTGATTTCTGAAGGTAGGTGGCAGACTTGCCACGCGGCTGAGGATGCTTTTTGGCACCAGCATTTGAGGGGGGCTTAAAAGGGGGGCTTAAAAGGCCAAGGCCTTTGGCCAAGGCACAGTCTGACCCCCTCCTTCGGTAATCCACATAGAACTCTAGCCCAGTGGTTGCCATTAATTTGATTTTGACTTGATTTTAGAATGAATTGATTTTAGAATGTATTTCAATTAATTGATTGTGATTTTATGTGTTACTTTTACTGTTGTTAGCCGCTCTGAGCCCGGCTTCTGCTGGGGAGGGCGGGATATAAATAATTTATTATTATTATTATTATTATTATTATTATTATTATTATTATTAAGTATATGGATGCTGCCCTTCTTTGGGGCTGCAAATGGGCAGCTTTGGGTTCAGTTAAGGGAGCCATAATGATCAAGGCTCTGGAGCAACTCTCCTAGGAGGAAAGGATTCAAGGTTTGGGGCTTTGTAGTTTAGGGAATCAAAGAACTTTAGTGTTGGAAGGGACCCCGAGGGTCATCTAGTCCAACCCCCTGCAATGCAACAATCTCAGCTGAAGCTTCCATGACAGATGGCCATCTGACCTCTGCTTAAAAACCTCCAGGGAAGGAGGGTCCACGTGGGTGATGGAGGACATGGTTGAAGGACGCACATTAAATAAAAAGAACATACTTTTTTCCACGTAGCTCAAAGTTAAACTGTGGAACTCTCTCCCACAAGAGGGAGTGATGGCCAGCAACTTGGATGCCTTCAAAAGAGGATGAGACAATTCATGGAGGTCTGGCTCTTGAAGGCTAAGAAATAATAATAATAATAATAATAAATAATTTTATTTATACCCTGCCCTCCCCGGCCAGAGGGTGGCTTGTTTCCTGACTATCAAGATTCCTGATAATGTTTGCTGATTGCCTTATTCTTTTGAAATTCCTGAGTTCTGGCATCCATTGTCCCAGACCTCCCAATTTACAGGGTTTGAAGGATTTTGCAAGTGAAAAGAACTATTGGGAAAGGTTTTCCCAAGATACTTTCTTCTACTGCAGAGAAAATATTTGGGGTCTTTTAAGAGGAGAAAGATGGCTTTGGGATCGCTTTGTGAATTAAAATAAAGTGTCTTTTTCCAGGGAATATTTCCTAATTTTTGAAGGGTGAAAGATTGGTTTTCTAGAGCGTGTGTCCATTATGTGTGCACCATAACATTTGTGTAACACAATGCCTCATCCGTCTATGTTCTTTTTCAGTTGCCTTTCCCTCTGATTTTGATATTTCGTTCTGCGATCAGGCCTCCACCAAGCCACCCTTACGATTCCAGGAGGTGTGTATTATGAGCAGCAGGACTGGCAGAAGGTGCTAAATTCAGTCCTCGGCACCTGAAGTTAAATGTATCATAAGTGTGGCAATGTTCAGGGAGGCAGGAGAGGATACAGTGGTGCCTCGCAAGACGAAATTAATCCGTTCCGCGAGTCTCTTCG